TCGGTGCTTTTTTGCTTTTCCTCTTGGTGTTTTTACTCTACTACTAGCGAGAACAGCAACAACCTTGAATGCCAAACTAGCTATTTTATAACAAACCATCCTGACTTACCTTTTCCCGTATCTTGAAAACACGAAATGTTATGGGTGACGAAACAATCAGGTAATGACATGCGTAGAGATTGCACTAACAGGATTGAAGGACAAAGGGTACTCACCACAAAGACGCACGACAAACAAGGAGCTGGAGAAGACAGACAGGTGGTATCCACAGAACGAGAGTCACTCTGGAAGACACCATATTGCCGTACATGTATAGTGGCAGGACTTTGTATCTCCAGCTGTTTATCAAAACATTCCATAGTCCGCTTGTAGTCTTTAAACAAGCACTTGCGCTGCTCATGCCATCTCGAACAAGCAGGACACCGCCATACTTTGGATTATTGCAGCGTGTCTCGATGTGCATACTACTGCGAAAGATCATCGGACCTCGAAACAAGGGGATGTCAGACGGGCTGCGGATCATGCTCAATAAATGACAGACCCCAAGGAAAGTCAGCAGAGGAGGTATCGCTGTCGGTGTCGGTGTCGTGTCGGTAGGGATGGTATAGTTGAGGGTGGCACAGAGGAAGAAGCCGTAGTGGCGGAGTAGGTGTCCTCAAGAGGAACGGCAAAGGCAGCGAGGATACCATCAACAGGAGGCAGCCGGAGCAGTTGTATGGACCAGCAAAGGGTAGCCGGTCAAGGAGTCACGAATTCATCCAAGTGGCGCTCAGCGGTTGAAACAATGGCCTGCGCCATCTGCAAAAGCTTGCCCATAATAGCCAGAATGCAATGGGTGCCTGGCCACTGTCACTCCCGAGAGAATCTAGAGCTTGTAGTGCGGTGAAGGATGTGGAGGAGATTGAGAGAGATGTCGGGCAGTTGGCTCGATAAAGCCAGGATGAGGTCCCTGGCGCATGAGGAATTGATGAGCTGGTGTATGATGATCAAGTGCGGCATGTGGTAATCGCTGAAGATGTCTTTAAGCCAGCCCGCTTGGGCCGCGACCGGGTCTGGACCGTGATTGACCTTCTTCAAAGTGGCCCTTCGGGTCGAAGAGTGCGAAGCAAAGATCGTGGTGGAACCATGCAATGAACCAGGAGATGGCGTGCCTCTTTGCCGCAGAGCTCTGCGTGCTCTTGTCGAACGACTGCTCTTGAAAACAGTGTCGAGGTTTGGGGGCCACGCAGTTGAAGAGTCTGACCTTCAAGCTACCTGATTTCTTCTCTTCTCACGGTTGTGGTATATCCTTCTCCTCCTCTTTCAGACTTGTGGACGGGGAGGCAGCGTGTACAGAGCGGCGGGTTCAAGACGACGATTGTTACACGGCGCTTGGAATAGGGCGGATGCGACACAGCGCTTTGCGAGAGGGCGCGAGGTTGTTACATCACTCGGGCGCTTCGTGAGGCACGTCGTGAAGCATGTCGTGAAGCATGCCGTGAACCATGTCGGTATGTCGCATTTGCGAGCGAGACCATGCTGTCATGTCCACGACGTATCGATACTCTAGTGCTGGAAGTAGGAATGTGCAAGGAGTGATGATCGCGAGCGAGGAAGCCTTTTGCTCCAGCTGCGCCGTCGAAAGCGCGAGGTCTTCCGGCTGCCTACGAGTACGACTTGATGCAAAATTCCTCCATCTGTTTGAGCACCACAACTTGTCCTGTTCTGGTTTCGAGTGCCTGCGTTGTTGTATGTTTTTGCGATATGCTCAATGCGGTTGTTCCGATATCACAAGGTCTTTGCAAAATTATTCCGAGGTCGAAACTCGAAGACTCTCGAGTCGCAGGCAGAAGACGTAACGCGAAGCGACGCGACGTGTACATCAACCACAAGCGACCTTGACGTTGAGTCGTGCAATCGCCATGCATTTTCATCTAGAGTAGCCCTTGGAGACGTCGTGTTTGTCAGGAGATGAGGTGGCTCGGAATCATCAACGCCGTCGCGATCTCAATGCAATTCGTGCATCAAGAATGCGCCGCTCGGTCAGCGACCGAGTGCAAATGCGGAGCTTCGTCGCATCGCGCTGGGGGCCGAGCATGGCCGAGTTCCCGAGGTTCTCCACCTTCCCGATGGGCGTCCCGAGCACGATACTTCACTTATAAGCATGCGCATAGGGTCTTGCCGGGCATCACCACCGCTCTCCTTCTCCTGCACACGCATATTCTTTGCTCATAAACATATCAACCATGGGTGTAGATTGGCAGGGCGTCAATCCGGTGCCGATCTCTTTCAAGCCAATCAGCGAGCCTTCCATCGGTCACAACAGTTACGAGGGTTTCCACCCGGGTCGACAGGATCTTCTCAAANAAGGACACTGCAAGAAGCAGTGGGATGACCAGGATGGANAAAAGCTAGAATCCGACATCATTCGCGATAACGATGTTGAGATCGTCATGCGAGATGGAGTCAAGCTTTACGCCGACATTTATCGCCCTGCTGATGCGAAGGGGAAGATCCCCTGTATCGTCGCTTATGGACCCTATGGAAAGAAGTACAACATGGCCGGAATCGCCGTTCACTTGCCATGGAAGCTCGGTCTCAGGCCAGACGACACCTCCGGATACGAGACATTCGAAAGTGTGGATCCCAAGGATTTCTGCGCGTGGGGATACGCGGTCGCGAATGTCGATTCCCGAGGCACTGGTCATTCGGAAGGATACATCTGTATCATGGGTGAGCAAGAGGCGCAAGACGGATACGACGTTGTAGAGTTCCTCGGCCACCAGGACTGGTGCAATGGCAACGTTGGCATGGCCGGCAATTCTCACTTGGCCATCACGCAATACTTCATCGCAGCAAAGAACCCACCGTGTTTGAAAGCGATCGCGCCATGGGAAGGATGCTCAGATCTGGGCCGTGAGCAGTTCACAAGGGGTGGAATCTTCTCCATCTCGAACAATAATTTCATCACCAAATTCACCGTGCGAGGCCCAAATGGATACGAAGATTTCGAAGAAATGTATTCACGATACCCTCTCTCATCCGCATACTGGGAGGACAAGCGTGCAGCCCTGGAGAAGATCAAGTGTGCAGCTTTCATCACCGGTACCGATTTTGCTGCAATGCACACCATGGGCTCCATCCGAGCCTACATGGAGATTGACAGCGAACACAAATGGATCAAGTGGAATGCATGGCAGGAATGGTTCGATCTATGGGCCATAGAAGAATCTCGACTCGAGCTGCGCAAGTTCTTCGATCGCTACCTCAAAGAGGAGAAGAACGATTGGGAGCAAACGCCAAAGGTCAGATGGGCTGTGCTACAGTACGGCGACAAGGCTCCCATCGAAAACATCGCGCTTCCCGACTTCCCTCATCCCAAGACAGAGTTCACCACCTACTACCTCGGAGACAAGACCCTCTCACTTTCTCCTGTCGAGACCGAGTCTACGCATTCGTACAACTCGGAGGGTAGCGAGCGCATCAAATTCGAAACTACATTCGACAAGCCTACCACACTTCTCGGTCCTCCCAAGATCTATCTCAACATGTCCTGCAACGACCACGACGACATGAATGTGTACGTCCAGCTGCGCAAGCTAGACAAGAACGGACATCCCCTGGTCCACGTACAGATTCCGAAAGAACGATGGCAGATCGAGAGCACCTACGATCTCTCTGACGGACAGACTAACAACGGTGCACTGTACTTTAAGGGTAACGTTGGCATGCTGAGAGCTTCACATCGCAAGATCGATCGAACCAAGACACTTCACGATCACATACCTTTCCACCCGCACGATGAAGAACAACGGATTCCCAAGGGCGAGGTTGTTGAGCTGGAGATTGGAATTTGGTCAGGTGCCACTCATTTCGAGGCGGGTGAGACGCTTTCGGTGCAAGTCTTCGGTTACATTTCGCTCAACCCGGAGCTCGAAAAGTTCAACAGACCAAGACCGGCTGAGCAACAGAACCACGGTAAACACTACGTTCATGTTGGTGGCAAATACGAGAGCAGGATAGTCCTGCCCATTGTTGATTTGGGACTATAGAAACAATCAGGCATATAGATGATACGCAAACGCTTCCTCCTGCGCTTCCTTAACCTCTCGTCTGCCCGTGATGTCAGTGACCGCCGTCGTAATCGCTGCCGCGAGGGCCGCAATTGTCGTGAGCGTTCGCCTGTGGACTTACAACTCTATGGTGACTCGGACATCACTAGAGTCCATCCCACGCCGTTCTGCGTCTGCGCTCCCCTCGCGAGCCTGATCGCGTCGCCGAGTCTATGAACGAACGTCTGTACGCCTTCCAGTCCTGTCTGGCCGAGATGTAGGAGCACTTTGACACCGCCAGTGCTCGTCATCTATTCAGCATAGGTGTCAAACAGGGTGCCCGAACCAAATTTCGTTGTACACCATGTGGTGTCCTTGTAGCCGTACCAATTTTCTTCCATACAAGAAAGACAGACAGCGTCTTCATGGTTTTGCGTGCTTCGCCACTTTCTTACACACTGCAGACGTCAAGAACAGCTGGTGTTGATATTTGAGTGTGGCCGGCAGGTCCGATTAACCCCTGAGTCTGACGATCACCGGTTGTACCAGAAATCTTATCTCTCCTCCCAGTCAGTCTCATACAGGTTGACCAGACAACATCTGGGGACTGTTCAGATCGAGCCACTATCCTGACCCAAGCGATGAATGCAGTGTAAGTCAGTTAAAACATGTCCACGAAATGCACGTCTTTTTGCTCAATAGGTCGGATGTACATGGTGAACATTGACCAAAGAAGAACAGCAGAACTCTTGTGATTGTCGCGCATACTTTGCAGACTTAGTATCCTAGACTGATTTACTGGCTGGTATAGAAACCTGTGAATGAGATTAAGTTGTTATTGGCGATTTGCGATCGTACAAAAGGCAGTGGTATTGGAAGCTGCAACATCAGAGGTGGTCCGCCCCGGCATTATGGCCGCATCCGCGACACACAACCCTACACAATTCTGATGTCCACCACGTTGTAGATTCAAGCATGGCCACTCCTGCTCCAGAGGTTTCCTGGGTTATTATCCGTCAATATCACGGCGATGATCGATGCCTTACACATTTGTCAGTACCAGGCGTATGCAGCTTTTACTTCTACGTTGAATACACATACAAGCGACAAATCAACACCAGCGACAACATCAAGTTCCCAGGCAGGATTGTTGCGGATTCGCGCGGTCTCCCCAGGTGCCTCTACGCCCGGAATCTTACGAGCTTCGATGATATTGTGGCCTTCCAAAATCACATCCCAAGTCGTGTGACGGGCTGATCTAGCACGGATCTCGAGCACTACACTCTCAGGTGCAGAGGCTGCCAGGTTTTCCATGGTAATGTCAAAATTTGCCCATCCCTTCCACTTCATCGCAACCGAAAAGCTGGGTTGTTTGTCGCTAAACCCGATGCCGGGGAACTCGAGATACCACTGTTCCTTGAGATTCAGGTAACGTCGGCGCAGCTCAAAGAGAGATGCGCCCGTTGTAGGATCCACGAGTTGACGCCGACGGCTATTACTCTTTTGCTGCCCGACAACCTCGAAAAGGATACTCGAATCTGAGCTGAAANNCAGGTAAAGTCGCCCGTATCGGAGGCATTGAAGTGTTGCTTGACAATCAACATGGTCGGCTGCGGAGTGATGTAGGCGGGATACAGCGCTACAGGCTTGCTGTTCGGATTCATCTTCTTCGCAGAGTACTTTCGCGGTTGTTGACTCCAGTTGGGTGTTGTTAATGATTTGGGTACGGATGAAATCGCAAAGTGAAGGAACAATCGTGTCGACACCTGTCCAGAACAGTACGCAATGTCAATTTACCCACCACCAGCATACAGCTCCAACACGACCATCGTCATCACGCTTGTTACGTCCGTATAGGAACAAGATCATCGATGTTCCTACGCAGATCACCCATACGGGATGCAATCTCAAGCGAGATTAAACCTCATAAATCAGGCGGCAAGATTAGGATAGCATGGAGACCCATGCCAAGCACCGCGGGTCAAGACCCGTTGTGCGCGAATTCTCTTCCAACCGACTTCATCTCCTGATTCCATATTATTGCCAAGACTACCAAGAGTCTCGTAAGACTCAAGTTGGGGTCATGTGGAGTCGACTATTCCCGAAGATCCACATCCTCCTCCGGTAAGCAGCGGGCCGTGACGGGCCACACTTTGCACGTGCGTAGAGAAAGTGCAACTTCCATCCTTCGTTCCTGAATATCAAAAGCTAGATCGCATAGCATCAATACACGCAGAAGTATCTGGCCATGCCCCGATGAGAGACTCTGTCGCCCCCACTGAGATCCACCAGATAACTGCTTGTATTGGTAATAGTCTGATCACTGTGCATAAAACTATTGTCTCAACGCTTGTCGATGACCGATAGATGTGACATGATCCTCAGGATTCATCGTTACTTCATGATCTTGCCCACAATACTCCAGCATCATTACATCAATATAGCTTGGAAATGAGCACAACAGTACAACGACATACCTCACGTTCACCAACAACTCCACATTATGTCCGCCATGCAAACACACGACCATCGACTAAGCCACAGCAAGAGCATGCGCCGATCAAACAAGCATGACTTCGCGTGGAAATTACTCAAAGTACTGCTTGTTCCGGCTACAGTCTACATGCTATGGAAAGTCGCCTCGGTTGCATCCGACTCACGCTATCCGATCATTGTAGTAATATCAGAGTCCATGGAGCCCGCCTTCAGCAGAGGCGACTTGCTCATATTGAGCAACCGGAGGCATCTTGTTCAAGTTGGCGATATACCAGTGTGCTGGTTTCCTGGAAACCCCTTCNCGATGGTACATCGTGCCGTCTCGGTTANNCATATACAGAGACTTGGTCACATCCAAGTACTACCGTGTAGGTACATCGAAGCCAAGCATAAGAACCCATACTAACTTGCAAGTCAACACATACTCACAAAGGGTGATAACAATCCGGCAGACGACGTGTCGATGTACCCACCCGGACGAAGTCGTGTGTTGAGGGATGAGGTCGTTGGCCTCGTGCGTGGTTACATCCCATACCTTGGTTGGCTTACGATTGTTCTTACCGAATACCCCTGGGTGAAGATCTTAGCTCTGCTAGCTCTGATAGTCGCAGGATTATTAGTTTAAAGATGTGCAATGTAATGATTCGGGCGTAGTCTGGTGGAGTCAGACCAGGATCAATCCTTTGAGCGAGACATCGGTGATCGGACTTAGACTCGAGTCATCTCAAGTGCATCTACAGTTCGCCTCTACTTTCTAGTAGACGATTGAGAGTATGCATGTTTACAATAGTTCTGTCTGGTGATCAAAGCCACGGATGCAGTACACATAGGTGCCGATCATATCATATCACGCATCAAATTACCCGGAGCGCCAATAGGACTTACTCCATGAACACATTGAACCCTTCACCTTCTCCCTCCCCTGACCACCTGAGGGGAACAATCCTTCACCCCACCTGTCTTTCGATAGTTGCAAAGGACCATCGGCGCATGTGTGCTTAGACCCAACGTCGTATCAGAACATGAGGTCATGTCCATACCATGTGAATGGACAATGGCATCGAAGGATCGATGGTCCTTACGGATTTTGAACCAAGCCAAGGACAGACCAGCAAGTAGACTTTCAGAAGGGTATAAATCTGACCATTCCCCGGCACAGGGCGACCATATCATCACAATCACATTCAACTACATCTTCACACTCCACACTCCAAAGCCTCTTCTTCATTCCACACTTCGCCATGCGTACCTCAATCAGCATTGCCGCCTGCGCCATTGGCCTCGCCTCTCTCGTCCAGTATTGTCCCGCTCCCCCTCTCGCCGCCATTATCGGTGTTACCACTGGCGAGCTTCTCACCGCCGGCACCACCCTTGCAGGCTCCGCCATCACCGCCGGCGCTGCTGCTGGCTCCAGGCGTGACATACCCGCTGGTGTCTCCCAGGAGTCCATCGACCAGTGCGTTTCCTCGCTGGCCGGAGTTCAAGTCAACTTTGTGCCCCAGTCTGATGGTAAGCTGAGCCCCTGACGCCATCATGAACCTCGTAGCGCTATCGTGATGCTGACTGTTCCTGGAGGTCTCCTCGTTGAGAACATGCCTGCCCCTTGCATGAACCTGGCCACCGTCATTACAGGTGACTACAATGCCGGCAACCCCATCCCTATGAGCTCCTCCAGCATCCTGTTCCGTGGTCTCACTCAGGACCAGCTCCAGCAGATTCAGGACACACTCGATGGGAACTAAGGAAACTCATGTATACGAGATTGCTAGCTTATCCATTCAGCTCCAGAATTCATGCTTTGGCTTCTATTAGATCTCCAGTATTACTGTCTTCATGATTTGAAACTCCTGTGCTCAGATAGTGTGACTACACAACGCTTGAGTATGTTGATGAATGCTAGTCCTGATCACCTGTCTGTATGTGCTGAGATCAACGAGCATGTAGAGCTTACACCTGCCACATTTCAAGTCCTCTCTCTCAACTTCTGCTCCGGTAGTCGCGCGGTATGGTTGGATGTGATGAGTGTCCATCGATGTCGAGGTGCCGTTATCCTGACTGCTGATATGCAGAGAACTGACACAGAATCGAACCTTGATGATTCGAGTTGATGGGACTCTGGTGTAGAGGACAGCGCAAGCAGCACAAAGATCACTGTCCCATTTTTTTGTACAGTACGTATATTTGCGTCATTGAGTCTTACCTGCTGCCCACCGAGAGCAAACTCCACAAGCCTCTCATTCTCTCAACATATCGAAGTTGTTCGTAAGCACGTGGATACTGCCACTTGGGAACGACACAAAAGAAAAAACAAAAGACCCAGAAACATCCAATCATCCTTCTCAGAGTTTGGTGTGAGGTGTTCGTGCCTAGCATCATATTTGTGAATCTGGCGAATCCAACCTCGAGACCTCCCCCCAGGAAGTTCATGATGAAGAAAGCAGTGTCGAGCATGTAATGTCGTCTGTCTCCGCTGCACCAAGTGACAAGTGAGTGTGCAAGTCCTGAAATGACGAACACGACAAATATACCAGTGATCTTGTCGCTCATGGTCGATGGTTTGAATCCACAGAAACGTCGTGACACCAAACGACCAAAGTTCGTGTAAGACCGGTTCGCGATACGATGCCAGAATCGGCCCCAGAAACCACGTAGACTGTACGTGTCCGTCACACTGCCGAACAATGGTGGCCACTCTTCTGTAGTATCGAAACGCAGTGCTACGACGAAAACGATCGCGAGAAAAGCATGCGCGGCTTCTATCTCGTAGATGGCAATCCAAATCCATCTGACTGCAAGACATGCCCTTATGCCCGTCTCACGGAGCGTGATAGATCCAGGGTCAAGCAACACACGGCGGAAGAAAACTTGCCGCGCCGGAGAGAAATCCCTTGGTGCAAAAGGCAAGAATGGGCCAGGATAGACGAGTGGTTCGATTCTTGTGTGCAGAAGCCAGATGAACACAAGTCTACACAGCTTTCTCGCACAGAATCTGTATCTGTTCTGGTGTTCTGAGTTATGATTCTCGAGCCAGACGTCACTCTCTTCACCATTTGCTCGCAAGAGTCGTACATTGAACAGCAGTTTGTAGGCTGGTCGTAGTTGCCATTTTGTAGTTGCTTTCGAGTTCGCTTGAACATTGACTCTCTTGAGTATCTCGAATGGGTCTTCAAGAAACAGAAGCGAGACGACGTGTATTGTCCACATTACCACGGAAAGTCCCCATAGATCAGAAAGACCTTGTGGCCAGGACAAGTGGTGTGATTCGATGACTGAGTGGCCGGCCAAATAGAATAGAAATGGCATACACAAACATCGTGCAAGGAATTTTGTATTCAGGGCAACGTAAAAGCAGACGCTTGCAAAAACAAGATAACTGATCGGAATGAGGCCTGACAGCATCTTGGTGGAGTGTTGTGGAAGCGGGAAGTCGTGAATCAAGGGGAGGTGTGCAGCGACTCATCACAGTGTTATGGGTGTGTCCGCCGATTTACAAAACGTCCCACGACAGGATTGACGCTTTCCCGAAGAAGATCACTCACCACTTGGCTGTACAGCAGACTATGAAGATCGGCGTCAGATCAGGTGAGTTCGCCCGTTTGACACATTGCGGGCATGGGCTCGCGATTTCCCAATCACTTTACCCCAAAGTGGAGATGAAGGATTGCGGCGGGGTATAAACATACGGGCTCCACAAACACCTTCCCACTGTGGGTCTTTTGCGTTCGGACCGATATGCCTGGTCCTAGCTTCAATCTTCCTTGATTCACTTTCCAAGGACCAATGCTGTCGCAACACCAGACATCTGCAACTCATTCGCTGGAAGTAGGCTGGTGTATCAAAGGCACGCGTGATACACACCAGTCTGGGTCAATATTAAACTCCGTTGCAAAAAGCTCTTATGCTGAGCCATCTGCATCCACTCCAAATGTGTGTTCTACAATCCTGTGATCATCGTGGCTAATGCAAGCAATTCCGAGGATGGCAAAGTAAATCTAGAGACGGAATCGCTGGTTCCGATGGGTATAGATCAAACAGCGTAGTCATTGTCGTGACTGCAAACTCCACGCTCCACGTTCGATGCATCTCATGCTTACCACTGCTAGATATCTTCTGTGTGCCGAAGCATGCACTGCTCAGACATGGCATCGGGTAGACGACCACACCTGACATCTCTCGCTGCATTACGTCTTGTCCAGACATTCCGCAATCACTGCTCGGGCAATGAGTCATGGGCTTATCGGTGCCGCTCTTCTCTCACACAATCCCATGATGAAGTGTTGAGTGCACCATGAACCTTCTCCCATCACAATCCAGAACGTCACAGATAGTTCAAGCTCCATTTCTCTTGATGGCATATGTCTGGAAGGTAGATAAAAGACGGTCGTACACGACTTCATTGTTTCCCACACATGTCCTCCACGGCCCATATCATCTGCCACTCCTGAATCAAATCGCCTCCAGACCCTCGCCGCTCCATGCAAATGTAATGGATCTCTTTTCTCCTTCTTGTTCCTAGCAAACAAGTATAGCGGCCAAATCTACAGAGGTACAGCCAAGTTGCGGGCCTTGAGAGGACTGTGACAGATCACGACCATAACTGTCACAAGACTGCAAGTCTCTTGCCTGGCCGTTCACCGTACATGCCAACTGGCCGACAGCACCTGCGTAGCCCGAGTTGCCGGAAGTGATAACGCAGTTGACGTAAGTGACCGCCGGAGCGTACGAAGCAAAGGACTGGTCCGTCATTTGCAATATGTAGTATTGGTCGTCTGAACTGGACGTCCACCCTTAGATATTATCACCACCGTACACCTTGCCATCTGGGCGTAGAGTGAAAATTTGAGCGTTCGAAGGATTGGAATCAAAGGCGACAAAGCCATAGGATATGATGGTCGGGTCCGGCGTTTCGCCTGTCAAGAATTGGCCAGCGTAAGTGCCTTGAGTTGCTACGAACTTGTAGCTGCTACAGACTGGCGCAGCAACAGTGATCGTGGTCGTCACCGTGATGGTCGTGGATGATGTGACTGTGATTGATGCGATATTTGTGGTCACTGTTGTCTCAAGCGTAGATGGTACTACACTGGAGCTGGTGGTAGTACTAAGGAAAGGGTTTAGGGTTTTAATACTCACCAGCGTGGCAGTCTGAGTTGCTGTAGGAGTAAGATAGACGACGCTTTGAATTGTGACAGTGCTTGTCTGTTGAGCCAGAGTCGTTCGAACGGCAGTAACACCACCACATGAGCAAGCAGAAGCATATCTGGAGGACCCCGAGCACGGGGACGCATATGCCGGAATCTTAGTGTTCGTCTGAGTTGTAGCGACACATGAAGACACGACTGCACGACCCTGCAAGCCCTGAGAGGTCGGGATCTCTGGCAAAGGTCTGGTGCTAACATCTCTTTTCTTGTTGGCGAGGGTAGATGTCGCAGTCTCCACAATGGTCGACGTGACGTCGACCTCGTTAGTCACGGTGGTCGTGGCTGTGTCGAAGATGGTGGTGACGACCGATGTCGCAGTGATTGCAGCCGAATTGATCTGAGTTGTGGTTGTAGTAGTACTGTCTGTGCGAGTCACAGGTGCAACTGTGCTAGTGGAAACCGTGGTAACTGTGACAGTCCTGCGATCACTTGATAAGTATAGTCTCCGATCGACGTGGGATAGTCTTTAGCTTACGCTGTACAGGCGTAATCGTGGTGAGCATAAACGAAGAACAATCTTTAGCTCCCGAGATAGTCGACGTCACGGATCGAGTACCACTGATCGCTCGGAAGCAATTATCCCGATTGCACGTGGTTGCTCTCCTGAAGATTTGGTCAGGTCGACCCTCGGGAGCAGCCAGACCCGGAACAGCTAGAAGAGCAAGAGCGAAGGTCAAGAACTTATACATGTTGACACCAGGATATCGAGATGAAGTGCTCAGACCAGAATGATTGGGACAACAATTGCTTTATGCGACTCTCTCAAGAGGGATACAGCGCCCTAATTCGGAATCTGCAAGAGCTGAACACACGGACTGGGAAAAGGTTATCAGGTACAGAGCGGAATTCAGTCAGCCACAGAATGTTCGAGCTTGTGGTTCATACAACCGAGGCCGGAAAGTCTTATATCTAGAGCTTGCTGCAGTACAACATACAATCAAGATTCGGGCCAGACCAAGCCGGGGATCAGCTTCTATCACCTTTGCAGGCGCAACATTGTTTGACCGCCATGAAGAGTTCAGTGGGATGCATGGGGTGGGTGCCCCGAAATGTGCCTCCGAGAGCTGATGTTTCATGGCAGGGTATTCCCTATTAGATCGCAGGGTAAGCAGCAAGAGGATTTACGGCGAACGTCCGAGCACAAAAAGCCTTTGGGATCTTGATGGCTTCTTTCAGAGTCGATCAGCAAGGTAAGTTGAGCTGAGGCATCCTGTGCGGGTGTACAGAAGACCAGATGTTGTTGGCTAGAAAGCAGCTAATATTCTCCGATACAGTATCAACATCTGAACACACCGTTGAGCTTAATCAGAATGTACCCACCCCTCATCATCCGGGGACAATGGCAACTTCTAGTCCCGAGCTATGGACGTTGCCCCCGGACCTTCTGTCAGCAATCCAACACAAAAGATGCATTTTTGGGGGGTCTTGCACTTTGGCAAGCACCACGTGTCACATTGTTGATGCATCTGTTTCAGCCCCAGCTGAATGGCGTTCTGAGCTTACGCGAACGTACAAGTAAGCGACACAGATTTACCAGACGGCATTATTATCGAGAATCGTTAGCGGCAAATCTTGATCCTTCTTCTTGCAACTCTAACCTTGTGCCATGTGCGGGGAGCTGGAGGAAGGTACCATGTAATGTAGTGTTAGTAACATACAAATCAATGGGGGGAAAGATATACAGTGTGTTACTCGTGCGGGGTAGTCACCTCTCAAAATTGCTTCTCTCACATGTTGGCTTGTGTTGCTTATGGTATGGGGTTGCTACAATGGAAGAAGGCAACTCATCACCGCCAGAATGTGTAGCAGTCAAAGGTGCTAACCTTCGATTCCAGCGTCAATATCATAATATGCCTGTGTGTGTTGCAAGCCCAATTTTCTACCAGATTCGAGACATTCTCCCTGCTCTAGCCAAGCAGCCTTGTTATGTGAAATAGAATCATGAAAATAAGGCATGTAGAATAGAATGAACGTTGTGTGGACATTTAAGACTTGAAGACCAGAAGTTAAGCTTGAGGGCAGCTAGAAATCATTGTACATTAGACATGGAAAAGCAAAACAACATGATACAACAAGAACGATCCATGAGTTACGAGAGGAGCATATCCCCAACCCTTCGAATCGCCCAAGTTTGTCGAGGGAACTCCCAGTCGCCTCTTCTTGCTAGCCGCGCAAACTTCCCGTGACTCTGACAAGTGTTCAAGGAGCGTATGTCAAGACCTGAGCTGCACTAGTCGCTGCAAATGTCAGCGAGCCATTAATATAGCCACTATGAAGAGTCAAGAAGCCCGCTTCAGTCGATTACATGGAAGCCGTGCTGCCTTCGCGCTCATCTCCCAGGTCGGCTCCATTCACAGCGAAGAATCCTTGATTAACACCCTCAAGTCTTCCGATCAAAGTCAAACTGGCATCAAGGTCATCCAGAGCATCAGATAGATGTCTGTCGTCGCTTACTCTACGAGGAAGAGAAAGAGGCATGCTGAAGTTGAGATACTGTCCGGGTGCCAGACTTTCCGATCCATTGTTTGTGATCAAGGTGCCGTGGAGCGAGTCGCTACTGAGTGAGCTGAAACCATCACTCCCGCTGGAAACGAAAGATGCGATTTCCTCGGAAACAGGTTTTCCAACCTCAAAAGGGCAACATCCAGAGCTTTTGCTGCTAGTAAGAGATGCGGCCGCATTCGAGCTTGAGGAGGTAGAATCTCCCTGCTCTAACCAGAGATCTGAGATACATGGCGAGGGGACGATCCCTGGCCGTGTACATGTCATGTGTGACTCAACCTTCTGCCTAAGCGTTCGCTTGTAATGCTGCAACCCATTTCTCGCCCTGTCCCGGCTTGTAGAAGAACACACCAACTGAACTGGACTTTGTCACGATTGAGACTCTCTCATGTTGTGCTTGCAAAATCCCCCAGTCCAGTAGTCGTTGGCCCAGGCCCTGTCTTTGACATGCTGAATCGACATAGATACCGTCAAGCTCCCAGAACTCGGTCAATCCTGCATCTAGAGGGACGGTCGGCTTGTGCGTAATGTCTTTGATCCGACCTATATGCGACTCGTCGAAGATCGCCGGATCTACAGATTTCTGGCTCTTTGATTGCAGATCTGCTTAGAGAATCAGTGGTTTGGTTCAGCGGTAACAGATATCCATAGCCTATGACCTTTTGCAAAATCAGGCCTGTGTAGTTGTATGATCTCAGTTGAGAGGTTGTTGCCGTGCCGAGTCCATATCGCCTAAGCGTTTACTGTACTCTGATTATGACGTGAATCAACAGAGCCTGCCGTAATTACCAAACCGATACAAGCTGGTTCCAGGAGTCTCTTCGCCATAAACTGCTCCGAGGCATCAATATGGGCTGCCCAGTTTCCAGGAATATGAATCGCCATGTATCGTACAAGCGAATCTGTCAAATTACAGAGACATTCGATCTCGGCCAGTCTCGCCAGGTTATTGGGGTGGAAAGGTCGTAAAACCATTGTTTACTGGAAAAATGTCGTCGAACGCTGAGCCCAAGGGAAGTCGGGCACGCTAATTTTTGATCAAGGCTTGTTGTTCTACCACGTCGGACTTTCAAGTCGCAGAGAAACTTATGCTGATGCAGAAAGCAGGATTTAGTGGGCATGTGAGTCACTTGACTCCGGAAGCGCGGGGGAATTGTCAGCAATGCACATGCACAAGATGAGGGGTATGAGCGATACATAAATCTGCCATCCCTACACATAACTGTTCATCACAACGCCCTTTTAGATACACCAAATCGTGTTGAAACCCAGGCTTCAGAACTCTACACCTCGTCCTAGCGTTCAACTCTAGCAAGTATCACAATCTCTGATTCCAGAATCATGAGCACCTCCAACGACCAAGAGTTTCCAGTGATCAACCTTTCTGACGACGGTTGGTCCACCGAGGAAGAAGCCACAGCGACCTGCTTCTGTGGGGAAGTGCAACTGGTTCTGGTGAGTTTGTCAATAACGACTCTGCCGTCAGTATCGGCACTCTACTTTCTTGTGCTTCTGTTTCTAGGAAGGCTCAAGCTGATACAAATATGTAAGCCACTACAAAAGCCTGGTTTGATCAATCGTCATCTCTGCCACTGCACCGACTGTCGCAAGATTGGATCTGCTTTCTACCAGTCCAACATCACCGTGGCAGACTCTTACCTCAGACGCGTGCGCGGTACAGACAATCTCACGACCTTTAGTGAAACAAAAACTATTCGCGGTAGAGAATCGATGACAAACTACTTCTGCAAAACATGTGGAACTTTGATGTACCGGCGGGGTGCTCGCTTTCCTGGACTAACGATACTACGGACTGGCACCGTGGATGACATCTCCTTAGCAGAGACCAGATTGCGACCTCAGGTGGAACAGTCCATCGAGAGAAGGGTCGCCTGGTCGGTGCCGATAGAAGGTACTGCACAGGTGATGGGAATGCACCAGCCGTCGGATCTCGAGGGCATTCCGTAAATCATTCTATCTGTACGACTGGACGTCCTCTAGTGAGATTGTTGGGGAACAAGTCGACGACGCAAGAGTCCTGATGGCTGTTCATGACCAATACTCGGTCGGGAGTGGTTTTGGAAGCAGTCACAAACCTAAATCAGAGTTTGGGAATCTGGCGGCTTCTCCAAACTCGCCCCAGCTTTTGGGAACCACGGGTCTGGGGCATTCTAGCCCCTGGCACGCGAACGGATATACTTGGGTACTTGTGCTATGTTTGGTCCAGCTCAAGTTATAGTGACATCTGTCAGACACGTCCCATGTCTGGTGTATGGACTGGAAATTCTCCTCTTTTGTATGTCGATTGAACTTTGTTGCACACACAGAGTCTAAAGAGGACTTGACCTGCGAGCTGAAGACAGATTTGTTCAGCTGTGAGCTTGCACATGACCAAAGCCTAGGTCAGCTTTGTGGTGCCTAGATGTGTTATGCCAATGTACACCACTTCTAACTGGATCATTTGGATCCAGGATATTGACAATACCACTGTATGCACCGTAGGCTTCGTAGTACCTGCGACGAAGCAGGCTCAGCTGGATACCGCATACCGGGGACTATACAGTCAAACGTATCACTAGAATTGGATCGTGCAAATCTTGAATTCTGGCGCCGGGAGTCTGCTCTTCTACGTACATTATCATTAACGCCGCGCATGCAATCCTGAGCTGGCCCGCACGACGAGCTCTTCTAAGCTTGGAGCTTAACAGCAAATAATTGCGTTCTCGGGATCACATTGCCGACTGGTTGACCTGGCTTGAAAATCTCTCCACGCTATAAGTTCCAAGCTGTCTGTCCGCTCTTGTCGAGTTCCTTAACTTGCGCTCTCTCAAGTTTCCGTCCAAACAGACTTGTCTGATTACACGGCCTATACAAGATGCTATTTCCAACAACTACCATTATAGCTCTGTGTCTGTCTTTGGCAGCAGCCCTCCCAAACCCATTCGAAGCTCGTGCAGCATGTAACGCTGACGATTGTTACCGCGCGGTGAGTTTACTTACACGATCATTATGTAAAGATTTCCCACTAAACTTTCACAAGGTCGCTGCAAGCAGTCATGCCCCGGGGTCAAGCTCGGCTAAGAAAGACTGCTCATCTTTCTTGCTGGCAACCAAGACTCTATGCCCCAGGTAAGGCATCAGCTGCTCGAGCATTCACCGATGCTGGAAAACTGACCTGAACAGCACAAGCATCGTAACTATGACGGCGACGACTACCGTTACACCTTCGACAAAGACGGTCGTAGTATCTAGTACGATCATGCCAACCATCACCAATCTGGCCTCAATCACGACCATTGTATCAACTATTGAGGACACCCTGACTACAACCACCACCACTCTTCTGATATCCACCGAGGTCGACGTGAGCACAGTGACTGCTACTGCAACTGTCTTCGGGAAACGTGATTATACTCGCAACTCTCGTCCAAGACTCGGATCGATGACTGATCTCGAAAGACGTGCTACTATCGCTGCAGCGAGCACTTGTCCAGCGACGAGATTACCGACAGTAGTACCTTTCTATGCGTCTGCCTGTTCTGGTGCGTCTCGATACTCTTCGGCATGCTCCTGTAATGGGGTTTCGGGAAGTACGACAACCACGCAGTCGACTGTTACCTCAACCTCGACAGTTACCAAAACCATCTCTGCAACAGCAACTACCACTATCACGGGTACGACAACCTTACCAGTGACCGTCACTTCAACAGCTGTCATCAGTAGCACCCTCGAGACAACTGATACGACCACGACTCTCGTCGTACCAGTAACCAGTGCTAGTACTATCACGACATCCACAACTGTCACTACTGTGGCTACGGTCGGCTGTAGTAGCTTCATCGCACAGGCTACGTCGGGAGCGTACGTTGGACAGTATCTGCAATTCTCGGGAGAAAGAACCGCTCTCAACTTCGGGCCTGACCTTGCGTCCGCGTCTACCTTCGTTCGTCTGTCCAATGGACAGATAGCACCAGCAAGTGACTTGGCGGCTCTCTTCAACACCTTTCCTGATAGCGCCGATCTTGTGTACGCTAGCTCGGACTACGTGGCAGGAGGTTACCCACTTTTGACGTGTACCTTTGGGGGAGGGCTGAAGGCTTCCGGCAGCTTCTCATGTGCATCAAGCAACGGGAACAGCATCTTCCTTACCTGCCCAGCTGAAGCATCTGGAGCGGGTGCACCAGCAAGTTCTCTTATCATATCGAACGGCGCGATGCCAGGCTCGGATTGCCAATCTCTGGGTCTTCTCGCTATTCCAGCTTGTAACTGATTTGATTGATTACTCTCATCAGGACCTCGCTAGTCTTGGATCTGTCTATAGGGTTTTCGGATCAGGGTGGATAAGGGCCCGGAGGATAGGAAGCTCCGATGGCTGTTCAGATTCCAACGGAGGTGTTTCGTAATCGGTTTTCGACGGGTTTTGAAAGCGGCTTAGGATGATAGTGGAGTTAGTGCATTTTAAGACAGCGCGGACATGTTTGCGTATCGACGTAGTAGTGGCTGGTTGCGCATCAGGGGTTTCGCTCTGTGATAAAATAGCAAAGGTCGACAAGTCCATATCAAGGCATGCGTTTAACAAAGTCGGTATCATGCTACAGTATTTGCGAGATGTGCCAAGTTAGTATGACCGGCACAAGCACTACTCGTGCCGACAGGATTGCACGTGCGGGCTTGTTGGCCTTGTCGCGTGTTAATTCGCTAAGCGTTTGCTGCCTTCACAAGAAGGCCGAAGACGGAAGGATGATATTGATGGGAAGAATTGGAAAGAGTTGTGGCGAGATAAGTGAAGATTGAGCAGTATCACAAACGAGAGATTGGAGTCTGTTCAACGCTGCTCGTCAGATGCGGTTGAAGTTCACTCAGACTGTGTTGTATTGATTAGATCGTTCTCGAACGAAGCGGAGATACTTTGCTTTCCCTGCATCGTTGCAAGCATTTCCATGCCTGTTGTGGACAATTTTTGCTTGCCACTGAGGCGGATAGCAGTGCTCAACCAATTCGGGCGCGCCGGGCAGCCAGGAGATAAGGCGCCTGTTGTAGTGTTGCAGATAAGATGTGTAGATAAGGACGAACATGAGATGTAGGAGAGCAGCTTATCTTTTCTGCCACACACTTGATGTGACAATGGACGGTCATGTTTAGATGTAAGACGATGGCTAGATATGTCGTTGTCGAGATACTTCGGCTGGCATATCTTTGTGTTGTCGAAACAGCATATCTCTTCGAGGTGTTTGAGTGAGAACATCAGACTGCCGCACATGAGCGTGTATTGCAAGACGCAGGCTCTTGCGATTGAGCAAACAGCGCGGTGAACCGATGGTAACCGGTGTCATTGCAAGAGAAAGCCGGTCGAGTCACGAGACGTACAAGTCGGAAGAACAAGACACCGAGGGAAGCTTTTCTGCAAGAGAAGCTCTAGATGTCTTGGAGGCCTGAGTGGGAGAGGTACATGACGAGATGTACACGGCCAACATGTGTCAGGCACGAGTCTTATCGCAGGAGAAGCGGAGATCGACACGATGGCCTCGACCAAGAAAGGCTGCGAGCGCCACCGAGCGCCACGTGCTGGACCTGATGTCCTAATGCGGGGTCGGGCGACAGGCCGAAGGCTCTCCAAACTTTCTGTTATCGCAATTCAGCTTCACCACCGCATCAACTTGCATCAATTCACAACTGGTGGCGCTCCTAGACCCGGCGTCCTTTGAAAAGACGTTGGCTGCGCAATCGGCTCTGCCATGGCATTGGCATATAATGCAACGCTTCGGCGCACTTGCTGTCTTGTCTCTCAAGTCGCTCCCCCATCCCCATCCACCAGCCTCAACCATGGCATCGCTCAAACATGGCGAGAAGGTCGGCGAGTATGTCTCGTCAGAACCAATCGCTCGCACCGACAGCCGCGAAGAAGGCGAGATTATTGAGAACACTGATCACCTCCACCGCCGTCTTGGAAACCGCCAAATCCAGCTCATGGCCATTGGCGGCACCATCGGTACTGCCCTCTTCGTCAGCATCGGCGGCGGCCTCTACAAAGGCGGGCCGGGCAGCCTGTTCCTCGCCTATACCATCTACGCCTGCGCATTGGGTCTTGTCAATAATTGCATAGCAGAGCTCACGACGGCATATCCTGTCTCTGGTGGCTTCATTCGTCTCGCGGGCCACTTTGTTGACGATGCCTTTGGCGTCATGTCCGGCTACAACTTCTTCATCTACGAAGCTCTCCTGATCCCCTTCGAAATCACTGCTCTGTCCACAGTGCTCGACTTCTGGTCCTCGGACATACCCCCGTGGGCGATTCCCCTGGCTTGTATAATCTTGTATGGGTAAGGCTCCCAGTGCGACCACTTCCACGTTCCAGCGCGACAAAGCTCCCAAGCGATATCACCTTTTCCCTCGACCCAAGCGACGCAGTTCATGTTTCCGAGCAACCCATATCATATCTCACTTCCCGCGCGACTGGCATTGCCGCCCGATGCACCTCTCTTCCCCTGTACTGCCGTCGCGCTACCCTTCGAGCAAGACGGCCTCGCTAAAAGTCACGTCCAACGCTGTGGCGTACATTTCGTACCCTTGCTACTGTTGCAGAACTCTTCTTGCTGTTCTTATGCTGACTTTACAAACAGCCTCCTCAACGTCCTTGCCATCAAGGTCTTTGGAGAAGCCGAATTCTGGCTGTCCGGCGGCAAAGTTCTCTTGATCTTCATCGTCTTCTCCTTCACCTTTATCACCATGGTCGGCGGTAATCCCCAGCACGACGCATATGGTTTCCGCAACTTCAAGCACCACGCCTTCAAGGAGTATAGAAGCACCGGAACCCTCGGCCAGTTTGAGGGCTTCTGCGCTGCTCTATGGTCGGCCTCGTTCTGTGTTACCGGTCCCGAGTACCTCTCCATGGTCGCTGGTGAAGCCAGACGTCCTCGCATCTACATCAAGAACGCCTTCAAGACTGTCTACTGGAGATTTGCCCTCTTCTTCATGGGTGGCGCATTGGCTGTCGGCATCATCCTCAGCTCTACTGACCCAACCTTGACCGCCATCATCTCCGGCGAGAAAAGCGGTTCTGGCACTGCTGCAGCTTCTCCTTACGTCATCGCCATGGCAAACATGGGCGTTACTGGTCTGCCTCATCTAGTCAGCGCTCTTTTGGTCACATCCATTTTCAGTGCCGGCAACACCTATACTTTCTGCGCCACTCGTAGTTTGTACGGTCTTGCTATCGAAGGCAGAGCACCAAAAGCTCTCCGTTACTGCACCAAGAGTGGTGTTCCCCTTGTCTGCTTCGCCATCGTCATGGTCTTCCCTTGTCTCGCTTTCCTGCAGGTCAGCAACGGATCAAACGTCGTCCTAGGCTGGCTCATTAACCTGGTCACGGCTGGGGGTGTCATCAACTACTGGGTCATGTGCGTCACCTACATCTTCTTCTACCGTGCCTGCAAAGCACAAGGTTTGGACAGGAACACCCTGCCATACAAGGGTTGGTTTCAGCCGTACTCTGTAAGTTTCTCAAGAACGTTTCAAGCAACCGACAAGAAAGCTAACCCACTGGCAAGGCATACCTCGGTGCAGCTTGGATGACCATGATTGTCTTCTGCTACGGCTACACAAGCTTTGCGCCATGGTCCGTCAGCAACTTCTTCATCTACTACACCCTCCTGCTTGTCGGTAAGTCACACATCTCCAATCGTGTCATTCACAAACGCATACTAATACGTCACAGCGCCCGTTACCTTCTTTGGCTGGAAATTGATCAAGCGCACGCGTCTTCTCAGCCCGCTTGAAGTTGATCTTGTTTGGGAACGTCCCGTCATTGACAACTATGAGATGACCTTCATCGACCCTCCACAAAGCTTCTGGTCAGAAATGATTGGACCTTTGATGTTCTGGAGGCATTCAAAGGGCAGCGACAGGCAGATGAGTGTGAGTGCATGATCGAAGCAAAGGGAACTCATCTAAAGGTATAGATGTATACATATGATGATGTAGATATGATTGGATAGACCTGAATGGGCACCAAAGCATGTTATTGATTATGCGAGTCGCGATCGAAGCAATTTGTGTTCGTGTTTCCTGACAAAACACTCTTTCTGGTGTTTGAAGACTAGTTTTGTGATTATATGTATAGCTATAAGCATCACGCCCTTGAAAGTCTTTCCTATCCATACTACTCAGCTTCATCACTCATCCGCCTTCTCACCATTGTATCGTGGACTCTCCTCATCAGATTCCATGTGAGCACCAGCGCCAGCAAGACCCATACGAGAAATATCCCAACCATTTTCAATCAGATAGCCCTTGAAAGCAGCGTCCTCGTGATCAATTGTATCTTGACCAATCTCAGGCAAGAAGAAGAATGCAAGGAAAGCGCTCAAGATGCAAAGAGACGAGGCGACCCAGAAAGGGTACTGGTTACCCTTGACTACGTTGCTCCCAGCATCAGCTACCAGGATAGGGTAGAGGTAGTTGCCAATGAAGGCTCCGATCTTGCCAAATGCTGCAGCGACTGCGTAGTAACGGCCTCTGACAGCGGTGGCAGAGGTCTTGGATGCAATGAGCCCAATGTTGTCTCCAGGGCCCACTNNTGTCTGGTGTTAGCCACTGATCATCGGGTATATCATGGGTGATGGTAACTTACGTTCGCCGAGCGACAAGAAAATGCCGTAGACCACAACAAATCCACCAATGTTCTTTGGGATAGCAAGCTTCTCGTAGCAGCCAGCCATGATAAATCCGACCACAGCCTGTGCAGTCACTCCATACGCAAGAGCCTTCCTGGGACCAATCCAATCAGAGACGTATGATCCTGCAAAGGCACCAGGAATGTAGAAAAGGTTGATCACAGTGTTCCAGCCAAAAGTCTTCCACATTGGTGCGTCAGGGCCGAGTACATTGTCAACGCTTGGAGCCGAGTAAGTGCCAAAGGCATATGATGAATAGTCATAGATGAACCAGATGGTCGAGACTACGAGCAGGCGGAACCAATACTTCTTGAAGATGAGCTTCCAGGGCGTCTTGCACTTGGCCATGGTGTTCCGCTTGTAGGCTTCGGGCTCTTCAAGCTTCCAGCGCATGTAGAACAGCGAGAGTGGCGGTATGACACCGATACCGAGCATGATACGCCAAGCGGCGCGGAGATGATCCTCACCAGTAGCAAGAACCNNTGTACCATCACATCAGCAAGCGTAAATCAAATACTGGTTCTGAGCACTTACAACAATCATGGGGACAAAAGCAGCGACGACAAACCCAGCGTCGATCGCCAAGTTGGTGAACCAGATGAACCAACGATTGCGCGTACCGGCTTCAAGCTCACCAGTGCTTTCTGAACAACCAACAGATCCAGCAGGGTACTCACCGCCGATCCCGATACCGAGGAGGAATCGGTAAGCAGCAAGAGCAGAAAGCATGCCACCAATACTGCCATGCGCACCATAGGAACCAGCAGCAAGAGCAGCGAAGATGAACNNTGGCGAAAATTAGTAAGTGGCCCAAGCCAGAGAATCCAACGGGCATACCAGGATGACAGTAGATGCAAAGATGGACCACTTGCGGGAAAAGCGATCTGAGGTGTAGCCAAAGATAATGATACCGACGACTTCACCAACGAATACGAGCGATGTAATATTACTCTGAGCATTGCTGTGGGTGTACTCGTGTTTGTACAGTCTCTTGAGAATGGTGTTCACTGAGCCGATGACNCTGATACTGGTTAAATGAATACTTGTGGCGGGGAACAGACGACTGACTCCATTGAGGTAACCATCAGAAAAGAGTCCAGAACCGCAAGCGATGACAGGAGCGCGTCGCTGCCACCATGTCTTGGTAGAAGCCTCGACGGGTGTTTCCTGGACATGCGCAATCTCGTCGGACTTTTCCATGGAAGGCTGCAAAGCACCTGGACGGAAGATATCCTTGATCGCCATGACGAAGTGTGATGGAGAAGCAGAAGCCAAGGGATTGATGCAAGAAATTCAAGTGAGATCGCTGTGTGGTGGGGATCACCACGTAGGATATATATCTGTCGTTAATACCACGCCACGCGACCCGTGTCTGTCGACGCGTAAGAGCGTACTATTGTCTCTGCATGATAGTGTAAGACTCATCTGGCCAGGGGTTCAGGCAAAGTACACGGGATCCGAACGAGATCTGCGATTCGTTATCGTCCAACAAGGTTCATGAGTGCAGCGAATCAAGCTTTCTTCAAGCCTTTCTTCCAGTTCGCAACAAAGCTTGTATTCACAGAATCCCAACTTGGCGTTGCACGTGGGTGCAGATCCGCCGAGTGTACCGAGGAGTTCGTCTACGAAGTCGCGATATTCCCGCGGGTTGGATGGTACGTAGCTTCGCAGGAGTATCGAGAGGCAGACCTTATCAGACATGGACGCGGGTCGAGTTTAGACTCGAGAGTAGCAACACCTAACCCGTTGAGCTCTTTACGATACCATCTTAGAGACGGAACGGGATTTCCAACTAAATCGATTACCCATTCTGCCTGGTGCTAGCTTCAAATCATGACTGCTATGTATGGATATCACTGTATATACAAATCTGATCGAGGCAAAGGTTGGCATTCAAGCAGGAGAGACCTGGCTCCAGAGAGGACAGCGACGATCACGCACGTGTCCAACTGCCCATGGCAACAACTGATCATCAAAGACATCCGTAATCTGCTGATCTGGTTGGAGTTGGAGTCGACATCGGTACGGGCGTCTACTACAACGCGGTGTGCGTATTCAAGGTAATCTAAATAGCTTGAAACCCTGGTGCTTCATCTGAAGATGTTAGGAAGGAAAAGAAGTTCTGTCGAACTCATGGCCAGGGTTCTCCAGGGTTCAACTCGGATGCAACGGCCCGCAATCACAACGTCTTGCTGCAAAGACTCACCCATCTCGCGATTGCCGAGATCGGACGCCTCAAAAGGTACATCTTGCACGTGCTGCTTGTTGTACGAAGACCTGTGTGCCGAATTTCCGGTGTCGAGATAGGGAAGCCAAACAGCAACGCGACCATCACCCACGTGTCCTACTCTCCGACTTGGGGGATCCTCATACTTCTGCATAGTGGATGTCCTGTTTCTCAACGCCCGTGGCAAGGGGATTTACAGCGCCTTTGATCTTGCCTGGGGCGGGTGTGTGGTCCCGTGAGCTTCACGTGCGATGCGACCATGATCTTAGTGGCCATGAATACCGCAGTACGCGTGCTCTGTGGCGAGCAAGAATCAGGTATATGGTACATAAGGTCTAGTATATATGGAAGCATTCATCTGCAGCGGTCAAGGCTTCCGAACGCTCAAGCATTTCAAGCATTCCAAGCATTGACGCCTCAAAGCTTGACTCACCATGACAGAAGCGGCAGTATCTGGAGTCGCCCACCAAGACGGCAACCCCAAACAACAACCTCCTCATGCATCAACAGAGTTGAGCTCAGAGTCTGGAAGCACGGTCGATACCAGAACTCGTCGACAGAAACTTAGCGACATCTTCACTATCTTTGCAAGTGGTGCCGCTCTTATCAGCGATGGATACCAGAACAATCTCATGACTATGACCAACGTCGCATTGCGAAAGGAATACCCGAAACAATACACACCCTACTTTAGCACTGCCGTCTCCAATGCACTGCTTGTCGGCGAGGTCATTGGGCAGGTTGTCGTTGGTCTCACCTGCGATTACCTCGGTCGCAAGTTTGCGATCATTCTTACCACAGTCATGATTGTTGTTGGTGGCATCCTGGCGACTGCTGCGTCCGGTACCACCATTCATGGTATGTTTTGGATGTTGATAGTAGCAAGAGGTATCGTCGGCTTCGGAACTGGAGGAGAATATCCTGCAAGCTCAACTTCCGCGAGTGAAGCCGCCAATGAACAAAACCTCAAGCAACGAGGTCCGTTGTTCATCCTGGTCACCAATCTGCCGCTTTCGTTTGGTGGCCCACTTGCCGTTTCGATCTTCCTCATCGTCTTGTCCGCCGCTGGTCAAACCCATCTCGGAACTGTTTGGCGCGTGTGCATGGGTATTGGGTGCCTCTTGCCATTGTCTGTCTTCTACTTCCGTATGAAGATGCTCAACTCGAAGCTGTATCGCCGTGGCGCCATCAAGAAGCGTGTTCCATACACTCTCGTGTTGCGCTACTACTGGAAACGACTCTTGGGCACATGCGGTGCATGGTTCCTGTACGACTTTATCACATTTCCCAATGGTGTCTTCTCTGCGACAATCCTAAGCGGTGTAGTCAAGAAGGGAAGCAACAATATTCGCTCGACTGCTGAATGGCAACTCTTGCTTGGTGCCATCGCGCTGCCCGGTGTCATAGTTGGTGCTTATCTCTGCAACCGCATCGGACGTAAGAACACGATGATGCTCGGATTTAGCGGCTACCTCGTCTTTGGATTGATCATTGGGTGCGCGTACGAGCAAATCACCAAAATCTTGCCTCTCTTTGTCGTCTTCTACGGCCTGATGCAAAGCTGTGGAAACATGGGACCTGGTGATATGCTCGGTCTGCTCTCGAGCGAGAGTTATGCTACAGCCGTGCGTGGCACCTGTTATGGTATCTCGGCTGCGCTGGGAAAGACTGGTGCTGCAATCGGTACCCAAGCTTTCACTCCCATCCAGGTACAGCTTGGAAAGAGGTGGACATTCATCATTGCTGCCATCTGTGGAGTTGCTGGTATCCTGGTGACCTACTTCTTCATACCCGATCTCAGAGGCGAGGATCTGGCTCGGGAGGACGAGAAGTTTAGAGCATATCTGGTGTCCAAGGGTTGGCATGGTGAGATGGGTGAAGACGATTTGAAGGGCCTGGCTGATGATGGCGTATCGCAAGAGGTGATCGAGGATGTCAAGAGAGCCTGATCATAGGGAAGATGAATAGGTTGAGCGTCTTCTCGAGGGTGGCAAAGTGTTCCTGCTGACACCTGGTGAGGGCATCGCTTGTAGAAGCCAGCCAGATGCTCGAAGCCTCGTTTGTGGAGTACCCGGATTTGATGCTCGAGGTCGTATATGCTTAGGATCTCGCATCTCGACCAAGGCCGTGATAATCGTCACGTCTGCAAACGACACATGCGTCTTGTTTTCTCCTGTCACGTGCCGACCTTGTGGGACTGGGGATAAACCGAGACCAAGCCTACGTACGGGACGGACTTGGTTCTTCTTCTTGGCGACTCGATGCTCCACTTGTCTCTACAGATCTTCTTTGGTAGGCCTAAACTTGAAGATGCTAAGGAGTCGATCAATGAGTCAACAAGGAAGCGATCCACATGATCCCAAGACTTTACGGCAAAGACGCACCGGAGATTCGCGCGCGTGTCCTAAAATCAGACATGTATAAGAAAGTCCTGTGCCATGTCTTCCTAGTCAACACAGGCATCCGAGCGTAAACACAGAACGTCAACATACACCCCATCACATCACCCTCTACATCTCAAAAAATGGAAAAGCAAACAATCAACCAATCCACACCCAGCATGGACAAACCCACTTCCAATCGAATCATCAGAGCCTCCGTCAAACTCCTCCCTTGGATCCTGCTCCTGCACAATCTCCTGAATATCACCTTTCCAACCCCATGAAACGGCAAAACCGACAATACTCTGGCTTGGACCAACTTTACCGGCATCGTCTATTTGATCGGGATCCAAGCCGCGATCGACGGCGGCCTGATTGCTGCATAGATTGGATTTGGAAAGTTGCAATCTTTGTCGTAGTTTTCCGTCAACCATCTCTGTGTAAATCCGGGTGTGCGCTGCAACGAACTGGTGGTAAGCGTGTTGGAGAACAGTGTTACGTGACGCTATCCCCTTGGGGGTATGGTCCTGATTCACTCAAGAAGACAATACCCGGCGCGCGTGGAGGGGGGGGGGATAGAGCGGAAAGAATTTGATCACCAATCTCAAATTGTTGTATCCTCGAACGCACGTAGGAGAATTGTAATTTTGTCCGAGTCCAGAGTGGATATTCATATGATTGTCTTCAACGACACGCTGTGCTCGACTTCTGGTCGTCAGCGCGATAATGGCAGCAAGCTAAACGACCAAGACTAGTCCAGAGATGAAAAACACACTCAAGATAAATCCGCCACAACGAATCGTGAAACGATAAAGAGATGTTGTCATTTCTCTATCGAATGCCTCGCAAGTTGAGGTGGAAACAAGGTGCTGCAAACTTCCGAAATCCGCGTTGCATTTTCCCCATGTTCAATCGCGAATGGTACCACCCTGGCGCAACAAGTTTAGCCGACATCAAACACCTCCATATGACATTGATCGAGCAGTGCAGAGTAGATGGGCATTTGCCATGTACCACAAGGCTTGCAATGGATATGGCGGTGGGCCAAGTAGAGAGTGTTGTCGTCGTCATTGAGTTCCAAAATAGTCCGCGCTATCTTCCATTTTTGGACAGTGTCTTTACAGTCATTGGATTGAGCAATTGAGCTTGCACGTGGGTATACACTCCAAAAAATCAAAGATCAAACCTCATCTTACAAGAAAGCACGGCCGAGATAGAAAGAAGCAAAGAAGAGTATAGTGGTAGTAGTAGTAAGACGACAGACAATATACGTTAACTAAAGATTGCTCTGGTGAAGAGAAAGAAAAAAGAAGAAAAATTCCAAGACACCCGCCGCGTTTCTTACCCAGAACAACTCGCTCTTGTTTGCAAAAATCGCCCTGCTCCATGTGTTCCTCTTCTCTCTTGCAGTTCCATCTTCCTATCTCTTTCCAAGCACGCCAGACTCCTCCAAATGGCCGTTGTCTGTTTTGTCGTTTCGCATGTACGCTGGGATCGTGTTGTTGTTGTTTTGTGACTTGGGCCGTTTTCCATCTTTGAAAGGGTATTTTGAACAATAAAAAGGATTTAAACAAGAAAGCCTGAGGCTGAAGGAAAATCAAGCCGCATCATCTGAATCTGGCCGAGCAGCGCCCCATGACCTCGCCTTGACACACGAGTTCGGCGTTGAATTCTGTGCCGTCGAGTGTGAGGTAAATGTCAAAGTAGACGCGGTAGAAGGTGCCTTGAGGTGTGTCCATGCGTTCGAAATCCTTCTCGAGGTTCTTGCGGCTCAGGTCGGAGGTGAGAGTGACTACTTCCTTGATNGCCTGTCGGGGATAGTTAGCTTGTTGTCTTCCTGCAATATACTATAACAGCAACTTACGAGGATCCTTGGTATATTCCGGGCATACGTCCTCGTCGCAGGCGTACAAGACATCCTCGTACATGAGGGTAGCGCCAGGAGCGACTTGACGGAAGAATGAAACCTTGACCGGCTCGCCGGTCTTGACGCGCTGGCCCTTCTGCACGAAGATTTGACGAGTGTACTTGCATCGATCTTTGCCGTCCAAACTGGGCACACGGTACTGCTCGGGATGGTGGCCTTCTTTGAAGGGTTGGAGTGTTGCCATGAGGTAATGTCTACGAGCGACACGAGATGTGACGACACGCTCGGTGATACCAGCAGTGACGGCGCCCTTGACGATGGCGGCGACCGAGTCCATAGGTCGGACAACCTTGGACTGGAATTGGGGAGGGACGTGGAGCTTGATCTGCTGGAACAGGTATTCTGACGAACCGAAGCCACCGACGACAAGGACGTTCTGCNNGACGAGTTAGCTTGAGTTGAGATCAAAATGTTGAGCATTGCTGACCTGTAGATGGCGGTTCTGAGCCTGGATGGCAATGATCTGGTTGCGGACAAGCTCGAGAATGCGGTTCACGACAGGCTCGAAGCACTGCAAGATCTCCTCGTTGGTAAAAGTCATGTATCCTTCTTCGATACCGGCCTCGGGGAACTCGGCCTCGATACCAACGTCAACAGCCCACTTCTGACCATTGTTGCGGAAATCGGCCTTGATCCTGTTCTCAAAGTCCATGATGCACTTCGCGTAGACACGACCGGCCGTCTTGGAACCGTCGGGAAGCTTCATCTTACGAATCTTTGCCCTCAGAATGTTGGAGAAGTTGCGGTTCAATGCTGTTGAGCCACAAGAGTCACCAGATCCAGCAGTGCACTCGGCGACGGTAAAGGGATGCTCTTCTTCGACTTCGTATNNCTAGAGAGCGAACACGATCAGCATCCAGTCGTAGGGTTCTTATATGAGCAAAACTTACGCAATCAAATCTACGGTACCACCACCGCAATCCACAATCAAAACAGCATCTTGAATCTTCAGGTTGAGCAGACCAGTCTTGGAACAGAACATGGCGGCGGCTTCGGGCTCGGTGACCAGAGTCAGACGGTTGTCATTCTCGTCGCGAAGGAAACCAGCTTGGATGGCGGCAGCACGGGTGGCTGCTTTACCGGCGTCGTTCCAGATGGCCGGCACGGTCAAGAAGTAGCGAATGTTGCGCTCCTCACGGGTGAAGACTTCACCAAGCGTCTTCTGGAGGTAGTTGCGCATGGCCTGGCGCAGCTTGAAGAGGTAGTCGGCGGCGACGTCAATCTCGCTCTTGCCTGGGGGAAGTGGAGGCAAGTTGATGGGATCAATGTAGGTGTTGCCGCTCATCATCAGCTGGAGCTTGAACCACTCGACCTTTTGCACACCGGGCTTGGGGTAGCCAGTGGGCGCGAGTGCGTCGGCAATGTCGGCGCCCCATCCTACCACTTGCTGGTGCTGGTCGTAGTAGAGCACTGTCGGAATCTACACGCGAAGAGGTTCAGCAATGCGTCCTTGTATTGTCAATGCTGTTCAGTCACGCACCTTTTGCTTTGTCTGAGTACCAGCACCGGGCCATTCAACGATAATGTCTTCTTTCGCTTCCGTGTTTGTCGCAAAGGCAAAGGCGACACCCGAGAATGTCGTACCCNNTGGAGCACAGTGTTAGAGCAGAGTCGTGTTCGAAGGGCGCGGGGCACTTACAAAATCAATGCCGACAATGAGTTGGGCTTTGCTCCGCTGGTTATTGGCTTCAGATGCATATCCTCTGTTATAGGAATATTGACCGCCTACCATGGACTGCTGAGGCACATAACCTCCATACTGTTGCTGCGGCGGCGGTGCCTGCATGGGGTAGCCAGGAGGCCCCGAGACGGGTTGCTGGCCGTACATGTGTTGCGGCGCGTGGGGAGGGAGGTGGCCGTACGGGTTCTGGGTGTTGATTGGCGGCGGAGGCATGGGGCTCGTCGGGCGGCCGGCCATTTGCTGTTGCTGTTGCAATTGTTGCTGCTGTTGACCGGCCTGGTTGACATACTGGTACGACGGCGGGCGGCCCAGGGGCTGCGGGCCCGGCTGAGGCGAGCCGTGCTGCTGCGAAGGGTGCTGGTGCGGGTTCATGGCGAGCGAGGTGGTCGAGGCGGTGGCCTGCTGCTGCTGGACGAGCGTGTTGGGGTTGGAGGCGGTCGAGTTGCGCTCGCTGGCGGGCTGCGGCGGCGATTGGGTCGAGTTCGGCCCGGGCGACGAGGGTCCCAGCGACGAGGAGTGGTTGGCGGTGTTGTTGTTGTTGGCGGCGCTGTTGTTGTGTGTCGAGAGCGAGTTGATGCTCGGGCTCTGGGTCAGGCTGTTTCCAGACGCTTTCCGTTTCGAGCCCACGAGGTTGCGGAAGCGCGAAGGCATCTGTCCTTGCACGCCGCTCACTTCATAAGCCCCGCGAGTAGAGGCAGACGGACACGCGCAAAACGCAAGCAGAGGGCAGGGGCGAGGCGACGCGGTGGCAGGAGTTCGAATTGGCAAGGGCAGCAGGAAGGGGGGGAAGGAACGTGTGGTTGGTTCACGATGCGACCAGAGTAGAGCAGACCAGAGCAGGTGCAGCAGGCGCTTCGTAACTTTGGGGGACAAGTCGGTCGGGCCAAGGCACTTGACAACAGGTCCAGCAACGTCCGCCAATCTAACCGACCGAGTCTCAATAAGCCCTGCAGCTCTGCCTGTCTACTCTAGTACTTTGCAACAACTACAAGCGCTGACTTGCTGCCTTACGACCTGCTTGCTGGAACATGCAGCCGCGAGCCTGCTACGAAGGGGGTCCAAAACAGGTCAGTCACCTTTTTCCTTCCCCAGATCTCGAGACTGTTGCTATTCTGTGCGACAACCAAGAGAGAAAGGCCGAACATGGACATTGCGATGGGCCTACTCTATCGAACTCTTTCTCTGCCTACCTGTTCCCCTTTGCCTTGACGACTCATGTCCACAGATGTCAGGTCATTCGTGTGTGTTTTGCTCAATTTTTCGAATTTGGTCAGTTGAACGGGGGAGCCGCGCCCCTCCCACAAGTGCGGGTCACCGCTTCTGGCGATGCAACGCGAACCACACCTAAACTCTGTTTTTTTTTCTGTTGCATTTCTTCCATATGCTGCAGTGGAAACAGAGAAAATGCGATTGCTTATTTCCAACGATGCAAATTCATCATATGAGAGAGTCTGCATATCATTTTGCCCCTATCTCTCCCTGTTCGTACCATCTCAACTGTCTCGACTGCGCGTGACCTGATGTTCATTTCAATAGTGTCCCATTCGAGTCAAAGGGCTGACTATAGCATCGCTGGCGCATGGCCAGAGCAAATGAGGCGTGACAAGAAGCTCCCAAGGCTGAATTGAAAAAGCCAAACCACGCTGTTTGTCCTTTTTCTTCTTGCTGCCATCGCAGAGAGATCAGCAACAAGGTTGTCCGTTTCGTCTTGTTTTCCATTCGGCTTCCCACAGATCTCAGGAAAGTGTATCTGAAACCGGCTCTTGCTTTGCCGCCTATAGCGACCCACAGATCCTGACATCTATCTCCTATCTCCATGACATCCTTGCAAACAAATCGAGCCTGCATCTGTGTGGTGTTTGGAGCGAGCGAGCTGTCAACTGTGGACCCCCGATGGTGACCTGGTGCACCTTTGACTCCTTCTGGAAGCGCTCGCTCCTCCGCACTCCCGACAAATGTCCGTAGATCCAAACTCTGTGTCTTGCAAAGCTACTCATTTCAGCTGGAGCTGAGTAAAGTGTCACATGCGATGAGATTCAGCTCATCATGCCGAAATATGAATGTCGTCTTGCGAGGAGGTCCCGGAGGTCCTCAAAAATGTATTCATTTTGTTAGAGAGGAAAAACAGAAACCACAAAAGCTATCTCGCCCACTTCCTCTACTTGACCTTATCCCCATTGCCACCCCTTCTGCTTTGGAAAATCACTTGCCGCCCATAAACCCCATCGAGACCCTTGAACCCTGAGAACGCCGTGCAGGAAATGCGAATAGAAAGCGTGTCGCTGGAAGCTTGGAGGAAAGCGATAATTATCATGTCGTTTTGGTGCACCGACTTTGGCAGATTTTGCTTGAGACATGCCATTCGAACCTGTTTTTGTGTTTGTTAAGTACTTGCGGTTCGCGCATTACACGCTGCTTTGCACAGTTTGATTCCGTGGATGGCATCGCAACTGATGCGGTCGAGGAAGAGCAGAGGCAGCAAATTGCAACACAAACCTTGACCCTGAGGGCTCTTTTTTGTCCTTTTTCTTTTTTTTCTCCTATCGTTGGAAGCGCAAACGAGCCATATGTAAGGCGAGGATCTGGGATCAACACCTTGTCAAGCGAAGCAGTTAGACTGTTCACCGAGCTCATCGACAATAGCGTATGCCATGTAGACATCACCGTGTCGAGAGCGACTTTGAATTAGAACAATGCTGTACCGTAGAAGGTGTTCAAGGCTTGCCACCATTGGGTGCATCCTGACTGTTGGTAGATCTGCGCTTGGATGCATTTTGGGCATTGCCGTTTTCCTGTCAGTTAAATCTGCGTCAGTAGCCAAACACAAAGAGAGATGAATTGACGAAGGAAAATGGAAAAGCTGCTCATGATGACCCGACCGGCATGTTCTTCTGTCGACATCGTGGTTGTATACGTACGTCCAAGTTGGCTTCGCCGGCGTTTCGCTTTTTGGTGCCGTTCGCGGCTTTGGCGGCCTTGGTCTTCTTTGCCTTGACAGGACGCTGCTCGCCTTCCTTGAACACATCGTCGGGCAGATCGTAGCTTNNGTGATGAATCAGCAATGGGAATGGAGGTATGCAATGATAAAGGACTGACCTCTTTACAACAATGACGCGGATCGAGTTGACATCTTCGTTGTACTGGGTCGCCTGAGTACATTGGTGCCTAAAGTCCTGTACTGGATGAGAAATGTCGAGAGATGTTGCTCCTNNATCTTTACGTCAGCTTTATCGCAATGATAGAGCGAAGCAAAGCAATATACCTGGAACCAGTTCAATTCCGACATAGTAGGTCGTGGTCCAGATATTGGTCATGCCATTTTCCTGCTCATCAGGCTTTTCAACCTTGGTGGCAGGCTCGTCGAGGTTGTCCAAAGAGGTTTGCTCAGCAGACAGCTGCTTGACATTCTGTGCTTCATCAACGGTCTCGGTCTTGGAAACCTGATACTTGATACTGCCTTGCATGACCTGGTCCTTCTCTTCATCATTCTTGACACGGTGGACGCGTTCGTATCCCTTGGTGAAGGGACGAGCGTAGGCGACATTGGGCTGAGACTGCTCGATACTACCGATGAGTCTTCTGACCTTTGACTGGACCAAGCCTTTCCAGTCACCCTGGGCTTCCTCGTTCAGACTGCCCGAGACGACACTGAGATAGTACTTGAAGTCCTTTGTGAAGAAGGTGTGGCCTTCGAAGAGGTGCTTCCATTGCACATTTGACTTGTCATCGATGATGTTGCAGCAGATTTCGTGGCCGCGTTCGAGTTCGCGGGTGATGACAGCCAGAGTGGACTTTGTGATGTTGTGAGTGGCGCACATGGAAGGGTAGGCCGGAGTGATGAGAGGCATGAGATGGCGCTGATCGCCAGGGTAGATCTTGGGGTTCCAGATCTTGGCGGTGTGGTCGAGAGGGCCGGACTCGATAGCCTTGAGCATGACGGGCATGGGCCACTGCCAATTTCTCATGAGCTGGAAGAAGCGAGCAACAATCAACGAGCCGGAAGCGTGAGGGTAGAGCTGGGCGATGCGAGCGACCATGATGGCCCAAGCGATGCCTCCGGGGAAGCCGATGATGTTGCCGTAGATGGCGCGACGGCTGGCCCAGAGCTTGATGCAGCGCAGGGCATGGCGGAACGTCTTTTCCTGGGGCACCAGGCGCAAGACGTCGTCGGTGACTCTGGTTCCGTTGACAGAGCGCAAGTCTGCTTCATCCAGGCCGCGCAGCAGACTGTTGTCTTCCAGGTCGAGGTTCGGTGGGATAGAGTTGAGCTGCAGACGAGCAAAGATCAGATCAATCTCAATTGCTTGGTAGACGAGTTTCATAATGGGGACGTGGGCTTCGGGCACGGCGGTGCACTTTTCGATGGAGCCGGGCGGGGACATGGACTCGAGGATGGCGCGGAAATGCTCGAAGAAGTCCTCGCGGGAGACATGCTTGGGCGCGACGACGAGCGTGTCGATATCGGAACCTGGTNNAGTGGGCGTGTCAGCAAGGATAGATAGAGAGGGGCCGACGGGCAGGATACCTGGACTGTAGACACCGAGACGGTAGCTGCCAAAGGTAAAGACCTTGCCGCCGGCATTCTGCAAGACGCTGTCGGAGAGACCCTTTGTCCGGCCGACATGCTTGACAAACTCGGTCGTGACCTTTTGGAAGGTGGCCAGGACAGCGACGCGCTTGTTGGTGTCTTCGGTGGCCTCGAAGCTCTTTTGTTCCTTGAGCTCGGCGAGAAGAGCTTCGCTCTGGGCGAGTTCCTTGTCGGTAGGGAAGGCGGTCGAGACGGGGGGAGTGACGCCCCATTGGCGAGGAGCGGCCATGTTGTTCTCAAGAGCGCGGAGCTCAGGCGCAGCGTGTTGGTGATGATAGAAGTCAGACTGCCCTCTCAAACATGCTGTGGCAGAAGGATGCGTGAGAGAAGCTGGCCGTCCGTCTGCTTGCTTCTCAGGAATGCGCGAGTTTGGTCAAAAGAGTGGGATCCAGGCTGTCGGTTCTCGAAGTCGGTTTGCACAAAACAGCGACACGAGCCGGCACGCGATGGAAAGATGGTCGAATTGCTGTCTTTGTTCACTTGAAACGCTTCACTGTGCAGCACCAGACGCCTCGTCATGCGGCACTTGGCCGCGCTTCGTCCGGCGAGCCCTCGGCTCCTGCCGAAGACAGCTTGCACTCTCGTCCGCCAGCCAACACTCAGCACCCGATACTCAGTCATCCGCATCCTCGAAAGAAGCCTGTTTGTTGGCGCTACAAATTGAATTCCTTGACAAGCCTTGCACCGTCCTGGAAAGGAACATCAAACAAGAACCCATCATGTCCCAAGGAACTCGACACGCCCAACACATCGTCAAACATGTTGCAACCATCTCACAGCCACAATAATCATCTCCTCGCATTGCTTCAATCTAACTTGCAGGGTATCTCCAAACGCGCGCTCCGCCTCAAATCCAAACTGACCAAAACAGAGAGCTCACATAAGCTCGCCATCACATGTTCGTGAAGACGGGAGCCTTGACGAGAATCCCACGCTCTCGAACATGAGCTGCAATACCAACCGCCAGCCGCACACGGTCCTCTTTGCCAGCCAGACTGGTGCTGCTGCCTCCGTTCAATTTTCCCTGGGCCGGGTGACCCTTCTTATGCCCTGTCAGAGCACTGAGCATGTTGCGTCTGCGCGTGTTCAGTTCACTCGATGCTCGGTCGTTTGGCTCGGCCAATTCGCTGTGCACGCTGCCTCGCTCGGCCTTCTCGTCCGCGATCGAAGTCGTCAAGGCGGGAATCCCCGACTCAATCTTCATCATGTCAATGTTCAAGGCAGTTCCCGGAGGGAAATACTCGATCGTGACATCGCGACTCTCCTGAGGTAGATGGCCCAGCATTGCAACTGCGAGTTCACAGATCATGTTTGCTCCGCCCTCAAGATCGGACATGGGAGGGTTGTCGAGGTGCGCCTCCAAGGCGGTACGAAGCTGCGTCTTGAGCAAGTCGGTCATGTGGGCACGGTGGTTTTGAGCCTCGGGTAGTCGCAAGATGTCCTGCATAGCCTCGAGCGTGGTCAGTCGCCAGTTGACGACCTTGGACGTGAGGTACTCTTCATCTTCGTGGACAGAGGCAGGCGGTGCGAAGAGGCGGATGTTGTTCTGCATCTGTTTCAATTGCGTCGAAAGGGCTAGGTCGAGGTCTGGGTGGAAGTAGCGGTCAAAGACGTCTTCGACCAGCCACTTCGAAATAAAGGCGCGTCCAACTGCCGTCATCTCTTGCTTGCCGATGGTTATAGCATCCTTGTTGACGGCGGGAGTAAGCCAAGTGGGCACCGACTTCCAGCTCTTCCTAATGCTGAAGGACAACTGTGCGATCAGGCCATCCAGGCGGTTGAAGCGGGTCGCGTACTCGCCGTCGTCGAGAGAAGTGCGTGATTGGGCGATCCTCTGGTGAGCGAGACTGTTTTGCAGCTGCTTGACTTGGTCCTCTTTTTCGAAATAGTACTTTTTGACCTTTTGGTATTTTTCNGCCTGGGATGATGGTCAGTATGAGTATGGATGCAGCGCTCGAAGCCTGTTGGGCGGCTTACGGAGTTCCTTGTGGTCGTTGAGCAATTGTCGGATCTGGTCCTCGGTCAAGTCCTCGGCCTGGGGCTGGGGCGTCGAGCGACCGACGTCTTTGGATTGCTGCGTTTGTTGCTGCGACAGAATGGANGGGGTCTCTTTGGGTGGGAGCGGTGCTCTGAGACGAGGCCATCGAGGGNNCTGGCGCGGGAGCTGCTTGTTTGGCGAGGTCGAGATCGAGGTCGAGGTCGCAGGGTGGATTGGCCCGTCGTCGTGCAGTTTTGCAAAATTGCGCAGCGGTTGGTATTGCGGCTGCTGCAGAGTGTCGTGACGGAATTGCGAGTGCGAGTGGGCGTGCGGCGAGGCCGAGGACGACGAGGGCGTTGTGGCCGTCGAATTCGGGACGCTGGGGATGACCTGGGCAGGAATGCGGGTGGGCAGCGGCTGGTCAGAGATGGGGTGGTCCGGGAGGGATTGCTGGCGCTGTGGCGGATGCTGCTGTTGCTGTTGCGGCGGCGGGACTTGTTGGGCGTGTTGGTGGTGGAGTTCGGCGTGCTGCAAAGACGACGATTTCGAGTGTTGTTGGTGGGCGTGGGCGTGGGCGTGCTGCGACGACAGCGAAGCCTGACGCTGCTCGCGGAAACCCTGTTCGGTGTTTAGCCGCTGCAACCTTCGTTGCATGAAGCGGTCCAGCGGCGCCCCCGAGTCCGACGATACCGACTCTGCTCCGTTGATGCTCATGGCGCTCGATCCTTGATCAGATTGTTGCTGCTGCTGCTGCTGCGATTGCGAGTCTGGTACCAACTGCCCCGGACTCCAGATGGCTGACAGGCTGTTTCGACCAGCTACACCGTCACCCTCTGTATACTCGTAGATACTCGATGACCGGGACACCGAGTCAAAAGTCTCGCCTTGCTGTGAATAAGTAGCAGGACGTGGTGCAAAGTGCTCCGGAGTCGATGATCTCTGTTCGCAACTTGTCAGTCGTTAAACATGGTCTGCGGCCTGCTTTCATACTGGATGCTGTGCCTCTGTCGTGTCGTACAACGGCTGGGCAGGCTGGTAATATGAATGTCGCTTGGGCACTGGGTCGCTTGTCGCTTCNTGATGTCGTGTCAGCCATGAACTCCCAACCAATTCTGATGAGAACTCACCCTGATGAGATGTTTCCGACACGGTAGAGAAGCGTTGGCTGCGGACTCTGGACAAGAACCCAGGTCGACGAGATGGTGGGTTTGCAGGCGCCTTCTCAGGTTGTAGTTCTGTAGACATGGCTAGTCATTAGCTCAAATCATTTCTCGTCCAATCCTGCTGTTATACCCCCATGCTCGCCATCCTTTTATAGCATCGAACAGCACGACCCGCTGCCAGAATACGTACCGGGNNTGAAGCCTGCGGCGACAGGCTGTGACCTTCAAAGGACTGCTGGGACTTGCGGTTCGACCTTTTCTGCCAATGCAGTTTGGATAGCATTTGAATAGTCTGCTCCACCCTCGAAAGGGCTGCTGGTTGCTGGATGAGCCGATGGTCTGGAGCGCACGCGCCGAGATGAGCAGATCGAGGGGTTACTGGCACGCTGCAGCTCCACAGACCCAGGAAAAGCTAGCCTATCTGTGTGAACACCAACAAAGACAGAGCCTTCTCCTGTTACAGAAAACCCGCTGATTCGACGACAGGTCGATCTCCCTTTTACTCGAAAATGTAGATTACCGGCACGCTCTCGAATCTTGATCCTAAGGCACTCATCAAGTACACTCTAGAGTACCGTAAGGCCGGACGCGTCTTACAGCATCCCTCACGATAAAGTGCCTGATGACCTCTACAAGCTGACATTTACCTTTCGCGGCTGCGAATTGCTCCGCTTGGCACGACAAAGACTAGCCAGGTCATCTCTCTCAGAGCACGTAATCTTCCTTACTGGCTCGCACAACCGGTCTGGCCTCTGCGCCTGACTTGTATTCATGCACTCCTGCTGCAGGGCGTTCCTCCGTCGTGATGGTCAATTCCGTCTCTCTGCTTTTGATGCCTCTTGTTCGCTTGCTCGAGCATCACCACATGCCCATCTCCGGCAGAGATATCACTCGTCCGAAGCCCGTTTTCCGCTGGAATGAAGATATACATTATTCGCGGCCTGTAGACAGCTTCACGCAGAGTCAGATCCACATATCGCTCACCCTCGCTCACCACATCTTTCCAGCCCACCCGACCAAGAACGGCAAAGTCTTGCTCGTCCCAATCTGCGACGACCATCGTGTGCAAAAGCCTTGTCCCTAATTATAGACCAAGCAAATTACTGTTAAAAATAAGTTTGAAGTTTGTCCCGCTCGTGGGGAAACTGCCTCCCTGGTACTCGCCAAAATTCTCCGGCTTCAATGACCCTCCTTTGCAACGGTATCTCCAGGTTCAGTGCCTCTCCCATGCTAATGCGAGAAGCTGCTTATGACTGCTTTCGACGCTGTGATGACCGCCGTTCGTTCAGATCTTTTCAACTGTCATCGGCCCTTGTCCCACCAAGATCCACATGATCTGACGGAAGAAGATCGACATAGCCATGGATGCCGGAGTCCAGCTAAAGGGCCATCATCCGCCTGCAACTTATTCTTGTCTGACCACTGTTTGACCTCTCACGTCCATGCCAATTCTATTGATATCTCCACGTGCAGAAACATAATGCGAACGCAGGCCCTTCTCATCGTCCGGATCGAGTATGAGCTTGGGGGCAGAACTGTCGCGCTTGACATGTTGGATTCGATTATGCTGCACTATTCCCACGAAGCACTCACAGGCACAAACTTTTGTAAGTTCTCGGCTCGGACCATACCACATTTCTGAAACACTAGCTCATGTCCACCGACGAGACCTGTAACACCCCGCAAACTCCCAGACAGTATCTGAGCAACGGCCGTCGAGCAGTCGCGCAAATTCAGACCGACACCCACCTCCTGGCATACAAGTCTTCTGTCGATCATCAATGGACTCAAGCGGGCAGACCAGCGCACTACACTCGAATTTGCGCAACAACATGTCTATCGACATGACTTTGCCCAAACTTGGAATCCAACTCGCCCGCCAACAAAAAGCTGAAACCACATGGCTCGTCCATGATAACATCGACAAAGAGGGCAAGACCCATGCAACCAAACAGCGACAGGATCTACAACTATTACCCCTGGACTACTAACGAAAGAGGTAACCGTGCCTGAGGATCCTCGCTTTTGTCTCCCCCGACAGCATGTCCTTACAGCATCCACCCGACAATAGGGTAACATGGCAACTGAACAAGGCAGCGAAACCCTCTCGCCTGATGAATCGTGCGCAGTTGGCGCGCTTCATGCTTCGCGTTACCTGATGGTTCATCGCCTGAGCAAGGCATCGGCATCCCGGGGTTTCACTTGGCTCTCTCTGTAACAGGCATCTATAAGTTTTGTCAACCCACTCCCTTACTTGCTGTGCTTCATTCCTCTTGCTTGATCATCTTCCTGCGACGCTTCAGTACTACTCCCTTTGCAACCTTTTCTTCCCTACCACGCGATCACAACAAACACAATACTTATAATGTTCACTCTCCGTCAATCGTTAGCTGCTCTTGCAGCTGTTGCTGTTGCTCCATTTGCCTCTGCCGTTCCCATCACCACAGTCTCGCGTATTGGTGCTTCGTCAAATGGCATGGATATCTTGGACTTGCAAGTTCATGCGGCAATGTCGCAGCAGAACTTGTCGGACAACACAACCATGATCTTTGTGGTGGACACGCACACTTCCAAGATTACCTGCCGTGGTTCATGGGCACCCGAAGGACCCTTTCCCGAAGGCGAATACGTGAGTGGTCTTGCCAAAGCTTTGCTGTAATGACAACTTTACTGACCTTCACACCCAAAGATCCCCTGTGGGAACACCACTCTGGGCTGGAACCTCAAGCAAGACACTTTCAAGGGCATGAACGACTTTGTCCTGCAAATGGAATACACCTACACCGATGACTCGTAAGCCCCCCCTCCATCCCTGATCAACTTGACTGCCCNNACTGACTCTACCTCAAGTGTCGGCCCCTACCCCTACAACAGAGTCACCGAGTTCAGCCACGCAAACATTACTTCAGACGTCCTCGACTGCTCAGTGCAAACACAGACCTGCAAACAATGCGATCACAACATCACCGCCATTGTGTATGCCGAAATCGCCTAAACAGCCTTGTCCTGAGATACCTATTCGAGATGGGCAAGCCGCGGCCCGGATGCCGCAAACAAAACTTCTTCTTCTTCTCAAAAGCGCTGGTCCTTTTTTTTTCGCTCTGGCTGGCCATAACATTCTTTTTTTTAACTCATGTATATAGAGTCTTCTTGTCACGATACCCAAGAATTGGATTCTTTCTTTTTCCCTTCTATGGCCAGGCTATGTGTTTTCAATGTTTGTTTGTTGTGTATACATGTTCAACGCCTTACAGCGTTGACGTTACACCAAATTGACTGAGTGGTGTATGGTGCGACATCGGGGTCTCGTGTCTGAAACTTGGCGATCATCCAATGCAGATGGCGGGTTACGATTGGGCATGAGACAGAAACCATCCGCACAGGTCTATTGATCACATCGAAGGAGTCTTTTGCTGTCCACTGCACGAGCGAAGCATTTGTGGTTATACAGAGATATCTTCCTTGTTAACACAGCTCTACGATGCTTGGAAGAGGTAGAAGCATCGAGATCGAGCAAGAAGGAAGAAAAGACACTCGACTCCCTTCGCCGATTCATGGTCGAATGTCACTCATCTCACAGCCGTCAGCTTGACCATCAACGGTCTCTTGTCCCAGAGGACAAACACCTTCTGCTTTGCCCAGCCCTTGCTCTCCTCTTCCAGACTCAAATCGAAATTGAAAAACACCATTGTGAGTAGCAGACGCATCTCATGATAAGCCAAATTCTTGCCAAGACAGTTCCTAGGTCCAAGACTAAATGGTTGCAATGCAGCGAGATTGTCGGTCGCGTACTTTGGATCGCCTAGAAAGCGTTCAGGCACAAAGCTTTTGGGATTGCGGAAATTGATCGTGCTCTGATAGGTGGCCCAAGGGTGGACAGAAACGGTGACATTTCCTGGAATGAATTTGCCAGCGATCACGGCACCTTCTTCGGGTACTTTGCGAGGCAATCCGGTAGGTATGGGTGGGTACATGCGTAGACCTTCTTCAACACAGGCGTTGAGATACGGCAGTCTCGCCAGCTCATCCACAGTGATATCAGTTTCCAATGTAAAGGCACCACGTATCTCTGCCACCAGTTTGGCCAGCTTGTCTGGGTTGATCAAGAGATAGTACGTCAAGCCCGAGAGCAGCGTCGCAGTCGTTTCCGTGCCCGCAATCATGAACACCGTGGCGTTGGTATGCATCTCACGAAGCGACATGCCAGCCGTAGCGTCACCCAGGCCGTCGTCCGATCGTCTCAAGACCTCGGTCCATATATCCGGTCGGCCAGGGTCGCGAGCCAAACGGCGATCTACTCGATCAGCGGACCATTTCTCGTTCTGTCTCTGTTTGCGGCGCACGGATTTCGGTATGACTTTGGGGAGAAGCCATGGCATAAAAGGTAGCTGTTTTATCGCTATGAGTTTGGAGATGACCTTCATGCTACCGAAGATTAGCTTGACCCAAGGCGCATACNNCTGAGAAGTATGTTAGTCTTTCGCCCACAGACGATGTTGGATGCTAGCTCACTCGGCTTTTTCCAGCATATATAGTGGTTCACCAAAGCTAAATCTGTCATCCACTGACTGTTGATTGCTTCAATACACGATAACATACGTGAGATCCGACATGACATCGAATCTGCAACTATCAGTGGTTGATCTTTAGTGCATGATGGTGACTCACGTGGTGTAGTTGTAATACGAAACCATGTCGACTGCTTTATCAGCAGCAGCAACTTCCTTCAACTTCGTGACCATCACACCGGCCCATCGCTTGAGCAAAGGCTCTTGGTCTCGTAGTGCCNNTAAGAACGACTCAGTATGTAGCCTCCTTGAGAGCTAGAAGTTTGCCAGTGAAAGCACACCGCCGTCACGAACCTTGTCAGAAAAGCTGTTTGCCAGTATTTGGCGCTGTCGAGTGTGGTTGGGATCGTCCGCAATACCGATGTGCCTGGCTGCTCTAGGATCTGTAATGTAGAAATTGTCGTCCTTCTGAAAGGTTTTGGTCTTGCCACCAGTCCTGCGACCATAGATGACCTTCCAGGCAGTAGCATCATTGAAACTAAGTTCGCGGGAAGCAGTCCTTACAGCGGGACCATACTTTTCGTGTAGCTTTTGCATGGTTTGGGCCTCGGATCCAGTCCAAATCATGATTGCCTTGGGCACATTTGACGCTGCCCACGATTTCGGTCCTGGAATGTGGGAAAGAGGACCTAAGAAGACATCCCAGGCTACAAAAGCGACATAGATAGCGAGACACTGGGGCTATTAGATGGTAGCGGCAGAATATGCCTCAGGAACGCCTACCGTGAAGAGCAGGCCTGCAAATGTAAGGTCAGAGGCATGAGGTATGTGAATCCATGAGCTGTCTCTCATGGCAAGCAGATCTGGATTCTGTTTGACAGACATGTTGAGATGACGAGGTATGTCGATGATATGGCTGAGCAGCCTTGCCTCTTATAATCAACTTTCGTTATGTGGATGCCTTGACTTGTCACTGCATGGAGGGTCGTGGAGAGCGAAACAGACAGCAAACGTGAGTACAACCCCAGGAATCAGGATGCATCGGATTCCCTGCGTCTGTCGTTGGTTGGCTCGGATCCTGTATGCTGATGCATGACCTTGGGCGGGATAATCACGCAGCCTTGACGACGTTCGGGCTTGAAGTCCGGGATCCTACATAGTCTACGCATCGCTATCACACTGGATGATGGAGACTGAATACTCATAGCTCAGATCAAGTCCTGCGACCAGCCTTCTCTATATCTTGGTCTAGTTGTTGATGCCGACTGACTTGATGGAAGGAAGGATCGGGTAGTGACGGCTCAGAATTTTGTGCCGTGTGCGTGGTTTCTCGCCCGACCTCCATGCCCGAAGCCGCCATCAGCGAGACCGGTCGGCCCTCTCACGCTGCATGGCCGCCATGTAACTTGTTCAATGACTCGAGGTCATCTGCAACTCTGATTAGAGACTTGCAGATACTACGATGTCTACTCGAGTCGATGATTCTTTCCCGGCCCAATTGCCGTGTTCTGCTTCTCCTGTTGATCACCCCGCGCTTCGAGCTCTAAGCTCTCCCCAGATCGAGACTGCCGCCTCCATGATCTGCACTTCATCATGAGCTGCTCAACGCGAAACATGTTTGGCGAGCACTTTGTACAGGCGCAGCTCACTCTAGCGAAGGCGGTATGCGGTTGACAATCAACCGTTTGCCGAGGACGACATGATGCAGTCTAGCTCGCGTTGCCTCGTCTATAAGTCTACGTGTCCACCTTGAGCCTCCAACTTGACCTCCAGCGCATGTTTCGACTTCCAGCCGAGTAAAAATGCTATCGCAAACCCTCGGACTAGCTGTCCTCACTCTCCCTCTGTTGGCTGAAGCGAGGGACTGCTCGAAAGCAGCCTTCCAAAAGATCATTCCGTCCAACTCAACCTTCAACTATGTCACAAAGGTCGCAGAAGGCGGAACGTTCACGGATGCTTATGCCAACGCCAATGCTACTGGTCTGCCCGAAGGATGTGCTGTGAGCGTCAAGGTCCCTACGCCCGGCAACTCATCCTACAACATGGCCATTTACTTGCCCAATAAGTGGAACTCTCGCATCATCACGACTGGAAACGGTGGCTACGGCGGATTCACCAATTGGCAAGATCTCGGTGTCTATTCGCACTACGGCTTCTCCGCCATCACTACTGTGAGTTCATGCATGGCTTTCGATCGGTAGTGTGTCACTAACATCCATTCAGNNGACACGGGTCACGACAACCCCAACCCATTGGACTCGACCTTTGCTCTCAACAAAGGTTCGCTTGAAAACTGGGGTTGGCGTGCCATGCATGGTTCAGTGCTGATTGGTAAGGCCTTGTCGGCTGCATACTATGGTGAGACTCACAAATACTCCTACTACTCTGGGTGCTCGACCGGAGGTCGTCAGGGCTTGAAAGAGATGCAAGTGTCGCCAGAAGCGTTCGACGGTCTGTTTGTAGGAGCACCAGCTTGGTGGATACCGCACTTGGGTATCTACACTAGCCAGGCAACTCTGGGCAATCTGCCCCAGAACTCCTCTCACCACATTTCTGCTGCTCTGGCCAATGTCATCAACGACGAGATTCTCAAGCAGTGCGATCCTCAAGACGGAGTGACTGACAATGTTATCATGAACCCCGAGGGCTGTGTTTTCAACCCTCTGACTCTGCTCTGTCAAGGATCATTGAATACCTCTGCTTGCATCACCCGTCCTCAACTTGACACTCTATACAAGGCTCTGCACGACTGGACGTACTTTGACGGCACCTTGATCTTCCCTGCACCAAGCTTGGGCACGCCTATTGCGGCCTATATCGGAGACTCACCCATTCCAAACCCCATGGGAACTGGAATGATTGAACACACCTTACTCAACACCACCCAACCCTACGATTGGAGCACTTTCAACGAGAGCGTAGTTCGTCTCGCCGAAGCCATCGACCCCGGTAATGCCACTCCAGACGACTATGACTTGTCGGCCTTCCAGAAGAGAGGCGGCAAAGTCATCCATTGGCATGGTGAAGCCGACCCTGTCATTCCTTTCAGATCAAGCACATATTTCTACAGCCAGGTTGCTTCTTCTGTTGCCCCTCACGGCATTGAGATGAACGATTTCTATAAGTTCTTCCCTATCGCCGGCATGAGCCATTGCTCCGGCAGCCAGTATTCTCCTTGGTATATTGCTGGTGCGAGCCAAGGCTTGACCAACGTAAGCCACGGCGTTCCTGGCTACGAGAACTCACAGCACAATGGTTTGCTTGCGTTGATGCGCTGGGTTGAGAATGGCACTGCTCCGGAGAAGTTGGTCGCAACCAAGTTCAACGATGACGATCCTGCAAAAGGTGTTTACCGTCAAAGACCGCTCTGTCCCTTCCCCAGTCAGCCTGTCTACACGCATGGAAAAGTGGACTCCGCAAGCAGCTGGAAATGCTCGTGAACAGCGTCGTGATTCTAGGGCTTACTTATCAGAATCCAGGCTGTACAATATTAATACACAAGTGTTGAGATAAGTGCTTATATGTTGAAACTCTGTTTGACCATGAACGCCCGTACGATATGCGCTTTCGTCTAGTCCAAGATACTTAGATAGTCCTCAGTGGCTCCTCGGGTATAGTCCGGGTCTGAAATCGATGGCGAGCTCTCGCATCATACAGGATCCAAGAACCCCCAGACTACATTGACGAACCAGAGGAACAAACGCAATCAATATCTGGCGTTGAGAGAATTGCGAGCTTTTGCATCATGACAATGTTGCCGAAATTCAACGTAGTCAAAGCCTTGGATGCTGTCTGCACCCCTGAAAATCTTTAGGTATATGACCATGGCTGCGGGACGTCCTTGCGTAAAAGCATTACTTTGATTGCTTACTTACTGAGACATGTCTACAAACGAAAAAGGCTCTGGTGTTTTGGCAACTCCAGCGCCAGAGAGTCCAAGTGATGATGGCTCCTCGAAGGCTGTCCGTAAGCGTAAGTGATCGCCCTTCCTCGAAATAAACATGATCGGAAGTATGACTGTCTCGTCCATCGTATCGAGAACGAGATACGTCCTAGGATATCTCTGCTTGCCTGGTTCCCTTTTGTGTAGCACATATGGCTGCTCATGACCCCTCACATCGAAGTCACAACTTGGTTGTCGCCCGTGCTAACCAAATTCTATATAGNCAACATGGTATCGTTCTACCTTCTGGAATGCATTGATTCTGGGTATTTGCAACTTTCTGGCTCCCGGTATCTGGGGTGCCATGAATTCACTCGGCGGCGGCGGGCAACAGTCACCAACACTTGTGAACTCAGCCAACGCCTTGACGTTCTGCCTCATGGTGCTGACTTGCTTCTTCTCATCTGTCATCGTACGCTGGGTGGGCATCAAGTGGGCTCTCATCATCGGCACATTAGGGTACTGTCCTTATGCAGCTGGCCTGTTTGTCAACAACCGCTACGGTGACGGCTGGTTCGTTCTGTTCGGTGCAGCATTCTGCGGCCTCTCGGCTGGTATATTCTGGTCTGTGGAAGCTGCCATTGCGCTGGCCTACCCTGAACCCCACAATCAAGGCCGCTTTTTGGGATTCTGGCTGAGCTTTCGTCTTGGTGGGCAGATCCTTGGTGGAGCCATCAATCTCGGCGTCAATGTTCACAACAACAAGGCTGGCTCTGTATCGTACCATGTCTTTGAGGCGTTCATCGCACTTCAAGCTTTAGCACCTTTTGCTGGCTTGTTGCTGAGTCCGCCGGAAAAAGTGCAGAGGACAGACGGCTTGCCCGTTCGTCTGAGCATTGGCAACAGCATTACTCACGAGCTCAAGGAAATGACCAAGTTGTTCTTCAGCAAACGCTTCCTTCTGGTCGTGCCGCTGATCGCGCAAANNGCCGTCTATGCGGAGGCCGTCTTCTTCACCTTCCAGGGCCTGTGGTTCAGTGTCCGCCCCCGCGCGCTGGGCTCTTTTCTCTCTGGCATTGTTGCCGTCACCATGGGCATTTTCCTCGGCAGGTTTCTCGACTCCACCAAGTTCAGTCTTAAGGTTCGGTCTCGTGGTGCGTTTGCAACAATCTTGGGTCTTCAAGGTGCTTGGTGGATCTGGGCGACGGTGCTGGTCACCGAGTTTGACAAGACTGACCCTACCTACGACTGGGTTGATGCAGGATTTGGCAAAGGGTTTGCGTTGTTCTTGTTCTGGGTGGCTGAATTTCAACTCAACTATCTGTTCCTGTAAGTTTTGCTGCCATGTTGGTTCGGTGTCTATATCTGTCTATACAGAGCTCGCACCATTAGCGAGATGAGCTCTCGATATGCAAAGTCTCATTGCTAACTTTATCGCACAGCTNACTTCGTCGTCGGCAACCTCGCCGAGTCTCAAGAAGAATTGATCCGCATCTGCAGCCTGCTTCGCGGCACAGAATCCGCTGTCCAAGCCGTTAGTGTAAGTCGAGAGCATCCCTGGTGTCAATGCTGGTACAAGCTGAATCTGATCCTACCTTCGAAATAATAGTATGGTCTAGGTAGCGTGTCCGTCATGGCACGAACCGGAAACATCTACCTCAACTTTGGTCTTTGGGGACTATCGTTGTTGCCGGCCTGGCTGGTCGTATCGGAGATTGGAGTCACGCTGGGGGACAACAAGAACGCCCGTGAAGGAGTGTTGCAGGAAGACAGCCGCTAACGGTCTGGTTTAGGAGTCGTTTGCTACTATCAATGCAATCTCGATACAAGCGAATTTTTCCAAAAGTGCGGATGGACCTGGAAGACAACACTCGATGTCCCCCATGAAGCAAGTCAATGGCTTCCTTGTCGGCAACCAAGCCTCTCTTACGGAAAAGACGCATGGGTGTCGCCGGGTTATCGCAGGCCGTGTATCTGGCGCACGTCTGCCCATTACTGTTGCAGCCAGTGTTTATGATGCAGAGATATCCCGTGGGGCAGTCACCGCTCACATCGCATGCCTGGCCGCATACAACGATGTCGGTGCAAAAGCCGTATGCCTCAGTGGATTGTTCGCAGTGGCAGTTGACATCGTTGTTGGAGGTTTGCGAGCAGCCAGCGCCGCTGTAGTCAAGTTCGACCTACGGATGGTGAGGCCAGATCGGTCCCAGCCAAGTCGGCGAAGCCGATGGCGTACTCTTCTAGGCTGCGTCCTGTCGCTTCCTCAGCTCTTCGAGATCCCCCTTCAGCCGCAGCTGGAGGAGTCTGCTGGTACGGCAATAAACCATCTGCAAAGCCTAACGAGGACACGAGCGTGGTCGATTGACTAACGCTAAGCTCAGCTAGTGGTGGATTTCCATCAGAGGTACCAATCAGTGGGGTCCCCGTGGGGTCTGCCAACGGGCGTCGCGACAGCTACCATCCTAGTGACTACTCCTGAACCGCATGGCTGCTGTTCAGCTCAAAACCTCCATCCCAGTTCCGCGACAGATTCGGTTCCAGCACAGGAGGAGGTGGAAGCACATGATCTTGTCTTCAGAAAACGTATCGAACTTAGAAGCCCTTTTCCTCGACAGCTCAGTAGCGACAAGCATCGAGAGTTGGTAGATATCAGAACGATTGGGTAGCTTGGCGTGTGGTTCCATGCACTCCAAAGTACCATCTGGCTGTGTCGAAGCTAGTTCAACAATTCGCTAGCTCACCATCCCAAGCTTGTTTTCAGGCGTCTGAGGGCTTGAGAGATGACAAAGTATACGAATCCTGCTTTGGGCTCAGCCAATGTCACCGGTATCATATTGTTGGGGTGATGTACATGTTGTGGAGAGCAGGAAAAGTCTAGTGGTTGATATAGCCGGCCAGCAGCTCGAAAACATGTCTATCACATACCATGACCTTCTCTCGTGTTCTTCCAATCCCTGTTGAAGTTGTCCCAGCCACCGGGCGGAGCATCCCACATAGCCAGTTCCCTGATAACAAACTCGTACGTGCCGTCCTTGGGCATGACACCCTGACACACATTGCCGCCCACAGCGATGTTGATGAGGATTCTAAAGTCCTTCATCGGTCTCGTTCCAGAGGGCTTATTGGCCTTCATGACAGGACGTCCATCAATATACCACACCATCCTGCCGTTGCCGGTGCCCTCATCTTCCTCCCAGGCAAAGTCGAATCTCACACCTTGAGGAGAATCGATAGAGGGGATAGGTGTTTCCACAACGCGGTGTTTATCGTGGTCGGGTCCGTTGAAGTGGCCCCAGTGCATACAAGTGTGGTTTGTCTTGTCTCCATTCCACGCTTCTGCAATATCTATTTCTCCGTCGGTGGGCCAGGTGAATGGGTCCTTGGGCAGCAACCAAAACGCAGGCCAGATGCCGGGCGCCATGGGAGCAGTGATACGTGCAGACAAGCTACCCCTACAGCGGTCCAATGTCTGATGTGATGATAATCTTGCAGAAGTAAACTTTCTGTCGTCTTGTGGGTGCGCGTGGTTGATGACTGCGTGGACGACTATAGCGCCATCAGGGGTGTGGAAGGAGTTTGCTTGGTCGTCGACGTAGTTTTGGGATTCGTTGTTTCCCCAGCCCCAGTTGCCTTGTTCGTGGTGGAAGTGCGCTGACACGGGGACGTGAGGTTGGCATTGGGGTTGCCAGTATGGTGAAGCAGCGGGTGCTGGTGCTGCGTTGTGAGACGGCTTGCTGGCCCAGGGTATCGGAGGGGCGTTGCCGTTCATGGCTTGTTGGGCCTTGTTCTGAAGGTCTTTGAACGAGTCGCGGAAGCCCATTGTGGTTGTTATGTCTTGCTCTTGTGTTTCGTAGGGGGTTGTCTCCAGTGCTTTCGAGGTTGGCGGGATGTTATCTCGAGGTTGGCGAAGTGTGACGAGGGTAAAGTAATGTCTTGTAGGAACGAGGAAGAGGTTGAGATAACAATTTTCGACCTACCTGAGCTGCCAAGGGCTTCTTATTATATTCTTGAGCCCGGTTGCTTCTTCCTTGGCCTTGGAAGTTGGCGGTCTGCCCTGCCCTGCCCGCAAGCCGCGTCATGCCATGCTTGGAGCCTGGGATGCGACGCAATCATTCGGTCAATATATGTTAAATGTTACCATCGACACACCAATCTCTTCTTAGCTCAGTTGGTTTAGAGCGTCTGACTGTAATTGTTGAATTGTCATCAGAAGGTCCTTTGTTCGACTCAGAGAGAGGAGATCCTCTTTTTGCCCACGTCTGATCTACAAGTTCTCTTTTTCGTTTCTCCTACCACTCGAGTCGCCGACATGCAATCTTTGTAACTACTGCTAATCCTTTTGTCCGCGCCGTACAATTCATCACAAGCCAATACCTCCAAAATCTGCATTTCACAGTCTTGAGAAGTGGCATGCACTCGCGCTCCAGGCACCTCCCACAAAGCAATGACGTCTCCCAAAACTCAAACAGACGGACCGATAGCTGTGAGAAGCTTCAGACAAACATCCCACCTTTTTCCCGCAAAAACGAGAACAGCTGTCTTACCCCTCCTTCTCTACAAACACAAACAACAACCACCTCACAACAAAAACCCTTTTCAGCAAAAATGGTCTACACACTCGTCGTCCACCTCTACGCAAAAGAGGACCAAGAGTCCATCAACAAGTTGATCGCAAAATTGCAAGAAGCTTCTCAAGTCTACACAAACGACAAGGAGTGCTTGGGTTGGTGAGTTGCTTTTTTCATTTTTTTCCTTCTGCTTATCCACGCCTCGTTTTCCCTCTTATCTCTTTACAAGACTGGAAATACAGAAGATTGGGAGAATTTGGATGGAAGCGACAGAGAGAACGAGTGTAAAGGCTAATGTAAGAACATCGACAGGTTCGTCATGCAAGACACAAAGGACCCCCGCGCCTTCACCATCGTCGAGCGCTATGCTCATGAAAGCGTAAGTCCTTTTCCCTCTGCCTCCTCCCTTTTCCTATTTCCATCCACCCTTCCATCTACATCATCCGCTAACACACTTGCCTCTCTTCCTAGTNCCCAAAAATACCACCTCGAAAACCCTTACTGGCAGACTTTTGACAAATACGTCATCCCCTTGTTGGCANAGGACATGGATCTCCGCCGCTTGAACGAGCTGGTCGACGAAAAGTCCGAGCAGGTTCGCGTGGAGCAGGATCCAAAGCTTTGGGACGAGGTCAAGAAGTATCAGACCTATTAGATTTTTTTCAAGTCTTGAAGTCCATCGCCGCCTTTTTTGCTGCTGGCACGGACTTGATCCGGGTAGCTCTATGTTGATATCATTTTTTGATAGAGAACGGCTCAATGGACGTTGCCTAGCATGGTGCAGATTACTGATTTGATGTCCTCTTTCTTCCGCCGTCCTTGAATCAGTCTGTTTCTCTTTTCCTCGCCTACAACGCTTGATACGATGAGCAGTTCAACGCTCAGCTGTTGCGATTCAGCACACCACATAGCGAAGACATGTACAGTTGTTCGCGACAGGGCTCTTTGGTCAACAGGTAAATCAGGGCTATCAACTCAGAATCTATTCCAGGAAAGAAACCTCCACCTCTCAATCGCCTCATCAACCCACATATCGCCTCTTGTCAGTCACCAAGTTGTTCAGCTTGCGAATCTCGGTCCATCTGCTCCAGGATCCGTACTCAAGCAAGTTCATCCGTCTCATCTTTCCAGAAGGATTGCCAATGACCACAGGCTTCCAGTCCTGATCTGCCTTTGCATCCATACTGCCTCCTCCACGAGAACCAAAGGCACCATTCGGGATAACTTGAACAGACCTGAAGCGCCACATGACGAGTGAAAGCAACATTGTCAGTCCCAGCAGAATGCCAACGGCGACTCCAGTTGCCGCTTGTGCTCCGAGAGCTCGCGTCACAGTGCCACTCACAGCAGTTGCGGCCGCTGCAATGAAGAATCCCAAGCCTTGAGCAGCGAATATACCTGCACACACACGTGGGTAGGCAGAGTAGTTTGTGCGTCGTCTACGTGTGGCACTCTCCATACTTGACAGGCGGTGCTTGCTGTTGACTCCGGGCTGGAGATCGCTGGTGTCGAATGCTTCCATTGCTAAGCCAATGCACTCTGCGACGGCAAGACATGAGAGGAATCCGATGATGGCGGCTAGGATAGTGGGTCCAGCCGGTCTGACGCTGCGTCCAGGAGACGCCAGAACATATGCAAGCCCAGCGATAGGCAAAGCAAAAGTGAACAAGCATCGTCTGAGCAGATGGGACGACCAAGTGACACGTGGCTCAAATGTCCCACTGTCAGTACGCATAGGTTGAACCCTGTCGCGAGAAAAGACATTGGCCTTTGTCAATGGAACAGCGAGTGCTGCGCCTACTGCAACAGCAAATACAGCCAGCCCAATATACTGCGGTTGCCATCCGTAGTTACGAGAAAGCAGTGCACCCAGGAGCTGTACCTTGTCAGAAGACCTGATGAATAGCAGGTTGCGATAATGACTTACCAATGTGATGAGCACGACCAATGCATAGATCCAAGCCAGATAGACAGCGAGCACAAAGAAACCAAACTGGCAGAACATATGACCCATGAGTCTCATACCAGCCCAGACCTCTTGGTGCCAGTACTTGGGGCCATCTTGGTCAAGATGCAATTTGACCTCACCACGTGCTACACGTTTCTTGAGCTTGTCTTCTTCGTCCAGATACTTCAGGACTGACCGGCGATATGGAGCACGGCGTGTCTCTGGTGCGATGACGTTCATCAGAATGAAGAACGAAAGTAGAATAACAACGACATAGAACCCCCAGGCAGGAGCGAGGCTCTGTGTGATCGAGGCGCCAATGAGGAATCCAAGAGCCAAAGATCCGACGAAGCACCACGACCAAAGGCCCAGCCAGATGCCCATTCCTCCTCCTTGTCGCCGAACGTCATCGTAAACGACAATCTCTTGATGCGGGTTTCGTGATTGGAGCGAGGCACCAAACAGATCCAGCAGGGTCGATAAGAAGTTGATGTGTGCAAAGCCAAGAACAAAGCCGAGGAAGAATCGCGGAACCAGTAAACCAACAAGAGCTCTGGTCAGCTGTGGACCTGTGTTGAATGCCGTTGCAATCGATTGGGGGAATTGAAGTGGTATGGCGATGGTGAGCGCTGCCAACGTATAAGGTCTTCTGCCGTGAAGAAGTGGAAGTGGCCAGAAGAGCAGAGTGGTAATTCCCATCCCGATGTATAGGCTGGAAGATTTGTCAGCACGAGGGGACACAACTCATTCCGAGACCAGCAGTTATCAATTGGCAGCCGATTGCCAACATGACATTATCACTTACAGCACGTTTCCCAAANNAATCACATGGTGATGCTCATCTCCTAGCTTGTACTGGATCTTGGGTACTTCACCAGCNCTGTAGATTTCAATCAGCGGTCGTTGTGACATACTCTCAGAGACGCAACATACATAAATGCCAGCGATCAGTCCTACAAGCATGGTGTTGAGGCAAGCAATGACGGCAGTGATGCGCTTGCGGCCAATCTTCCACTCTCTGGCGATGGGTGATCGGCGACACCTGTGGAAGCGGAATCCTTGTTCATCCTTCAGACTGATATGGTTCTTGCGTGGATGCTTCAAGCTCAGGTCTGGAGACGGAACGTCTGCTGGTGGTGCTTGACCAGATAGGGCAGGTAGAGCGGGTTGACTAGAGAGAACCGGTTGGCTAGTTGCGACAGCTGAAGCAGGGTGTGTTGTTGCCGGAAGAGCCACAGGTACTTCTCTGCGCTCTGGAACATGGTAGTATGACGACTCGAAGATACGGCTTGCACCAGCTTTTGGCTTCCATCGTTTGGCTGGTGCTGGAGGGCTGGCAACTTGATATTGAGCTGGTGGGTAGTCTGGAGTGACATAGTGCCTCGGATCGTAGACGGCGTATGACACCGCTGGCTGAGGCGGAGGTGAAGGTGTGCTTGATAGCTGAGGGTCGGACCGAACAGGTCGAAGCGATCTTCTCTTTGGTACATCAGGAAGTGAGAGACGAAGAGGTTCATGTGGAACCTGCTCCGGCGTCTTCACAGATGCGTCTTGTGGGATGACCGGAGGCAAGACGACACCAGTGCTTTCTCCTGTAGGCGGTGGCAGTACTGTCTCATCTTGACTCACTGGTCCAGGTTCCGAACCGCCTCGAAGGTCACGACGAGTCGAAGGTCGCCTGACATAAGCCCAATCATGAGCGGCAGAGCTTGTTGACAGCTTGGAGTACATCTGAGGTGGAGTCTGAGTCATGGAAAAGTCCTCTGAAGACTGGGGCCCAACAGCTGCTTCCCGAGATGCAGGACGTTTACCCTCATTCTCGAATGGTGGATTGACAATGGGATGCACAACAGAGTGCTTTCTGATCGAGTAACGAGGGGCAACAGGGAGGGCTGAGGAAGCTGGAACATGTTCCAAAGACAGACCACTCTTGCTTTTGGTGTAAGCAATGGGTACGCTGACATTGGAGGCTCTTGGCATGGGCTGCATGGACGAAGTGTTGGACTCGATGTCTGCGTCAGAGTCGGAAGCTTGATCATACTCATCGGATGAGAAGTACTCGTCGCTTTCGGTATCGTCGATGCGAAGTGGCGGAGCCATGTGCACAGTGCTGGACTTGCGAAGAGCAATCTTGGCTTCATCCAGGATGTGAGCGACGTCTTGGGACCTGTTGTTCTGGGCTGCATCATGAGCGACGGTCAAGGCTTCTTCCATTAGGTCGTGGAGTCCAGTGACTGCACGCTCGAGGTTTTTTCTGTCTTTTTCGGTTGATGTCAATGAAGACGAGGGCGGCGATTGAGTCTTGGGAGAGACGTCAGGAGAGCGGAAAGTTACAGTGTTACGAGCTGTCGGTGTCGCGATACCACGAACTGTCGGCTTGCGAGAGATGGTGCCATCGTTGTAGCGTCCTAGGTTAGACAGATCTGGCGATGGTGTAGAGATGAGCGGCTCAGGTGGAAGCAATGGGCCTAGACTCGATGTTCGAACGGGAATCTTGACTTCGAGTTCAGACAGGGGAACCATTGGCCAAGTAGGCGGTTTGCCTGATTGCGAGGAGGAATAAGACGAAGGGGTATACATAACGATGCTGTATGCGATGATGTGATGTGTGGAGGAGAAGAAGGGGCGTGTCGAGGATCAAAGTGAGGAAGTGCCAAGGTTGAATGTTCCTATCATTCTAGTAGCGTCGGTTTCGATGGTCGTGATTGCCTCCGCTGCAAGCTCAACAAGAGTTGGTTGGCACGAGTCTCCTTCCGCGTCCCGAAAATTGGCAGTCACACGACCGTCGAGCTTAACTTTCGGCAAGTCAAATTTCAGAAGAACACAGATGAGCAAACATTGAGCACAAAGACAACTGCATATATGGAGCATTACTCTTCATACTTGACGTCGCCCTTGCTGACATCGGGGTATACGTCAAATCTTCTCTGGGTGTAAATCGGGATGCCTTTCCTCGTCTGCTCGATAGTCTCTCCATCCAGATCAGCATACACAATGTCTTCCTTTTCGTCCAGTTCGCCAAGAACCTCGGCATTCGGGCTGACGATCATGCTGTGACCCCAGGCATTGTAATCTGCAGTCATGTCTCTGGCGGGCGAGCAGAGACCGACGTAGACCTGATTATCCATAGCTCTGGCACGCGCTTGAAGCTTCCAATGCAGTTCGCCAGTGGTAAGGTTGAAGGCGCCAGGGTAGACTAGCAAGAAAGCGCCCTGTCTCGCGGCAACCATGGCCAGCTCGGGAAAGCGAATGTCGTAACAGATGGCAACAGCAATCCTTCCGTACTCTGGCAAATCGACCAGAGTGACCTTGTTGCCAGGACTCAGAATCTCACTCTCTTGAAATCTGATCTTGCCGGGAATGTCAATGTCGAACAAGTGGACCTTTCTGTGGGTGGCTAGCAGGCTTCCGTCAGGGCCGAAGACGAGACTTGTGTTGTAGTGTTTGTCTGTTTCTTTGAGGTACTCGGGAATGCTGCCACCGATCAAGTAGGACTTGGACTCCTTGGCCAGAGCGGAGAGGGCGTGGAAGGTGGGCGATTGCGCCTCTGTGGGCGGTGAGGGCTGCAGGGTCTCTGCGTATTTGGGAAAGTACTTGGTGCCGTAGGGAGAGTTGAAGCACTCGGGCAGGACGACGACATTGGCGCCCTTGGACGTTGCCTCGAGGACCTTTGATCTTGCGCGGGCGAGGTTCACGGCCTTGTCGGCGCCTNNGCTTCGTGTCAGTCATGGACGAAAGCTGAGGATTGTTGGCTCACCGGTCGACAGCTGGACGCAGGCGAGCTTCAGCGGCTTCTTCAGCAGTTTGGCCATGTTGGATGTGCGAGGAGAGAGGGTGGGCAGTGGACGATTGTCAAAAGGTCGCCGGCGGTTACCCCAAGACGCATGGATGACGTGCCCCACCTGGTCTTATCGATAGCCGGCGAGTTGGAGAAGGTCCCCAACGCCAAGCCCGCGACTCTTCGGCTGCCGCTCTCACGCAAATGTTAGAACACGCCCAAACACAACCAAGACACGCCAGAACATGCCGCTCGCCATCTTACGCACCCCTACGAGGGACCTCGCCCGTCGCATGCCATCGCGATTGGCATCAACCAGCACCAGACAGCCCCTCAAGTACGCCGGTCGCATCCCGAAGCCTGCTCCACCACCGCCAGGCCCCGGCGAGACAAAGACTCCCGCCGGCCAGGAAGAGACCAACCAGGCCCGCAAAGCCATCATGGACTCTATCCAACACGACCGAAAACAAGACTACAAGCAGAGATATAGCTCCATGTTCTGGAAGTGGACTTTTATCATCTGCGGCTCGCCTATTGTCCTTGTCCTCGGCCCCTACTTGTACAGAAGAAGTGCGCATANNAATCATATTCCCCAACTATCAAACAGCGCTAACATTACTATGCAGTCTTCATGGGTGAAGAGCGAAAGAGGCTTATCATAGATGACGACGACGACGACGAAGACCTCGACTAGACGGAAAATCACCAAGCACAGTGTCCTCCATCAATGCGCATGTCGCTGCCCGTCATGAAAGAGCTGGCGTCGCTGATCAGGAACACGGCTGCTCCACGGTACTCCTCGGGCTTGCTCAACTTGCCCAGCATGTTCTGTGTCGGCCACTCGCGACGTCTCTCGGGGTACTTGACGAAGAGTGCCTCGACCATGGCTGTTACAATGTATCCAGGCGAGATGGTGTTGACTCGAATCCCGTGCTGGCCCCACTCGCTCGCCAGGTTGCGAGACAACTGGATGACGGCCGCCTTGCTCGAGTTGTATGCCGCGCAAATCAGTCCCNNTGTCGAATCTTGTTAGCCAACTCCTTGGAAGATGAAGATGCCGAGCATGCTTACCCTGTTGGCCACGGTACCGCTCATGGATGCAATGAAAGCCATGGATCCGCCGTTTCCATGCTTGATCATCTGCTTGGCCACTGCCTGTGCCGTCATGAACACGCCAGTCACGTTGACCTCGAACATGGTGTTTGCGTCCTTGGCTGTGTACTCGAGCGCCGTCGTCTCTTGCTGGATACCAGCGGCTGCCACGAGTCCATCCATACGGCCCTCTTTGTTTGAGATGTCTTCGATGATTTCGTTCAATTGCGGCACATCGCGGACATCAATCTGGCGGTAGTGGAACGTCGTGCCGAGCTCCTCAGCTGCGCGTCTTTGGATGCGGTAAAAGTCCTCGCTGGGCTCAGGAAGGCGGTCCAGAGCATATACTGTCNNTGCGCGTCAGCTCCCAAATCCTTGATTCTTCTGCTGAAAGAACTCACCGGTTGCACCAGCCTCGAGCAAGGCCTCAGCCTGTACCAGTCCCAGTCCACGTCCTGCACCAGTCACCAACACCACCTTGTCGTTGAGCGCAAACTCTGGCAAGCGCTTGGTCGTTCCCAAGTATGAGGCAGCGCTGTAGTTGTCCTTCAATGCAGCCGATTCATCTGAAGGTGGTTCCGGTGCACCGCGACCGGAGACAATGGGGTTTCCCTTGGGAGGGTTCTTCAATTGGTCAAGGTCAGACTTTGAGGCATTCTGTTGACGGGCAGAAATTGCAAAAGTCCGAATAGAGCTTGATCTTGCTGCACCAAATGTGGTACGGGCAATGCGCGAGGATGTTCTGAGCGAAGCCATTTAGAAGTTCAAGAGAGGGGATGGGAACTTTTCGTGGAGGATGTGATTGAGGAAGAGGGAAACAGGATGCAGAGTACTGGCAGCAACGCAACGACCCCGCTGCTCTTTTTATTGCAGCCTCCTCTGTCGGTCATTGCTGCGCTTGGCTTCCCTTCTTGGTTGTCCGAGACGCTGCTCCTCGTCGTTCCGAGACTTGCTGCAATGGACGGCGAGCACGCGCCGTAAGCAACGGGAGCTGCACCATCATACTCCATCTCTTCTGCAACAGACCTTAGTACAGAATGAGTCTTCTGCTCTCGTCCCAAGCTGGGATCTTGCTATCGAACTCACTCTTGCATGGCTTCCATGAGTTTTTGTCGAACTCAGCAAACAGATCGGCACATTGACTTTCGAGGATGCTCGACCAGCCGTTGGTGGGATGGGTGCGGAGGAGCTGCGGGGAAAATGGCAGATCTCGGATTACCTCTTTCGGAAACTAGATCTTCCAGGGCTGGCGGCTGGCGGCTGGCGGGCGCCGAACTTCACCTGGATGGGAAAGCCTTGCTGTCTATATCATATCACCTCTTTCCTGCTCATGTTTGTGGACCGGGTAAAGCATGCTATTGCGGTGAGTAGTACCGGTGGCATGGCTGTATGCATGAACCAATGTGTTTGCAGGACGGACAGCAGATGTATAACAATTGATGTGTCGGCTGCATGCTGGACAAGGCAAGGCACCTTGTTGTCCTCGCCCCGTAACAAGTAGGTACCGAGTCGCATGAGAAGCTCGCAAACAGGTCATGCCCTGAACTCACTTGTATGTACGATATGCTCTCTTAAGGCTTGCCAACAGCAACCTAGAGTGCTGTCGTCTCTCAGGCAGCAAGGCACGTGAAGACGCGGACTGGGCCGTCCGTGCCAGGGTCGACCGAGGCCGGGCGTTTCGAACTCTCGGCAGCGACTTGCATCATTCGACGAGAATTAACTTGAGGAAAGAGCGACTTTCGTCCCAACTGCGTCGCCCGCCGGCGGTTGTGCATCGCATCGCATCATGTCGACCCTCCACCCGGCCGCCGACATGGAGGAGGTCGAGGACGAGCTCATCTTCCAACAAACACTTCTGGACACACTGGATCCCGCCGACAGCAGCAGCAACGAGCGCAGACAAGAGGTGGAACTGTCCATCATGGATCTCGAGAGGCGCATGGCTGCCTTCAACAATGCCGCTCCCGCTTCGTCACAACCAGAGGGCCATCCCTCATACAATGCGCCCGGCGCATATCCTCAGTCTGACGCCAGCGACATGGACCAAGACTTCCCAACATTCGACGCCTCGCTCGCTCAGCCCAGTCCGAGCAGGAACGCACAGCTCAAGAGGGCACGCGATCAAACATCGCCTCCGGCCAGCTTCGACAGGAGCAAGAGACCTGCGCCTAGCCCCATGGGTCCGCCGAGTCAGCGACCACTCAGCCAGGATCGCCGCACCGCCTACTTGGAGAGACAGCGCCAGATCGAAGCCGCCGCCCGCCAAAGAAGAGAGTCTGTGGCTGCCGACGCCGACTTTGCCTCGAGACTAAGCCAGCAGCCCTCTTCCTCGCCCATCGCCGGCCCATCGCGCAACAACCTGTACTCGCAGCCCGACATGTCGCCCAGTAAGATGGCCCCAGTCTTCAGGCCCCCAGGCTACAGGCCCAATTCTTCTTCGCAACCGCAAGCTCCTGCTCCGTATCCCGACGCAGCTGCACCTCGTGTCAAGCCTGAAGTTCACTCGAGCCCGGGATATGGCTACTCTGCTAGACCCGTCAAGCCCGAACCATCTCACCATGCTACCCCGTCGACCAGCCGCTATGGTGCTCTCCATCCCCAGGTCATAGACTTGACCGGAGATGATGAACCCGAGGCTCAACAACTTCAGATCCAACGACTCAAGTCCAATCCTGCCGAGGAACTGCGACGTCGCCACCTCTGGGAACAGAACAATGCTGTCAGCCCACAACACAAGCACGAGATCATGATGCGTCAGCAACAGGAAATTGCTTTTCATCGCCAGCAAGAGAACACCCGCCAGGCACAGGTGGCTATGCAAGGCTCCCGAGATCCGACTCGTGACATGCTCGACCAGGCTAACCGCCGCCGTCTCGAGCAATGGCAACAGCACGTCGCTGCCATCCAGAGGTTCAATTCTCAGAACCCACACCAGCCCCGTCCTCTTCCAAACCACGTACCTTACGCTCAGCAATCTCCATCCTTCATGCGCTCGTCCCAGCAGCCTGTACCACGTGCCGCTCATGACGATCTTGCTCAGTTAGGCGGCCTCATCAATGGACGTGGCAGACACACCAACTTCGGATCGGATGATGATGATGATCTACAGTTCCTACGTTCCACGACGATTCAGCCTCCAAGCTGGGAAATCTACGATCCCGACAGCGCCGATACCAAGGAGGAACTCCGTAAACTGATGGAAAACATTCAACCTGACGACGCTTCCAAGATAGCCAACGAAGAGGATGTACCAGTTGAGGGACTCACCATCAAGCTCAAGCCTTATCAATACGCCGGCCTTGAGTGGCTCCAGAAAATGGAGAACGGCTCGAACAAAGGTGGTATCTTGGCAGACGATATGGGCCTGGGTAAAACTGTCCAGGCCATCTCACTGATGGTCACCAACCGCTCGGAGGACCCCTTGAACAAGACGACTCTCATCCTTGCACCTGTTGCTCTTCTACGTCAGTGGGAACAGGAAATCATGACGAAAGTCAAGCCTGGTAGACACAGACTCCACACGTTCATCCACCATGCAAGTGCCAAANAGAAGAGTCACAAGGACTTGCGCGACTTTGATGTTGTTCTGACTACTTTCGGTACTATTGCTGCTGAACTGAAGAAGATCGAAAAGTATGAGATGCGCAAGAAAGCAGACCCAATGGCTCAGCCCAGAGACGACGAAAAATGCATGTTTATTGGACCGGACTGTAAGTGGTACAGAATCATTGTCGACGAAGCACAATGTATCAAGAACAAGACCACCAAGACTGCTAGAGCTGCCTTTTATCTCCAAGCTCGATCTCGCTTCTGCATGACAGGAACCCCTATGATGAATAGTGTTGAGGAACTCTACTCTCTAATCCACTTCCTACGCATCAGACCATACAACAACTGGAACACTTTCAGGACTGATTTCAACCAGCCGTTGAAGGGCACCAACGAGACCGCCCGTCAGATGGCTATGCACAAGCTGCAAGCGTTGCTGAAGGCCATCCTTCTTCGTCGCAACAAAAAGACTGAGATCAACGGTCGTCCAATTCTCAACCTGCCAGAACGACGAGTCGAAGAAACCAACCCCGACTTCAGTGAGGATGAGCGCAACATCTACGTTGCCCTTGAAACTAGTTCCGCGGTCAAGTTCAACAAGTATCTCAAGGCTGGTACAGTCAGCAACTCCTACATGCAGATTCTGGTTCTCCTACTTCGTCTCCGCCAAGCCTGTTGCCATCCCAACCTCATCAAGGATCTTGGTATCGTTGCTGCGACTGCCGAGATTACGCAAGAGACCATGGACGAAATATGCAGGAACCTCGATCCAAATGTCATCACTCGCATCAAGGAAGCAAATGGCATATTCGAGTGTCCTGTATGCTACGACGCCGTCGAAAATCCTGCCATCTTCACACCTTGCGGCCACGACACATGTCCAGACTGCTTCTCGAGAATTGCCGATCCTTCCAATGCGCTTGCTGAAGGAGATGAAGGACGAACCGCCAAGTGCCCCGAATGTCGTGGTCCTATCAACACGAAGAAGGTCATCGACTACGAGTGTTTCAAGCGCATTCACATTCCCGAAGAAGTCGCTCCTGATGAGATGGTCGATATCAAGACTGACGCAGACGGTGACGACATGGCCGCTGTTGACACTGACGACGACTCCGAGGATGAAGAAGAAGATGACGATGATGAGACTGATTCTCTTGATGGCTTTATTGTCGAAGATGGCGCTGAAGAAGAGGACAATGAGGAAGCAGCAGAGCGCAGGCAGAAGGCTGCTCTGAAGAAGCCGCAAAAGAAGTCCAAGTCAAAGATGAGCAACAAAGCCAAAGGAAAGATGAAGGAGTCGAGCAGTTCCGACAAGAAGAAGAAGGCGGCTACGATGACAATTCCTGAACTGAAGAAGATGGCGACCAGAAAGCCTGGATGGCGAAAGATCTACCTTCGCATGCTGAAGAAAGACTTTAAGCCTTCATCCAAGATTGAACGTACCATGGAGATACTGGATGGCATCATGACAGCACTCGAGGGTGAGAAGATCATCATTTTCTCCCAGTGGACTTCTCTACTCGACTTGCTCGAAGTACCCGTGTCTGGGAAGGGCTGGGGCTATCGCCGCTATGATGGAAGCATGAACGCCAAACTCCGTGCCGACGCTGTGGACGACTTCAAAAACAAGCCCAATGTCCGCATGATGCTGGTCTCACTCAAAGCCGGCAATGCAGGTTTGAACCTCAACATCGCTTCTCAGGTGGTCATTATGGATCCGTTCTGGAACCCGTACATTGAGGAACAGGCCATCGACCGCGCTCACCGTCTCGGACAAACCAGACCTGTTATGGTGCACCGTGTATTGATCAAAGAGACCGTCGAAGACCGCATCATCGCCTTGCAAGAGAAGAAGCGTGCTCTCATCTCCGAGGCGCTTGACGAAANNAAGGCCTCTCAGAGTTTGGGCAGATTGAGTGTACAGGAATTGGCGTATCTCTTCGGTATTAGTAGGAACGTCAACGATGCGCTCCCCGCCGCTGGCCCGAGGGCTAGAGTCCGTCAGGGCGGTGCTGGTGGTATGGGTGCTTGAAACCAATACATCTGTTTTACAGGAGTTCACAAGAGTAACACATGGGGTTCAAGGGAGGGTCATGAAGGCCGCAAGGGATAATTGTTGATGAATGGTGTACGGGTTCTGCTTTTTTCAACGACATGATTCAACGATGAGTATGGCTTTTCTTTTGTCCTTTTTTCTGTTCATTGTTCATGGAATTCTTTTGCCTTACAGTACATGGCTTTTTGACTATACATGATACGCTACAATGCAGAACATACGCTGTTTTTGATCTACCCTTTGTTGTCTTGTGCCCTTCCTGACTTGCGTATTCTGGAACTGTCCTGGAGTTGCAGTGTCTTGGAGCTTTGCTGGGACAGATGATCAGAATTCGAAACATGACCGATTTTCGGTACAACATACAGCATACTGCGACGAACCAAACTCTAGAAGTCTCTTCGCTTGTCCGTGAATGCATCTAAACATCTTTCCGAGCATGACTCATGGAATCAAGTAGGAGAGGATATAGTAGCAGGGTTGGATGGCCAACGAGAAAGAAAGAGCCGATGACGTCAACGCGTCTTGCTTTCCTTCCTCTCCTGCCTCACGCGTTTTGTCTGTCAATTCATCTCTCGAACCTCAATGCCATCCAGATCATCGATAAGTTTCATCAAACGGATGTGTACACTGGACTGTCACAGAATTTCCAAGGCCTCTCAATAAATCCAGGCTCCAATATACGCTTGATGAACTTCTATGTCAACCTACATCTTCCGTTTGGGTGGACGAACATCCACTACACCGGACGCTCGTCGAGATTCTCGGCGCCAGCCATTGTTTGCGTCTCTTCATCCATTACAATCTTATACGCCGACTCCTCCATGAGCTCCTCGAGACCAAATCCATCATCGTGTTCAACAGCTCCAAAGTCTTTGAGCAATTGCACTATCTCTGCGTCTATCTTCACCAATGCGATTTCGAGCACTTCGTCTAGTTGTCTCTTTGCTCCGGCAGCCAGTAACATCCTTACAATGTCCCGGTTACTCTTCTGGACTGCCATGATCAGTGGCGACCTTCCTCGATAATCCGGTGTATCGACGTCGACGTCATGTGCTAAGAGTGTCATGACCGACTTTGCGTTTTCGTCCCTTACGGAATACCACAATGGAGTATAGCCCCGATCTGAACAGGCGTTTTTATCAACTCCAGGTTGTGCCAGGAGGAGCTCGATCACTCCTGCCTTGTTAGATTCGGTGGCACAGTGCAACGGAGTGCGACGGTCGCTGGTGATGGGCCTAGTGCCGTCACCAATCCCTCTCGCAATCAGGTTGCGGCACAAATCTTCGAGACCGACTGAAGCTGCTATGGTGAAGAGCGACCTGCCCCCGTGGACAACTGACCCAGATCCGTGCCCTCAACAGCCATGAGCATCTCGACCAGGTCCGAATTTCCTGTGTAAGCTGCCGCCAACAAAGGGGTATAGTTGCGTCTGGATACATGAAGGGGGTTGACATCATCCCGCTTAAGCATGAAAGCGACAATGTCAGTGTGTCCGCATTCTGCTGCCACCTCGAAAGCAGTGTACTTCTCATTGTTCACTGCCTCAATGTTGGAAGCATCTGTCTCAAGCAACAACTTCACTATTCCCAGATGACCGCCACGACAGGCCTCATGCAGAGCTGTCTCTTTGTGCTTGTCCGTTCTCAACACTACACTCGCATCGTGTTCGATCAACAACTTCACTATCTCGATACTGCCCACTCGAGCCGCCATCATACACGCGTTCGTCTTGCCACGCGTATCTTCATGGTGGATATCAACTCTCCCTGTCTTCAAGAGACTTGACGCGGCGCCCGGGTGTGCATTGAAGGCGCAATACATCAGAGGCGTATGCCCGTTCTTGTTCTTGATGTTAAGATCATCACACTTGTCGCTGTGAATTACGATAGGAGCGTACTCGTCTGAGTAACAACTGTAATGGAGGCCGGTAGATTCGTAAGTGTTGTCCTTGATCATGGGATCAGCACCTGCTTCGATCAGAAGCTCGACAACTCGAGCACTATTCATATTCTCGCAAGCGAGTATCAACGGAGTCTTGCCATCCGAGTCTCGAGGATCGACTGTTGCCCCTTCACCCAGGAGCAAGTGCACGACTGCGGCACTACTGACGGCATTGTGTAACGGGGTTGTCTTGGAGATTTTGGTGACAGCATTCACATCGGCTCCATGCGCAATGAGTAGCTCTGCAAATGCCGGATCTGGATCACTACGCTTGCACGCAGCATGGAGAGCGGTCCAACCATGATTCTCTGGATCTTCGCTCTTTGCGTCTGCCCCACCATCGAGCAGGAGTTTCAAAACTTGCAGATTTGCCTCCGAGGACGCGTACACAATCGGGCTTGACCAGTCTGATCCCGTCACGTTTACTTCTGCCTTATACTCAAGCAGAGCACGCACTGTAGCCTCGTTGGTTTTCGCCACTCTTGCCGCATATTGTATAGGTTGCCGATTGTTCTTGTCCTTGGCAGAAGGATCCACGCCTGCCTTGAGGAGTATGCGTAGATGTACTGCGAGGCCGCTTCTTGCCAACTTATGCAGCGGGGTCATACCTTCGAGATTGGCAAGACTCGCATCCGCTCTGTTCTCGAGAAGCAATTCCAACATTGTCTCGGACGCTGCTGGGCATCCTGCGAGGCAGTTCAGAACGGTATCTCCATCGTCGTCCTGTATGTCAAGTTTGGCGCCACGAGACAGAAAAAGCCGTACCACATTCTCCTTGCCTGCTTTGACTGATAAGTAGGAATGGAGGGGAGTGCAACCGTTGTCATTCTTCGCGTTGACATCACACTCTTCCTCTAACAATCGTTCAGCAATCGCATACAGGTTGTCGTCTTTCTCTGCGCGGACTGCCCAATGCAGGACTGAGTCACTGCCTGGGACCGCCTGACAGGTCGCTCCCCGCTGGAGGAGGCAATTCACAAGCTCATAATCGCCCTCGGAAGCGGCATTTTCGAGCACACTGAACCCGCCTTTAGTGCGTAGAGAGAGATTGGCTTTGCCTGTCTCCAGAATCATCATGGCGGCTTTCGTTCTTGACTTGTCCGCGAGCTCATGCAAGGGTGTATAGCCCCATCGGTCGACCACCGAGATGTCAGCTCCAGCATCCAATAGTACTCGGACCACATCGTCAGGGCCTTCTCGTTCGGCGCACGCTGCAGCCAGAGGCGTCATGTTGTCATGGTCTCTTGCATCGATGTCCACACCATATCCCAGCATACGCTGGACAACGTCAACAGAACCTCCTCGGGCCGCTTCATGGAGAAGAGTTTGACCGGCAGCACTTTTGATATTAATCGCAGCTCCGGCGTCTATCAGCGTCTGCACAATGATGTGATCACCCCGTTTGGCGGCAAGGTGAAGAGCACCTAGTCACCGTATCAGCAATATTTACAAAAGAAGCAACGAAGCAGACACTTACTGATTCCATCGTTGTCAGTCGCATTTACGTTGACACCTTTGGACACAAAAAGCTCAATGGTGTCAGCATCACACTTTCCGTCTCCACCAATGATCTCATGAAGCTCTGTTCTACCAGAAGCGTCTGGTTCGCATATCGCTCCGCTCTTGAGGAGGTACTCAATGACCTTCAGCTGGTTCCCTGCACAAGCGAAGTCCAAGGCTGATCTACCTTGATTGTTCTTAATATTGAGCTTTGCCTTTTGGAGAGAAAAAGCCGCNACCAAGTCAAGATCGCCGGCTTGTGCTGCCATGTGGAGAACGGTATCTCCATCAATGTCCTGAGAATCGATATTGGCTCCTGCCCTGATGAGAAGCTTTATAACGTCCTGGAACTGCTCTTCTCGGCATAGACTGGCTGCGAACAAAGCAGTGCGTTTGAAACGACCAACGATATTCGGATCAGCACGTTTCTTTAGAAGCGCCTGCACGGTCGAAAGTTTGCCATACTCTGCTGCAACTATTAACGCGGTGTCGTCATCCAGTGCTTGGAAGTTCACAAGAGCACCCCTGTCTAGCAGAAATTTGCACAAATCTTGATTACCAGCCTTGGCTGCCGCAATCAAAGGTGTCTTGCCGAAATCGCTTCGTCGATTCACTTCCACACCGTCCAACGAGAGGAGGTAATCCACGATGTCTTTGTGCCCATTCACGCACGCAGCCAACAGTGGACCAAAATTGGTATCGCCTTGATGGTTGGCATCCATGTCTTTCTCATCGATGAGTCTCTTGACGATCTCGAGGTTACCCGCAAAAGCAGCTATGTGAATTGGCGCCTCGCCTTTGATATTGTTGTATCTCCAGTCAAGGTCGAAATGCTCTTCGAAAGCATCGATCAGGCCGAGCCTTGCTATGACGAAGCTTTGTGTCGCTTTGTGCCCGTTAAGACATGGGTTCTCGAAGTCGGTTACTGCCACGAAATATTCTTCTCGCTCGGTACTCTCCAAGGCGTCATGATTCCAGACAGCGAATACATCTTCGTCTCTTAAAAAGGACCCCAACTTCTCAATGAGATCCTCGGTTCGGCTCTTCACCATAAGGCAATGGTATACCCAGTTGACCACCGCATAAGCATAGAAGCACTTCGAGTTCGGATCAGGACGACCATCGTCGTCGTACATGTTCCGTCGAGATGACTCGAACTCTTCTAAACACCTCGACGCTGCAAAAGTGTGCAGATTGTCGCTCTCATAGCCCTCCCTTTTCTGGAGGAACTCCTGTACTGATAGGTGTGCGAACCTGAACGTGTCAGTCTCGTCGTCCACAATTACCAGATTCCGGCAAACGTCCAGCACATCGTCTTTGCTCAAGTTGTCATCGTCAGCGTCCGAGACAGCCTGCAAGAAGGTCATAGTGTTGAGCGGACGCCTGCATACCAGGAGCCATCGGAGAACAGATCCTGCAATCTCTCTGCTACTCCGCCCAGACTGTGTGATGCGTTCGAAAATGCTTTCGTACAGCTGTCCAATCTCTGTGGGATTCTTATCGAGTTCAAGCAAGACGTCTTTCTCACGCTTGATCCCCTCGTCGCACAAGGTCTGTAGCTGAAGCTTTACCCAGAGGAACCTACTTTCGTCAGCCATGATCCCGAAAGATGTTTGACGGGTATGAATGGAGCTGGGTAAAACAGTTTAGCCCAGCCGTGGTGTGTATCAATCAGGAACAAGATGCCTTCGAATCTAAGCATCTCAAGAAAATCTCATACTGGGATGGACTCGCTCGACGAACTTGTTCAAACCGAAGAGGCATCTTGCTTTGGAATACACACCCGGCGTGCTCGGGCATGCTGATGTTTTGTCCAGCTTCGTCCTCTTCTGTATGCACATACATTCCTTGAGCAGAGTCGTTCAACTTTTGGACTATTGTTATCTTTAGTTGGTCGCTGACCTTGCCTCTGAGCAATCTTCTCTCGGATATAGCTCGATCGACCTCAATACTGACATATCTCCGAATATCGTCTTTGTTGTCGCCCTGTCCGATCAGAACCTGTACAGGAAACTCATCCTTTGGCATATCTTGACAAACTTCGTTTCGGCCAGAGATGATGACCTTTACGGATGCCTTCTCCATGATGATCTTGATGGAGTCTAGAAGTTCCAACCTTTCCGCGCACTCATCCAGGGCATCAATCAAAATCGTTGCTGTGCGGTCTCCAACGACCTTGGGAATCAGTTCGGTCAGGCCTTTGACGCCGAGGCGCTCGACCTGGTCGGCATTCTTCTCATCGGCATCCTTTTTTTGTTTCTTGTATGCCTCAAGGAATGCTTCTTCTGGTGGCTTATCCAAGCCGGTGAATGACAGCTGTCTCGCTATTGCCCCGAGAATCTCCTGCGTCTTGGTACGCTGTTGTTCCGAGCCGTTGCAATAGAAGAAAGCTACTTTCGATGCCTCCGGGTTTACTCTTTGCTCATCTAGGAGCTGTTGAACAACGACCGACCTGTCTTGCGTTAGTCGAAGCACCATTTGTCTTGAGACATGCTAACATCAGCTTTGTTTTGCCGCAGCCAAGTGAGCCATGGAGTAAGATGGCACACGAGTTGGAAGACTGCTTCCAATCAATATAATGATGGCGTTCCATCAGCCACAAACCTGTGTCTGCTACCAGATCTTCATGTGCTTTGGCATGATGGCTCTGCACAGGGACCGTCGACAGCCACTGAAACTTCTGCTTCATCTCTTCACCTGCAAAAGATAAGCAGCGGCGTACGAGTAGTAGCTTGGAGACCTACGTATTCTCTCGGTACGCATCTCGTTGATCTCCGTGGTCAACTCATCTATTGGTTCAAGTTTCTTCATCATGTCGCGAGAAAGTTGACGTAGTCTTTCGAGCTCTTCGNCGTTTCATCAGCTAACATGCTAGGTGTTGTCTTAGGGCGACATACCATCTCGTGTGGATTCCGTACTACCTTGGATGTCGCTCAGCTTTCGGTCGGAGTCTTTTTTCTCTGCAGACGTATCAGTAACTTTCCCGCATNTGATCATAGCAGCCCTTCGGTCATCATACTTTCAGCATCGATCACCTTGAGGATCTCATCGACCTCGACATGGCCAGTTCTGACGTCTGCCATAGGCTCTTCTACCAGAGTGCGCGATGACTTGAAAGCACTTTCACCGACTCGTCCTGTGGAAGTTATCAGCACATCTGCATCAAGTGTGCTCTACTCAACCATCACTCACTCGCAGTGCTTTTGTTGTAGTAGGCATTTGCGATGCCTAGATACTTCAGAATCGCCACGTAGAGCTTGGTTATACTATCGGTGAGTTGTCCTCTCAGCGAAGAGTCTTCGAGCAAGTATAAGCTCTCTACCACCGCGTATCTGGTGATCATGGCTGAAACCAAGTCGATGCCTTCAGCCATGTCTTGGAAGCTCGTGCTGTCGTTGACCGCAATCTGTTGCTTGTCGCGTCAGAGATGGAAGAAATGACATCCAAGCATGCCAGTGTGCATGACTCACGTTCAATAATAGTCTCACGCCCGCCCAAGGCAACGCAGCATGTCCGGGATCATATTGCACAAGTGTGTCACCAATTTCCTTGAACTGAATCAATACCTTCGTCACTTTGTCCACATAGTGTCTCAGCGGCACCTCGCCCTTCTTTGTCTTTACCCTGATCTGGTTTCTGTTTACTCTTTCTTCGCTACTCTTGACCTCGGCCAGTGCTTCTTTGATGATGGTATTGGAGGATGTGCCCGTCTTTGGTATTTCGAGCGACTTTTTGTCTTTTTCTGCGAGTTTTTCGACGGCTTCTTGCCAGAGGTTTTGGGTGAGGTGGTGATGCAGAGACGTATTTTTGACGGTTGAGGGCGAAGGGGTTGTGGGGCGAGAGGGCGCTTTGCTGTTTACATCGCCCGCTCGCTGTGGGGTTGGTATGTGAAGGCCGTCTCGATGCACAGATGCGACGGCTTGGTAAGGCGGTGGATGATCCATTTTTCGTCGGTGATTTTTCTCTGATTTTGTACGACGCAGAGGTAGAAATCCACGGCAAAAACGGGGATGGAGGAGGAAAAGCAAGTGAGATGAGATGGGATGAGATTGTCGCCCCTCCCACCCCCCTCATCGAGTATGCTTCTTTACGAATGATTGCCAGCCTCGTTCTTACGCGCCAGGCTTGCATGATGAGGAGGCGTGATAGGTTGGCGGCCTGATGGAGCGCCCTCATTCGTCAGGTATTCCTAGGCCAAGCGTACAAAGGCTCCGAGGTCTTCCACGTCGATTTTACCGAGTTTTTACACACTTTTACAACCATTTGTACAAGTTACACCTTTGTTATAGATGTCGTCTCTATTGATTGTGGATACTCTGGCACTGGAAGCTGCGAGTATGCGTGCCTCCAATTGTGGCTGGGAGAGCTGTATATAAGTCATCGATGATTCGTGGCAAGTCAAATCGCCATGCAATGCAGGATTATATATTGTGGCTTTGAGTGGGACCATCCACTTTCTGAATGCGAGCAAAACGCTTTTTTCTTCATCTACATTTCTTCATGGATTTTCGACATCATCTCCATTCCCTGAAGATGATTATTATCATACATGTATAGAGATTGTATCGATTCTGGCACGACAGAATGGGATTTCCACTCTAGCCTTTCCAATATTTGTTGTTCCAAACCATAAAAAGATGCACTAAATGTTATCGCAATCTTTGGAAGTTTCCAGTGAGAGCCCCAAGAAACAGATTGATCTCTCTGGACGTTCCTCTGGATATCCCACTGGGCACAGAAACTTATCGTGCAATTCCACAGGTATATATGACTAGGAACCGTTGAACCAGGACATGATTTTACGAAAAGTTGACACAGTACACCTTCATCTCCAACTTCATCTCCGACACACTTTTCTTGAACTATAGAAATGCAAAAATGTAGATCGAAATCTATGAGTCTACCATTGGAGAGTTTCAATATCGAAGGGGCATTTCAGTGGATATAGAGTTCTTTTCGTAGTTTATTGTGCATTTTTGTAGCGAAATCAGATTGGCAAATTTCAGGCTGAGAGAGAGGGGGAAGATGAAGTGAGTGTATTGTTCGAGTGACTTCACGAAAAAGGCATTCGTGAGAGTTATAAGAAGTTGAGCGTCCTCGTTTTATATATTTGTGTCAGCAACCTTTGCTATATACGTCTTTTGAGCATACCGTATCGTTCATTTCTTCATTTCCATAATTTCGTAAGCAGCGATAGCAATACAAAGAACTCCTCTGTGTATCATCATCACCATCGTATACCAGCAATTCCCATATCCATTCGTGTTTCTGCACCCTTCCAGCGAAAATCAATGTAACCCGACCATCGTTCTTGTAAGAGCCCGAATATCTGTCCTTTCTTCATCATCTCCACCACAAGATCACACAATTGTAAACACCCAAATCTCGCTCCATAGTCTGCTTCATAGAGTCGTCGTGACAGACAGAGCATGCTCAATGTCCATAGTTGTAAGCGCGGGCGACCAACTAAGCCGCCAGGCTAGGCCAAGCCACAACCTCAACGACGCAAAGATATTTGGCGAATGATTTCTGATAGAGTGTGGGGCGAGCGTGGGTACCGGCCAATTGCACCATGACTTTGTCGAAGCCGCCGAAAGCGAAGATGAAGAGGATGAAAGGGAAGACTGAGCAGACAACGAAGAGGGCCCACGATCTGCGCTTTCCTTGTTTGCTTCTTTGGAGCCAGGCGCTGTCATTGGCGAGGCTGTGTGTGCGGGCAGATTCGATCAGGCGTGGTGTTGGCTTGTCTTGTCTCTCCAGGATCAGGTCCTGGTCGTCGTCATAGCTGGAGATGTCGAGAGGAATGGTGGGGGCTAGTGACGGAGCACTCGCTTGAGTGCGGATGCTCGGTAGAGGAAGAGGAAGAGGTGGTGGTGTCGTGCTGTGTTGCGGATCTTTTGTTTTTGGCGCCCGCTCCGAATCGGGAAAGAGCTTGAACTTTCCGAACGACGTTTCATAAGGCTGTGAAGCCTTCACTTTGCCCAGATTGAGGGCATCTTCTTGCTGTCCCATTTCAGAGACAGAGTCGTGGTCTGACTCTTCGGCGTCGAAGACACCCGAACTCAAGCCCGACAAAAACCGGGAGACAGGGGGAGGAGGAGCCCGGTCAAGGATCCTGGTGGGAGGTGTGGGGACCGCCTCGTCGCTCTCGTCCTCGCCACGGTACCTCACCGGACGATAGGCGGGCGTGGGAGGGGGCAGGAGGGAGGGAGCCGGGCCAGGAGAGGAGACGGGGAACGGCTCGCGGCGGGCGTCGATGTACGACTGGCGGTCGAGGTCTCCCGCGTGGATGAATGCGGGAGACCTCGAGCGGTCCGACGCAGCGTACGCCTCTACGAGGCCCTCGAGTGTGGAGAGAGTGGTCAAGCCACTCGAGGGCCTGACGCCCTTATCGTTGCCGTCCATAGCGGCGGAAGAGGGGAGGGTCNNTATAAGTAGTCTTTAGCAACGCTGTGGATATGCAAAGTGGAAACAACTTACGGTGTTGTTGCCTGCGTAGATGCAGGAAGAGCTTTGGAGGAGGTAGAGGTCGAGGAGAGAGGTTGAANNGCTAACACAATGTCAGTTGAGCCTGGATTTCGGTGGTTGTGGGCTGATTGGAAAGCCTCGAGGAGACTCTGCTCCCAGCTGGTGAGGTGTGCAGGAATGTGGCTATAGAAATGCAGAGTGTAGTTCGGAGACAGAGGATTGTCCATTGAGAGGAGAAGAAAAAGACTTACAATGCTTTGTCGTTGCTGTCAAAGAGGAAGAAGATGCGTGCTTGTTCAAACCGAGTACTCGAGATGTAGAGGTCTGTGCGCTCACTTGTATCTTTGGGCATGTGATATTACCATCCATGGCAGCCTCCTGCTTGACCAAACGCATGAGAGAGACAGTAGTCAGTGACAGATGCCGACCAGTATCGTCTGACTGGCTACAAATATCGGTTCCACGCTCTAGACGACCAAAGAATGTCGTCTCCCCATGCTCATCGAAACTCCACCCGTAATCAAGACTTTGCTGGAACTGGTCATGCTCCAGGACCACGTCGGAATGGAACGACCGACCACACCATTCTTTCTGAGCGTCTTGAGCAATACATCTCGACATGAATGAAAAGCCCTTCCAGAACGACATTGCAAACCGTCGAGCTCGCAGCACCGCTTCAGTCGACCCAATACCGTTTTCGAACTTCTGCAGACACAACGATCCTGAACGTCTTCTCGCCGACGAGCAACGCTGCTAACCTCCGTCAATTGCTTCCCGATGACCTCGTGCTGACTCAAAAATCCTGCAGATCCCCAGTGGATATCGGCGGCGCAAACGAGACAAGCGATTTCGACAGCCCAGCGTCGATCAAGATGTTCGCTGCAACAGAACACAGCGCCTAAATCACTCGAAGATGCTTGAAAGATTTCGGTTTGGAATCAGATGGATCTCAAGAGGTTCTCCCGGGCTGATCTAGAGGATATGTTGCTTGTCAAACATGCGGAACCACCACAGAGCTTGTTGTTCCGACTGGGTTTTCTTGTTACGTGACTGGCAAGCTTCTTCGGCAAACACGAGATCGGCATTCGACTCCTCGGTGCTGGTTTTCTGGTCCAGGTCGTGTATCTCAGCTTGATTGTCGTCTTTTGAACAGAATGAACGAGGCAGGCTCGAATCGTATCGGCACTCGAGCGAAACCAGGGAAGAGAGCGAATGGGCGACCTTTTCTACTCGTCTGAGAGGGGCTTCTGAGCTCGATGAGTGTCGTCGGGTGGTGTTGAAGGGTGCTCTTGTAGATCTCAGGAGCGAGTCCGCCAAAGCCTTCCTGGGCGCTCTCAGAGGCGTTGTCCAAGGTGGCTGGAGCCAATACGCGTACTCGATTGGAATCGTCTCAGTTGCAGAATGTGATGTTGATGCTCGAAGATTCGGAAGGTCGCCTGAATCGTTGTCCGGCGAGGCTAGCGCTTTGCAGTGTACAGAGCAGTGGCGACGACGATACAGTACAGTTCACTTTTAGAGATCTTCGCGAAGCGTATCAGGCGGTAGAATCTACCGATGAGAGGCGAACTCGTGCAACCAAGAAAGTGTCTGAGATCGACGAAGCTTGTGACTTCTGGCTTCCTTCGGCTGGTTTTTGAATGGGAAAGCATCACCATGTCGCTCTTGCCTTTGGAGTACTATCTCCAACCCACCGATTGAGAGATCACACCGATGACTTCGAATATGGAAACAACACACTGGCCAATCCGAGCCAGACATCACTTTCCGTTTACTGCTGCATTTGACCGAGTCGTTATTGTTGCCGTCACGCTCCTTCTCACAATGTGCTGGACCTCAAAGGCTCAACTGGAACCTTCATCGCAAACGCCGCTTCAGTTCCCTGAGATTGTCTTCCTCGGATGTCCTAAAGCTTCATCAATGGAAGGCAACATTTTGTGTTGGTCGAAGAAAGGGAGAACCGATTTCAAGCTATGGAGTTCGTCGGCAATATTCTCGGTTTCAAAATTCATTAGAATTCGCCACCCGGTTGTCGAAGTCGATAAACATAGAATTCATTACGTTTTAAGAGATTTATTTAAATAATACTATAACTACTTATTTTACTTAGCTATAAATTTGCATATAAATATAAGCCATTTATATATATAGACTTATCTAGTTATATATAGTATAGATATAATATTTAGCTTATAAACATAGATTTACTAACTAAAATTTTAGCATTAATTTTTTTTTATTATATTAGCTATTGTTTTATAATTATATATTATATAAGCCTATAAGTTTAGCTACTTATATAATACAGCTAGGTCTACTGTTTTATATAAATAGTATTTTGAATAGATTATTATAGCTAAAGTTATTTACTGTTTTATGCTTAATAAAATTTAAGCTTTAGTTTTGTATTTTTTATTTTTTTATAAAATAAATAAATAACAAATCTTTTAATAAATACATATTATTTCTAGTTTATAAATACTATAATTACATAATACATATAGGCTTATAATCAACTAGATCTATATAGTCTAATAGCCTATACTATTACTTACAAGTATATCTGTTTTTATAGTAATATAAGCTATTAGTTATTATGCAAAACCATAAAGAACGTTAAATTTTACAAAGTTTTATAACTTTCAATCGACTTCGAAGACCGGGTGGCGAATTCTAATAAATTTTGAAACCGAGAATACTCCGGCGCATGTTGACGGGGATAACCCAATCACTCCTTTGTCCTTTTCCATCATTGTCGTCGTCACTTTCTATATCGACGCTATCGTATGGATCCGGTACAGAAGAGAGCGCTGTGGTCAATCTAACGCTTGCCACTAAAGCTGAATGGTCCAGGGCTTCATGATTCAGCCGGTGCTCGTGTTATCGTATCCATCACCTCTTGGACAAATCGTCCTCTCCTATACACTAGACAGATACCGTTTGAGGAAGCCCTAGTCAACATGTCCCTCCCCGACTGAGACGCGTGACACAAGATCAATCATGCGTTCAAACTGTTGGTTCATCGTCCTCTCGACTTACAATCGCGAATAGATCTTCACTTTGCAACGTTCTAGCGTTTAAGAATAGTTGCAAATACGACACTTGTTGATATAAGAAATTGGATCTTGCAGATTGTGAATATGGCAAAGAAAGGGGGTACATGGTTGGTATACAAGAGCTGGGTACAGCCGGAGACCGCGGGCCCCGAGAGTAAGCAGCAAGTAATTGCCTTTGTGGCGGCCACGCGGCATCAAGATACAAACACGAGGAGTATGCATGTTGGAGAACAAGGGAGGGGGTCCAGCAGTGAACCGAGAAAATAATTAGAGTGGAAGTTTGACTTGACATTGCGTGGGAACTATCAGAAAGTGTGCACCAGAAGTAAGGGTGTGGCTGTTGGAGTTTATTCCACAATCGAGACAATGCCAGGGATATGCATGCCATCAACAGCCCGGTGGTGTGCGCTATACTGAGGGCATCCTCCATCCTTTCATCTCCTCTCCCCAACGTATGCGGCTCGGCTCAAATCCACAGTCAGGCCCAGCACGAATCACAAACTCCCCAGCTCAGAACACTGTTGTAGCAGGCACAAGCTATACCAGAGGTCACAATACAGCACACAACCAGTGACCAGCAACAGAAGCCAAAAACATAGCAGTAAATCAACAAAAATGGTCGTTAATAACATGATATATACAATCCCCCCGCTCCCAGAACAAAATCACTCCTTTTCTTTACACATATCTATAGCAAAGATCATACCCTTCAGTCAAAGCAACACTTTTCACAGCAACCGAAGTGCCGAACCCACTCATCCTCACGCGTTCATCCTCAACCGACATTTCCGCTCTGGGATGTTGCTGTTGCCAAACCCACCACAAACGGTCCACCTGCATCTGATGCAAAAACAGAGGATCTNNACAAAAAAAAAACCCAAACGTTAGCACCAATGATCTGCAAAAATACGAGGTCGAGGAAGAGACAGTGAACATACCTTGAGGTAATTCCGAGCTGGAAAAGTCAAAGGGCGCCAAGGAGGTAATACGAGTTTCGAGGACGTGTGCAAAGTCGTCGTAAGTGTTGGCTGTCATGATTTCTGATACGAGCGCGGCATCGAGATGTTGGTTTGCGGCTTCGTCGCGGAAAGCGGCTTGTGATGTGGACAATTCGGCTGGTGTGGCTTCGCCGAGAGACTCGGTGTAGGCAGCAGCGACAGTCCAGTCGAGGTAAGGCATGTCTCCTCTGTACGCGCACTCGTTGCGCAAAGCGGACTCGAATGTGTGCATGAAGAAGCGGTTCCAAGGGAGATAGTCTGTGGTTTGTGTTGCGTGCCAGCCAGAGACACTGTACGCGGACAAGAAGTCACCGAGTCTGCTGCCGGCCTTGTCATTCTTCGAGGGAAGCTCGAGTAGACAGCGTACAGCGCTTCTGTAATGTGCTTGCTCGACGGGCTTCATGCTTCGCCATTCACGGCGGAGAGTGAGATTGTCGCATGTACTCGTCGGTGCCGAGGTTGGTAGTGACGTGCTCGTTGCCACGGGGCTTGTCGACTTGTGTAGTGTATGTTGGGCCTTGATCAAGGATTCTGGCCTGCACCAGTTCGAAGAGACTATCGTCGCGACTGTGCCTAGGACGAACAGCAACCACAATAGCAGGAATACTGGTCGTGCTGGAGGTGGTGATGTAGGATTCTGACTCTCCAAGTCATCGTTGTGAATTTGAGTTCTCTCCAGCTCCAGTGCCAACTGCTGCTTCTCGGAAAGAATAGTTTGGTCGGACATTTTGGTATGAGGCTCGAGGTTGGTGCTATGGATGATTGTGAAATACGAGAAAAGCACGAAAGTAGTACGGTGCAGAGTATATATCACAGCGAGCAGTTTGTGGCGCCGTTAGCAAGATTTGACGAGATGCATATATATAGGAAGGGTGGCTTGGGTTGTTTGGATAGAATACGAGTTAGCGTTCGAGACATGTGCTGAGATGTTCAACGGTCGAGGTGGTGGTCATCAAATGAGAACGAGACGTTATTGCACGCTACCGGGCGGTCGGGTTCAGCTTCCACTTCTTCGCTGCAACGACCTCCAAGACCCGAGGTTGACTCTGACAAGTGAAGTTTCTTTTGATCAGAGTGCAGCTGAGAAGGTTCAGCTGGTGAGAGGCTCTCGCAGCGATGATCATGAGCCGCCGGCAACGATCATGATGTGTAGATCTATTGATGTCCGACGCTTCTCCAACATCAATCCCCGCAGAATATCCTGGAATTAGGCGCGACAAGCATTCTTCGAGCAGGTGTTTAATTTTGGTTGCAGAGGGAGGTGGCATCTCACAAAAGCCCCTCGTAAAGAGAGAGGTCTGGCCTTTCGCGCCAAGGAATTTGGCTGACCAAAGGGGGCGCGTTCAGTTGGAGGAGAAGCCTGACACGGCGGCGGCGGAGCGCTGGAGAAACAGACTTTCAACACGAACTTTGCTGAGATGGCGTTTTTGACGGCCGAAAATAGGCCAATCCCCAGGTGTCTAGGGAACGCCATTAGTGAACACGTGCGGACGGCACAGGGAGAGACAGTCTTGTCCAAACATAAATCAACTGAGACCCGAACAGATTCTTGTTTTTTCGAAATGTGATTGCGACATGTCGCGGACCGCGGACAACGGCGACTGAAGAGCAGGCTGGTTTAGGGCTGGTGATTCGACCAGCCAAAACATTTCTCGATGTCGTTGCACTATTCTGCACTTTCTCACCACGGATCGCGACATCGATGTCGTGAGTTCAGACAATCGCTAGACATGACTCGACTATTTTGGTCCTGTCGCAGCAGAGATGCTCGCCGTAGGGCACCGCGAGGATCCAAAACTACTCGGATGGTGCGCATCCAAACGCTCTATGAGGAATGGGATTTGCTATCAAGCCTCACAGTATTCGCCGAGCATCATTGAAGAGGAAGGGAGATGGCAGCACTGCAGGCTATGGGCGGCATCCTTCGCTTACCTCGTGTACGGAAGCTATGTTACCTCGCATGGCCAACTGCACATCAGTGCGCCTCCAAGGCAGCAACATGGTTAAAAGAGAGACGTCCGACAGGACTAATCAGAGAGGCTTGGAGGATGCGAACATGTCTTTTGGGGATGATCGATTCCTTCAATATCGACTATTAGCGCACTTAGATTGATGCAGGGCGTATGCCGCGCGGAAGAGCATTAGAGGAAAAAGAAGCAATGAACGAGGTGTTGTATCGACAAATTGAGCCCAAGCATCTGTCAAGAAGGCTTGGGACGTGGGTCGGTGGTTGCTTGTTGAGAAAGCTCGACCGTGTCCTTCAAAACACGAGTCGTGCGTTTGCAACTTGGCGGTACACCCATCCTCGACCTGACCAGCAGGATGCTGTTCTCGTGTTCTTGTTTCCAAGAGGACAGTAAAGGAAGGAGAGGAAGAGTGTTGAAGGCGAGATGGAAGTCGGAATGTCAAGGCCGACAGGAAGTGGGGTGTGGATCCACGAAAGGAAAGTACAGACGACAGCTTTTTACACATTGAAGTCCGTCACCGAGGCTGGCCTATCGATAGACCCGATGCGATGTAGGTGGTTTGTTTGAGTCACGATTATTCATAGGGGGCCCGAAAAGATGCTTCTTCTACAGAGACCTCGTTCTACCCTCATCCAAAGACGACAGGATTGTTGAAGAAAAGAAAGATACAAGGTCGAAAAAGACGACCTCGGCGAGCTTTCCCCGCATCTGACCTCGCTCATCGTCATCGTCATCGTCAATAGCGCAGGCCTATCGAAGAGCCGAGGACTTTTGTGTTGCAGCAGTTGAGCCACCTTCTGCCCGAACCTGTCATGACTTTCATCTCACGAATCGTCGCAAAGCCTGCATTCAGGTCATCCTTCCAGCCAGTCACTCGTATCAGCATCGCCTCGAGATCATACGCCATGGGACACAGTGTACCGCAGGTGAGTCCCTGCAGACTCGGCCACTGTTCGAGTGCCAATGCTAACAAGATCCCTTGCNAGCTCAATGATCCATCGCTGTTCAAGCAGCAGGCCTTTATCAATGGCAAGTGGGTCGACGCAAAGTCGGGCCAGACCTTTGACGTCCATGGTAAGATGCACCAAGGAGAGGCACGAAGGCTTCATACTGATCAGACTNCAGACCCGGCGACACACAAGACAATTGGCAAGATGCCCGAGATGAACAAAGAAGACGCCCAACTCGCCATTGACGCTGCCGCCGCCGCTTTCCCCAAGTTCCGCAAGACGACCGCCAGAGAAAGAGCAAAGATGCTGCGCAAGTGGTACGACCTGATGGTTGAAAACGCCGAGGACATTGCAAGACTCATCACGTGGGAGAACGGAAAGCCCATGGCTGATGCAAAGGGCGAGGCTGCATATGCTGCCAACTTCTTTGAGTGGTTCAGCGAGGAGGCCCCTAGAGCATACGGCGACACCATCTCTGCCACCGTCGCTGGCAACAGAGTCTTCACCCTCAAGGAACCTGTCGGTGTCTGCGGTCTCATCACCCCGTGGAACTTCCCTGCCGCCATGATCACCAGAAAGATTGGTCCTGCCCTGGCAGCTGGATGCACCGTTGTTGCAAAGTCTCCTGGCGAAACTCCCTTCACCGCCGCCGCTCTGGCCGAACTCTCCGTCCGCGCCGGTATCCCTCCTGGTGTCGTCAACATCATCACTGCCATGAAGAACACCCCTGAAGTCGGAGAGGCTATTACATCGTCCGACATTGTCAAGAAGGTTTCCTTCACCGGCAGCACTGGAGTCGGTAAGCTTCTCATGAAGCAGTCCGCAGACACCCTCAAGAAGCTATCCTTTGAGCTCGGCGGAAACGCTCCCTTCATCGTCTTCGACGACGCCGATCTCGACACTGCCGTCAATGGCGCCATTGCTTCCAAGTTCCGCTCTTCTGGTCAGACCTGTGTTTGTGCAAACCGCCTGTACATCCAGAGAGGCATCTACGACAAGTTCGCCGAAGCCTTCGTCGAGAAGGTCAAGAACTTCAAGGTCGGCCACGGTTATGACGAGGGTGTGACTCACGGCCCCTTGATCCACGATCGCGCCGTCAGCAAGGTCGAGGCTCACGTCAAGGATGCCGTCAAGCAGGGTGGCAAGGTTCTTGTTGGTGGGCAGAAGCTCCCCGACCTTGGTGACAACTTCTTCCAACCCACTGTCATCCGTGACATGACTTCTGATATGGCGCTCGCCCACGAAGAGACTTTCGGACCTGTTGCTGGTCTGTTCCCCTTCGACACCGAGGCCGAGGTCGTCAAGCTTGCCAATGATACAGAAGTCGGTCTTGCTGGCTACTTCTTCTCGCGTGATATCCACCGCATCTACCGTGTAGCAGAGGCTCTCGAAGTCGGTATGGTTGGTGTCAACACTGGTCTCATCAGTGATCCTGCTGCACCATTCGGAGGTGTCAAGCAATCAGGTTAGTAAACACTCGCTCCACTTGATGTACACAAGCTAATTATCCCCCAGNGTTTCGGACGTGAGGGCTCCAAGATTGGTATTGATGAGTACATGGTTACCAAGATGGTTACTCTTGGTGGTATGGGACAGCCCCTGCAAGGCGAGTAGGATATGTTACGATAAGTCCGCATTAACGACCATTTGAATATCACAGTTCAATCCTCAGAACTTGCTTCCGTGACCGTCTGGTCGCTTTTCGCAGTGCGCGTCTCCGATCGGCGAATCCGATCACTTGTGAAGAAGCGCACTAGTTTACTTTGGCTGGCAGGTTTCTTCAATTAGTGTTGGCGAACCATTGGCTACCTCGACCTCCGACGTCAACAACACCTACTTCCAGGCGCATCACGCGTTTGTTGAGAATTCCACCATCTTCCTCACTCCATCATCTCTTTCGACTGCACTTAGTCACCTTTCATTCATGCTCCACCAAAGGCTTCCAATACATTCCCGCACAGGTTGCCTTGTCAAGTGAGAAAGATAACTCACTACAGCCAACGTTATTCTGATCAGGAGATCACTTTCCTTGGGTTCGCACACGCAGCGTCAGTCACTGCTCCCTAAGTATTCAGCTCAACACGTCATCCATAGTAGCCACGACACAAAAAGCAAGACAACTCCCAACGCGTGCACACAAACAAACATGGAAAGAATGGACGATGACGACTTCCGGTTCGCTGCAGGCGTCATCCTAGGCTTTCTGGAAATCAGAGGCGGGCTATGTCCAGGCTTTCCTAGATCCAGTGGATGAACAGAGAGATGAGGCTCCAGGCTACTACGCAAGAATTGAGGAGCCAACGGATCTTACCACGATGTTTCAAGAATTGAAAGATCATAGATGCAAAGACCTCTCTGATGTCGAAGGAGCTTTCAAACTGATGTTTGCCAACTGCTTCCGGTACAACACCTCCTGGCGCAATCCTGTGCATCGGTGGCGCAAGAATTTCGAAACAGGACTCCCACAGCCTCTCCTCAGACCCCAATCCAACAACCGCGTCCAGTACAACAGCCCAAGACTTGTCCCAACAACCCATTGCAGAAGAAAGGCACAGCTCCCACATCTGTACACCTCCATCAGCCCTCCACTAACAACCCACAAAACCCCTCTGGTCCCAACGGAGAAGAGGTCTTCCAAACCGCACTCACGAAAATAGTCAAGGGACCAAATGTTCGCCACAAGCCAACGCACCATCACAAACGCTGCCGGAGAGTTTACCCAGCACCACGCAATCATGCATCAACTCTGTAACGGCGAGCACGGCACTGAATTCCTCCAAATCTGGCAGGCCAAAACCCTGCTAAAGGTCAACCGCCTGCAGATTGGAGACATGTTCGTCAGGGGAGTTGAGAGAGAGGTCGAGCAAGCTTTTGCCGAGACACTCACCGAGCAGGCAGAGATGGGTTTCGGAGAGAAACAAAGAGGAGGCAAGAAGAGTCGCCGGGCGAGATGCTCAAGACATGATTCGGCGTGCTGCTGCGCTTTCGAGGACTCTTTGGCAATTCACGATGAGGGCACCGACAATGCCTAAACACTCTTGGCATTGCGAGTACCAAAGTAACCGACGAAGCAAGATGCAAACGACGAATCATGGAAGAATTCTCGTGATTGTACACAACACCATCACAACAAAACATTTCGAAGTACAGCAACAGCACCCACAAAATCAACACGTGTAGGATTGAAAAGACAGGTTCGAGTAATTTCTACAGAAACAGATGTAGAGTAGACGGAGAGATTAAAGATCAAAGGGAATAATTGGAGAAGTGCCGCTGCCCTAATGCAGGAACAGAGAATCCTACCCAAACCCTTAAATTTGCAACCACATTGCAAACAAACATCTCACAGTTTAACACCACCACCTACAACATTATCCCACTCCTTCTTACCAAACTCCTCGTACGCTTCCGCACCCACAGGCAACCAAAACAATCCATCCTCTCCAACTTTACTCGGATCCGCCCCCTGTTCTCTCAATCCATGTTTAGTATACTTCGCCGTACCAGTGACCTCAAACGCAGTCACCACCCTCAAAAACAGCGGAATCGCAAACTTGGGCATCTTGTCTCGCGCATGTGCTGCAATCTCCTTGAGCACTTGCGCAGAAGGCGCAGATTTTAGCATTACGGCCGCACAGCCGGCGCGGCCATCGTGGTTGGGTAGGGCAACGCCATACACATTGATTTCGTCAATGTGAGGGGAGGTAGACAAAGCTTCGGCGACTTCGTTTGTGCTCACGTTTTCGGACTTCCAGCGGTATGTGTCGCCGATTCTGTCGACGAAGAAGAGGCGGCCGTCGGAGTCTTTGCGCAGCAGGTCGCCGGAGCGGTACCATGCATCCCCCTTCTTGAACACGTCGCGCAGAATTTTGGTGTCGGAGGCTTTTTGATTGCCATAGTAGCCCACGTATTTGTCGCGGATGTTGGTGGGGTCTAGTGCATTGATGTATTCGCCTGATTCTCCTGAAGCGACCCGCTCGCAAAAGTTGGAGGTGTTGCGGTAGGGCTCGCCGGTCTCGACGTCGTGTTTGACGATTGCGGTCTGGCTGCCCATGAGTGCTTGTATGGCTGTTCCCGCTCTTCCCACGGCACCTAGACCAAAATTGTTCTTGCTCTTGACGAAACTGCCGCCCACGGCTTCGGTGGCAGAGTAGAATTCGGCAATCTCGAGGATGTTGAAGCGTTCCTTGAACTTTTGCCATACGTCTGGACGTAAGCCGTTGCCAAAGGCCATACGGATGGTGTGGGATTGATCAAAGGGTGAAGGGGGTGTGCTGAGCAGGTAGCGGCACATCTCGCCAATGTACTGCATCATTGTTGCTTTGGAAGCTGTAGCCGAGGCGAAGAAGGTTTTGGGGGAGAAGTGATGGGAAAGAATGGTTGTTGCGCCTGCGTGCAGGACGACCGAGATGTTGAGGATGCTTGCCGAACTGTGGTAGAGAGGCATTGCCNNTGCGTGATTGTCAGTCTGTTTTTTTACTTCAAAAGTAGAGACGGACAGACTTACAGTATAGTATCTGTCTGTGGATTTGATGCCGAGCCAGTTGCTGACGGTCCTGCCAGACAGCAGGAACTTTTTCCACGGGACGACAGCAGGTTTGGGCAAGCCCGTGGTTCCAGAGGTGAAGATGAGTACAGCCGTGTCTGTCATCTGGGCTCCTCCTCGCTCTGCATCAGGCACTCTCAACCCCGTCGCCGCCAGGATCCTGCTCTCGATCATCTCATCTAGCACGACTGGCGTTACCGAGTCTCCCAGCTCTTGTTTGACGTCGTCGGTCAACGCCTCTTGAATGGCAGGGTCCACGATGAACAGCTTGGCCTCGCAAGCCTTGACGCAATGCAGCATGGCCTTTCCGCGCAGGTTTGTGTTGATGAAAGCAGCCTTTGCGCCCAGCGAGAAGAGAGCAAACCACAGGTAGACGAATTGAGGCTTGTTGGTAAAGTTGATGGCGACCATGTCTCCCTTCTTAACACCATGCTCTTGCTTCAGCCATGCAGCGAACTTCAAGACTGTCTCGTAGACATGTTTGTAGCTCAACTCTGTTGCTCGCAAGCCCTTCAAGTCTGCTGGGGTGGAGACGTCTTTGGGGATATGCGGTGGAATGGCGAGGAAAGAGTGGTCGCGTGTCTTGTGGTCGAGGGCGTGTCTTTCGAGTTCGTAGAAGAGGTTGACGCGGTCGTTCTTGACGCACTTCCTGACGTACAACGCGCCGACGATGGTGGCCTTGAGCAAGTCGTAGTCATTGGGCCAACTGGTTTTGGCTCGAAGGTAGGCAATCGATGCTGCTGCCGCTGGGGCTGCGAGGGTCAAGGGTAGTGCTGGAAGCCGAGTTAGCAGGACTCAGGCGCCAATGGCCTCGGAGACCTAACATACCAGCCATGTCTGTCTATATCCTCCTCTGTCTATGAAGACGTCTGGTATCTACGCTTGTCACAAGGAAGTATGATGTGGTCGAGGGAAATTGGGATGAGCAGGCAGAGAGCGACAAGTCAAGCACAACCACCTACCTCGAAAGCTACCTATCCCGACCATTACGCGCATCCTTTGGCAAGTGCCTCTTCCGCAACGGCAGTCAACTGGTCCGAGGGATGGTCTTGCTGGCACCCATAGCATTTCCCGTCTAAGAAGTGGCGCTCGTGACGGAAGAGAGGGGCGCGACAAACAACAAGCCGAGGCTCGGCTGGAATGCCCGTCTGAATTGCTGGGCATTCAAGACCACCTAACTACCTCTTTGCCTGGACAGATCTCTCGAGTCTGGCATACGCCTCGAGCACCGTGTCAGGCACATCTACATGCCCAATGAATCTTTTCCCCTTTGGTCCATAGCCCGAGTCGTCATCTCTCAATCTAACAATCTCTCCCAAGATCAATCCCAGAAATCTGTCCATCTCCCACAAGTCATCCTCTGTGACAGCTTCACGGCTCTCAAACCTCAATCTACCCTCCACCTCTGTAACCATAGGCACAAAAGTAGGACAAGCCTCAAATGCCACTCTATCGCCTTCAAAAGCTTTCTCAAACGACATCTTTGTCCTCAAACTCATCGTCGGATCCTGAATAATCAAGACCTTGCTTCCAGACACCAGTAACCCATTCTTCCGCAACAACTTTCTCGTTTCTGTAGCATTGGCACCGCAGTTTGTACTTTTGTCTTCCACCAGCACCTTCACGCCAGAGTTTCGGACATTGCTTCCAGAGAAACAGGCATCGAGGATCTTTTCCATGACTTGAGCTTCTGGCAGTCCGGTGATTTGTTCAGCAAGATGTGCATAGCGAGGGTTCTTTGCCACTGCGGCATAGAGGTGAGGTGTCGAGTGCCCGATTCCACCGCATAGCACGAGTGTGGGTGTTAGATCTGAACCTTGTCGTTGGAGGGCTCTGAAGAGTGTTTCGGCACAGTGAAAGATCGCGCTGACACAGAGCACGATCGTGTCGTGACGTTGAAATTTGTCTGTGAATGGATCCAGTCGTACTTGCTCGTGAGAGAGAAATGTCGAAACGATGTTTATATCTTTGGCAAGAGTCATCTTGTTGAGTACCTGTGAGTGGCAGTGTGATGATACAGATAAATGATGATGGTTGTCAAATGAAGACCATCGATCTAGGCGGTGCTCCGACTACGGAGGGCGAGCTGGAAGCTGTCCGAGAGAGAGATTATTCCACCTTCCTAGCCCACCTTTTCCAGATATTGTGGGACATGGCGGACTGTACTTCACTCACTACTATACAGGCTGATGTCAATAGCGAGGACATGCAAATGCGTATGTGCAAGAGCATGATGGTAGAATAGTATAGCCAGGGTGACATCTGTAACCAGAAAACTTGGGTAACCAGAAAACTTGGGCCTCGGTATCTCCATTGCTCCCCGCACATCACCATCCAAGCACTCATCTCAAGAAATTGCGAAACTCACCAATCAATTTTATAACTCTAAAAGCTCAAGAAGCACAATGTCACAACCAGAGGCCCCCTGGCAGTCTATCGCCGGTCGCAAGCAGCAGGAGCAGTCAAATGCAATTCCCAAAGACTGGATCATCAAGACTCGTCCAGCAGCCCACCGCAACAATGTCTTGACTATACCTCGAGAATGTGGTATTCTGAGCGCCCGAGAGGTTGAGCTTACGGAGAGATATGATGCTACTGCATTGGTGCAGGAGCTAGCAGCGAAGAGGCTGAAGAGTGTGGATGTTGTTACTGCGTTTTGCAAACGAGCAGCTATTGCTCAGCAACTGGTAATGCAATTCTGTCTCAATCACAAAACAAACACATACTGATAAGATCACAGANCGAGCTGTCTAACTGAAATTATGTTCGAGGAAGCAATCGCCAGGGCGAAAGAGCTTGACGAACACCTCGACAGGACCGGCAAGCCTATGGGTCCTCTACACGGCCTACCCATATCAGTCAAGGACTCTTTCAAAATCATTGGACGAGATGCGTCTATCGGATACGCATCTCTATGCTACAAACCTGCAGAAACCAACTCGGCATTGATCGAGATGCTACTCCAAGCAGGAGCCGTTATCCATTGCAAAACAAACATTCCTCTCACTCTGCAAGCACTGGACTCTCATAACAATGTCTTTGGCCGTGTGCTCAATCCTGCGAACCTGAATCTCACCGCTGGCGGTAGTTCAGGTGGAGAAGGAGCATTGATCGCGATGCGCGGCAGTGTCCTGGGTGTTGGCACAGATGTGGGAGGCAGTATCCGCATCCCAGCAATGTGCAATGGACTTGTAGGCGTGAAGCCCAGTCATGGCCGCATACCATACGCCGGACAGGAGAACGGTAGTGTTGCTGGCACCGAAACTCTGGGAATCAGATCTGTCGCTGGTCCCATTGCGCACAGCGTCAGAGACTGCGAGCTATTCTTCAAAGCCATCGGAGATTTGGAGCCGTGGGCATTCGATCCCGAGTGTGTTGCTCAGACTTGGGAACAGCAGGTTGTGCGCAGTGCTCTCAGGACGCCATCACTGTCTGGCCATATGAGAAGACTGAGGGTAGGCATTGTGAAGACTGATGGCATCACAACTCCCCTTCCACCTATTCAGACAGTAATGGAAGAGATTCGCAACGCTTTGAAGAGCAATGCCGCCATCGAAGTCGTGGACTTGGACATTACCTCTCTGCTTTCACAATGCCAAACGATTGCCAATGGCCTGTTCGGAGTTGATGGCGCCAACGCCGCATTCGATCTCATGGAAGCCACCTCCGAGCCGATATCCCCATGGCTCAAGTCACGCCTGCGCCGCAAGCAGAGTCTTACGGCGGAAAGGATACGTGATCTCCAAGCAAGACGAAACGAATTGCAGACGCGCTTCCTCGACATCTGGAAATCAGACGGCGGTCACTGGAAGGATGCAACAGGAAGTGCCAGCAACATGGATGTCTTCATTTGCCCTTTAGCGCCTCATCCTACACCAGCGATCGATACTTGGAATACCGTCTCGTATACTTCATCATTCAATTTGCTCGACCTACCAGCGGCAACGCTGCCTGTCCGTCCCATCCGAGTTTCGGATCTCGATGGCAAGGTACCCGATCAAGACTCGGCACCAAATGGCTGGGAGAAATACAATCGCAAGCTCTGGGATGGTGATCGTAGCGTATTCTTGGGCGGCACATTGTGTGTGCAAGTGGTCTCTCAGCGCAAGCAGGAGCGGGTGTTGTTGCAAGCGTTGACGAAATTGCAAGATTCGCTTGCGGTGCTAAAGGAAGACCAGGCGGTGAAGTCGAAATTGTAGATGTGACCGGTAGACAGCGGGTAGCAACAGCATCAACGTGGGAGAACCAGAGACCAGTGTGTGTTCGACGGCTCGTTGCAGTGGAAGAGCGGCATATTACATAGCAGCTGCATATCGGTCAATGGTTTTCATGCAGTCGCGGCTTCATGTAAAATGCTGCGTGGTGTAACGTGCAGGTCTCGATCCTCTACGCGCTTCAAGTCTCTTGCCGATGGTGCAGCCGAGCACAACATAATCGACCCTCTCCATGCTTGCCGAACATGTCAAGTCTCTTGAAAGTTGGAAGAAAGCTCTGTTTGATTAAAAGAATGGAAACATCGACGGTCCCTACTTAATTTAGGGCCATGTCGTTCTCCCGGGTCGTCGAGATCCACTTTTGATTTGACAGCGCCGANGACTTTTGACACTTCTGCTGCACGTCACCTGTTTGAGAAGGAAATGACTCGTCTTCGTTGATGCGACTTTCCGTTCGAGGAAGCGGTTACTTGCATGGAGCTGATATGGGTTGGACGCTCGAGTCTTTTAGANNATGTCTCGTCGCCGAAGGACANGCGTGTTTGAATTCAATCATGCCGTAAAGCAAGCCCTCGATAGCTGTTACGTCCACCGCATTGATACCCGAATCCATGGCCCAATCAGTCTTTTGCCGGCCTGCACGTCCGCATACGAAACTGCGACTCGAATCGAACAGNTCGTTCCACAGGCGGGGTTCACGCCACGGGCGGAGGTCGGAAAGCAACAGACGGTGNCCATGTGGCCATATGCACAACATGCACGTAACAGGTGAACAAGGGCACTCAACGGTCGTGCCTGCTCGCTGTCCTCGAGGACAGTTCGCAAGTTTGTTTGTGCAACCCAAAAGCCGAGTCTCGAACGTTACAATCGCTCGAGCTCGCGATGAACATACATACATACATCCAACGGCTATACCAGCCATGTTTCCACGGAAGAAGAAAACAACGTGGCATTCTTGAGGAATGTCAGCTTGGGCGCCGACGAGCTGGACAACCCAATAGCCGCTCAGCCCACCACGTCGCGCCAGAAGAGATACTACGCCACTAGATCAGGGGTCAATCAGATCGTATTGATTCGATCCCGGTTCCGGACCCAGTCTTCATCGCTCCAGAGTACTTCCAGAGTGCCTGAACTTTGGAGGCATGCACTATGCAAGCTTCAATCACACCTCCACAAGAGACAAGTCATCAATCATCTAATACGCACCGGCCCGCTACGGCGCTAAACAGAACTTGGCTACTCGACTACCTATGATCATCAACGGGGACGCAGCCGAGTGGAGAGATGGTGCAATTTTTCACAGCAGAGATCGACACCCACACACCTCCGGCCACATGCCAACAGTGGCCATGCAAAGACTGCATGCATTGGCTCGCCTTACCAAACGAGTAGGATGTATGAACAAAGAAGATTAAGCTAGGTCGCACGGCATCAAAGAAGAACTAATGACGCGTGGTGTGGAATGTTGAGGGGCTTCTAAGGGCAGAAGATGGGACTCTTGCCCTCCAGTCTCTTTGTTCATAATCCCGACCCTCTTTCTGTCCCACTCCATGGGGTGATGTCCCTCGTTTGAAATCTTGTCCTTCCAAAGAGAAGCCCGAGTCAATCTCACCTTGTTGCCATTCGACCACACGATGGCCTCGAGCCTCACACCAGCGACACAGGCCCCGGATGGCCACATTAGCAACCTCATCAACCCTGCTGGTGTCGGGTTTCGCATCACCATCACCAACATTGTCTGCATAGTTCTCTTCATGATTGTTGTAGTTGTCCGTTTGATTACGCGAGTATTTCTTAATAGATCATTTGGTCATGATGACTGTGAGTACACTCAATTACTTCTTGCTAACAAGTGTAACTGGATACTGATATCAAATTAGNCACTCATTCTATTCGCCACTGCCTCTTTCTTGGCCATCATGGGCATCTTCCAATGGATGGTATCACTAGGTCTAGGAAGACATCTCTGGGACGTACCTCTGGAAAACTATTCGCCGCACTTTCTTCGCGCCTGGCTGACAGTCGCCGTACTGTACTCGGCGTGTATGCTCACCATGAAGTTGTCCGTACTCATGCTGTATCGCCGACTCTTCCCTATCCAGAACTTTCGTCTCCAATGGTGGTGTGCGTTTTGTTTCGTCAATGCTTACAGTGTGATGTTCATCTTCGCATCATTACTTTCTTGCTCGCCAATCTCAGCAGCTTGGTACGTCCCCAACTTTACCCAATCTTACACACTTGGAGGCTTGTACTAACCAGAATCAGGGNACATATCTATATCAGAACACAAATGCATCAACCGAACAGCATTATACATCGCCTACACTGTCATGAACAGCATAAGCACTTGGTGGATCTTACTAATGCCCATGCCAATCGTTTGGAGCCTCGCCTTGAAGAACGACCAAAAATACCTTCTCACCTCTCTCTTCGCCCTCGGCTCATTACCTTGCGTGACCAGCATCGCCAGACTAAAAGTCCTGGTGGACTGGCTTCACCATGGGGCAAACAACAACGACATAACCTACACGTTATGGAATATAGTCATTTGGACGTGAGTATCACCATCTTCATACCACAAATAAGCACATTTGTTGACGACCAGCCCACCAGCCNAACTCGAACTCACCGTCTGCATGATCTGCGCCTGCGGCCCCACCCTCCGCACCTTTGTCGACCGCCAGATAAAAATCGTAAAAACCCTCACCAGCGAGCGCAGCTGGAGCAAATCCTGGGTCTCTCGCAGCTGGTCCAAGAGCTGGGGCAGCAATTCCTCTTCACAATCCCACTCTGCCTCTCACCACTACTCCTATGCCACCGACACCAGTATCGCAAAATCCACTCGAGCAGGCAGTGACGCAAGTCACCTTCCCAACTTTATCGAGTTACTGCAAGGCAGAGGGACGAAAAATAAAGCGCTGATTACCAGTCGTGATGTTGGTGGTGAGACGGCGAGTATGGAGCATATTGTTGACGAAGAAGAGTTTCGGGTCAAACCTGATCAAGAGGGGATTATGGTGCATACGTCCTATCAGGTTAGGACTGTGAGGGAAGATGTGTAGAAGTGGAGATGTCTGTTCTGCTGTTTGGTTTTTGATTCGGCTTGTTCTTTTTCTTCTTCTTTTTTTCGTTCTGTTTTTCTTGTGATACCTTGATCCTGTTCCTGCACTTTTCGGAGGTTACTGTTGCTTTGTTGTATGTGGTGTATATATCAGATAGACTCAACTCTCGTCGTCTCCCAGAATGCGATATTTGGAGTTTCTTCTTCTTGACCATGGTCCTTTGTCGCTCAGAAAGTACTGCACAAGATTGGCAGACTAACGTTTGACTGTGAGTTTGTACGAGTCTGGCAAGCGGGGCACTGAAGCTCTTCCTATCTATACAAAAATGCCGTCACAAATTATGATATAGTAAGCTGTCTGTTGCTTAAAGTGACACGACGGAAAGAGAAGACAGAGAGAGAGATGGATCGAAGAAGATGAATCGTCTTTGCCTGTCCTACAGAAAACGTGGTAGTCTAAGAGACGCGGAAAAAAAGAATTAGAGAAAGTACATTTCTCGGAAATCGGTCGTCCGTCAAACTCATCAAGAAAAGAACATCCAAGCAAAACAACCTTGTCCTGCCCTGCACTCGCTACTGTCGACTTCTTCTCTTGGGGAAAAAAGACACCCAAACGATAAACGCCTGCCAACACCATGCTTAATGCTACACATATGTTTTGAAAGGGAAAGGGTAGAAAAGAAAAGGAGAAAAGGCAAACACCATCTAGTTCTCGCCAGACATGCGTGGCCCGGGAAGATCAAGAGAGTTAGGTCTGGAGTTCTGGTTCACGATTGTGGTCCTGCTCCTTGAATTGCCAATGGAGTGCACCGAGATCGCCGGAGACATCGGACGCGGCGGAGGTGATTGATTCCGTATTGGCGATTCTTGAATCTGTGGTGCAGATTTCGACATAGGCTTGGGTTGAGGCTTCTCCGCCATGGGACTGACCTCCTCATCAACCTCGATGATAGGAGGGCAGTACTCNCTGAGGACCTTCTTGAGCGCCGGTCGTCGAATGGGCTTGCTGAGGAAGTAGTTCATGCCTGAATCGAGACAATCCTTGACATTGCTCTCTTCGGCAAATGCAGTGAGAGCAACAATGGGAGCATCATAACCCAGGTCACGGATGAGTCGTGTCGATTGAAGACCGTCAAGATTGGGCATCTGAACATCCATGAAGATGAGGTTGTAAGGATGTCGGCCAGGGATAGTCATGCTTTCCTTGACAAAGTCCAGGGCTTCCTGGCCATCCTTTGCGACGGTCACGTCGTAGATATCCTCAAGCTTGAGCATACGCAGAACAACCTCTTGGTTTACCTTGTTATCCTCAGCAACAAGCACGCGAATCTTGCCAGTCTCTTTGACGTCCTGGGTGATCTTCTCCATTGCTGCTGCTTGAGAGCCAGGCGACTCCATAGCTTGGTTGGTTGAGAAGAAGGGCTGACTGAGCCCGACCAGGCGAGGCTGTGCATCCATTGAATAGTTCTGTACGTTGGGAGCCTGTGCCTGAGCGACCGTTGGCGACTGACCAGTACTAGTGTGCGAATGACCTGATCGGTGTGATTGCGCGTCGTCAGTGATGAGTTGACTGACGCGCTGTGGCGAACGAGATCCTTCCAGTCCTAGCCCGACATCGTTGCTGTTACCAACAACCGAACTCGCGGTACTGTCAGATCTGGTTACAATGTGTCGAAGAGGTATACGCATGGTAAATGTACTGCCGCGCCCCAATTCACTGTCTAGTTCGATGGTGCCTTTCATAAGTGTGGCCAATTGAGAGCAGATACTTAGACCCAGACCGGTACCACCGAACTTTTTGCTAAGGCCAAGATCACCTTGAACAAACGGCTCGAAGATACGTTGTTGAAGGTGTTCTGCAATACCCGGTCCGGTGTCCGTGACCTCGAACTCGAACAAAAAAGTTCGTCCGGGAGGTGGAGATGCTGGCCTTTCAGAGGCAAGAATGTGTGCATAGGCGTCGGATCTTTCGCGGTAAGGATTGATCTCGTTGGCAGTGGCGGAGTTTTTAGCTCCGAAAGGTCCGGCAAGCGAAGCATCAGAGTTCTTGTGTCGGCTAGAGATGGCCTTTGAGCTCTTAGATTGCATGGATGTCTTGCGGCTGTTGGCTTCAGCTTCGCCGGTACAGCGAACAGTCAGCACGACCGAGCCACCAGCGGGGGTAAATTTCAAACTGTTCGAAACCAGGTTGATCACCACCTGCAAGATACGATGAACGTCTCCCCAGAGAATCATGTCTTTTACGCGCCCTGTGCCAGCTGGACCGTATTGCGTACGCTCCTCATCCGAAGGGAAGACTATACCGTTCATTGCTTCGGCACCTTGGAACTCGACGCGCAGAGTGATCTGTCCTTCCTTGGCTTGTTTGTCGAAGATGGCCAAGACCTGCGAGCTGATTTCACGTAATCGAAACTCTTTGGAATCCAGGCTCAGTTGCTGACCGACCTGATTCTTGCTGAAAGTGAGAAGATCCGTCAGAAGGTTGAGAAGGAGGTCACCGCTCTTGTAGATGATGCCCAAAGATCTCTTCAGCTTCGTGGGATCCTCTTCTTGCATGCATACGGCACACATGCCCAGGATACCATTTAGGGGAGTCTTGAGCTCGTGCGAAATATTGGCAATGAAGAGCGTTTTGCTTTCGTTGGCCGCTTCAGCAGCCTTCTTGCTGAGCTCCAACTCTGCCGTGCGTTGCTTCACTCTTTCTTCCAGACGTTCGTACTGCATCATAAGCTCGTCCGACATTTCGTTGAAAGTCCGCGTAAGATCAGTCAACTCGTCCTGAATACAGGTTTTGCGTTCCTTGACCTTGCCAGGAATATGGAATTGACGCCTGCGGTGTTCCTCTTTTCGTTCTTTTCGCGACTGCTTGTTTCTCATGTTCCAACTGCTGACGTTTGCGAGAAACCCTTCTTTGCGAGCAATGACTGCGTCTGCTTGCTCATCATTGCTTCCATCGCCGTCATTGTTATTGAACATGTCGTGGGAATCCCGGCTGTAGTTGCTTTCCGAGTATCCCATGGGCAACACAGATCTGCGTGTAGCCTCCCGAAGCCTTCTGATAGGAGCGCTTGCAAAGTGGGCAAGCGGCCAAGCAAANAGTATCACGCCGCCCAAGACCGAGAAGATGCATGTTAAGAGAACTTTGCGCAAGTGGCGAATTGGCTGCCAAACTTCGTACTTGTCTTGTTCGACTATCACAACCCAATCGACGAGTGAGGTATCCGGGACAGCATAACCAACAGAGACCCCTTTGCCAGCTTCATCGCGGGTGCTGATGTCACCCCCAGCATTACCAATCGCATGTTGATCCTCGGTAAGAGCGGTGACGACAGCCGGATAGCTTGTAATGTTGAAATCTGGACTATTGACGTTGCCTGAAAATCCAGGATGACGATACGCAAACCCATCTGGTAGAGGCCAGATGTAGCGTCCTTGGACGTCAGCTGGGTCAACTGTCCCGGGGTCGGCAGAATTATAAAGTAAACCCTTGGGGAAATGGTTGGTAGTGTTAGCAGGGCCGACAACAAGAGTCAGTCCGGTAGAGCCTAGACCCTCGGTGGAAGCGAGGACACTACCAATCAAACGAGCGTCGCAGACAATGGTCAGCCATCCCAGGACATCTATAGCTGAGGTGTTGTTGATGACGGGCATGGTAAGAGACAACAGACTGAAGGTGGAGTTGACGGAGTAGGGGCCCAGAAGCAAGGTAGAATTGGGGGCTTTCAACACCTCACCGTTATAAATGGCTCGTGACTCGCTGTACGAGCTGTTGATTGGGACGGAGAAGTAAGTCAGGTTGGGGTAGAGCTCAGGAGGATAGCCGTAGTCGGTGTCGCTCAGATATACATCGCTTCCATTGGGAGCCTTGTAGGGAAGAAGAATGGTTTCGAGATTCTCCGAGGTAGCGTTCAGAACCGAGTAGCGGCCATTGGGACCGTTGGCATCGCGAGGGAAGATTTTGCCCTGCAGCATGAGGGCCTGGCCGACAGTGCCAGAAACGGGACCGGCGATGACGGCGCTGAAGTCTGACTGAGCAGAAGCCCAGTTTGCCGCGGTATTGTTGCCTTGCTGATTGTACCGCATAAGTGCGTTCTGCATGGCGAGTCGACTCGAGACGAGCTGAACACTGTTCTGAATGAGGGCCAGGTTGGAAGCGATCTGGGCTGCTTTGAGCGATGCGGTCAGGGAAAGTCTGGTGGTGCGGATCTCGAGGATGAAGTTGTGGCTGGTGTACTGTGCGACGAGTCAGTGCATGATCGTGTGTGCAAGAGCGTCTGGTGGACGAACCCATGTCGCTATGGATATGACAGCAAGGCCTATGGCAGCGGCCAGCAGGATCAGGCCAGCGAGCTGCTCTCTGATGGGGATGCGCATCTTGACAGACTCGACGAGGGCGCAGCCCTGGTGCGGGAAAGAGAGGGACGACGCAAAGGTCGCGGGCGTCAGCCGAGGACGAGGACAAGGTCGGGGTAGAGTCGAGTCGCGGTGAGATACGAGCGCTGTCAGCGTGCGACGTGATGGCCAAAGAAGTCGCCGGCGCAGGGCGTGGACATGAAGGAGCGTCAAGCGACGGACAGCCAGCGGGAAACGAAAGGAATGCGGACAGCGACGACGACTCTCGCTGCAGCGTAAGCGAAAAGACGCTCGTACAAGGAGGATGTGCAAAGCACGAGTGAAGCGGCTCAGCAAAGCGACCAGCCTAGACAGCAGCGATCTGCCGATCAGAGAAAAGCAACTGGTGGGGATGCCTGATCCGACAAAAGCCAAAAGCTCCTTTCCTACAGCTGCAAGCGAGGGCCAAGCGTGTTGTTTATCGTGTCGCTGTAGATGCGAATGAGACAATCAACAATGGATCTGATGGACGCGGACGAAGACGGCGACCGAGAAACACAGGACGGAACAGGCGGCTCTCAGGGACGGGATAGGGAGACTAATAGGACCAAGGATACCTAATAATCAATGGGTACCAACCGTGTCGCTTCCTTGCCCTCGGTTTGGACACCAAGAAAACACGACCGACAACCTTTCGACTCGCTGTCCAAACGCGCTGCCGCTCCCACAACCTAATTTGGACGTGACTCTCAAGTTTGCTCCCAAGGAATGCAACTGCCAGTTGCACGCCCTTGGCACGTGTATAGCACATGAACCCGCGTTGCGTCTTCTCACAACCTGGAACTCTGCAAGTCATAGGTATGCCAACTCTCCAATCTCTTCTGCTTCCTGAATGCATCATCGCTTGACAAGTGTCTGTCATGTCGTTTTGCTCACACCACACGCTGCGCCTCTTATCTCCCTGCTTCCACCTGCCGTTGGACTCCTACCGGGCTTCGTCTCACATCTGCAGGGTTCCACCCAAGATCGATTTGTTGCGACGCACCACTCACGCACCGCGCTTGACGAGTCTCATCGGGCCAAAGCTCAGAGGATTCTTTGCAATTGATCCTTCCAGTCTCCTGTCAACCATGCCAGCGACTTGCATCGACTTCTACTGCCAATGCACAGCACGCCTAAGGAAAACCAAACGCCCGCAACCCGACTGTCAAAGCCCCAGGTGCCCGCAATCATCACTTTGACGAAGGTGGAGATTGAATATTTACCTGCAATATAGCGACAAGAAACTCACCAGTGCAACACCTATACGACATCAGCTCTTGGACGGTGCAGTCCCCTTGACGATTCCTCGCGCTTGTGTACGAGTCATCATGACTTGGGAGGCTCTCCATTATTGTCGATTCATCGGTGCATCGACAAGAACAAGCAAAGAACATGTTGTTTCAACTTTGCCCTGACGGACCGGCGCTGTCACCAAAAGTCCGCCCGCCACTAACGAAATTTGTCTGGCGCTAATTTGCACTGAACATATGCCGCTAACCGCTTGCATTCTACCTATTCTTCGGCTACTGCAGTTACCGGTAATGGATAAGGGAATTGCAACGATCTCCCCTATAAAATTTGATGACTTCGCTCATGTCCGACCGTCGGCTTCTCGAACCATCTGGCAGCATCCTGACAACAAACCTTCGCAATGTCGATCTTGAGGCTCGATCTCTACTATTGTTCGATCACTATTGCTGCTCAAGAACACGATATTGTTGCAAGATATTCGCGTTCGGCAACACCTTCATGGCATTTTACTGTTGGCGCAGACATGTGAAGGACAGCACCGAACCATCTCCAGGAAACATTCAACCATCTCGAACTCCATTCTCAAGTTGACGGGCTGATTGCTCGGCTCTCATCTGAAACCCCTGCTCTGCAAGTGAATACAGCCAGTAACACCTAAGGTTGCAGATCCGAGGCATTATCTTGTAGGTAACACAAAGTGCCGACTCTCAGCATCACACGAGCTCGAACGTTTGCTATACCACGCGCAACTTTATTTTGCCAAGAGCAACCTCGTAACTCTAATTAATATTGGTCACAACACTTCTAATGTAGGTATTCCTTCGACTAGCTAGGGAGATGAGGCTGAATGTCTGGAGACACTTTCCGAATGTGGCTGCGATGCGGGAAAGAAAGGCCCCTAGTTCTTGACACGTTTCGCTCTCAGAGGCTTTCAACAAGCAATACCAGAACGTCCAAGAGACTAAGATTGACAAGGCTTAGCTACTGGTGAAGTTTGACTCGGCGACCTCAAAGCCACCGTCCTGTCGTCTTCTGCAAACCACCGCCACGAGCGGAGGTCTAGGCGCCAACGCCTTGGATGCACCACCAAGCTGCGCCTATCATGCACTTCACCGCAAGCTGCATGCCTCAGTTGCTTAGATACCAACCCAGGTAACAATAGCCACCAATGTTTGCACGCAGACGCTGTTCAGCCACAGGCCTGTGTCACTCAAAGACGACGTCCTTCATTCACTACTCAGTTAAAAACCAGCTTGCTGCCCTCGATGCATCACACTGGCAATACAAAGATCTAACACCGGAGGTTCAAAAGATCTGCATGCAAGCAAACTGACTGATGGTGCATACTGACTGTTACCCCAACGCCGACTACAGCTTGGGAGTTGGCCTATCTGATATACGTTGTCCAGCCTCGTTCAGACGAATTTGGGTGCCTTTGACCAGAGCTTCCTGCAACAAGGCACCGATTTCTACCGCCTTGACAGCGTTGCGTAGCTTCAATGGAAGCTTAGTGTCGTCCAGACAAGCGGCGACAAACTCATTGGCTTCTCCTACAAAGGCCTGTTCGAAGCGGCCATAGTAGTGTGCTGGAACTTCTCTGGTCACTCCTTGCGGCCCGTAGTAGTTGACCAGATTCTTCTGAGGGTTGCCGTTGACAGTCAACTTGCCTTCGGTACCGATAATCTCTGTCACATCCTCTTGACCGTGCGCCATCATTCTCGAGCAGTAGAAGTTGGCAACTCTGCCATTCCAGAATTCGACGATGCCTATGGCATTGTCATAGTCGTTGTATTTGGCCAGCTCGGGCTGAACTGCTCGTACGCCGTATGCAGAAACACTCTTCACTTGAATGTCATCGCCGAAGAACCACAGGGCAAGGTCAATGTCATGAACCGACATGTCGACAAACACACCTCCAGACCATGCTGCATATTCGACGAAGAAACCGCTGGGGTCATGCTTGTCGCAGGTTTGGCTGCGGATGATGGTCGGTCGGCCGATCAACCCNCTATCCATCTTTTCCCATGCATCGCGGTAGGACTCATCGAACCGGCGAGAGAATCCACACATGACCTTCAGGTGGGGGTGCTTGAGTGCTTCATCCAAGACTTGTTTNGCACTTCGAGATTTCAGCCATGAGCACTAAGTAGCAGCTTGGTAACAACTTACGACTGGAATGCTTGTGGACAGAGGCTTTTCACAGAGAACATGCAAGCCCTGGTGCATGGCTTTGATGGCTCCCTCCGCGTGGACCGACGTAGCGGTGCTGATGACCACAGCCTGCAGACCCTCCTGCTTAATCATCTCGTCGTAGTCATTGTAGAGTTTGACTCCATAAGGCTCCAGGTTGACCCTAGCCCAGGTGAGCTCTTTTGGATCGGGAGTGAAGGCGGCTACAAGCTCTGCACGAGGGGTACGGTAAAGGAAATTAATGGCGTGGCGAGCGCCCATACGACCGAGACCAGCAACAGCAATCTTGAGTCTTTGGGCCATGTTGATGTTGATATGTATGATCTAGGAACAACAGAGGTATGATAAGGTCTGAGATAAACCGTTCAACTTGGCAGAACCGGGCGAGGACCATCTCTTATACTCTTAAATCTTGACGATTGCCCTCTAGCTAGTTCCATCATCTTTCTTAGTGCATCATCACACATCGTTACCCTGTATGACTGTAGGGATGTAGAAGGGGCTCATGAAGTGTGTGGGGATCGAGCGGCGGGGTTGCGCCTTCCCGAAGCGGGTTTTCGGCCGAATCGAGCATCTCTGCCCCCGGAGCCAGGGCAATATCTTGTCCGAGGGTATCTGACCTGCAATTTTCTTCTCTCGGAACACGTAACAACAATCCTGTGAGCTCTTCTTGGATGCCGTTCATGCGTACGTCACATTCGTGCGACAGATCGCCCTGCTAAAGTACTCCGAGGGATGCGATGAATGCCGGAGAAAGGCTTGCGTGGTAAGGGATCTTGCCACACATGGTAACCACACACAGTTTGGCCGTGCTGACTGCTTCGCGGACTATAGCCAACAGTGTCGGGTACGGCATTTGAAGTGTGACCGCAAGAAGCCAAAATGCTCGCGTTGCCTCAAGGACGATGTCGAATGCGTGAGTCGGGTCGAGCTACCTAAGCCACCCCAGAAGAAGGCAAGGTAGGTGTGATGCGGAAAATCGATTCCGGAAGAGAGTTTCGTTGATTGTCATTGGCATGGTGAGTATAATGATACTAACTGCGCTTCCAGACTTGCCAATCCATCAAAGCATCAACCCAGATTTCCTACCGATCAGCCATGGTTTATGGTTGAGAAGGAACTGGTATTCGTTCATGAAGACAAGTCAACGATCTTTGGCAACGACCAAATACTGGACTTTGAAATAAGCACGAACAATCCGACAGTAGAATCTTCCAACTCCAATCGCACATCACATTCTGGAAGCACCTCCACTGAGATACACAATGAAGTCTCAGGCCACACCCAGACTCCAGGAGAGCACGTCAAGTCTGCTAGGAACCTTGGCCAATCTCAAGCATCAATCCGATTCGAGACGCTTATAGAGGTAGCTACCGAGTGCAGGGCTGGGGACTCTCGTAGTGCTCCAGGAGACCCAATGACGGAAGCCACGACAGACACTAATATTACATCGTCGACGGCTGTTACCTCACCGGTGTTTGAATTCGCACTGAGTGGCAGAGGGTCACCAGCCAACACCTCTTTGCAACAAACCCAGCTATCCGACCGCAATGATGCTTTATTGCCACACGACTTCCGAGCCTTTGGATCGTCCAGAGATTCTCCCAGAGCTCGCATCACCATGATCTCCCCTGAAGCGGCATTTTCTCTACCCACGACGCCTATACTGTCTGCACACGAAGCCCGGTTGATGCAGCACTTCATCGAGCATCTAGCTCCAAGTATAGACGTAGTGTGTTCATCACAAATTTTTGGACGACTGGTTCCTCGCATGGCCTTTCTGTCGCCGATTTTGCTGACGTCAATATTTGCGGTCTCCTCCAAGCATATATCGAAGACGATAGAGATGACCGATCCGACGGCAGAAACCTACTTTCAAGAGACATTGGACCACCTCATACCGGTATTGAATGAGCCTGACGCGCTGGTTGAGGACTACATCCTAGCTGCCGTAGTGATTCTCAGGGTCATGGAGGAGATGGACAGTAAGTGCAAGCTTTCACTGTGATTGTATCAATGCTGACGAGATATAGTCTCGCTCTCTGGATATGATCAGCAAAGCCATCTGCCTGCCATACATGCCCTAATCAGCGCGCAGGAAAGAATTGCTACACGAGGAGGCCTGCGACATGCGGCTTGGTGGGTTGGTTTTCGTCAAGAAATGGTTGTGGCATTCATCAACCAGAGACCCATAGTACCTGTGCTGGAACACTGCAACCTGGACCGCTCCTTCTCGACAGCTGATGACTGTACGTGGACCAACAGGATTATTGTTCACTGTGCAGATGTCATCAACCATTGTTTCCAGAATGGATCACTCGACCAAACGACATATCAAGCCCTTCGCGATTATGGGGAAGCGTGGATGGCTCACAAGCCTCGGACTTTCAGTCCTATCTTTCAGTGTCAGCCGTCCGGGTTGAGAGGTAATCTGTTCACAAAGACCTGGTACACTAGCGATACCATCGCAAAGGGTATACAGCATTATCATCTGTCGAAAATCCTGCTCATCGCTCACGACCCAAACATACCAAGACTCGGCTTGCAAAGGAAGGCATTCGAGCAGACTGTCGATGTACGTTGTTTCCGGTGTCTGCAAGCTTGAACATCGCTTACTTTGATTTAGGACCAACTCAGATCTCATGCAAGAATCCTTTGCGGCATCGCGCAAGGTGGTAGCAAAACGGCAGCCATCTGGGTTACGACTTGTATGGGTATATCATGGTGTGGAGATCGATTTACTGATCGTGTAGAGCAAGAAGAACTGCTTGAGATACTCAGGTATACCGACAAAAAACATGCCCGCCATACTCTGTCTACGCAGAAGCATCTTATACAAGCATGGAATTGGCCAACAGACCCCTGACGATCGGTCGCAAGAACAGTTTCTGCGTGCAATCAAGCACAATCCCACAAGCGCTTTGCGTTGTCACGAAAAACCAGATTCTTTGCATCGTGCTCGTCCGTCCAGTCAAGGCACCTGGAAACAAAAGGCTTCACGTCTAAGCCTTCGAAGCGTGTGTGTGGCCAGTCCGAGGCAAAAATCAGCTTGTCTTTTGCAGTATTCAACAACAATTTTGTTATCGCCTCAGTGCCAGCCATGCCGTCGACGGAAAGATCATAGCGATAATGGCCGGAGAGCTTGACCCAGAGATTGTCGGCTTGTGACAAGAGCGTCGTCAAATGCTGCATGCCTGGCACATTGGACGCGTCCGAAGGATACGACTCCCATCGCTTCATGTCAGGAGCACCGAAATGAGCAACACAAAACTTGACTCCGAGGTCAGGTATAATGTCGGTTATGAAGCGAAGTTGCTCGAGGTCGATGAACAGTTCAATGACCCAGTCGATCGGTTTTACGATGCTCGCATACTTGCGCAAGGTCTCTTTGACAGCATCCGGGTTGAATGGCTCATTTGTGGACTTGAAGTTCAATCTCACTCCTCGGACACCCAGTTGGTGCCATTGTTGCAATGTATCGGTGGCGATGTCGTCGGGATCGAAGGCCACTACGCCCCGACCATTGGTTGGTCCGATCTCTCTCAAAGCATCTAGGAGGCAGGAGTTGTCGTTGCCATAGATAGAGGGTTGGACGAGCACAATGTTGTGTATAGCAATTGTCTTCTCAAAAGCCATAGCATGGTCCAGACTATGTAGAGACGGCTCATATGCAGCGGACTTGGCTAGAGGGTATTCGGGAGAGGTCACATGCATATGACTGTCCCATGCCCCTGCTGGCATTCTGTCGATGAAGGAGGTTGTCTGAACGTTCTGGCTGAAGCGTCTTTGGAAACAATACGGGTGCTTTGGCCGAAGACGACATAGTCGACGAATGGTTGAGTTACAGCTGGGGTGAGATGTGAGAATCGATATCTACCCCAAATGGGTACAGCATCTACCTGTTCATATTGACTACGATTGTTATCAGATAGCAGGTGCCAATAGCAGTACAAATGTTCTTGTCGTAAGGCGGGATGTCATTGTCGAGTCGACACGTCGGTTAAGAAACGGCAGAGGTTGGCGTGGAAGCGGGGGTCATGAGACCGGGAAGACGAACAAACTACAAGACGGCCAACACCTGTGTTGTCTTCACGTCTTTTGCGGATTCTACGAGACGGCTTATGCAGACTCTCAGGCGTCTACTGACAGACAACTCCAAAGAGGCGTTGCTGTAGGAGCCAAATTGCAGAATCGCAGAATCAGGCCATCAGGTTCGAGCAGACGTCATCATCTCAAGCTTTCGGAGTCGCAAAAACATTGGCGACGAGATCGACTAAGAGAAGGCCGACAAGCCATACATCGGACTGAACATTTGATGCAACAGCCCGAGTCCAATTCAGCGCCAGATACAACCAATGCTGTAGCAATGCCTGGTCTGGTGCGCAAACTTCTCATGTGAGTGCCATCCCAGACGGTATAAGACATGTTTTGGAGATGTTAACACTTGCACAGCTGCGCGACGGCAGATGGTCTGTTGTTGCAACCTCTTTCCCAGCGAAACCAACAATCGTCGTCTCCTCCTGTCCAGGTCGACTACAAGACACAGAACATCAAACCCTCGTTCCAGCAGCACTCGGACGACTCGACTAGCGAAGGACTCGAGGCTCATGGTCTTCTCGGTATGCACGCCATGGGCTCGGCACTTTCTCTCGCTGATCAGTACNTAGGTCTCCTCAACCTCGCATCTTCCTCGTACCTCGTCGCCATCTCGAAGCGCGAACAAGTCGCCCAAGTCCGCGGCAAACCCATCTACGTCATCACCAACGTCGCCCTCATTCCTCTGACCTCGCAGTCCGAAGCACAGCATGCTATTCAGCACGCAAAGACGACACTGAAAAGCAACAAGCCCGAGTCTCTGGACACAAGCGACGACGAAGACGACTCGAGCAGTTCGGCAGCAGACGATGAACACGATGACAATGCGTCAGTCGGTCTGCCAGACGAGCCCCTGCAGGTACCCAAGGGCTCGGTGAACAAGGCCACCACTGTGGTCGCCGACGTGATAAAGAACAAGGGTCAATATGGTCGCTTCGCCCAGCGTTGGTTCTCCAAGGGCGGATGGAAGTCTGACGGCATTCGCAAGCAAGGCATGAGCGCCAATGAGGACGACCTATCTTTGACCGCTGAGCAAAAGAAGCAAGCCGAAGAGTCTTTGCCGGACGACAAGAAGGACGAGGTTGAAAATGCACCTGTGAACAACCAGTCTCAGTCCACTTCTGCAGACGAACGACAATCTACTACCACCGAGCCGGCGTCTGACGCGCCTGGCGACACTACCCTANCTAATCTCATTCCAAGAATTCTCAAGACGACGAACCTATACTTTACTTCACGAAGCTTTTACTTCTCTTACGATTACGACCTCTCACGCAGTCTTTCACGACAGGAGTCATCCTCTGCCTCGGTACCTCTTTACAAGCGTTTTGATCCTCTGGTGAGTATCCGCGTTCGGATCTCGCCATGACCATGAGACTGACGATCATAGTATTTCTGGAACCACAACTTGACCGAGCCGCTTGTCGAAGCCGGCCAGCACAATCTCGTTCTACCCGTCATTCAAGGCTTTATTGGCCAACGCGCTTTCACCGTTGATGCAGCCGAAAATGCAGAAAACAAGATAATCGATGCAAAGCAGGAGGCATCAGAAGTCGTCAAGGTGCAGGAAGATGCTCAGAAAGAGGATGCCACCACAACCGACGACACGTCGCAAGCAAAGGAACTGCTGCTGACTCTGATTTCGAGACGTTCTGTCAAGCGTGCAGGACTACGCTACCTGCGTCGTGGCATTGACGATGACGGCAATGTCGCCAACAATGTCGAGACTGAGCAGATTCTTGCCACGCCATCGTGGGACACCAAGGACAAGGTCTTTTCTTTCCTTCAAGTCAGAGGCTCCATTCCTCTGTTCTTCTCGCAGAGTCCTTACAGCTTCAAACCGATCCCTATCCAATATGGCTCCGAAGCAACTAATCAGGCTGCGTTCGAGAAACACTTCTCTAATATGCTCGAGCGCTATGGAGAGGTCCAGTGTGCATCATTGGTTGACAAGCACGGTACAGAAGCAAAGATTGGAGAGTCGTACGAAAAGCACGCAAACAGTCTGAACAATTCTGGAGGTATATCTGGCAAGCAGGTTGGATTCTATTGGTTCGACTTTCACACTGTCTGCAAAGGTATGAAGTTTGAGAACGTCTCGATCCTCATGGATACTCTGAGACCAGCCATGAAGTCTTTCGGATGGACTGTTCAGCAGGATGGCAAATTCATCAGCACTCAGACTGGCGTTTTGCGAACAAATTGTATGGACTGCCTGGACCGAACCAATGTCGTACAATCTGGTGCAGCTGGTCACGCTTTACAAGACCAACTTGCAGAGATGGGCCTTTCAATCAACCTTCAGACCGACCCAAAGACGTCTTGGTACAACAACCTCTGGGCTGACAACGGTGATGCCATTTCTCGTCAGTACGCAGGTACTGCCGCCCTCAAGGGAGATTTCACCCGCACTCGTAAGCGAAATTGGCAAGGTGCCTTGACCGATTTCAGCCTGACCTTGAACCGCTACTACAACAACATCTTTGGTGACTACTTCCTTCAGACCTGTATAGACTTCTGGCTCGGCAATGCCGGATCAAACGTGTTTGAAGAATTCGAGACCGACATGATGAACCAAGACTATGCTCTAGACATGGGGCGCATCCGCCAAAGTGCGATCGAAACTTGTGTACGCATTGTCCTCGAAGACTCGGCAGACATGATCTCAGGCTGGACTCTTTCCTGTCCAGCATCAGCAAACACACTCCGCGCCTTGCCATTCGAAGAGTGTGTTGTGCTTCTCACAGACACCGCACTCTACTTCTGCCGCTTCGACTGGGACACGGAAAAAGTCGGCTCCTTTGAGCGCGTCGAACTCGTCGATATCGAAAGCGTCAACTACGGCACCTACATCACCAGCACACTCGGACCCACTCACATGGACGAAAAGAAAAACGTCGGCTTTTTGGTCAAGTACTCGAGCCAAACACCCGCCATGGTGCGCACCAACACGCGCAGTCTGGCAAACGAAAAGGAAGCCAGTGCCGCAGACAAGGATGCCAAGAAAACCGATGTCAAGCCTGCGGAAAGCAGATTGCTTGCCTTCAAAGCCCTGCCGCCGCGAAACTCCGCTTCCAAAGGCAAAAATACTGATGGCGAATTGAGCGAAGTGGAAATGGTCAAGCATATCTGCGAGGAGATTGAGCGGTTGAGCAATAAAGCTCTTGACAGACAGACTCATGTTGCTGCTGGAGAGGAAGAGCAGCAAGGCAAGAAGTTGCAGGTCGAGCAGAAAGATGTCATTTCTGTTGCCGAGGCGAGGAAGAGTACGGGATATCTGGAGTCGTTGGGGTATTCGTTGAAGAAGTTGGTTTGGTCGTAGAGGGAGGCCTACAAGCACACGAACATGGGGTGGGCATTATGGGTAATACATTATGAGAGTGGTCTGTACATTTTCGCAACAAACATGAATCGATGATTACATTGAATATGGTCCTTGTATTTTCGTCGCATGATGATCCTCTTGCATCGCATGTCCCTCTTACTGAGGCTATAGGAACGTACACGGCTGTTCTACTAATCTGAAAGGTGGCCATGGAGATGAGCTTGTCCTGGAAGGAACCCTGGCTCTGCTGTCATTGCTCGTGACATTGTGAATAAGGAGTACTGTTCATCTCCAGAGATGGTACTCGAACAGATTTGTTAATCTATCGTCATATTGCAGGTTTGAACCATCATTTTTTGCAGCAAGCACGGTATTGTATATAACGCAGTCCGAGGTGTACACCAATACCCCTCCAAAAGGTGAAAATGGATTCTTGCCATGGCACAATCTTACCTCCCCATGTACTAAAGTATGTAACGCGTGTAGCTATAGAGATGCACAATAGTCTTAAGAAGCAGGAGCACCCGCTAAGAGACAAAATCACATTAGCTCTCTGTGGATATACCTGCAATGTTAAAAGAACTGTGCCTTTCTATAGTATAAAGTACCTTCATGTTGCAGTGGGAGGAGCAGGCAAGGTCACATACTTTTGTACACGGGGAGGTATGATAGGTGTGTTTTTATCGTCGTCATGGGTCTCACCCTGATCTTTCGGAATGCAACGAGAAGCCCTCACGTTGCAAACACTCGAATCAAGGTAGAAGGCAACGCTCAAGGAGTATTGCGACCTAGCACCCTTGCACTGTTCTCGAGGCCGATGATTCCTGCCACCGAGAATCTATGTGCTATCCACTCACTCGGCCGTGTGAATCTTAGCATCCGGCTATACCGGCAAACATGATACAGTCATACCTCGTTATAGCAATCATCCGTACAACGATAACCTCGATATAGCGATTTTTTTCGCTAATCATCAAATTCCTCATACAACTATCGTTATGCCTCGCCTTCTCGATATATCGGTACCTCTAGACCCAATTATCGCTATATTTAATAGGGCACAGTGCGCCAAGGAACAAAGAAAAGGAGGGAGGAAGCTGCTATCAAACATAAACGATCCATATCTGCATAAATACATGGCATAACTAATGCCAAGAGCTCTCGATTGAACGATAATCACGATATAACGATACTGAAGCATCATTCTGGTCCGATCGTTATAACGAGGTGTTACTGTACTCGTCTTGTCCATAGAAAGAGATCGTTGCGAGAATTATCGCGAGAATTGTAGCGAAAAGAGGACCGTGGAAACTGTGCTTTCCAGAAGGCGGGTAAGAATGTCCGAAAAACGGGCCGTGGGTTGCTTGAAGTTGGGGGGGCTCTGCGGGGCAATGGGGCATGTCTGTAACCTTGTTCCTCTGTGTTGAACGTTTTTCGACAGCAAGCGGCCTTCCACCTGCGTCATGAGGCTGGTGCATGGCTCGGAGGAAGCCCGAATACGAGTAGTTGCTCGTTGTCTTTGCATACTTATTCAGAGTCTCGAGCTCGAGATTTGGCCGCAGTCAATTAGACAACACTTGAAGTCTCGCGGCAGAGGCTGTAACGCGATATCCGGTTCATGAAAACTTCTTCTCGGACCGGCAGAGCATCGAATTGGTTCCTGGCGACTCCGAGATCAGCAGCATTTTAAGCACTCGGAAGGTAAGTCGGATGTTGATCAAGAGGATGTTGAAGGCGACAAGCTCGTGGGGCAAAAGCTTGGGGAGAGGATGATCCCCATGGCCACTCCATGTTAACCCACATGGCGGGGCGCCAGTGCAAGCATTGACATCGAGGCCACTGTTGAGCTCAGTCCTTCCTGCCTCTTTCCGCGACTCGGCTGAAGTCTTGCTGACGATCGAGTGAAAGTGGCTTGCTTCTCGCAAGGAAAGATCGTATACAATGGTGAATGTCTTCGCGGGGAACACAACAAGCAAAACTCTCCTCAGTGGAGGATCAACGACAGGTATGTATAAATACTCATCATGCTCCCGTCACTCTCGTCTTCTCACAGGCAAATAGTCTTTGTCATTCTGTTTCTTTGTCTCCTTGTGGTCATTGACAGCATGTTCTTTCCTTCGTTCAAGAGGGCAGCCCTCTTTGCGCTGCCTGTGGCAGTAGCCAACTCTCAGGCGACAACCGCCGCCTCGTCGGCGGTTGCCAGTNCCCTGTCATCTACATCGTCTGGCACCATCGCATCAGTCTTGTTGAACGGAACATACACCACGTGAGTTCTACCCTACCACACTGTGCATGTCTACAGCTACACGCCTCCAAAAAGATCCGAGCAGAGCACTGAACTTTCTATTCAGANNTTCACACCCCAGTACACTCTCCCGGCTTCCATCGATTACGGCGCAAACTTGATCCCCAATGTCGAGGACCCAGAGGCCAAGGACGCGCAAGTCATGTGCCCTGGTTACAAGGCCTCGAATGTCGAGCACAACAAGTACGGCTTCACAGCCACTCTGAATCTCGCCGGACAGGCTTGCAACGTCTACGGCACTGACGTTGATGTCCTCAATCTCACGGTTGCCTACCAGTCTGCCCACCGCCTGGCAGTCGAGATTTCACCTGCCCACGTCACTGCAGAGAATGCTAGTTGGTACATCTTGCCTTCCGAGCAAGTGTACAAGCCTGAGCAGTCGGACGAGAACACCGAGGACATTGATCTTCAATTCGTCTGGTCCAACGACCCTACTTTCAGTTTTGCTGTTCTGAGAAAGTCCACTGGCGATGTCCTCTACTCTACCGAAGGCACCGTCCTGGTCTACGAGGACCAATTCATTGAGTTTGTCTCCACTCTGCCTGAAAACTACAACCTCGAAGGCCTGGGAGAGCGCCTTCACGGCCTCAGACTTGGCGACAACTTGACTGCTACCATGTATGCGGCCGACAATGGTAACCCCATTGATCGTAACCTTTACGGAACCCACCCCTTCTACCTGGATACCCGTTATTACGAGAAGGATCCCGAGACAAGTGCTTTGACTCTCCTGACTGGTAACGCAAGTACCAACGCCAGCTACATCTCGTACAGCCACGGTGTTTACCTCAGAAACGCCCATGGCCAAGAACCTATCCTCAATGCCGGAAATATCACCTACAGAACTCTCGGTGGAAGCATCGATCTTTACTTCTTCGACGGTCCCACCCCGGCTGAGGTCACCAAGCAATATCAGGCTGAAGCCATCGGTCTTCCTGCTATGCAGCAGTACTGGACTTTCGGTTATCACCAATGCCGCTGGGGCTACAAGAACTGGACTATGATGCAAGATGTTGTTGATAACTTTGCCAAGTTCAGCATTCCTTTGGAGACCATCTGGAACGTAAGTTGAGCAATACCGCGGTGCTCCCAGAATTCGCATTCATGGAAACATGCTGACTGAACCTCCACTGTAGNNGACATCGATTACATGTTCCAATACCGTGACTTCGAAAACGACCCCAACACCTTCCCTTACGACCAGGGCAAGCAGTTTATCGACGGTCTTCACAACAACAACCAACACTACATTACCATCGTCGACTCAGCTATCTACATTCCCAACCCTGACAACGCCACGGATGCTTATTCTGTCTATTCAATGGGTCACGACATGGACGTGTTTATGAAGAACCCTGATGGATCCGAATACATCGGGGCTGTCTGGCCCGGCTTCACCGTCTTCCCTGACTGGCAAGCTGCAAACGCCACTCAATGGTGGACTGAGTCTCTCATGAAGTGGTACCAGAATGTCCAAGTTGATGGTATCTGGATCGATATGTCCGAGGTCAGCTCCTTCTGTGTTGGCAGTTGTGGATCAGGTTCTCTGCACTTGAACCCTGTCCACCCTCCTTTCGCTCTTCCCGGCGAGCCTGGGTCGGTTGATTATGGCTACCCCGAGGGTTTCAATGTCACCAACTCTACCGAGGCTGCTGCCGCTTCCTCAGCTTCAGCTGCTCAGGCATCCTCCAACTCCGCTACACAAGTCTCCTCGAGCACCTCGACCGTAGCTTACCTCAGAACTACACCCAGTGCTGGCCTTCGTAATGTCGACCACCCTCCCTATGTCATCAACAACCAGCTCGGCGACTTGGGTGTTCATGCAGTTGCGCCCAATGCCACTCATTCCACCGGTGTCGAGGAGTACGACGTGCACAACCTCTTGTAAGTTTCTACTTGTCCGTCTTCCACACAACCCACAAACTAATCGAGATAGTNNGGTTACGAGATCCTGAACGCAACCTACATCGCTCTCACCCAGACTATCAAGGCCAAGCGCCCCTTCATTATCGGTCGTAGCACTTTCGCTGGAGCTGGTCAATTCGCAGGACACTGGGGTGGGGATAACTATGCCACATGGGAGTCTATGTACTTCAGTATCCCTCAGGCCCTCGATTTCTCTCTTTTCGGTATGCCAATGTTCGGTGCCGATACTTGCGGCTTCTCTGGAAACTCTGACGAGGAACTTTGCAACCGCTGGATGCAGATGAGTGCCTTCTTCTCTTTCTACCGCAATCACAACACTCTTGGCGACAACTCTCAGGAACCCTACATCTGGGGATCGGTCATCGACGCCAGTAAGAAGGCAATGCAGATCAGATACTCACTGCTGCCCTACATCTACACCCTGTTCCACTCCGCACACACCACTGGTAGCACCTTCTTGCGCGCTATGGCTTGGGAGTTCCCCAACGACCCTAGCCTTGCCAGCGCCGATCGTCAGTTCATGCTCGGACCCAGCTTGCTTATTACGCCTGTTCTCCTGCCTGGCGTCACTACTGTAAATGGTGTCTTCCCTGGTAGCAAAGACGGTGTTGTCTGGTATGACTGGTACAACCAGACTGCTGTGCCTGCCACTCCTGACGCAAACGTCACCATGGATGCACCTCTTGGTCACATCAACGTCCACATTCGCGGCGGCAGCGTTTTGCCGCAGCAAGAAGCCGGTCTAACCACTACTGCATCCAGAAACACTCCTTGGAGTGTCATTGCTGCTCTTTCAGCTGAGGGCACTGCTACTGGCAGCTTGTACATTGATGATGGCGAGAACGTCATCCAGAACTCGACTTTGTACGTCGACTTTACTGCCGAGAACCAGCGTCTGTACGCCTCTGCTCGTGGTCTTTGGCAGGAGAAGAACGCTCTTGCCAACATCACTGTTCTTGGTGTCCAGGACGCACCCAAGAACGTGTCGCTCAACGGCATGGCTTTGATGTCTGGTGTCAACTACAACGCCACGAGCAAGGTTCTCAAGGTTACTGGTCTACAGAACGCCACTTCTTCTGGTGCCTGGGCCAAGGACTGGGTCCTTGAGTGGTAAAGAGAGAAGAGATGAATGACTTCATGATCAAAAGAAGCTAGAATGCTGGCTTCAGAATGTCGTTAGGGAGGAAAAAAGCCCCGACGGAAATGTATAATATAGAATTGCTCATACTAAAAGAAGAATTACTCAACTGCGCACGCTGTCGAGGGAACTTGTGATGCGATATGATTTGTTTGCCTGTGCCTTGTGAAGAAGAGCTGTCTGGGAATTTCCTCTGTAGAGAAAGAAGGTTTACGATCTACAACGTGTTGCACGCATTCGGAAATATACCGAGGTCTCTCAACGGTACAGCTCCGAGACCATCGTCATTAATAATCCTCCGCGGGCCCATGTCCCTCCAAGCATCTTGTCCCTTTCATTGTTGTCGCATATCAACACCAGCTCAGACCTCCGGAATCGACACACAGTAACAATGGCATCGCAAGTCTNNTTTCAAGCCAATCGCACGGCTCTCATAACTGGCGGCGCGTCCGGTGTTGGCTTTGCGTTTGCTCAGCTGTGTCACAAGTTCGGTATGAATGTTGCTCTGGTGGATAAGTCTACCGAAGGGCTGGAGAAGGCAAAGGATATCTTGTCAGGAACAGCCAAGAATGGACAAAAGACCGAGGTCTACGATATGGTATGCTCGAGGGAAGATAGAGCAAGAGCGCAATAGCTGATTGAAGAACAGGATGTATCCGAACTCGCACAATGGCGCTCTCTCAAGTCTGAAGTCGAGGCCAAGTTTGGCAATATCGATCTCTTGATGCTGAATGCCGGTGCTTCATTCAAGCCTACCCAAGGCTTTGGCGCACTGTCGACTTGGCTCGACCCTTCATACCATCACAAGACTTACGACACGAATGTGTTTGGCGTGCTCAACGGCATTGCGGCTTTCCTCCCTCTACTCCAGAACAAAGACACGCCGTCCTCGATTGTCATCACCGGCAGCAAACAAGGCATCACCAACCCACCCGGCGGCGCCAACCCAGCCTACAATGCCAGCAAAGCAACCCTCAAACACCTCGCCGAACACCTGTGCCACGACTTGCGCAGCTCCAGCCCATCGATAAGCACGCATTTGCTCATCCCCGGATGGACCTACACAGGCTTCAGCGGCAACAAGGGACCCATCCCCGACGAAGAGGCCAAAGCAAATAAACCCGAGGGGGCATGGTTGGGCTCGCAAGTAGCAGAGTACGGAGTCAGAAAAATGATGCAAGGGCAATTCTATATTGTGTGTCCTGATGACGATGTTTCCGAGGAGTTGGACAAGGCGAGGATGGCTTATGCGATGGGTGATGTGTGTGAGGGCAGACCTGCATTGTCGAGGTGGCATGACGAGTACAAGGACAGTGCTGCCGAGTGGATACAGAAGGAGGCGGAGAACAGGAAGGGTGGACAGTAAAATGTGCGATTTGGCATTAGATTGTAGAAGCTAGATAGATATTCCAAAGGTATGTGTATGTTTCCATCTCTTTTCACTTTGATCCTCGAGGTGAGTGCTTTGTTTGGTGCCTGTCTTGATTCATGTCAGCAAGCGTCTCGGAAGAACAATGTGACATCGAGAAAATGGTTGAAAGTGTTACTAAGTAGGAACAATTAAATGTCCGCATATGAATTGGACGCTTCTCTTGGAAGGCCATATCGGATCCCTTGCATTCATCATTGTAACAGGGGGGGGGGGGGGGGGGGGGGGGGGGGGGGGGGGGAGCAGAGAGTGTGGGAATGAAGAGATAGAAGTGCTTACCAATAGTCTCGTTTCCCGCCGTTCACCCTGCAACATTGGCATATGTCTGCGATATTTGGTGGACAACGAGGTTGTTGTAGAAAGGAAGAAGGCAGCTTCGGCGCAAAGAGAAGATTGTGCTAAGTTTATATTGCCGGAGTTTAACCATGTGGAAGCACTTTTTGATCGAGCTCGCGATCACCATCTCTCCAATACTGACATATGGTATCGTTATATGCTATGAGAATGCACAGTCGTTTTCTTAGAAAGGGCTGTGGCCATGGAGATGTCCAAGGATAACCTTGTATCCATGGATTTCGCTCGTTTTGTAGAAAGTATTATGCATTTCTGTGGTTACTCTCACTACTTCCAGCACGCGGGGAGAGTCTTGCTCGTCAACGTCTTGACAGACTTGATGTTTGTCCCCAGTTCCACTCCAGACTCAGAGGATCTACTTTGTAGTCAGTGAGCGCGTTTAGTGTTCAAGAAGGGTGTTCTAGTGCCGAAGGGTACCGATCCGATAGCCGACCCGGGAGAGCTCTTGCCCGACTACTTGCCGTACCGCATGGCCGAAGCTATAGACTCCACCGACCCCTCTGAAGATCTGAAAATGCCCATGAAAAGTAGAGCGCAGTAGACGATATCAACATATTAACAAAATCGCTGTCGTCCCTTGAGGCAAGATCCAGATCCAATTCACCTCATAGCTCCGCACAACAGCTAGCAAAACACCGTACTATCGAGATCTTACAACAATGTCTATCCTCATCATCAACGGACCAAACCTCAATCTCCTCGGGACCCGCGAGCCCGCCATCTACGGCCACGAAACCCTATCAGACGTTGAAGCCACCGCAAAGGACCTTGCCTCTACTCATGGCTTGTCCCTGGAGACATTCCAATCCAACCACGAAGGCGCCATCATCGACCGCATCCACGCAGCCGCTGGTTTCGGACCCCAAGGCGATGGCCAAAAACATGTAGATTGGATCATCATCAACCCCGGCGGCTTGACACATACTTCTGTGGCTTTAAGGGATGCATTGGGTGGAGTGAATATTCCGTTCGTCGAGTGTCATATTAGTAATGTGCATGCGAGGGAGGAGTTTCGCCATAAGAGTTTCTTGAGCGATAAGGCGGTCGCTGTTATTGCTGGCTTGGGGACGTTTGGGTATGAGGCTGCGATTGGTTTTGTTGCGAGGAAGATCAAAGCTGCGAAGTAGGATCGCGTGGTGAGTGGTGAGCGTGGCAGTCTGTTGGAAAGTCGTGATGGAAGGAGCTGATGATGTCGCAGTAGCTCTTATCCTTGAGTGTGTTCGACGCCTGGGCTTTTGGCCAGTCTTTCCATTCATCAACAAGAGACTCTGCTTTTCACCATCGCATTCAGAATTTCTTTTGCTCCTATCATTCGTCCGTTGCAAGTGCGAAAATCTGGTAATCGTGAACATTCCGTTGATACGTGGTTGATACAACTTGCTCAATCACGTCCAAAAAAGGTCAGTCGTTAGTCTTGGTTTGAGATGACTGAAATCACAAAAATATTGTTCGGCATGTTATTGCCCACATCTCGAATCTGTCCCCACGCCTCGTCTTGCACAAGGAACTGGTATCTGGGAGTCTTCTGGAAGTCGTCGGCGACAACAGCACTCTTACTCTCCAACAACAGGAGTCATAAAGAGTGATTCACCCGCCTTCGACGACCAGGCTCACACGAAGATCTTCAGATGATATACACACATCTTCTAGTACAAAATGACGATACAAAGACTTCTCGACGAACTCTTGCTCTCCATATTCGAGCCATTTGCCCATCGCCAAAAGCACGTCGACCCGTTCAAAGACGCCGAGATCCCATGCGAAAAAAACGAGCACGAACATCAGGTCACTCGCTAGTTTCTCCAGGGTCTGCGTCAGATGGCATATCATCATCGAGCCCATCTTTTATTCCAGATTCACGAGAGGATTGAGTATGGACCTGTGGCGTTGCCGGTACAGAGTTCTGCAGTGATTGAGTTACGAGTACTAGAGGATGCATGTGAAAAAGAAGGAATTGTTTTGGAAGATGTCAAGAACCATAATAATAGACTGTAGGCCTGACGGACACAAATTGGCAAGCTCTATTTGAGAATGGTTGTTTACTTACTATGGTAATCTTAATATTTTCTGTTGTGTTCGCGTGACGTCCGTCAAAAATGCCCCTTCTTTTCGGGCTCTCCATGGACACCCATGCCCTTTGTGAGATATTGTGCATTTCTATAGGTTTGAAATCTCACACAAGGGTAGGGGAGTGGAACAGTAAGGGGTCGAAGTATACTTTTGTAGATATATGAAGGATATTGTAAGCTCGGGTATCTATACCAAGACATGAAGCCTAGCTGAAGCCTCCGGTATGATTCCAAAAGCCATGGGCCCCAAGAAGGTGAATGATGTCTCTGAACTTAGGAGTACCTNNACAGCGACAAGTGTTAGCAATGTCATCCTAAAAGTATGTGGTTGACGTGGGGAAAAAAGACGCAAGCTTACCGAATCCAGTGACGGGATCCCAGCCCTCGGCGGCAGGGNNGAAGCCCTTGCCATCGCCAATCTCCGAACATCCCACGGCAGAACCACTGATGATGTCGGTGAAAGCGCGGTAGCCCTTCTTGTACAACCAAGGGTTTAGGAAGCCAAGAGTGGGTTTGCCATTGGCAATCAGTGCATCGTTGACGAGAGCGATGATAGCGGCGAACAGGGGAGTAGAAGCCGAGGTGCCAGACACAAGAGTCTCGGTGCCGTTCCAGACGGTAGCGAAGTAACTTCCCTGGGCGGAGATATCGGGGTATGCTCTTCCGCTAGCATTGAAGTAAGCTGCATCTCTATCGCCGAGGGTCTTGAGGTAAGCCTTGACAGCCTTGTCTTGGTACGCAGGACGAGGGAAAAGGTCAGAGAAGCCACCGCCGGATGCATAGCCAGAGGAGTGATAAGCAACAACTTCAGGGTTAAAGTCCATGGTTGCACCGACAGAAGTAACGTAGGGGCATGTGGAAGGGAATTCTGGAGTGAAGCGTTTGGCGCCGCTGCCGTTGTTGGTGATACAGCTGCCCGAGCCACCGACACCACTGTCGCCAGAGGCGTAAAAGACGGAAACACCACGGGCACCCAGTTGAGCAAGGTCTTCGCAGACACGCTTGGCGTAGGATGGAGGGACGGTCTGCTCTTCGTCGTCGTAAGAGGTAGAAACGACTTGAGGCAGAACGTCGTCTGACTGTGAGAGAACGTGTTGGAGCCAGTCGAGGTAGGGCTCGTTGGTGTTGGAAGTGGTACCATTGGAGGGAGTCCAAGGAGGAGAGCCGCCGACAGCGTAGGCAGTCAGAGGCGTAGGCCAACCCACTCCAAGCATTGTCTCGACATCGAGATCACCTTCAATGTCGATCCTGCTTTGTACGACCTCTTGCGATGTACTGCCATTGTTGATGACATCGAATTGGAAGGTGTAGGCTGCTTCCTTGGCCTCGGGACGGAACTTGTCAAGGAAGAGGTAAGTGTCGGAACGGTTGTTGGTCTCACCAAGGTAGTTGGCAAGAGCCATCTTGTTCTTGCCAGCAGACTGGGGAATGTAATCGATGGTCTCGTACAGGGTTCTCATGCACAGAGGTGTGACTCCGCGAGGGGTGCAAATCGAAGTAACGTTGGGGTCCTGGTGGTACGTAACGTCCTTGGAGTAGTCGCCACCAACCTTGTTTACCTCGAGTGATACAGCCTTGGGAGTGCTGCGGAAGAACGAGTTTGTGGGTTGAATGGTGTCAATGTGCTCGTGAAGATGAACGGGAAGAGACCATTCAGGTGCGCGAACAGTCTCTGAGCCATCCTCATGGCGGTAGACGCTGTACTTGGTGTCGAGAAGGCTCTCAATCTTGTTGACGGGAAGAGAAACCTTGATCCAGTCCTTTGCGGCGCTGTAAGAAAGGTCTCCAGTCTCAATACCGTTGTCGGCCAGCCACTCATGGACCAGGGTTAAAGAGTCCTCGGCAGGTTGCACGAGCTTCTTGACGTCGGTTTCGCTCAGGTGTTGGCCGTAGCGGGAGTGGTCGGGGTCAGAAACTGGAATATTGGATCAGATACAAGAACAGCAGGTAGCCGGGTGTTACAGCCTCTCCATGTGAGAAAGTGCACTACGCGCACAGCTATGAAAATGCACAATAATCTTCGAAACCGGGGATTGCGGCCGGGGAGAGTCAAGAATGTGTCACCTCCCGGTGGTCCTATCCTGTTTCTTGACGCTATTGTGCATGTTCATAGCTGTCCGTCCATGTTGCACACTCCAGCAGTCGAAGAGGCCGTCTCCCTGAATTGGTGTCACATACCCTCATACAAGTGTCTCTCCAAATCACCGAACTGGTTCTGCTTGATGGCAATGCGGAGATCGATGTTGTGAGTCGAAGGAGCAGCGGCAACCTGACGCCACTTTGAGGGCACAAAGTGCGAGTCCTTGACAGCATAAGGAGTTCTTGCCTGGATGGGCGAAGCATAAGAGCCACTGGCAAGCAAGCCAGCGACCAGGAACAGCTTTGCAGCACTCATGATTTGGAGAATTAGAAAGAGGACGATCCGAGACAAGACACAATGACTACGGGAGCAATGCTCTACTTATACGCATAACAAGGTAGCATGATAAATTTCCTCATGGCGAAATGATCGTCTTGTTGAGCAGGCGGACAAACTGCAAGGGACACAGCATGGTGGGGACGCCTGAGGGGTACAATAGATGAACATCACTCAAGAGCTAGAATATCTTGGGAAGGTGAGGGCACTTGAGGCGATAAGGGTGGTTTAAAGTACGAGAGAAATGCTTGAAGAGTGGATGCACGCGAGCTTGTCCGTCTTGACTTGATTGGCGGCGTCTTGGGAAAATGCCTCGGCCTCGAGCGCTGCCGCCGACTTCCCGATACCCTTGACATCACCTTCCTGTTACGACCTTGTACGTGCGTACTTGCCGCAGTCGCAATTGCATAATTGAAGATCGCGTGCTGCAGCTGCTGCCAAACGCAATCATGTCGGATCTGGCAGGAGGCTTTGTGCCTCTGTCACCACCGCCGTCCTCGGTCGCTTCCTCGAATACGCCAAACTCGCTGCCGCAACCAAGGAGAACACCCCTCAAGCCTGGCGGTACCAAAGAATCAAGATTGATCCGCCATGTCGACCAGCAGATCCTTCATATCCAGAGGCGCTTTGCAAAGAGAGACCCCTCGTTGGGTCATGGTGTGCGAGAGGTGGACGAAGAGGGCAGGATGATCGAACAGCTCAACGATCCTGCCACCGAAAAGAGACTGCAACAATCAGACGAGTGGAATGATGTAAAGGGCTACTCTGGCTTTGGTGAAGCTGCAAAGGATGTTGACGAGCTTGTAGCTGTCATCTGGATCAGTGGCACTCCAGCTCTGCAGGTGCCGTACTTGATCAGCTTGGCTCTTCTCGTCAACAATATGATTCCTGCGTTTCCGCTTGCTCCTCGTCCGCTGTTCAGGTTGCTCGGCAAGCTGGATCATGCTNTTGCTTCGTTGATCGTAGGCAGGGATGTTGCGACCGACGAGATACTTCCTGGTTTCAACACGGGTCGTGGTGTCAGCGGCACAGAAAAGGTTCGCATAAAGAGCTTGGCTGAAAGGACAAGAGTATGCGTTGTTGAGGTACTGAACAAGGGAGAGTTTGACGAGGAAGATGATGCAGACACCCGTGAACCTTCGCCAGCAGACACTGACATGGACGGTGATTTGGTCCTGGATGACGATGACGGACCTGAAGATATCAACGTCGACGACATTGCCGATGACGATGATTGGCACACACAAACAAGTAGAGTCTATGACAAGACCATGGTTGAGTTGGGCGACTCGATGGACGGTGCTCCAATTGGTATCATAACAGAAACCAGAATTGGAACTTGAGTAAAAATTAATGCCTAGATTCTTCTATATCTTTATAGACTGTATCGTAATCGATCGTAAAACATCAGCTCTATCATCTACTCAATTTGTCACTACCACCATCGATCCCACCAACAGATCAATCAGAGTCCCTCACAGCAGCCTCCGCATCCCTATCCTTCTTCTCTCCCAGTTTCTCCTCGGCCACCGCCGTTTCCGCAACAGTAGCCCTACCATGAGTGACTGGATGCTGCTTGCCCGTGACATCCAAATACATACTCTTGAAAGTCCTGATGATAGTCTTGCGCCCTTCGAAGACCGGGTAAATGCCAACACAACAAGCCGTCACAAACAACCAAATAATACCCACCACAACCCACCCCGTAAAGAACTTCTTGCTAAAGATATACCCGGACCCATACATGGGCATCGGCCACAAGATCAAGAAGCACAGAGCAAGGCATACAGTAAGTGTACGTGCAATCTTGGACGCGCGAAGCAGATGTTTTTGCTCTGCGGCTTCTGCAGCAAGTGATTGTGCTGTTNNTTCTCCGTGAGCGCCGCCCGGGAGTAGTTCAGGGTCGACGTGGGCGGCGGTAGTGAGGTCTGAGTCATCGGGACGACGGATTTGTTTCATGGATTGCCAGTCGTACTTTTCGGTGCGGAAGATGAGCGAGAGGATGGGGACTGTAACGACGGGGGTGAGGAGGGCGACGACGTTGCCGACAAGCATTGGATAGTTCGAGCCTGTGGATTCGACGGAGAGATTGCCGTATTGGGTTTTTGCTTGGACGAGCCAGCCAATAAGGGCGCAGGCGAGAGCGATGATGGGGGAGAAGGTCGCTGCTGCCCAACTCTGACGATCGTATAGAAGGGTCAACGAGGCAGGTAGAACACCGCCACCGATGATACAGCCCATCATCAAGTAGATATATCCCATGCCGATGCCTGCGTAGTAGAGCCCTGTCGAGAAGGCGGCCATGATGAGGGCAAATACCACACAGCTGATGTGACTTATGTAGATCAGGTTCTTACCGTGAGCCTTAGGATTGATATAAGTGTTGTAGATATCGTATGTCCAGATACTCGAGACCGCGATCAACTCAGCAGACATGGCCGATGTGACAGCCATGAAGATCAATACCAAAGTGGCAGCAGCACCTCCCTTTCCAAGGAGAGCTACGGCTGCATTAGGGAGTACCAGACCAGCCGTGACATCCTCTGCTGCCATACGGAGAGGGTAGGTGGGGAACACGGGGTTGTTCTCGAGAGCTAGAGCTGCAAGACCCATAGTCGTAGCGCAGAGCCANCTTATAACACAGTCAGTACATGGTCCTGAGGGAAAACTCCGAGTACTCACAGGAATTGCGAACCATGAAAGTCCACCTAAAATGTAGCCAGGCAGAGCATGGACTGGCGAAGCAGCAATAGCCTTGTTCCAGTACCCATTGTCAAGGTACACGGTACCAAAGTTACCAACAAGGTTTATAACGAAGAAGATGCCTCCCTCACGAGATTGCATGGTAAGATAACTTCCTTGTGCATTACCTTCAACAGGATGGCGAGCTGAAGCAGCTTTAAGGGCGTCGTAGACAGCCCCAGGGCTACCAAGAATCTCGTTGGTCGAATATGCGGTGAAGGCAAACAAGAAAATGATGATCAGAATCACCACAGTGTGTACCCAATCAGTGATGAATGTGGCCTTGATACCGCCGAACATCGTGTAGGCCACAACACCGACTGGGAGCAGGAAACAGGCGGCTACGGGGTTCATGCCAGTAAGGTCCCGAATGACAGCACTACCGCCAGTCAGCAGCATGGCTGTAACGAGAACGTTGGTCATGAGGCCGAAGACGATGTATACGCCGTGAGTAATTCCACCATAGCGTGCACGGATGGCTTCCAAGAAGGTATGAGCATTAGGGGCTCGACGCTTGAGTTCGATAGCCAGAGTCGCGAAGAGGATGACTTGTACAGTTGCACCTGAGGCGTACCAGAAAGGTCCAGAAACACCGTAGTTGTAAGCTACAGCAGATGACTGTAGGAGTGTTGCAGCCCAAGTCCAACTCGAAACCACAGCAGCAGCCACAAGACCAGACTTGACACTTCTTCCAGCCGTAGAAAAGACCTCACTGGTCTGTAACTCATTGTTGTATCTTCTGAGCACCCACGTCGTAAACATCATGCCCAGAGCAAANAGAAAGCCGACACCCAGTACGACTCCATAGCCCACGCCTTGGGAGAGGATGGCAATGCCTGCCATGTTAAAATTTGCAAAGAAAGGGTATCGATAGCGAGTTGGCTGCAACAAACAGGCGAGGATAAAGAAGACCTTATAGCAAAGGGTAAAAGCAGGTGTCGTGGGGCTATATCTCAACGTGGTTATAGGGATAAAGCCACTTGGAAGAGGAACCTCCGCGGCAAAAAGGTGCTGTCAGCCATCTCTTATGTGAGTCACACCTATAGGATCCCTGTAGTCTCTATTTCACATTGCGAACTCGGGGCACGACTGGGGTTGAGTGAAAGTGATCCATAGAGTGATCGGCATGGATAACGTTGTGTTAAGGTGGTTGATAAGGAAGTAATCTGGGGTAGGCTTGTCGCTCATTGGCTCTGACAAACGCCCACCACTCGTTTCTTATCAGTGTGCGAATTCGCGCTTTCTTTATCATCCACAAAACTACTTGTCCTCCAGTAGGATCTTGCTCGATCGTTTCGTGTAATCCTATCTCTGCATTTTCGTCTTGGCAGAGAAGGTAACGTTGGATAGCGCGTTCTTTGACAGATTGTGGGGTGCTTACTCGATGCGATTGTCTTTTCGGCGCGCCGCGCTGTATGTGATCTTGTCTCTTTGCGGGAGGTCAACCCGGTGAGCTGTAACACCGTCGAAGCCGACCAGTACAGTTCTCAGATCGAAGCATACTCCTAAGCATCCTTCCACTTCCACATGCCCATCCAGCACTCGACTTCACTCAGCTCTTCTCCCTGTCCATCACTCCAATCATCATAGCCTGTTTCTGTCTGCTCGTGGCATAGTTTCAAGCCAATTTTGATCATTCGGTTCTTGAGGTCTGCGCGCTCTTCTGCATAAGCTTCACGAATTGGGATCTGAATTAGAACGCGAGCATCGGGACCTTGGTCAAGGTGACAGTTGATCGTCTGGACCAGCCAGGCGGGATGTTCCTTGGAGTATATGGGGTCGGCAGTGACGATCAGTGGATATTTTGAGCCTTTTTCCTCAGCAACAAGCGGACGTTTTGATGCATCTGGATCTTCAGGGTATATGATGTTCTCCGGTACAGTCCAGTCAAGCATAGCAGCGCGAGCAGATCCATTCCTCGACTCGATCATGTCTCTATTCGAGGCGATGTTCCTTTCGAGATTTGGCACAATTTCAGGCAAGTCTGTCAAGAGCACATTTGCGCCCAGTACCGCTGCTGCGGCAATGCCAACCAGACCAGTGCCTGCGCCTAATTCCAGGATTGTTGCAGTCTCATCCTTGTCAAAGATCAGCGGAATGCGATCGCGTAAGGTATGCCAGTTCCGGGCAAAGACAAACGACGAGGCCCACGTCTTTAGACCAAGATTGTCTTCTGTAAGCGCAGGCTCATGAATGCTGACTTGGACGGTTGTATCTTGTTCATGTGACGTAGTGATGACTGGCATCATTGTGCTTGAGCTATTGGTAGTGTCGGCGTCGAGTGGTATCCGGAAAGAACGACTAATGGCACCCATACCGGTACGACCAGAACGTTCACTCAAGCGTAATGAAGCAGAATCCCAAACCTTCTCTTTCTCTACGTCATCTTCAATCCAGTCCAGCGGGCTCGAGACGATTCGTGTAAGGTATTGAGGAACGCCGTTGGAGCGAACCTTGGGTTTAGACTGGGCGGCGGTCTTGTCCCATGACTGAGGTTCTAGGCTGAGTAGGGATAATGTGTCTAGTAGCTGCTGTGACGAAGGCTTGGTGTAAATCTGTGGAAGGTCAAGCACNTGGAGGGGTGTCAGTAATGGTCAATTGACAGTACTTGGGCTAGTATCACCATCTAGAACTTCCTCGTCCTGATCTGATTGCTGCGATGTATGGTTGTTGCCAGATCCAGACATTTTTGTTGATGATGAGAGTGACGCTCGTAGATGGACAATTCTGGAGAAGGCGCGGAGACGCACAGACCATGACCATCCGAAGAAGAGCCATCGTCATCACTCGAGAGTCGCTTTGAAACCATCATATGCCAGATTCATGTCGAATTGAAGGTCGCGAGCTTGGTCGTCGGTGAGTTCTTGAGCAGCGCGCATCTGGTTAAGCGTGATAAGCCACTGTACTATTTTGGCCTTGTTCTCAAAGTCCTGGTCCGTGACCTTGTTGACGGCTTGGATGGTTTCAACAAGGATGGGATGGAGCGTGTCCTTGGAGAGCATGTTCATCTTGATAGCATCGAAGAGAGTGATGAAATTCTCTGAAGCTGACACGATATGAGTAGCATTTGCACCAGCTCCACCACCAGATTGAGCACCAGGTGCACGTGAAGGAGCCTCGATGGTAGCCGGCAGACCAATCTTCAGACGGTCAGTGGCACGAGGAACATCGAGGTTCCATTCCAGCTTGAAAGAATCCAGGCTTCCAAAGGCTCTGGCGACCGAGTCATCTGCTAGGTTGGACTTGTATTGTTTGAGCAATCGACTGCACGTGTCGGTGTAGTCAGTCTCTGAAATCGAGTCTTTGAGAAAAGCCCTCTCGAGTGCTTCCAGAGTGACAATGATGCTGTATATCTCGGCCAGCGATTCATAGAGGTCACGTTCGGCGCTGTTGTGTGCGAGTTTGAGCTCCTCATCAACATTGATGGTTGCCGAGAGTGTTGAGGTGGGAGTGTAGCTGTAAGGAGTCGGTGCGTATGCCAGCTGCCGTTCGGCGTACATGTTGGTGATGTGTATGGGAAAGATGTGCTATGTTCTTGGTAGAGGAGACGATGCGGGAAGGAGCGATGGAGTTAAGGTCGGTGGTCTGTGCTCAGCGCTCGGCTTCTCCGCAGAATCGGTGGATTTGGAAATCTGATTTTCCTTTGCCGTATCCTGAACTTTTTTTGCATCACCACAAAACATCGCATATCATGGCGCAATCAAAAGCCACCAAGAAGTTCGAGAAGAACCACCTCAAGGACACGATCAAGCGCCGCAAGGACTTTGCCAAAATCAAGCAGCGCCACCAGATCAACGAGAAGAAAAAGGCAAAGAGAGCCCAGGACAATGAAGTTTCCACACCACCTCCCGAGACACGGGCGCCAGCCAAGGATGGAAAGCAGGACTTTGAGAGCATGAACGTCGACGATTTCTTCCAGGGCGGCTTCGATGTGCCCGAGCTACCAGCCAAGATGGACAAGTCATTGAAGAGGAAACGCGCAAAGACCGACGACAAGGAAGCCTCAGCAAAGCCCGCCGCCGATGACGATGCGTCAGACTCCGACTCGGAGGTCGACGACCCGGAAGCCTTCCAAGCACAGCTCGATGCCCTCGCCGCAAAGGACCCCGAGTTCCACAAGTACATGCAAGAGAACGAGCCCGACGCTCTGAACTTTGAGGACGCAGATCTGGGAGAGATTGACGAGCTGAGTGGAGATGAGGAGGACGAGAGACCATCAAAGAAGCAGAAGGGAGAGGGCAACGAGGTCACCAAGCAGATGATCGCAAAGTGGCAGAAGGCTATGACAACACAACACTCGCTGCGCGCTTCCAAGGAGGTCGTTCTTGCCTTCCGCGCTGCTGCCCACGTTTCGGACGAGGAGGACAAGGTCTTCAAATACTCCATCTCGGACCCGCAGGCTTACCACGAGCTGTTGGTCGTTGCGCTCAAGCACCTGCCCGAGGTGCTCGCACACCATCTGCCCGTCAAGGAGAAGGCTGGCGGCAAAGTCACCTTCTCGACCGACTCCAAGAAGTTCCGCAACCTCAGCCCGCTGCTCAAGTCGCATCTCACCTCGGTCCTGCATTTGCTCGCTCATCTGTCCGACCCCAACACCATCCGCATGACCCTCACCAACGTCCTCNCCCTCCTTCCCTACGTCCTCTCATTCAAGAAGATCATTCGTGATCTGACAAAGGCTGTCACTGGAGTCTGGTCCGAGTCCTCGAGCACTGAGGCCACCCGTATCGCAGCTTTTCTTGTCCTCAGACGCTTGGTCGTCATTGGTGATGCTGGTATCAGAGAGGCCGTTTACAAGACTTCGTACCAGGGTCTTATCAAGGGCAGCCGCAACACCACCGTACACACCATCCAGGGTATCAATCTCATGAAGAACTCGGCTGCCGAGCTCTGGGGTATTGATCCTACTATTGGCTACACGACTGGTTTCACCTTCATCCGTCAATTGGCCATCCATCTCCGCAGCAGCATCACCAACAAGTCAAAGGACTCATACAAGACCGTCTACAACTGGCAATTTGTTCACTCTCTGGACTTCTGGTCGCGTGTCGTCGCATCACACTGCCAGTCGCTCGCTGAGGCTGAGAAGGGCGCCGCTTCTCCTCTGCGTCCCCTGATCTACCCCATCGTCCAAGTCACTCTCGGTGCCATGCGCCTTATCCCTACGAGCACATATTTCCCTCTCCGCTTCCACCTCATCCGCAGTCTTCTACGTATCTCTCTCTCGACAGCAACCTACATTCCTCTCGGATCCGCTCTCTACGAGGTCCTGAACGCCGCCGAGATGCGCAAGCCCNCGAAGGCCTCCACCCTCAAGCCTCTCGATTTCTCCGTTGCAGTCAGAGCACCAAAGACTTACCTCCGCACTCGTGTCTACCAAGATGGTGTCGGCGAGCAGGTCATCGAGCTCCTCTCAGAGTTCTTTGTTCTCTGGGCCAAGTCTGTCGCTTTCCCCGAACTCGCACTACCTCTCGTTGTACTGTTGAAACGATGGTTGAAGGAGACTGGCAAGAACTCAAAGACGCCAAACAACAATGCAAAACTCACATCGCAAATGATCCTGCTGGTCCAAAAGGTTGACGCCAACATTCGCTTTGTCGAGGAGAAGAGAGTCAAGGTTGACTTTGCACCCAACAACCGTGGTGAAGTCGAGAACTTCCTCAAGGAGACCGAGTGGCAAAAGACACCGCTGGGCGCATTCGTTGTCGGTCAAAGAAAGATCAGAGACGAGAAGCAAAAGTTGATGGAAGAGGCAAGGAAGGAGGATGAGAAGAAGAGGGAAGAGGAGAAGGCCGAGGAAATGGCCAAGGATGGTGAAGAGTTCGACGACGAGGATGAGGCCAGCGGAGACGAGGTTGAATCCGAGGACGAAGAGATGGAAGTCGAAGGTGTCAGTGATGAGGAGGACAGCGAGTAGAGTAAGCGCGAAAAGTTGATTTGCATCATGTCCGGCGTCTTTCTTTTGGTCTGGTCTTGCAGAGATATCAAATATTCAATCTTGAACTTTTTTCTTGTCGTTACCCAGCTACTGTCTCGCAGCACCATCTGATCACTTTTTGTCTTCTGGGAAAGTACATTGATTGGATCTTTCACTGCTCTTGGTTTGTGTATGCCCGGCAGCTCGCTCCTTCCCTCGATGACTTCGCGCGTGGTTTTTCCTTCCGCGGAGCACTTGCGTACGTGATGACCTGCCTTTTGCATTGCATTCTCGACCTCGACTCCATCATTCTTCACTACACCTCCCAGCAAAATCCCCTTCCACTCCCAACCCACACCTTACCGAGACTACTTTCCAAATGTCCGAATCTCACATTCCAGAGAAGACTAAACTACAGCAATACACTCTTGCAGCACCCACACCCAAACGTCCAATAACTGCAGCAATTCTCTGCTGTCTACTCATCTGCTACGATATCTGGCTACCGTCTCATTCTGATGACTGGAATGTTTTCGACTCTTTGGGTCTGCTTGGCGTAAACTTTGGGCTTGGGCTTGCTATTTATGGTGCCTATATCTCATGGAACTTTGGTGAGGAAAGCAATGGTGGTGGGGATGAGGCAAAGCGCGAGTATACGCCATTCGATGAGTTGAGTGTTACTCTGTTGGGGTGTGCTGTGTCGTTTGCTTTGTNNCTATTCTTTTTCTTGGATGTATGGAGTTTTTGCGCAGGTGAATGGAGTAAAAGATGTTGGGATAATGGGTTTGGTTGTTGATTGCTTCATGTAGGTTTGCTCTTTTGCGTGGCGCATTGTTCCAGACAAGTAAGGGGAAGGCGAGCTATACCACACCATGAAGATCACTGGTAAAGAATAGTCATGAGCTACAGCTGTAGTCAGTTTCTGATCTCTTCTCGACTCCAATGGGATAGCAAACTGCTCCTTCCTCTTCCGTCCTAGCGTCAATCGTACCCTCGCAACGCTCCCAAACACCCTCTCCTCTGGACCTCAACTCCCTCCCACACCATCACAACCACCCACCCGACATTACCAACTCCCAAAACATCAACGGCCTCCAAGCCCTCTCTTCAGAACCCTCAAAAACATCAAAGAAATGTCAACGCAAACACCCCAAAAACATCACTTACCCTCCGCCAGACCCTCGCCAGCAACGATTTCGTCTTGCCTGCTTTGCTCATCGTGTTGCTGCTTGCCTTTGACGGCTGGGTGTCTTCTTTTGACCTGGCTTTCCCCATGAAGATATGGTTGTGGACGACCAATGTGGGTGCGGTGATGATTATTGTGGGCATGTGGGGGGCTCGAAGGGAGAAAAAAAGTGAAGCAAGGGTGAAGAGGTGTGTGAGGACGAGAGTGAAACTTGTGATCGAAGGATGGGGGAGAAAAAGAACGTCTAAGAGATTTTTGTCAAGTGCATGGGGTTGGTTTGCTGGTTATGAGAGGCTTTTGGGAGAGGAGATTGTCGAGGGATTTTTTGTGGCGGGTTTGAGAAGAGGGGATCGTGGGATGGCAGGAAGGTTGGTGACGAGGATAGCATCTGGTTCTCCATTCGGGGCAAGGGATAAGTCTTGTTGAGGGAGAAGAAGGTTGAGTCAAGTAAGTGCAAGAGTGAGCATCCATGGACACTCTACTATTGAAAGCTAAGAGTGCTGACGCAGACTAGAGAAGCCACCTTCTCAGTCACAAAAAGAGAAAAGATTCCGAGGACACAATCTGGGAAGAGAAGAGCAAATATAGGTCTCACCTGCCTATGCACGTACTGCGTATTTGCTCTACCTCGGCAACGCGTAATGAGAAGAGATGACAAGTAAATCACCCACGATGGGGAAAAACATATTATAGTCAAAAGACTTTGACAAAATGGGAGTGTTGACACCCCCTATACTCTTACTAGCAAGCCTTTTCTCCTTAGGTAACATTTCCCGTTCTGCAGATGGGAAAAGATCATATATTCCTCTTGTCTACAATCTTGAGCAAAACTGAACGGAGCCCACAGGGCAAAAGAACAGCGAGCGAGAACCAAGTCAGATAATGACCCGTCTCAACACTTATGCTCGAATAGCAGCACAGCTGTATCGTGAGGAGCAACATCCACGGTGACCTTCCTCTCCTTGCATCCAAGATCTGTACTATTCCAGATATCCAAAACCTGATAACAGCCCCCTGCATCAAGCTCCGGGATCTCACTGTAGTCAGCAGTCATCGAGATGGTGTCATTTAGCGGATTGAAAAGAGCCACCATAGTCCCGTTAGATGATGCTCCAGACCAATACTGAGCTGGAAAAGTCGTGTTATAAGTCCAATTCGGGTTGATACCCCACTTGTACGGCGCAGCAGGCTTTCCATAGACTGGATCTTGATTGAAGGCAAGCAGTGCCTTGTTTTGCAAAACATTGATATTGTGCTCGCTGAGTTTGGTGATGTCGGTGCCGATGAGAAGGGGCGATTTCATCATTGCCCAGAGTGAAAAATGTGAGCGCACTTCTGCGTCTGTGAGGTTGCCGTTGCCGACTTCGAGCATGTCTGCATCGTTGTGGCCGTAAAAGTCGCCATAGTCGGAGAGGAAAGAGTTTTGGTTGAGGATTTGCAGGATACGGCTCCATGAAGCTNNGGACACATGTTCAGTCCAGGACTTGTGTGGATGTAGGGGAAGAGATGTTCACTTACGATTGATGTCGTTGGACATACGCCACGACTGGCCGGTACCGTTTCCCCAAGTCCAGGGTAGATCTACTCCCCACTCACACAAACTGTACAGGATGGTTCTGTTCTGTGCCAACAGAGCGTTGCCCATGATACGAAACTTGAGCGCCGTGTACTTGGCAGTGTAATTGATACCATCGACAGGCCATCCATCAGCGCAGATGGGGATCGGGCGAGTAAACGAATAGTGATTGACTGGCGGAGTGCTGTTCGAGCAAGTACCATTGACAATACCAGTAGGAGAAAAGCTTGGATCCGGCTCGCAGGACAGGCAATCGTCATACCACTCTTCTGGTGGAAAACAGTTGTCGTACTTGAGGTAATCGACACCCCACGAAGCAAATGTCTCTGCATCAATGGCTTCATAGCCAATTGAGCCTGGATAGCGACCACATGTCATGGTACCTGCACTTGAATAGATGCCAAACTTGAAACCCAAGTCATGGACCTTGTCCGCTGTACCCTTGATACCCTGAGGGAATTTGGTCATGTTGGGCAGTAGCTGGTGCGTTACAGCATCTCTGCCTTGTTTCTCTGACCAGCAATCATCGGAATTGACATACTCGTAGCCGGCGGCTTGGAAACCCAGGTCTTTCATGGCGTTGGCTGCTTGTAGGATGCGTGCCTCGTCAATGTCACAGCCATAGGCATTCTGACAGCGATGTTAGTACACAAGATACAAGCATACCGGCAATGGCAAGCATACCCATGAATTCCATCCTAGCGCTGGTAGTTTTCCGACACCACCAGGCAGCTGGAGGCTCAAGACTGTTGGCAACGCAGCTAGAGCAAGTGCCAATGCTGGAGACATCGTAAACATAAGGAAATGGTATACAAGCACAATTGATGCTTGAGCAAAGGCAAGTGAGTGGAGAGATGGCGTCAGGCCCAACTTATACCTCACCCTTCCAATCGGGTCTGTATCAGTGAGGTAAGTTGATCGTCTATTGTCCGCGTCTACCCCTCATGATCTCTCCATGAATTCCAAGGCAACCCCGCTGTATACGAGAGTCCTTGCCGGCTAAAGTAGAAGCATGCATCTTTCGCAGAACAGTATTCTCGGCCGAGTATGACGTGTTTGCATCAGTACGAGCTGCAAGGTTGAAGTGTGCATGGAGAGAGGGGGTGGAGGTGAGGATGCGGAGCCGTGCACGTGATATCAGGTGTGCAAGTCACCATGAGAGAGATCTCGATCATGTCAATGTGAAGTCCTGACAAGTTCAAGCGTAATTATGAGAAGTAATAGGCTGATACTAAAGCCATGTCAAGAAGAGCATTGTCACAGGCAAGGGAAAGAGAGAGTGGATATAAGGTTAAGGTGATGAATCAAGAGTGGGGATACTGCAGAAGAAACATGTTATTCTTCTCTACCTAATGTATCAGATACAACTATGTACTCGCTCATGAATTACCAAAAGACGAGAGGAAAAACAAAAGGGGCATGCAATTATGAGAACCCCAATCAACGGACTGAATCCATTGGTCCTTCCAAGAAGAAAACAAAAACATCAACAAAACGCAATGTCAACAAAAAGAACAATCTCATCGGAGTGTGTGTGTGTGCAATCATTAATCCAGGCCGTTCCTTCTCTCCCTTGCTGTTTTTCATACCTCAAAGTCGTTCCAGTAGTACTACTCGAGGATGGAGTCGTCATCGACGCCAATGCCCGAGTCGTATTGGCGACGGCGACGGCTCTGCTTGATGTGCTGGACGCGAGGGTTACCAGCAGATGACGAGGTGGCAATGGTAACCATCTCAGGGACGGCATCCATGGCCTCGACTTCCTCAAGCACACGACGGCCAACTTCACGGAGTTCGCCACTCTTAGCTGAGGCAGAGAGGACAGCTGCCTCCATATCCTCGTGCATGGACTGGACTGTAGCAGTGGAGTCGCGGACATAGAGTCTGAACTTCTCCTTGAGTGCTGCGTTGAGCTTTGTGAGGCGGGCGATGGTGATTGTGTTCTCCGAGCCGGTCTCGCGGAGCTCTTCGATCTCGGTGTCGCGCTCGTTCATCACACGCTCCCAGCTGCGATCCACTTCCTGTGCCTTGCGGCCCAGATTCTCGATCTCGGCTTGCTTGTTGCGAATGTTGGTTTTGAGGTCGGCAATCTGGTCGTCACGGTCGGCTTGCAACTCAAGCATTGCTTCGGCTTCATCCTCGACGCGGCGTTCAAGTGACTCCTTCTCGGCCTCGAGGCTTCTGATCTCGTGTTGGGCATTATAGATGTCGTGGTTGAGGTCGGCGATCTTCTCGTCTCTCTCGGTAATGGCGACAGCGTGAGTCTGAGCGGTTGTCTGGGCCTCGGCGTTGAGGATCTTGATCGTAGCCTCGTGTTGCGCAATGATGGCTTGGAGGTCAGCGACATCACCGAGGAGCTCAGCAATGCGAGTCTCGGATGACTGCTGCAGCTGGTCAAGCGACACCAATGCGTTGTTCAACTCCACCTTTGTTGCCTTGAGCTCTGCGGTCAGCTCATCAAGCTTGGTGGCCCATTCCCTAATCTTAGCACCGCGCTCTTCAAGCTGCTGACCCATGTCTGCTGTGATAACTCTGAGTTGTTCTTCGTACGTCTGGGCCTCGGCTTTGTGGAAGATGGCCAAGTCGTTGGCCTTTCTGGCCTTCTCGTCCCAGGCGGCGAGCTCGGTAGCATGCTTGGTGTCACGTTCTTCGGCGATGGTCTGGAGCTCTGTGACGATTTCCTTGGAGCGCTGCTGGACCTCGAACAACTTTTGACGCAGCTCATTGGCTTGTTTGCCGGATGCCAGCAGCTTCTGCTCCAGATCGGTGATTTGGTTGTTGCGATCATCCAGGTCGGCCTCGGCTGCCTCGCGTTGACGACGTTCTGCCTCCTCGAGGGCGCGGAGGTTGTCCAAGTCAGCTTTGAGCTGATCCAGTTCGGTCTCAGCCTCCTCAATCTTGACCTCAAGCTCAGCAATAGATGTTGTGTTTTCATCGTTGACCGCCTCGGCGACCTCTCTGGCCTGCTGTTCGGCGAAGTGCAGTCCTTGAAGAGTGACGAGTTGTTGCTTCAGAGTGTCGATGTTAGCCTCGTCTTCCTCGGCGCGACGCTCCAGGGTCGTGATGATGTTTTGCTTGTCATCAGCATCGGCCTCGGCAGTGTGGCGCTTGGTACCCTCAACACGAAGCTGCTCCTCGAGCTCAGACACAACAATTTGGTTGGCTTTGGTGAGGTCAGATATCTTGACGTTGGCCTCCTGCTCCATGCGGGTGATGAGAGCGTGAAGGTTGGCCTCGTTGGCTCTGTAACCCTCGAGGGCCTCACCGAGCTTTCTGATGGTGGTATCCTGATCCTTGTTCTCGCGGTCAAGCTCGGCAAGCTGAGCCTTTTTCTCGCTGATAAGAGTCTGGGCCATATCGTGGTTCTTTTCGATCTTGTTCAACTCCTTGCTAAGCGAGTCAATCAACTGCTCGTCTCTTTGACTTTGGGCGTCCAGCTCGTTGAAACCAATCTCGAGAGTACGCTTGCGAATCTCGGCCTGGCTCAATCTTTCAAGAAGACCATCAATCTCGTTGGCAAGCTCCTGGCGCAGCTGGTCGTTGTCGGTGATGAAGATCTCCTGCTCGGTAACCTTGGTTGCAAGGACCTCGAGGTGCTGGATGACAAGCTCAACAAGGTCGGCGTCAGAGATGCTGCCAGGGACAGCTCCGGGTACGGCAGATTCGAGGCGTTCGCGGACAGAGGCAAAGGTTTCGCGGATGGAGCCAAGGATGGCGTCAGAGTTCTCACCTGGGAAGCCAAGAGACTGCAACTCGATAGTCAAGATCTGAAGAGTAGACTTTGCATTGGATGCTTCGTCGGTCCAGTACTGAATGGCCTCCTTGAAGGCGCGGCGTTCCTCCTCCTGAGTAGAGTCGGGGAGAGCAACTTGAGTTTGGGCATCAGAGATGTCAACAGCGTCGGTGACCCGCTGGAGAGTGCGGACTTCGGTGCCGGAAGAAGGAAGGTTGGGGTATGAAATGCCTTGGCTGCTATCAAAGACCATCATGTCCTCGTTGATGGTATCCGTGGCCTCGATGGCGTCCACATCGGGGATTGCAGCCTCTTGGGCCTTCTTCTCCTCGAGATCTTCATTGAGTTGAGCGAGCTCGGCCTCAATGTCCTCCATCTTTTGGTCATCGGCATCTTCTCCCAACTGCTTCTCGACGTCGAGCTGGTGAAGACGGGTGCGAATGATATCCTCAATCTCTCCAATCTCTTGACGCAGTTGGATTAGTTCCTGGTGAGCCTCGGAGCCATCTCTCTGCTCCTTGATCTCCTCGCTCAGACGGGTGCGGCGAAGACGGCTCTTAACGCGCTCCGACAGGACCTGACTCAGTGGACGGAAGAGCTTGGAAACAGTGGGCGAAGGGGAAAAGGACGAAGGCAGAGACAAGCGGGACTTGGCGGGTGGTGTCGACAGGCTCTCGAATTGTGAAGGAGAGATGGTCTGACGTCTTTCGGTGGTGATGGTCTTGCGGATGTGAGGAGTTAGGTGTGTCGAGGTAGTCTTCTGACCCTGAGAGGTGGACTCGGTGAAGTGGACATGGCGGGTAGCGGGAGCAGGGGTACTGGTGGTGACAATGTCTTCCTCGTCGAGGATGGTGAGGTCTTCGGGGTGGTCGTAAGACGCGTCTTGTCTCTTTCTGCGCTTGACTTGTGATGACGACGAGACGGTCGTCTGTGAGCTTTGAGGAATTGGCGCGTCGGAGGAGCTGCTTGCTCTTCTCTTGCGGCTTGTGCGTTTCTCAGAGGCGGCAGTCTGCTGCGATGACGACTGGCTTGAAGGCACCTTTTCTTGGTTGCGGGTGCGCATCGTGTGTGTGGTGTATCCAAATAACAGAGCTGAACGATGCAACAGGACGGGAACAACAGGATAATGCTGACAGACGACAAGATTGAGCAAAGAAGAGATGGACTGGGTCTCAAATTGATGTGGAGGTAAGAATTGGTTTGGTGGATGGCGCTCGAAATGAATCGCGCCGCTTGCTTTTGACACGCGCCGGAGAGATGACGTGCGAGTGATCCAAGCTTTTGTGCAAAGCGTCACGATAGCAACTGAAAGTCTATTTCACTATTCACTGCCACGAGCTGGCCCTATTCTTATAGGCACTGGAATAACTCGCTGTCTATGGCCAACACACTGCTACTACCCCTACAACGCGGTCAGTCACGCAGCCTCTCCGTCCATATCGCATCCCAGGTCCCGTCCAATTAGACAGCAATATAAGACCTGCATAAAAATCCCCAGCCACCCTAGGCAGCAATTGCAGGTGGCTGAAAGTAACACACGATCATCATGTCTTCAAACCTTGGAAACTTGGAATATGAACACATGTGTCACTCACAAGCCCTCAACGTGCATGAGACAGCTGTGTATAGCTTCGAGAAGAGTCTGTGCATTATGTATCATTCGGGTATCGCGTATTCATCTAATTTATCCTGGTCGTGCTCAATCCAGATCCTCGTCCTTCTGCTCAGACTTGTCTTGCTTCTTTGACTCGTCCTTGGATCCTTCGCTATGGCGAGGTAGCAGCGTGAAGATGATGACAAAGAGGACTTCGTTTGTGCTTCTGTCTTTGAGGACATATCTGAGTGCATGAGACCTTGTGTTAGTCAGATTCTGCTCAACACACAATTGGGGACAATCTAGACGGAAGAACGGATCGTTTACAGATGANACTGCTTACCTCAGAGGTTGGCCATCCCAGTAGCTGATAATAGGGATAGTGATGCCGGGGATGTAGCTGAAGCCGGGAAGCTTGAGCGCAAAGTCTNNGTTTGTCTGTCAGTATATCACTCTTTATTCTTTCGCCTGTCAAAGCATACCATTGAAGTCCAGGTAAGGGTTGAAGAAGTCACAGCTGTAGTTTCTGCCTTCTTCAAACGTAAAGTCCTTCAAGTGCTGCTCCTTGAGGAAATGCTTCTTGCGAGCGTTGGCCTCGTCAGGCAGGCCTGCCTTCTTTCTAGCCTCGACACCATCGCCGTCGGCGCCTTCAGACACTACGACGGGCTTGTCCTCGCTTCCCTTCATCTCAGCAGGCTCTTTCTTCTCTCCGACTCTCAGCGTGTTGATGGAACTGAGGAAGGGTCCGTACAGGTATGGCTCGTCGGCATAAGCATCACCGTAGAGTCCAGGGTCGATAAACCACTGAGCAATCTTCATTGCCTGTCCGAAGCCTGGTGGCAGCTTATCCTTGATCGGATGGTCAAAGTCGTTTCCAAAGACCAGGTCATGGCCGTTGATGTTCTTCTTTGGTATGAAGGAGAAGGAAATGCTGTAGAGGTCGGACTTGTGCGGATCGGCTTCGAAGTAGGCGCATGATGACGGAGAGTTGACGGGTTCGCCGCGGTAGTTTTGGACGCGGACGGTCAGGGAGGCATCGAGCTTGGAGTTGGAGATGCTGAGCGGTTGTTCGGTGTTGACATGGACCAGCTTTTGGTTGGCCTCGTCGTAGTCGGACCCAGCGGTCACTCGGAGCATGTACTTGTCGGCCATGTCGGAGGTTTGGAATTGTACAGGGGTGCTTGGGAGCGCAGATGGAGAATGGTAGAGGGGTGTTTCTTTGTCCAGCGAAGTATTGGGAATGACGTCGAGAATTTTCCCCGGATCGTGAATGTGACGTTCCTGAGCATGTGAAGAATGCTCATTGAGCGAGATACAACAATCTGTATCGCTCATTATGGCATTCTGACGGTGATTTCAATGTGGACTTGTGTTCGTGTCGTTCCATAATCCATTGCTTTTTGGTATCTCAAAAATCTATACAAGCATGACTGTTTTTACATTCTTCTAAGGATGTCCTCGACAACCTCGGTCGTCTTGGCCTGACCACCCATGTCGGGGCTCAAATACTTGCCCTCCTCAAGGTTGGCATCAACAGCCTTGTAGATGAGAGCAGCAGCCTTCTCCTCGTTGAGGAACTCGAGCATAAGGGCGACACTGCGGAGAGTGGCAATAGGGTTGGCAATGTTCTGGCCCTGAATGTCAGGAGCAGAACCGTGGCAAGGCTCACCAATGGCGAAGCCTTCACCAACGTTGGCAGAGGGCACAAGACCCAGACTGCCGACAAGAGCAGCAGCACCATCAGAGAGAATGTCACCGTAGAGGTTGGGAGCGACAATGACATCGTAGGTCTCGGGCTGACGGAACAGCTTGTAGACCATGCTGTCAACGATCTGCTCATCTACAGTCACACCCTTGAACTGGGCCTGAGCAAGAGCTTCACGAGCAGTCGAACGGAAGAGACCGTCGGTTTGCGAAAGAACGTTGCTCTTGTGGGTGATTGTGACGTTGGCAGACTTGCCGGTCTGGCCAGTTGAGTCGCGCACACGTTGGCGACGGAGGGCAATGTCACCGGCCATTGTAGCAATACGGCTCGAGGCACGCTCCGAGATGCGCTTGATGGCCTCGGCAACCTTGCCGTTCTCGGTGTCGTATGTCTTCTCCTCCTTGACGTACAGGTCCTCGGTGTTCTCGCGGACAATGACGAGGTCAATGGGATCAGGGAACATGGTGGTGTTCTTGACGCTCTTGACGGGACGGACGTTGGCGTACAGGTCGAGACGCTTGCGGAGAGCGACAATGGGGGACGAGTAGCCCTTGGTGGGAGTGGTGGGCGAGCTCACAGCACCAAAGAGGGCACCATCGCACTCCTGCTTCAGAGTGTCGACGGTCTTCTCGGGCAGGGCAGCACCAGTCTTCTGGAAGGTTTCGAAACCAGCTTCCAGGTCGACGAAGGAGAAGCTGAGACCCAGCGACTTGGGCAGGGCCTCAAGGATGCGACGACCAGCGGGAATGACCTCGCGGCCAATGCCATCACCAGGGATCAGACCTGTGTATATGTTAGAGGGCGGTACTGGATTAGGAATGTGAAAGCCGACCAATTCTTAGTGTACGGGATGCCATTGTTGCTGAGGAGTGTGGAGAAGAGAGTCATCGCGAACTCCAACAAGACCAGGTGAAATTTCGGCCGATGTCGGGTTGCCTATTCAGCTTGTGGGTCATGGCATGGCATGGTTCGGAGACACGACAGTTGGTTTGATGGCTCTCCTAAGCCGTGATACTCGATTACACATGTAGCAAGGGAAGAACAAGGCCGATACTGGACACTTCTGGCAGCTGCTCCAAAGATGTGCAATTGCAGGCAAGAAGCATCGGGTCGCTCTTTCCCTTGACACATGGCGGTTGCGGCCAAAGCTTCACCTCCGAGCGTTGATGAGCACGCGGGGCAGTCGCAAAACATCAACCAAGCTTCGTTAAACTTGCTGGTCAAGCAACATCAAAATGTCGTCTTCACCAACCCCCTCGGAGCGCGAAGCCGCCGACAAGGCCACTGCTGCCCGTGAGGCCGAAGAGCAGGCCAAGCTCCCATACAAGTGGATGCAAACCATCCAGGATGTCGACTTGACTGCTCAGGTCCCTGGAAACCTCAAGGCTCGCGACTTTGACATCAAGATCACAAAGGACCACTTGCGCGTCGCTATCAAGGGCCAGGACCCCATCATCGATGTACGCCCTGTTCAACCTCACTTGCTCAGCCTATGCTCACAATGACAAACAGNNGGCGACCTCCCTCACTCCATCTACGTCGACGAATCCACCTGGACCCTTGAAACCACTCCATCAGGCAAGGAACTCGCCGTCCACCTTGACAAGGTCAACAAAATGGAATGGTGGGCCCACGTCGTCAAGAATGCTCCCAAGATCGACACCTCCAAGATTGCCCCTGAGAACAGCAAGCTCAGCGACCTCGACGGCAACACCAGATCCATGGTCGAGAAGATGATGTACGACCAGAAGCAGAAGGAAATGGGTCTTCCCAGCTCCGACGAGCAGAAGAAGCAGGAGATGCTTGGTGTGAACAATCCATTTGCCGTGTCTAAGACCAGTCTTGTGCTAACCTGCCATCAGNAAAAGTTCATGGCTCAGCATCCCGAGATGGACTTCTCCCAGGCCAAGATGTCACCATGATGACTTCAATTGTGTCAAACGACCCCAGAGATGATAGCTTTATGTGCATAGCGTAGAGCAGGAAAAGAGAACACTCAATGAGAAACGATCAACGTCAACCACGCTATCCAGGATCAGCAGATATCCACTGGTTCATCCAACTTCTGGAATCATATCATATTCTCAGTTGAATCGCCCGCCTGCGATCAGGCAAACAACAATGGCCAACGCTGGGGCAACTTTCGATCAAGTTCACAACCATGCTGCTATAACTCTGCTCGAAGCTAAGAACTGCTGTGGCGATATACCCCAGGCTGAAATATAGCAGTGAGCTTGTGTCGATAGAATTTCATATCGAATAGCACACGTTCAGGGCTTCCGTATAATTAGCTTTAGACTCGTCCTGTTCTCAGCCGCTGTTCTTAGGGCAAGATTGCCGTTGTGTCGCAACTAACATCATAAAATTCGAATTTCGATATAACAACTCGTATTGAACGGTCGGATTGGCGTCAACAAAGACAAGGGGTGAGACCGACATTAATAGTCACTGCGATCATGTACCATTCTTCGCTCCCTTTGTATCGCTCAATCCACGACAGCAGAGAAAATGTATAGCGCATCGATACCAGCTATCCTAGTACTGCTAGGCACTACCAGCGTCGAAGCTGCAATGGGCAACGCTTTCAGCTCGGGTCCTGTTGCTGACGGCAACTTCATTCGTGCCGCCAATGCAACACTTGTTGTTCCCAAAGCCCAGATCCCTCAAGTAGGCTTATTGTCCTTGTGGACTGGCATGGGAATGAGCAATGGCGACCTCATTCAAGCGCTAGTCGAGTCTTACGATGGACAACCGTGAGTAGATTGCCATCCTTGTCAGTGTGTTCACCCAAGAGGACTGACACTCCATGATACTAGTGATACTGATTGTGGCCCTCTCAATGGCGATTGGTGCGCTTATGCGAGTGTGCTCGAGATAGTAGGCGACGGTCAAGGTAGCTCATGCCCTAGCTCGTTGCAGCATCTGGCAGCTGACAGAAATCATANNGAGCAGCTGGGTGGAGCCCAAGTCAAGACGACAGCAGGAGCCCTTGTAACCATGAGCTGTATGAAGATACTCTACCTTGTCTGTTCTTTGTATCAAGCTGATCTTTCTCCAGATCTCTACAATGATATGACTGATGCATACGACCAATACGTCTATGTCAATGGTAAACAGACTTCGAACTTTACTTCATGTAAGTGAGTCCTTTGGATCAGACAAATGTTTGGAGCTGACGGTGAATCAAGCGNNAAAGGAGGTAAAGCTCTGGGCTGGGGAACTGCCGAAGAATGCCAGCCAGACTATCCCTGTGGCTTGATCCCAGCACATGGTAAGTTTGGAAAAGATCCGTAAGATTCACGGCTAACGTGACATGCACAGNACTGGATCAACGTTGCACTGGAGCTTGAGCATCCGCAGACTGATTATGACCAAACTTTCGGCAATGGAGGTTCTGAAGGCACTCTTGCAAGCTCAGACGGCGGCAAGACCTGGACTGGAAACAAGCTGCACATTGATGAGGTGTACTTTGATTACCCGATCACATACGACACTCCGATCTGTCCTGGAGCCAACGCCACGGTCTACAAAAGCCGTGCAGGCCGCAGCTACGATATCGATTGCGACATGGACTTTGACGGCGACGAGATCAAAGCAATGCATGTTGGTAGCGGCAAGATCGCAGACTGCATTGTTTACTGCGATCAAGCGGACGATTGTATTGGTGTCACTTTGTCAGGAACGACGTGTTCGCTCAAGTCGAGCCAATGTGACGAGTCAGTAAGAGAAGGCTTTCAGATGGCTTTACTCCAGTAGAAGAGCAGAATGTTACGCTAAGCTGTTGTAGGTTCATAGGGAGGTCAAGCCTCTTTTCAGTCCATACGTTTCTAGTCTGCTATGACAGCAGATTTTGCATGTCGACTTTGGTAACGAGCACAGTCTCATTGTGGGCTATTCCCGCACAAAGAACACCTTAGGATGACTAAATGACCATGATCTTCGGTGTGGACAGTACTGTGCATTTCTATTGGCGGAGTGACAGTCCTCAGTACAAGGAGAGTGGAAAAGTGAAACTCTCAAAACAAACACATTGGCACTCACAAAGACAGTCGCGCTCTCTCACTTTCACCAGAACTCACTCCCGACTTGACAAATCCTGTGCGTGACTTCTCAACGTTCCATCTTTCCTTCTTATCCACCCTCACACTCTGCTCTGACATTCGCATCATGGCGTCGTCTGCAGATGCTCTCACAGCTACCTTCTTCGACAATTCTCGGTATTCTGACATAGTCATCAAGTTCGGCGACAACAGAATCCGCGCTCACAAAGTCATCCTTGCGCAGCAGTCTGGCTACTTTGCTACTGCTTTATTCAGTCGCTTCCAGGTAAGCCCTTGTCTCGATGCACAGTGTTATTGTGCTTCACATCTCCGCCACTGAGAATCCCTCATACGCGTACTGACACTATNNCAGGTTGCAACAAACCCTGTCATCGATCTTGGTGATGAGGACGATCCTGAGCTGCTTACCGATGTCATCAAATACCTTTACCGTCAGGGTCCCATACACGACTATCTCTCCAACCTCATGTTTTCAATGGATCGCCTCCTTGAACTCTACTTGATCGGAGACAAGTACGACATCCCGGAACTGCGTTGCGAAGCCGCACTGGCATTCGGCGCCACAGCATTTGCAGACATCNGGACACCTTCTCCCCAATGTCCAGATCAGTGACGTCTTCATAGACTGTGTGTCCAAGATCTGTGGTCCATCTTCTATCCAGCTTGCGGACAACACGCTACAAAACGTGGTCATGGATATTTGCCAGCAGAAATACAAAAAGCTGCTCAGCGATGAGGTATTTCTCAAGCACTACAGAGAAGGAGAACTATTCGACAACAAGAACGCAGCTGCTTTCGGCTTGCAACTCGGGAGACGGCTGCTCGAGGATGATTGGTTTGAGAAGGTCGGTGGCTTCTCAGAGTCTCATATCGAACTTATAGACCGCGGTCCTCTGAAGAGGTATGTTGATGGAACACACAACATGCTGTCGACTTGGCTTGACAATAACATTCCCGCAGGGCAATGAACAACTTCTTCAACGATAAGAGACTGTCCGACATGACCCTCATCTGGGGCGATGGCCAAAAGAGTTCCGCTCACAAGGTTGTCCTGGCCGGCCACTCGTCTCATCTACGGGCTATACTCGAAGCTTCTCCTACTGTCAGTTTTGCCAGTTGTGACGATGGAATATTAGGCTCACATGACAATAGATCGTTGNAGATTGACCTTGGTACCGAGTACGACTCTGCTGCAACAGCAGCCTTCATCGAAGACATGTACACATGCCACAACACTGCTTCGTTCGACTCAAGCTCCGAGCGCTCTATTCCATGCCTTGCCGAGCTTTATCTGCTGGCAAACAGACATGGGCGTGACGATACAGCCCAAGAATACAAAAATCAATGCGCAGGTGTGCTGAGCAAGCAGCTATTCACAGATGAGCTGCTGTCACAAGTGGCGACTCTTTGCGGGCCAGACTCTAGATATACCGATACACCGCTTGCCGAGACGGCCTTCACAAATATTCTGCAGCGCATCCAGGTCATATCAGAAAATGGGGAGCCACCCCATACACTTGAGGACAAGCTTGAGCAAGGATCTTTGTTCAATGCCACATTTACTAGACGCTTTGCTAAGGAGATACTTGCCAGTTATTGGGTGGAAAGACAAAATGTCAGATGGTAGGACAGGCTGGAGATAGCTACGGCTTTGATGTCGTTCACTATGCGCTTTGTCAACAAGATGACTGGGTGTCTTCTGAGATGAATTTGGGAAGACGAATGGGGCTCATTATGCATTTCCCAGATTCTTCGATAACACTCTCTCTGATCTTGTAACCTCTTCTCCCAAGCGCTGAAGGTATTCTACTGCTATTGTGGAAATGCGCGATACTGTTCGAGAAGAAGCATCATCCACTGGAAGTCGTGACTCGATTGACTCTCCTTGGATCCGTTTCGTATTTAAGGACAATCATGCAGTGCTACAGCCAGCGATGGAAGTCCATGGTAGACGCAGATGTCGTCGTGGACTTGCACAATGTGTACAAAAATATATCCTGCTCGAGAGAACATTTCAATATATTGAGTAGTAATCAGCGAGAGACGACCATTCCAACAGTTTTCTGTGGCTCCATCTCCAGTACGGTGCTTTCTTAAGAGGTCAACAATAAGAGGAAGAAAGCTGAGAATCCCAATCCTAGCAAGAGTGGAGAGTTTGAGGAAAGAGAACACCAAGGTGTCGTTACCGAAGACAGCAAACTTGTTTTGTTGATGATGATGTCGTTGATGGAGTGGCTGGGAGGTTTTGGCTCGGCTTTTCGGGTGTTCGTGATCCGAGCATTTTAACGGTCAGGGTTGTAGGCGTAGCTAGCAAGATTGAGGTCGTCGACGATGTTTTGAGACCGACAAGAACGATTGAAACCTGAGAGTACTCTTCCGAGACTCATTGTATCTTAATTTTGGTTGATATTCAGGAACGAATCCAATAACATGCTCGATTGTTTTGGAAATGGTCTTGAGAGCTTTGGACTCATGCTCAGTGGAAGAACTGAACAGCAACAATACCAACCGTCTCAAGCTATTCGATACTTCTGGTTCTGCGAGTGCGAATTCCCCCAAGGCTGTCGCAAACATACAGTGCAATTGATGCGTACAGACATGTTGTTCAGACTATAATAAAGCACGCTTCTTGAGACTCGACTCATCACAGTCGCCTGAAGTTTGTTTCATAAGGAGCTGCAGACCCAAAGCCAAGCGCGTGTCTTGGGACCAAGCCTCGATCACAGCCACCATGAAACACGCATCTTTGGGTGTTTGAGGAGGTTGCTGTGTTTGCTAATGAGCTGAGCGCATACAGACCTCCATTTCTCTTCCTCCTCGTCTTGTTTGGCAAAAGTACAGCACGCGACACAGCATAGCTCCTTCCCGTACTCAGCAACATCAGCATTCTTTGCGCGACTCAGTGTGGGGTCACGGACGCCCTTGTCATCTTGCTCACTCACCTCCATCGTCCTTTTGTTGCCTGCCTTCATTCGTCACATATCATTTCTTTGGTATTATTGCTAACATGGACGCTCTACGGAATTTGAAGCTGCCTTTCTCGAGCAAGCCGTTGCCGCCGAAAGTCGTGATATCGTTAGTTGGATATGGTCGCGTGCTTCCTTGGAGTAATGCTGACTTGCGCCAGANNTATATCCTCGACTATGTGATTATCGTGTAAGAACAATACGAAGAAGATATTTTGGACTTCACTGACATCCTGTGTCAAATAGCANTTCTTGCAATCCTGTTCCTTGCTATTGACAAGATTGAGTAAGGCCACACCTGCGAAGCCAACGGTTGAATCTGGATACTAACATCACATTTAATANGCGGCTTCCGACAACACTTTGCACTTCAAAACTACACATTACAGTATGCAATTTTCGACTTTTCAAGACGGCCTGGACTAACACTCAAGAAGANNTATCCTTATGCAGTGCACGAACGAGTGCCGGCAGGCATATGCTATGTGATTGTGGTTATGTGTCCTGCTGCTATCATCTGCTTCTGGACGCTAGTGATTGACGGTCTCTTTGCGCATTCGCAACCCACGGAGACTGAAGGCACAGGCAGAAGACTGGGACGCTATAGACTCGTAGACAGGCTATGGGAACTCAATTGCGGTATCTTGGGCTTGGCTCTGTCCGAAGGCACTGCTTTCGTCATCACAGGTAGGCAATTGATGGGACAACCTTCAGAATCGATCAGCTCACACATGGCATAGNGCGCACTCAAGAACACGGTCGGTAAGCCGCGCCCTGATCTAATCGATAGGTGTCAACCGAAGATTGGATCGTTTGACACATCTCCATACGGCCTGTCGAACTCGTCGATCTGCACGCAGACCGATATGAGCATTCTCAGGGATGGCTTCAGAAGTTTCCCCTCGGGACACTCGAGCAGTAAGTGGCATTGAAAGACATGATGGAAAGACAGGGGTGAGCTAACGTGAAATTCATAGGCTNCATTTGCCGGTCTCTTCTACCTGTCATTATACCTCGCAGCCAAGCTCCATATCTGGGATTCGAGAGGTGAAGTATGGAAGATCTTCGTTGTCATCATCCCGTCCCTCGGCGCCTCTTTGATCGCAGCAAGCAGAATCATGGACGCGAGACATCACCCGTAAGTGAGACAATGCTCAGCTCGGCAACCCGATTTTGACACGTACTATAGCTTTGACGTGATCACTGGCAGTTTACTTGGTATAGTATGTGCTTGGCTATCCTATCGTCAGTACTTCCCTCCGGTCAGCGAGACCTGGCGCAAAGGCCGTGCATACCCCATCAGAACATGGGGACAGGAAACGGCACCACCGCCAGCAGCAGTGTCAACGGCATATGAACCGTACGGCATGCAAGGACCAGACCCGCAGAGAGCACCGTCGCAAAGACACATGCAGCACTCGAGAAACATAGGCTCGGACAGCCAAGCAATGCTGGCGACGCATGCAGCACCGTTTCCGACCGGGGGGTTGGCTGGCACGGGATCTGAGAGACGGCGTGATGAGTGGGACGCGTCTTCGACCGAAGAAGACGAATTTGAGTTGCAGCAGCAGCCCAGGTATCCACCGGGTGCGATGATGGGGTCGACGGCGTACCTGCCTCGCACGCACATGGGCGCGACATCAGATCAGGTTTGAAAGCTTGGTATATGTCTGGCGACGCGGCCGGCGGCATGCCATACGCTTCACGAGTAAAATGGGGTTTGTCAGGCCAGGTCAGGATAAGGCGTAAGGCTGAGGCTCAAAAACATCGGTAGAAAGCGAGACGAATACAACGCGCATGCATCGTTCGACTTTGCCTAGTGATGTGTATCTGCGTATCAGCATGCGCAATGCAGAAATTCCATAGTTGGTACATGCAGCGAGTCATATGAGCGTTTTGAATGGGAGCAGCACAAAGCAGCTCCCTTCTGTCATGTCTACTTCAGGACAAGTTCTCCCCGGCGCGTGGTCTGCGTTACGAGTCACTTGACGGGAAAGCACACGTCAGCAGGGGAGGTTTGCTGTCAAAAGTGTGGTGCAGCGAACGCAGCATCCTGCAAAGAAGCAAGCAGAATCAATGTACTGCATGTCATTGCCAAAGCATATCGTGCGATGTGGATAGAAAGGTCGATAAAAGATGAAGCAGAAGTCGTGATTGACCATCAATTGCATGCAGTCAAACCGTCTCGCCGGTTCACAATCGCTTGCAGAACATCAGTGATGAAGGGTGCACGCGTCCCCACGTCTGGTGAGCGACGACAAGGTGTGTGTGGACCGATCAACGAAACGACACACAGCAAAAAGAGAAACAGTTGAGCTGTCCGTCCCCAGGCAAAGAGCGTGGGGAGGAGGGTTACGAGTCAGGAAGATCAAAAAGGGGCCTAGAGCCGCAATAGGCAAAAAGCGGGCGGATGGGCAAAGTGTTCACACGTCAGCCTCCATCTGGGCAGGGCCCTTTAAGCAACAGAACAAACGGCTGTGCAAGGCTAGACGTGCAATTCGACGCTGCGGGACATGAAGATGGAGAAGAACGTGGTGGATAGACTAGGAAAGGAAGAATGACAAGCAGCAAGAGCATCACAAGATACGAGGTGATAGACTTGTATTTCGCACGGGCGAGTGTCGATGTGTTTGAATATGTACAGAAAACAGACAGCAAGTGTTTCTAGAGAGCGTCAGGTCCACGGCAAGAGAGTGGTGGGCGGGCTTTGCTTTCAGAGCTTGGCAGCGGTCTATCGACGCCACGCAACGTGGAGGACATGTAAGCGCAGATTGGGACCCGGCAGCATCTGGAACAGTCAAAACGACCATCAGGATGCGCATCTCTGCCTCTGGGGGTGATGGAACACGAAGCAAAGATTCAACACATTGATAGACAGTCTGTAGAGTGGGTTTGATTGCTGGAGAAAGGACCGCTCGGGGACGAGGTGGACGGGGATTGGGTGGAAGGGCATCGCAAATGCGGAAGGCTGACGACGCCTTCTTCGGCGGCCCGAGCGTCGTGGTGCGCGTCGTGTTCGCCGGTGCATTGCGTGGCCGCGAAGGCAGAGGCTGACCATAATCTGCCCGTCTCTCTCGCTCCTTGCCTCTGTGCAAACCATCGTCGCTCCTTCTGAACACCCTCCTCTTTGAAGCGCTGCAGCCCGCGCCTTCCAACGACACAAACAGCAACCGAGTCGACCGCTGATAATTCGCCTGCTACGCTGCAAAAGTGACGATCCAGGTGCCAAGGGGCTGTGCAATCCACCCACCAAACTACGACACTCGACCAGCCGCACGCCTCGCTCTTTCAATCTTCGCTCTCATCAATCACCACAACTCTCTGGACTCTCGCATCTCTCTACATCAAGACGGCTCTGTCTGTCTCTTCGAACCATGGCCAGCCGTACACCGACCAGCCGAGGAAGACGCCCAGCAGTGCCCGAGGGCCTCAATGAGACATGGGCCAAGGACCTGACGGACCAGTTCCGTCGCACTCTCAGCACAAAGCGCATGAATACCCTCACCAGGAACACGACACAACAGCAGCAACAATCGCCGAACGCCCCGCCATCCTACTCGTCTCTCCGCAACATCCCGCTGGTAGCGACCGCCCCGTCGGATAGAAACTCGTTGCGCTTCCGCTCCATGCTCCTCTCCCTATCCAACACTCCCTGTAGATGGGAAAACCCTGGTCTCTTGGACGAGGCCCTTCGCTCCATCCCCTTAGAACGCATCTACGACCAAGCACAAGAAGAGAGTGACCTTTACCTAGCCGAGGCTGCGTCTTTAGGACCTAACACCAAGCCTGCTTGGGGTTACCAGGACTGTGTCGTCAGAGCTCTCATGAAGTGGTTCAAGCGCCACTTCTTCCAATGGATCAACAACCCCAAGTGTGGTGCTTGTCACGCACCCACTATCGCCGTCGGCATGGCAGCTCCTCTCCCTGACGAACAAGCCCGTGGCGCCAACCGTGTCGAGATCTACCAATGCTCCAACGCTCAATGCCAGGCACACGAACGCTTCCCTCGCTACAGTGACGCTTTCGTCCTTCTACAAACACGAAGAGGACGTGTGGGTGAGTGGGCCAACTGCTTCAGCATGTTGTGCCGTGCAGTCGGCAGCAGAGTGCGTTGGGTGTGGAACAGCGAAGACCACGTATGGACCGAGGTATACAGTGAGCACCGCAAGCGCTGGGTCCACGTCGACGCCGTCGAAGAGGTCTGGGACCAACCTCTTCTGTACACACATGGTATGTTCCTTTCAACAACATTGAAGTTGCTTTATGTATACTAACATACTCTCTCAGGTTGGAAGAAGAAGCTTGCTTACTGCATCGCCTTCTCTGCCGATGGTTGTCAAGACGTCACTCGTCGCTACGTGCGCAACTTTGGAAAGCACGGCCTACCACGAACAAAGGCTCAGGAAAGCGCCGTCCTCCACATCATTGCCGAGATCAAGAACATGCGCCGTCGCGACATGAACAAGACCGACAAGTTCCGCCTCGAGGGCGAGGACATTCGCGAAGACAAGGAGTTCCGTCAGAACGTCATTGAGAGTCTGTCACGAGAAATCTGCCGCATGCTCCCTGGTCGTCCTGACGCGGATATGCTCAAGGCCCAAGAGCGTGCCAGAGAGGCTCAACTCGCTCGCGCTCGCAACCAGCAAAACGCCCAATTCTACAACCCTCGCGATCAACACCAGCAATAACATGTGCCACTCTGCTTCGACCCACCTAACTTTATAATCATCACCTAAACATTTCGGCACCTTCTCCTCTCTGTGGCACAACATCCTTCGAGCTTCGACATTCTTCCTACCTATACTTTACATCATACATATCGGAGCCATTTACGACCGCGCCGACAGATTCGACCTCGATTTCCTTTGTTATGCATTTCCTACCATCTCATCTCGGAGCTTTTGGAGTTTCGGGACTCGATCTCATGGGGAGACGAGACTTGTTTCATGGGCTATACCACGTTCAAACCTTTCTGGGCTTTTGGGGGTATACGATTTTCCTATACGTATTTGCTTTGCTCGGTGTTACAGGCGCGTCGGGTCTATCCTCTTTTGTACGAGAGTGACGACCTTGGAGGTTTTACAATGTCTAGTGTTTTTCTTTCCTGTTGCTTGATGATCTTGTACAGCTTCTTCACTTCTTCTGTCATCACTTTCTTCTTCACTGTTACCTTGATGGCACGACGCCTGGGAACGGAAGGGACACAAACTTTTTATCTTCACCATTGTTGATGTGTTTACGCGATCAAAGAGGTGGAAAGCGGAAAGAAAAGGATGATGTCGCGCTCCTGTTCATGGCTACAGCACGGATATGCAGTCACTTGGATCATGATATAGAGACAAGAACCAAAACGTTGCTGGCCAGCACAATTCATGAATGACTTGAAATTCAGCATTACCATTGTTTCACCTCTGTGACCTGATGGAACGGTAAACTGTAAGGATCTTACAAGACGAGTCAAAAATCGACCATATGGCGTACGATTCATACGCAGCTCACACGAGAGATTACAGGATGCGCGTATAAGAGGATGAATAGCTTTCGTTATCATGAGATCATCCATCCCAGCCACTGCACTTACTCATACCTGTAGACCAGGCAGTTGGCTCGAAATGGTGAGAGAAAAGGTGTTTTGCTTCGCTTGGCCGCGCTGCCCTGCCACAATCTTCTAAAAATAGCACTGGTTCGCGGAGAAAAGCTGACAATGGCCGCGTTGCCTTTGTCTGGGCATGGCAGAAGAGAGTTTTTGGTAGGAGTGTTTCTTGCTTGGATGAGGATAATTGAGAACATCCTTGGTATAGGATGAGTATGTGTAATGTAGGAGCGCAGCAGCAAGACCCAGAAAGGAGGTTGGAGGTGTGTTTGATAGACTCCAGGATGCTGATCTCGAGCCAAGGATTCCATGGTGCGATTCACCCAGTGAACGGACAGTGCACTGCAGATGTTGGATGAGCAGCAGTGAAAAACGTACGTCAGCAGTGTTTGCGCAGCCACCCCTGCGGACAAAGGCTGCGGCGGCCTGACTACGAGTCTAGGATGCGTGCACAGGAAAAAGGATCAGCTCGTGCCGGTGAGTGCTTGGGTGTTTTCCTTTGATACAAAACCCTTGTGGTTCGCCTGTTTTCTTCCTCCATCGTCGCTGGCTGTTCTGCTCTTTCCATCGTCGCCACAACAACAGCATTTTGGAGTTTCCCGACAACGCTTCTTGCAGCCTGAAAGTCCCTTTATTAGCCACCTCCGCAGTTTCACATCCACCGTATACTCTCCCGACATCTGGTCTTTGGAACAAACAATAGCGAGACATACACCTAAGAGGGACCAACATCAACACTGAATAACCTCTATCATCTACCAGCAAGCATGGGCAAGGCAGGGCGCGCAGTGTGCATCTTCACGCCGATGGCGCTGACCATTGCATCCTTTGTCTGTGTTCTTCTCATCAACTTGGGCGGCATCAGCAAATCCTCGACGACACTGAACAATCTCCACTTCTTCAGCGCCGACTTTACAAACTTCACAACCGACAGCAGTACCTTGGGTACGGTGATCAATCTAGCCAAGAAGGAGGGATTCATCTCCAACAAGTACGAAATCTTCCTCTGGAACTACTGCGACAGCGGCAATGGCACCAGCAGTCAGAACATTACTCATTGCTCGTCTCGCCAAACCGGATTCTGGTTTAACCCCTACCAGGTGTGGAGTTTGGAGAAGGCTCTCAATGCTACTGAAGACGCTGCCTCGGATCTTGCAGGCACTAGTGTTGACAGCGGCATCCTCTCAAAGCTCGAAGGCTACGTCTCGAGCAATGCCGATGCTCTGTATGACGAGGTCCTTGACAGCAGCACCCGCAAGTCGATCGACCTGTACAAGAAGCTGAGCAAATGGATGTTCGCCGCCTACTTTGCAGGTCTATGGGCCTTGATCGTCACCATTGTCTTCGGTATCCTAGCCGTCTGCTCGCGCTTCGGCAGCTTCCTCACCTGGATCTGCGCCATCATCTCTACCATCCTCATCTTTGGCGGCTCCATTACCTCGACAGTCATGTTCAGCATTCTGGTCTCTACCCTGCACGAAAAACTCAAGGACTACAATGTCAAGGTTAGCTTGTCTACACACATGCTCGGCGTCACTTGGCTCGCCACCGCCTTCATCCTCCTCGCCACCCTCTTCTGGCTCTTCAGCTGCTGCTGCTGCTCCGGCAAGTCCAACCCGCACCACAGATCCAACAAGGAAGCTCCCGCTGCCGAGCTCGGTCTCCCTACCACTGGCTTCCTCAATAGAGGCCGCAGCACCAAATCCGAGAAGAGCGGTGCTGGCTATCAGCGCGTCGAATCTCCTTATGCACACCAGCGCGACGATTCTGACGCCGTGCCGCTTACTCATGTCAATGGCGGTGCGGCGGACTCGTTCTACAAACAGGAAACTGGATATGTGCATGCGCCGCAGAGTCCCGTGTGGGATGCGCGTGCTGCGCCTCGCTCGAACGGGGGTGCGTATGAGCCTTATCGCTACAACAACTGAGGAATTTGGCTGTGATGTGAAGGATTGTTCTCATCTTTGCTTTTGCAACCTTGCATTTTCTTGTTTTTCTCTCTCTTCTTCTTTTTTTCCTTTGTGCTTTGCATGCATGTGCCCAGTGATTTTGGCATATGCTTTTCACGAACAAACGACGCGTATTCTGTACATAGATACAACAACATTAACGAAAGCACTAGCTCGATGAAAACACCTTTCTTTCTTCCACAAATACATTTCCCAATCCTCCTTTCTCTCTGCTTCAAGAATAAAATAAAAGAAAAAGACGGAAATCTTTACAATGGTCCACAGTATAGTCTGGGCGACACTTGTTGGCAACATGGGCAGAAAAGAATACGGTTTTGGGCAAGGGTCTCAAGTACCCAGGGGGGTGTTTTGGCGCAGAGAATTGGGCCACAACTGTTGTTTGGTGTCTCTTGAACTTTCCACATGTTTTTTTTTTTAATTTATCTTTTTCTCTTTTTGTTTCGTCTCTTTTCGTTTTACAAGCGATCCAATTCACATTTGCTGGAGCATGTCATGTATAAAGTCAGAAGTGTAACCGGTGTTTGTCCAAAGATCGATTCCACCTCCAAGAGCAGGAGCCAGAAAGACATCTACTTTACAAAATCAGCCAACTCAATGTTGGGAATGATATACGGCTGCACATCATCCCTGTGCATCGTCCTCTGCTCATACGCATACGCCAACCCAATCAACTCTGCCTCACTAAACTTGTTGCCCATAAATGACAATCCAAAAGGGACTTTCGGGCCAGTCTCCACCAGTGTCTTTCTGGCGTTGTACGTGACATTCCAGTCTGCGGGATAGAAACCCATGGGGACTGTGACGACAGGACTCCCCACCAAAGCAGGGATGCCAGGAGAGAGTTGGGTGGGCAACAGCACAGCAGAAACATTGTTGCGCGATAGAGCACCTAGGATCCCGCCTTCACCTCCATAATAAAGGTTTGCTTGGTAAGCAGCCCAAAAGCGAGCATCACTGTTATTCCAGCCTTGGTTGAACAGCGCATCGTCCCAGACCGCTGTATCACGGTCCGGCCAATCTTCTTGCGCAAACGCATGAGTAAAGTTTCTGACCTCTGCCAGATCGGTAACATTGTTGGGGTTATAGCTGAGTTCTGCGAGATAGGTGTGTAGGTTTGTCAGGAAGTCGACGTTGAGGACTAGAGTCTCGTTGTTGTCTTTGACGTAGTCGGAAAAGGCGGTAAAGTTTGCGTCGACAATGGTGGCGCCTGCTCGCTTGATGATGGCGATGGACTCCTGGAAGGCGGTCATGACTGGTTCGTCAATGGGGCCGTAGATGTCGATGACGTTCCATGCTACACCGATACGCTTGCCTGCTAGAGCGGAGTAATCGCAGGCGCCCACATAGTCCGGGATGCTGCCGTTGTTGGGGATGGCCGAGGTGTAGTTGTCGTTGGGATCGACGCCGGCAATTGCTTGGAGAAGGTAGGCTGCGTCTTTGACTGATCTTGCCATGGGGCCAACAGTATCCTGATGCTCAGAGATAGGGATGACGAGGTACCTGCTGGTGAGACCGACCGTAGGCTTGATTCCGACAAGGTTGTTGACGTCTGAGGGAGAGAGGATGGAACCAGAAGTCTAGCACAAGTCAGAATGATGAACATGAATACTGTACAGTATTGAACTCGCCTCAGAGCCAAGAGCAGAGAGCGCCAAACCAAGCGAGGAAGAAACACCCGAACCACTAGACGATCCACTAGGATCTTGGTGAGGGTAGTAAGCAGCCTCAGTCTGTCCACCATACGCCGACCAACCATTTGTGCTGTTGTTTGAACGGTAATTGGCCCACTGAGACAGATTGGTCTTGCCGAGAATGATGGCACCAGCCTTTCTCAGCTTTGCAGCCAACGTAGAATCGTGAGGAACTTTTGCACCAAGCAGAGCGAAAGATCCAGCTATGAAAAGTCAGTTTTGATTCTGTACGTGCTCCTTGTGTACTGGAGACTGTCATAGTGTAGCTATTGAGATGGAAGTTGTTTGAGGAAAGAGATGCAAAGAGAGCCGAGGGAAGCACGACCCTCTGCGGATGCTATCCCTTCGTGTAAATTATTGTGCATTTTTATAGCGTACTATGACACTATATTCAGTGTGGGAGAGGGGTCCAGCGTGAGATTGTGACAGTCTTTTGCACGTGGGAGGTCATTGACCTGGTTCAGCACTCACCGGTATTGTTCATCTGATCAGCGGTAGCGATATTGTTCTTGATAAGAATCGGCAACCCATGGAGTGGTCCAAGAATAGTACCATTTGCCCGCATAGCATCCAATTCGGCAGCGATGGCCAGAGCATCAGGGTTGATCTCGGTAACCATACGTAGAGTGCTGTTGACCTCCATGATCCTGGCAGAATACGCCTTGACCAGATCCACGCTGGTGAAGCGACCAGCCTCCAAGCCAGTTGCCAAGTCTTCGGTGGTAACATTGATGAGTGATGGGAAGTCTCCAAGTCCTGTAGAAGTATTGTTGTATGGTGTCACCAAGCCAGCGACAGCGCCGACTAGAGCAACACCCACAGACAATGAGCTCAAGAAACGCATGGTTTGTGGTATGCGTAGTCCAACCAGATAAGTCAATGACAGACAAACAGCGAAAGACAGGACCAGAAGCGAAAGAAGATATACTACTAACCAACGAGCAAAGTCGTGATAGCAGAGTGATTCGAAAGCCAGCAGCAATGCCTCATATTTGTACCTCGCCGTCCCAGCTATACTCAACACTGCCCACTCAGATAGTGTCGATAACGTAGATCTCCATTCTTCTTCCGTGCCGCTGCAAGATTGCAGGGTTCCGATATCTTGCATGAATGTCTCTCCTCAGTGTCAGTCGCATTTGCCGGGACTCGGGCAGGTGCTGGCATAAAATACTGGGCTATGTTGCTTGGAAGTTTGATAAAGTCGAAAAAGCTGGAGCGGACCACTAGGGTATTTTTCCCACCTTCCCGAAATGTGTCAATATCTGCAGATCGCGGGTCTTAAAAATGCATCTTGAGAAGTGACATGCCGTCTGGCGTCTGGGAGAACCTGGAGATGCAAGAGCCGCGCCAATCTGTTCTAGGAAGGCACAGGATACCAATGCAACAGACCTGTTCCAGCGCCGAGATCGGAAGCTAATACATACGATAGTTTGAAGCACACTTATATCCTCGAATCACCATGTCTAAGATGCAAAGGGATGTGGAAAAGACAGCGGGAGATTAATTCGCAAGAATGAGGGTCGAATCCAAGGCGGTGGATTATTGAATCGATTAATGATGCTTCTTTGAATACAGGATGCCCCATGCTCGCCATATCAATGCGTGGTTCCTCCGCGACGACCTGTAACCAGTGCCCAATAAACGCCACGCTAACGCAAAAGAAAGGCCCGTAAATCAGTGTGCAATATAGAAGGCAAATTGGGAAAATCGCAGAACTGATTCTGCGTATTCGTCTATTGTCCAGGGCGAGGGAAGATAGGGACAGTCTCCAGTTGCTCCCATCCTCCCATGCTTGCTTGAGGTGTGTTCTGCCAGCCCTGACCGGTCTGTTGGTTAACAAACATGGACTGCCTGAATGGATTCGTGCTGCCAGTAGCCGCAGGAGTGAGGAATGATGCCGACTGCCCTGTTGGCTGAGAGATTTGAGGAGATTGCTTGGCGAAGGGGTTTGTTCCTGTGGGCTGAGCTTGCAATGGCTGCTGCTGCTGTTGGAAGCCGGTTTGCATGGGATCTTGTTGAGGTGGCTGTCTTGCGAATGGGTTACTGGTCTGGCGCTGCTGAGGCTGAGCCGTCTGCTGTGGTTGCATGAAACCATTCATTTGACCAGTAGGCATCATGGATTGGCGGAAAGGATTGGTTGCCTGTGGCTGGACTTGTTGTGGTGGGGGTTGCATCTGTGGGGGCTGCTGCTGCTGTTGCATAGCAAAAGGGTCTTGCTGTTGCTGCTGCATGGAATAGGCATCTTGTTGCACGAAAGTCGACTGTTGCTGCTGTTGAGGGGGCGGACTCTGAAAGGGCTGTTGGACAGCCGACTGGAAAGGGTTTGAGTTGAAGGCTGTCTGTTGCGGTTGTACCTGTTGCTGTGGTTGAGGACCATAACCACCAAATCCGGCCCCTGTGAATTGTGGTTGGAGCTGAGCAGTAGGCGGTGCCATAAACTGCTGAGGGGCGCCAAATGGATTCGTCGACTGAGCGGTCTGGAAGGCAGGGTCTGCTGTAGGCTGACCATACATCTGACCAAAAGGCTGGCCGGTCGGCTGGGCATATTGCTGGGTAGAAGCCTGAGCCATAGGTTGTTGCTGATCCTCAATTGAGCCAAAGAAGTCGATAAGATCGGGAGCTGGGCCTTTGGCAGGTGGTGGCTGCGAAGCAGCAGGTTGAGAAGCACCAGCGTTTTCTTGTTTCGGTTCGGCTTCAGCAAAAGTCACCGATCTCGAGGGCTTGATCGGTTTGCCAGTCTTTGCTTGCTGTTCAGCCAGGTATTGGCGTCTGTTGGTCTCAAAGTCGTGGTCGTCAATGTACTCTTGTAACGACTGGGCTAGACTCGTAGGGGCGTGCTTGATCTTTGGGATCTCCAACTTTGTGATGTGCTCGTATTGTCTGGCGATGCTGAGATACTGGACGACTTGGTCTGTCTGCTTGGCAAAGGCTTTGTAGATGCCAATGGCATGTTCGGCGTCGGGTTTCGAGAGTTCGAAGTAATGGNNCCTGTAAAGTTTCATATCAGGAGGCTGAAGCAGAGTTGAAACACCAAAGTACTGACTCAGTATGTTCATGACGGCCTCGTTCATGGCAGTGAACAGGTCGAGGAGATCTTTGGTGAGCAGGCGGAATGCCATCAACGAAATGTCGTTCTCGGGCTCATTCTCGAGAGGNCTGTACTGTGTCAGATTGTGGTGTGCAGTGCTGAGCGTGGTACGAACGTCGCATTTGATCAAGACTCTGATCTGGTCTTGAATCGCTTCCGTCTCTCGTAGCAGACCCTTCGCGATGGAGATGTTCTTCAAGCGACCGGGATTACGGATGTGGTCAATGTGCGTGTCGGCGAACGACTCTGCGCGCTGGATGAGATAGTTGGAGTACCGGCGGATATTCTGGCCCTGTGTCTGGACTNNGTTGGACGGCGTCAGAAGAGCCCAAGAGAAGGTGCAAGGAGGCGTACCGTCGGTGTAGTTGTTGATGGCCAGTCGGTTCTTGGGCGCGGCGGCCAGATACTTGAGGGTGGCATCGCGCTCTCCCTCTTTAATCATCAGGTGTACAATGATCAGGGCCTTGAAGCAGATGGTCCAGGTGGTGTCGCGTAGACGCTCTTTCAGGGTGCGGAAGATCTCGGCGACGCCGGCCTCGCCGCCAGACGTGGCCAGCAGGATGTGTTCGACATATTTGGACTTGGGCGGTGCAAGCTACGAGGGAGAGTGCCATCAGCGAACGTGTTGGAAGGGTGGGTAGGTGCAGTAGCGCTGGTGTCGCTGTACCTTGACCTTGGTGCCGCCTTTGACCGACTTCTCGACCGAGCTCGACATTGGCGCGCGTGATTGACGGGTATATAGACGTGACGGCGGACAGTCTGCGCTTCTAGTTCATGCTGTTTCCAAACGGCAGGCGCGCTCCTCTAGGAATGGTGTAACAAGGACAGCTCTCTGGCAATGGCCAACTCTGGGCGCAACTCGTGCTCGGTCATCTCGGAATGCCAGACACGCTAGCCGGCCCGCATGACGATGGCCAACGTGTGCACCTTCAATCTTGTTTGTGCATGAACTTCTTCACTGACTATCTGTCACAATCATGTTACGGTCACACCCCCACTAGTCAAGGATGTGCAACCTGTTGATGATGTTGCTTGTTCTTCGCTTGGTCGTCGGAGGTAGTGGAATAGAAGTGTAGTCCCACCAACTCCATGACATTGACGCTAGCGTGCCACTTCACTGAACAACGAGGGAAAAAAAAAGACAAATGAAGAGAAAATGATACCGGACTATCTAATCGTATACTGCACCTACCAACATCGGTTGAAGGCGCAGGAAGCCTTCCAAGTTGCGATTGAATCAGAGATGCCATCTTCGCGTCCGTTTGGTAACAAGGGTGTGTGCCGAACGCAGATCTCATGCCGCCGCAACAAAGCCATAGAGCCACTTGGGCCTCCGAAGAGGAGGGCTCTACAGCGAGGCTGCGGACGACTCGATTGATACACACTAGGCTTTCATCACCTGCGCGTTCTGTTAGTTTGATGTCTCTCCGCGGCCGCAGCAAATGTGCACTCACTTTTTTGAACTTGGAAGGTCATGAAAAGTTTCAAATCCATCGCGACGCGCGAGAAAGAAAACCATGCCCCTGGCAGAACCCCGGCTGATCTCCCGGCCTGGCCCGTTGCTTCTTTCGTCAGCCATCGTTTTGTCGACATACGGATCCAATCGTGACAATTCCACCTTCTGCTTGATCACTCGGCTGAAGTTATTGTCACATAACCTGATGCTGCATAGAAAACTTCCGCTTGCCGTGCGTTGCGGGCGTACACTTCGAAATGCATCATTGAAACCCATTCGTCGATCATGGCCAACTCGACCATTAGTATCAACATTTAATGCAAGACACTTTTCTTGCAACCAGACTCTCCGGACTGTAGGAGCAGAAAAACTCTTAGCCGAGTTCAAGGAAAATNTGTAGGAGAGAGCAAATCAAGATCTTGACCACATACTGACATTTCGTGCAGTCCACTTTCCTTCCGCAACTTGCAAACTTGAGGATGTAGCCGCTAGAGAAGTCGGCGAAGACATTGTACTTCACGGCTATCTGGGCACGCAAAGGCAAGCTGGCAAAAACTTGCTCTTCGCTGAACTTCGCAGCACAAGTTTATCACATTCCATCCAACTGGTTGCCTCAAACAAGACCAGCATTGATGGAGAAAGCGTCTTTGACAAACTCAGCGGACTGAACATTGAAACACCCGTAGCCATTGAGGGAAAGATTAAGAGTCGTAAAGCTAAGCCATCTACTTCCAAAGCAGAGGAAGGAGCTGTGCAACAAGTGACAGATGTTGAGATTGAACTGACGAAGATATCTCCGCTGAACTACTTCCCTAAGGATATCATGGTCACTCAGGATTCCGTCTTTTCTGCAGAGCAAAGACATCTGCAACTAAGAATGGAGAAACCACTACGAGATGCACTAGCTTTCAGAAGTAAAGCAGCCAGCATTCTACGGACAGAACTTTGTGAGGGCAAAGACTTTGTCGAGATCGAAACACCTCTGTTATTCAAGTCGACTCCTGAGGGTGCTCGTGAATTCTTGGTCCCCACACGCACACCCGGCCTTGCATACGCCCTTCCGCAAAGCCCTCAGCAGTACAAGCAGATTCTGATGGCAAGCGGCATACCACGCTATGTGCAATTTGCAAAGTGTTTCCGTGACGAAGACCTCCGCGCGGACAGACAACCAGAATTCACACAAGTAGATCTCGAAATGTCTTTTGCGACTGGAGAGGATGTGATGAACACAGTGGAGTCTGTCGTCAAGACGCTATGGCAGAAGCTGCTTGGGATCTCGCACGATGAACCATTCCCGCAACTTTCATACGAGGATGCAATGTCAACGTACGGCTCTGACAAGCCTGATGTTCGTCTTGGATCCAAGATTTCACGCGTTGAGTATATGCTACCTGTGGATCTTGTCCGCAAGATTGGTCCCTTGCACGATCCGATTGTCGAGGTCCTCAAAATATCTATCTCTGAAGATGCGAAGGAAACCCGTGGATTTGTGAGTCGCTTCATGGACTCGCCAGAAGCCAGACCCTTCAACGAAAACCCAGAGGGTCAGCCCGGCATCTTCATCTACGACCCCCGCAAACCACTTTCAGGTCTTTCGGTGTTTGGCTTTGAAGCTGCGGAAACGATAGAAGAGACACTGGATCTTGAGGAAGGAGACTTGGTGGTACTCCAAGCTCGTAAGAATGCACCCCATGCAGGTGGTTCAACGCCACTTGGAAACCTACGTCTAGCTCTACACAAGTTTGCCGTGCAACACAACTACATGCCCGCTCCCCAAGGATTTAAATTTCTATGGATCACTGACTTCCCGTTGTTCTCGCCTTCTGTAGCGAATGAGCCTGGTCAAGGTGGTGCTGCGGGATTAAGCTCTACGCACCACCCTTTTACTGCGCCCAAGACGGCCCAAGACGTGGATCTGCTGCTTACAGACCCAGCCGCCGTCAAGGCTGAGCACTACGACTTGGTGGTCAACGGCGTCGAGCTCGGTGGCGGCAGTCGCAGAATCCATTCAGCAGCCATGCAGCAGTTTGTCCTGCGTGAAGTCTTGAAGATGAGTGAAGAGAGACTCAAGGACTTTGACCACCTGATTGAGGTATTGAGAGCAGGATGTCCGCCACATGCGGGTATGGCACTAGGTTTTGACAGACTCATTGCAGTCATGCTCGGCAAAGAGAGCGTCAGAGATGTAATTGCTTTCCCAAAGAGTGGACGTGGTGAAGATTTACTCGTCAAAAGTCCCACACGCATGACGGAAGATCAACTCAGGACATACCACCTCAAACTCAGAGAGTAAGCATACAACTTGTACTACACACACTCTCAAAACTGTATCATAGCTGTATGACTAGCCACAAGAGCAAATCTACTTCAACTCTTTCCCCAACCCTCGATATTTACAACTTCAGGCTCACCACCACTCCTCACAATCACCCACTCAACCTCTTCATCACCATCATTGACCTCTTGATGCTCTTGATACGCGGGTATCAGAGCAAAATCCCCGTGCTGCAAGACCTGCCGCTTGTTGCCACCTTCGCTGACCACAGCACCTTGGCCTCGCACGGCATAAACAATGGTATCTTGAGCGCCGTGATGATGGACTGCAGAGGCAGAATGAGGNGAAGCTAGCATGATGGAACTGCATATAGAGGCGAGGTTTGTGATGGCAGGCATGCGGGTCATGCCTTGTAGTCTCAGCTGCGTGCAAGATGGAAGTTGGGATGTACTAGACTTACCATCTGTTTGGCCAGAGGAAGACGAGTGGATGTCAGCAGATTTGACGACGTGAACTGGTTTTGAAGACATCGCTGCTGATTTCGTATGCTTAGACATAGAATATTACAGATTCACAAGACAAAGGATACAGGAACTAAGGGATGAGTTTTGGTACTGCACATTTCCCTCTTGACGTAATCACTTGTCTGTGCCGGATGCTACGGATGCCCCTCGATGAACTTCTTCACATCCATGTTAAAATCTGTGGCTCCACTCTCCTCCCATACGTAGAGCAAAGTGATTCGCCATGAAGAAGGCACTATCCTTTTGTAAAGCAGAAGTGTAGCCAAAGAGAATCGCCGAAATGTTGGCTTTCAGTGAACATCGCCTTTTTCGATAGCATTGTGCATTTCTATAGCTATACGCGTTGCATATTTCCAAGTAAGCACATGCCGCAACCTACGACCTCGTAGGCTAGCTAACACTTTTAATAAGGAAGAGCATCCTAGCGGCAAGGAGATACTTTAACGAGTAGCTAGAAAAGACGCCAGCAAGCAGTTCTGGAAGTACCATAATAAAGGCATCCTAAAGGAGCACCAGAAGCAACTCTAGCACACTGAGAGGTTGGTTATCACAATCTTGAGTATTATCCCACTCTCGCTTTATGCTAAGCCAGGCCAATATCATGCATATAGTAATCTCTCACATGTCTTTGGAATCACAGGTCGAAGCTGTCCTCGGCGCTCGTGACAGGTGCGGACTTCGGATTGCGGAGGTGAAGAAAAAGCTGGGGAAGCATCACGCATGTGAAAGTTACCTCGGTACCTCGGCAGGGGCAGATAATCACAGCCTTTTGATTCGCTCTTCCGTGTCCGTTTCGACTGACCTTGTCCAGAAACGCTCTGTCTAGCTCCTCGTGACTTGTGGTATGCTGTTGACGGGTGGCCGGAAAGACCAAAGGGCTGACATGTGAAGACAAGAAAACGGATATTATCCTTTAAACTCCCTCCATCCACCCCTTGCTTCTAGCCTCGACTCTTTTTCTGAAGCCTGAGACTCGATTCGGGTACATACATCTGCATATCCATCATGTCAGGCACATATTCCAAAGCCGATGTGCAGTCGCACAACAAGGCCGATAACCTCTGGATCATCGTCGACGACGATGTTTACGACTTGACCAAGTTTCAAGTAAGCACATGCCGCAATCACGAACTCGCCGGCTGGCTAACACCTTTGACCNAGGAAGAGCACCCCGGTGGCAAGAAGATCCTCCAACGAGTGGCTGGAAAAGATGCCAGCAAGCAGTTTTGGAAGTACCACAACGAGGGCATCCTGAAGAAATACCAGAAGCAACTCCAGGTCGGCTCTCTGGACTCAAAGGCCAAGGCTGCTCCTCCCACACCTCCCGCTACACCTCCTCCAGCAAAGAAGGAGAAGGAGATTGTCAAGCCCGAAGCCGAGTCTGGCACAGTGGCTCCCCAGCCTGGCGCTGATGCCAAAGAGATGGCCGAAGCTCTCGATCAGTTTGGTGACATGGTCCCTGGCGGTGACCCTAACTGGTACCAATCTGTAAGTGCTTCAGACCCTACACTGCAGAAACCTTCTAACGTCTATTCTAGTNATCACTCGCCCTACTTCAACCAATCCCACGCCGACCTCCGCGCCGAAGTCCGAGAATGGATGGAAAACGAAATCATGCCAAACATCACCGAGTGGGACGAGGCTAGAAAAGTGCCAGACTCGGTATACAAAGCCATGGGCGAACGCGGATATCTGGCCGGTCTGATGGGTGTCCATTATCCCAAGGACCTCACCGACAAGCGTGTCAAGTCTGTCGCGCCAGAGAAGTGGGATTTGTTCCACGAGATGCTGATCACCGACGAAATCTCGAGATCTGGCAGTGGTGGCTTTGTCTGGAACTTGATCGGTGGCTTTGGCATCGGTGCCCCTCCCGTCCTCAAGTACGGAAAGAAAGAGCTGGTACAGAGAATCATGCCTGGTATTCTGAGTGGAGACAAGAGAATCTGCTTGGCCATCACCGAGCCCGATGCTGGCTCTGATGTCGCCAACCTGACTTGCGAGGCCAAGCTGAGCGAAGATGGCAAGCACTACATCGTCAACGGCGAGAAGAAGTGGATCACCAACGGTATCTGGTCCGACTACTTCACCACTGCTGTCCGTACAGGCGGCGAGGGTATGAACGGTGTCAGTGTGCTTCTCATCGAGCGCAGCTTCGGCGGCGTCTCGACTAGAAAGATGGACTGCCAAGGCGTTTGGTCGAGTGGCACGACATATGTCACCTTCGAGGATGTCAAGGTACCAGTAGAGAACCTGATTGGCAAGGAGAACCAAGGTTTCAAGGTCCTGATGACAAACTTCAAGTAAGTTCCACACAAATCTGTCGAACACACACAAAACGGATACTGACATTAGCCATCANGCCACGAACGTATCGGCATCATCATCCAATGCCTGCGCTTCTCGCGCGTCTGCTACGAGGAATCCATGAAGTACGCCCACAAGCGACGAACCTTTGGCAAANAACTCATCGAACACCCCGTCATTCGCCTCAAGCTAGCCCACATGTTCCGCCAGATCGAAGCCTCGTACTCGTGGATGGAAAACCTCATCTACCAGTGCCAGCAAATGAACGAAGTAGAGGCCATGCTGAAACTCGGGNGTGCCATTGCCGGTCTCAAAGCCCAAGCAACCACCACCTTTGAGTTTTGCGCCCGCGAGGCCAGTCAGATCTTCGGTGGTCTCAGCTATAGCCGCGGTGGCCAGGGCGCAAAGGTCGAACGGCTGTACAGAGATGTCAGGGCGTACGCTATCCCCGGCGGCAGTGAAGAGATTATGTTAGACTTGAGCATTCGCCAGTCCCTGAGGGTGCACAAGGCTTTGGGCATGAAGTTGTAAGAGTCATGGTTGATAAAATGTGAGTTTGACTTGTATGTCTCTCGCCGCCGGCTACGTGCCTTAGGCTTGGTTTCAGTAGCAAGCAAACTAGCCAGACACACAACCTCTGTATGAATCAAAATGAAAGAATCAATCATTAGTCTTTTGCAAACTGCGGCAGCCCGCCTATCCCGAATCGTCGGGTTTTTGTGAATCAGTAATTTGTGTGGGTGCGATTCCTTGTTCTCTTCTATCCGAAACAAGCGTGCTCATTCCGTCCATAACAGTGCTTTTGCATGCATGCATGTTCAGCTACGCGCCAAACTCGTCCGAACATGGTCGACTCGGTCGAGGTCTACCATTTATGCAAAAGGCACGCCTGTGCTTTCTGCAATTGAGAAGCAAAGATCGAAAGTGCTGAATGCAGACATGCGGAGTCTCTCTCTGCCGATACAAACATTTGGAATAATCCCATCTCTCGTGCGCAAGTAGTCAAAGCACCTGCATGGACAAGTGCGTCACTGGATTCCACCCTTCCCTTTTCGAGCTGTGGATCCCTTTCTTTTTCAGCCCTTTTGGTGGGAAGTTTTAGATGACATGCATGAAAAGGATTTCGTTTGCGAAAGCAGAAGCGGGAGATTTGCCTGTGCTACTGTAGATTGACCAGATTTTGGACAATTTATCGTCGGCTGTGTTGCTCGTGTTTTTGGCTCCGCTGGATACTTTGACTGAGTCGTGTCATGCATGTTGTTCATCTGTTAGTGATGTGATGTGTTGAATGTTGTTTGGCATAGGGTTAGATCTCGGAGGTGGTTGATCTGTCAAAAAGCGGGAAGGAAGGAGCGGTCCGTTGCCTTCTTCCCTTTTCCACATCATCAAAACTCTCTTGCCTGCGACGTGATCGGTAAGACTCGACTCGTCCAGCAACACAAACAGGCAGCGTGCGACCAAACATGCAATGATCCTTCTCAGGGGGTCATATGCACCGAGACCCAAATCGCCGGCGTGACACGGCGCGGCGAAGCTGCATGATTGTGCAACAACCTTACCCAACGCGGCAAAGGCTAGACAGCCATCTCCACATCGTGTCCTCTCCTCCCACCTAGCTGACCTTCCACCCACTGACAAGACAGTAAAGCCATGTTTCGAAATCGAAACGCCATAATTCACGTCTTCATCATGACAGGGCTGTCAAGAACAGCGGGAGATCCACATCTTTACGATCGGGAGATCTCCGAGTAGTATAACGCAATATCGATGGGCTTTCCTGACGTGTGCGCGTTTTGAACAGGAAGCACGACATGCATTGCCCGGACCATCTTTACCTTTTTCTCTGCAAGTTGACCAGCACGTTGGAATTAGGATGCGGCGGCTCCGGGGGCTAGAGTATGCAGATGCAGCAACCCAGGCACAAGGTACAGCACCAGGGCCTCCTTGGAAGACGATCGTCTGTTCTTTTCTGCTTTGACTCCTCCTCTTTCATGCAATACGTTTGGCCGCCTTTCGTTTCGCTTTTGGTTTGTTTGGCGAATTGACGCCGTTCGTTCTTGTACCGAGCTTTGGTTCATCATTCTTGTTTTTGCCTATCTGTCTCTTCTCTTGTCCCTCGTGGAAACCGTTCACTCCTTCATTCCTTCTTCTATCACACAACATCTGACCCGTTACGCGTTTCTTGTCAACTCACCGTCTCTTCGTATCCAGACTTTACCGGAGTAATCTGATTGATAAGAACATCTTGGCTTTCTCATAACGGAATCATGGCCTCAACAGAGGTAAGTGCATACTTGGTCGTCTCTCTACACTGCTTCCTCTTCGAATCTTCGAGTCGTCATATTGCTGCAACTTATGTGAATCGGATACCCATTGTAGAAAGAGACGATATCTCATCGCAAACCCAATGCTAACCATTCAGAAGTTACATCCGAACCCCTTCTCGAACCAGCAACTACAACATCAGGAACCTCAAAGGCTATCCGGCATATATCAATATCATAATGCTCCTGAAGTACTACCCGAACATGGACTCGAGTACGATGACAATACATATCCCGTCTCGGACAAGTATCCGGTGACCAGTATGGACGACTATCCCGCCAGCTTCAACGCACAACAATATCGCGACAACAACAAGCCGCCGCGCATCATCTTTGGAATGAAAGTGCGGTCTTTTCTGCTCGTGGCCCTAGTGTTTGTCTTGATAGTAGTTGGTGCGGTGGTGGGAGGCACAGTAGGCCGAAATGCATCTCATACCGCGAACGCGGCAGCCGTGGCCAATGATTCAAGCTCGTATGTATATTGTTGCCTTGCTAAACTACCGCTTGCTTATACCTTCCACAGATCATCAACAACAATATCATCGTCATTAGCCGGCGTCCGCACAATCGCCGCATCAGGACCCACTACAACAGCAGCGACATCTGCCACAACAACAACAGCAGCAGCATCCACAACAGTACTATCAACACCAACATTCACTCCTCTATCTGCTTGCCCCACTGCAAACAACACTCTCTTCATCTCAACAATCTCCAACACTTCCTCTCTGCTTCCTCCAACCAACAACACCATTTCCAACTTGACATATACACGCTACTGTGATGGCAACACGCCTGCAGATTTCAAACCATTGACCTCTGGCTTTGTGTACACGTTTGACGACTGCATTGATTTGTGCGCGGCGTATAATGTTTATGCTGCTGATTCATCTACCGGCTGCAATGTTGCTGTCTATGATGTCAAGCAAGCAAGACCTGTCAACTGCGTGGTTGGAAGCACGCAAAGTGCCAATGCACAGAGTGTTGGCATTGATGGCGGGCTTGCTGTTGCGATTTTGACACCATCGATATAAAGCTATCTTGCTCGCTTTTCTGCTATTCCAAATCATCCTTTGCTGGACTGGCAGGTATTTCTTTTGTTGGTGCATGTTTTTTGGACACGATATGAGTGGTTCACTTTGTTCTCGTTGTATTCTTACTTGGACGGATGATAGTGGAGGCATGAATTATATGAGTATTGGTTTCATCGGCAAGGAGGATAGGTCTTTTTATTATACATTTGGCGTGTATGCTAGAACATAACATGTTGTTTAATCTTACTATATCTATTTGCATCAAAAATTTGTCAACCAGTGTTTATGCATTTTTTCAGCTAGAAAATCTCTGCTGTAGCTACAGTCAGTTTCTTTGTCGAATCTCATCTTCTCCATCTTACAGGACTGCGGAGGCTTACGAGAAGGATTCATGGAGTTGCATGCACTGGATTAGTCATGCATTGATATATTCAATATATATATATATATCGAACGGCATCCCGCTTCCCGTAGCAACCCCGCCGGGCTTACCTCACTCCTCAGCTGTGTGTACGCTTTTCAGTTGCATAGAATCGTAAGTCTTGACATTCTTCCACGACTCCAATCACGAGCAACAGGGATTGCGAGGTAGACGGAGTTGCATTAGGCCGCACCTACCGACGGTGTCTCGCACTGGCGTGACCGATGCTCGCCATGTAAGCAAAGAGCTGACTTAAGTGGCATGAAAGGCTTCAAGGACAGAGATACATTCCACCAGTCCACTCACCAGATCCAAGACGCTTCTTTTGCACGTCTGACAACGGTATCCTTGCTATTGCTATTCACCGAAGCATCAAAGCACTTTATCCACCATGTCTTGGGCACTGGATGTAGGGATTTTCCGCGTGCATATCGTGTCCGTTCACCTTCATCTGACCTCTTGACAGCTGGTTTTGAGCTTTCACAACTGGCGCCATGGCGTAGCCAAGATCTCCGCCTCGCTCAAGAAGAGTTCGGCGCCTCTTCGTCTGGGCGTTCTAGGAGCAGCTGCCATCAGTCCTGGTGCTATATTCGACCCGGTACGTGAGATTTATAGGTGGGATTGTTGATCTAGAGACTGTCTCTGCTCCCGGGTTGCTGTTTTTTTATTCCCTTTTTTCTTCTTTTTCTTCTGAGACGTTTGTGATGGCTATCGAGCACTCCTGCCGTTTTACATCCTTGCGAGGTCGCGTAGACAAGCTGATCTCGTGCGCGCCAGGTTTCCACGCACCCAGACGTTGTCATTGCCGGCGTTGCCTCCCGCAGCAAAACCAAGGCAGAGCAACACATCAAAGCCTGCAAGCTCGCCGTAGCCAGAGCATACGGTAGCTACGAAGACCTCCTCAACGATCCAGAGATCGAAGCAGTCTACATCTCACTCCCAAACGGCCTTCACTTTGACTGGACAATAAAATCCTTACGCCAAGGCAAACATGTACTAGTCGAGAAGCCCATCGCATCCAACGCGTTACAAGCGCAAGAAATAGCAAAGGTCAGCCAAGAGACTGGTAAAGTGGCGTTGGAAGCGTTTCACTGGCGATTCCATCCCGCAGCACATTTGTGCAAGCAATTAGTTGCCAGTGGAGAGTATGGCAAAGTCAAGGAGGTAACAACGAAAATGGCTCTACCGGCTAGATTCCTGTCCAAGGATGACATTCGCTTCAAGTACGATTTGGCAGGTGGCAGTTGCATGGACTTGACGTACGTGTTTAGCGCCACCTCTCATTATGCCACCGACAACCTCGCAGATGCGACTGTCAAAGTCATCAATGCAACAGCAAGGACAAACCAAAAGGATCCCCTGGTGGACGAGGCAATGCAAACCACCTACACCATCACCTCAAACGACAATACCGTAATATGCCACACCCACTGCGATCTCGCCGCACCCTGGCTTTTCGGCATTGTACCTCCCTTCTGGGACCTGACGGCAGGTATAACCATCATCTGCGACAACGCAAGCATCCACTACACCAATTTCCCAGGCCCGTTTCTGAACCACTCGATCAATGTTCGGGACAACGCAACGGGGGTAACGACAAAACATCATGCCTATGTGGATGGCCCGCAATGGTTGAACAGAGGCGAAAAGTGGTGGACGACATATCGATACCAACTCGAGGCTTTTGTGGACAGAATCAGAGCTGTGCAGTCTGGCAAGTCGTTGGTAGAGGTGGAGCAGCTTGATGGGCTGCCGTGGGTCAGCATGCAAGACTCTATCACTGTAATGGGAATTATCGACAAGGTCTATGAGAAAGCAGGGTTGCCGCTGCGTAAGTAGAGAGCCACTATACCATTGCGTCCTTTCGAGAGAGAAGAACAGAAATTTTGCTTCGTTTAGTGATTTTAAGGATCTGTTTTCATCTTTTCTCTGCCGCGTGTCTAGTTTTTTCCCTTGTTTCTTTTTTCTTTCTCTTTTATCAAAAACACTTTTACACTTTACAGACAGAATATTGTGGCAAAATTCTAGAAAGAAAAGCGTAACAAGACAACATCTTTCTCCTAGACTAACCATCTTTTGTATGTGCCAAAGAAAACAGCATGGGTATTACATTAGCAGTCTTAGCAACAAAAGTAATATTCACTCAAAGTACACGAGATTTATACGTGCAGAGCAGGAAAAAAGAAACAAAAAAAAGAAAAAAGGAGCTTGACAGAACTCAGATACATTTGTCCTGAAGTCGTCTACCCAAGGACCTTTTTTGAACAAACATGTGTGGATACATTTGTTACCCAGGCAGCAGATGCCATAGAGATACACACTTGTATATCAAACTATGCGTATGGCCATGAAACAGGCTCGAGATGTTATCTCTCCTTGGAAAACACTCAAATTTATAATGTACTATGCCTTTCTATAACTACAGAACAACAGTCTTTGGCATCCGGAGATGGCAACGCAGGGGTCCAGTAGAATCGAATAGGGAGTCAGGCAATTTCCAAAAGGAAAAAATAAACATATCATACCATAGCCCAATTTATTGCACGAAAAGTGAATCGATGAGAAGTTTCATTGCTCATGCTCGAGTAGTTGATACCCTTCCTTGGACAATTTATCAAGCAACTTCCACACCTTTACTCGTCTTCTTGTGCAGTCGTCCCAGCCAACTGTTATACAATCCCCTCCTGATATTCTTACCAAAAGGCAAGAAGACCAATACTGCCAGATTGTTGACCGCCAACACCGCGCAAAACGCACCACCGATGATCTTGGCATATCCATGCTCCAGAATCCAGTCCAAGAGATAAATACCCATCCCGAAGGAAATGGCCTGTTTGCCCAGATTCATGCAAATCAACATCTCGGCAGTGTTTGCCGTCATGGAGTCGACGGCGTAGGCAAGCACAAACGAAAAGTAGAAATAAGACACGAAGTCTGTCATGGCGACGCCAGCGAAGTAGCCTATCCAGTGAAGGTTGCGCTCGGCGGTAAAACCGTAGAGGATCAGGCCAGCGGGGGCGATGAGGCATACGGGGAGGAGGACCCAGAGTCGCATTTCGGCTTCGCGGATGGAGTTGTTGCGTTTAGTGAGGTACGCGGCTATGCGGTCTGAGGAAGAGGCAAAGGGCACAGCGAGTGCGTAGCCGATTATGTTGCCGAGAGCGATGAGGCCGCTGTTCTTCGGAGACCAGTTATACGGCGGTGCCACGATCTTTAAAGGAAATGTGTAATTGAAGGCTAAGGCGCCAAGGCCGATATATATGCCTATTTTGTGCCTTGTTAGCCTTTGTTCAAGCAGCATAGGTGCTTAAGACGACAGTTTGCAACAACGTACCAAAACTGGTAACCACCCACATCACCGAGGGCACCAAGAAATAACTGAACGAGCGTAGCATAGTCATGAAGAACTCAGCTTCATGATCAATACCACTCCATGGCTTGAGTGTTTGAAGCCAAGATCTTCTGGGTGGAGCTAGAGTGACGACTTCGACATGTTCGCCGTGTCCTTTTTCATTGTCCGAGTCTGGTGTCGATGTCGTCACAACAACACGCTTGTATGCCGTTTCTTCGACAAAGATGAATGCAAGGATAAGGAGCGCGCACGCAAAGGCGAACTCGACATAGAAGTATAGCCTGAGCGGCTGATGTCAGAGGAGTGAAGTGAGGCAGTGGCTGAGATGTAGAGGCTTACCTCCATGAGTATCCAGCTGCGAGCATGTAACCAGCATAAAGAGGTCCTGTACTGCCCCAGCACAAACACACAGTGTAATACCCCAATCTCTTGCCGCGTTCGTGAAGGAAGAAAATGTCGTTGACGAGTTGTACGGGGAGGGCTTCGCAGACGCCAGAACCCAAGGCATGAATGATTCTTGCAGCCATGAGGCCTCCATAGGAGGTAGCTTGCGAAGCACCGAGAAGTCCAAACACAAACTAGAAGCCAGTCAGCGACACTGTAGAGATTCGGGTTTAACCCCCAAGTACAAAAGCATGCAACGCGTATGGCCATGGGGATGCACGATAGTGTCAAGAAACAGGGTAGTATCCTTTGATAGAGCGACACTCCATTCGTTCTCCTGGATCATCTTCCCGAGGTCGAAACAATGGTGCATTCCAGCAGTCGATGCATTGCTCCATGGTGCTGAAAGGAGAGGACATGAGCTTGCACTCGGAAAGGAAGTAACGTCTTACCATGAGCAGGGAAAGAAGCAACACCGGGCGTCGGCCAAACTTCAAATAGGCAGGAACGAGTAGCAAAGACCCTGAATGTCACGTCAGAACCCGCAACATGTGATATCCGATTCTCAAACCAATGACATACCAAATCCAAAGACCAAATTGGGATAAGACACAAGTCCAGATGCCTGAGTAACAGAAATCCCAAATTCCTCGCTATAGATTTCTAGGTAAACTGATGGTCCTACGAGCGCGCTGTTGCCTAAAAACGAGTATAGCGACACAATGATCAAGATCATGGTCTTCTTGGATTTTGACCATTGGAGTGGGTCGTTGGGGTCTTCGCTGGGTACGGGATAGAGAGCTTGTCCGTATGCCGTGTCGTCGCCTTCCAGGGCTTGGAGGTTTACTGTTCCTGGTAGATCCTCTTCGTGGGCATGGCTAAGGTAAAGATGAGTACAATGTCGAGGAGATTATAGACTACAAGATATACCTGTGAACGAGATGACGCTCGCGAGGATGTGAGGGTCCTTCCATTATGGGCAAACTTCTAGGGGATGCTGTACAGAAAAGCCGTGATCAGCAGCAGAGAGACGTCGGCAATGTCTCTACCTATATATCCACCCCATCCTGCACTAGGCATGTCTCCCCCAGGGATTTGCGGTATCGCTAAGGCAGGAGGATGCGGAGGTGATGCGGGATCAGCACCTCAATGCCCCACAGCTTGTGGGGCGCATGAAAACTGGGGTACTCCTAGCCAACCAGCAGGCCTCAGTGCAGGTCGCCTCGCACGTTGATTCCGATCGTCGTGACTTCATCCGAAAGCACGCTGCACTAACAGGATCCTGACTCTTGACATGCAAAGCGGTTCGACTCTGCATTCTCAACTGCCGATCCTTGTCTTTGGAAGCTGCACCTCTTCTCAACCACCACGTACCTCATGGCCCCATACGTCTATGCCAACTCCGCAGACAATGAGGGATGAAGCATCCAAGGCAGCAAGACCAGAGACATCTGCAACAGCAGTAAAGTGGTTGCCCTTCTTCTTGACCGTAAGCCCATCAACCCCTAGCTGTGCACCATCATAATGTACCTCCCAGAACTTGACTCGTTGATCAATACTGGTGGTCGCAACCCCAAACGTTCTGAGGCCAGGAGAGGTTAGAAGCTCGACACCAGTGACAGCAGCTGCGTGCGCGCGCGGAACAATCACTGTATGAACCTTTGGCGTTGTTCCTGCAGCGCTCCAGGCGCAAACGCTGAAAGCGACTGCATTATCATCACCTCCAGTGACAAGCAGACACGTCTTGGTGTCGAACCAGTGCAATTTCATGGAGTGTATTGTGTTTTGGTGAATATTTGCACGGGAAGTCCACTTCAAAGCACTTGGTTCGGTCGTGGCAGCCGTGGAGCCAGCCTCGAGCGGGAAGAAAGCAACATGTCCATCGGTACCCGCCGTGATAAGCGACTGAGTGTGGTCAAACGTCTCAATGTGCAGACATTGCGTCAAGCAAGAGGTGAGGTAGTTTCCAGTCATCAAAATGCTCCAAGAATTCTCTTGGCCAGGACAGTATTGATACATCNNTGTACTTGTTAGCTGGGAATGCTAGAGAGTATGAACATGGATTGTACTTACCCGCAAAGTGGAGTCTGAACGAGCCATTGTGATGATGAACTTGCCATGTTCTTCTCTACATGAGAAGCTCATAATTCTGAGATCGGGCAAATCACTCTCGGTAGGACATACTGATTCGCAGACCACCCCCAGCTCGACCATAGGCGCCTTCTCCACTCTCCACACAAAGAACTCCTCAAACCCAGCACTACTGAACAGATAGTGTCCGTCGGATGACCATTCCAGCTGCCGGATACCGGTGTTGTGCTTTTTNAGCGTCTTGAGACAGCGGAAGTGGGGCACCTTGCCCTGATTCTGATAAGTGAAAAGCTTGATATCAGTGTCTTCTGAACCAGTCGCAAACAGGACGCCGGACTTGGTCGGATTTGCAGGAGCAACAGCCACAGACTTAATCTCTCGGCCATGGCTGCCACTGTTCATAACTTCCGTGAGATTTTGAGTCTGGGAGAAGAGGCAGAGTTGAGAAGCCTTTGTCCAGACGAAGTGACCGCCTTGTAACCCTTCAGGGACGAACTTCCAGACTCTGTTGGCTCCGCCGCAGTCAATGTTCATGATTTCACGCTCATCTGTGGCATCAAACACAATGAACTGACGACTATGAAAGCCCCAAACCAGAAGGTGATTGGTGTTCTCGTCAATGTGAATCCCCTCAATATTTGTCCCCAACGGAAGAGTAGTTTGGCTGATCAGCTGTAGCTCGACACCAGAGTCTGAGTTCGAGAGTTGATGTATAGCGTAAGTACCGTCTCTTCCTACTGAAAAGATGTGACCGCCGTGCCCAGCCAAGCTCGTTCCTGCATACCAAGCCAGATCGGTCACAGATTCGAATTCGTGAGCTTGTGCAAGTAGGTATTGGTGTGCGACCTCTCCATCAACGTCTGGGGTGTCGTTCACATGGAAAGTTGTTATTGAGCCGCTCCTTGACCCCAGGATGAGCATCAGACCTTGGCCCTGATCAAGGTTCACTGCGAGGGCGCTAGTGATGACGAAGCCTTTGGGTAAAGCGAGTTTCCACGTTGACTGGTCTTCAATCGTACGAGCACCTTCTGTGACATCGCTCAGGCTGAAGCGCGTGAAGAGAGCTGTCTTGGCTTCAACGTTGGCGACCAGAAGACCAATTTGCTGAGAAATACTTTTCGAGGAACACAACTGCTGGGCAAACAAGGCTGAGGTCTTCCTGGTTGATTTGACCAGGCTCTTTACTTTNTTACCTTCGTATAGCATGACTGAACCATCCATACCTGCCAGAAAAGCAACAGACAGGCTTGGTATGCTGGTGACGACAGAGTATCCTCGCAGCTTCTCTTCCTTCCTGATCCAGTCTGTTTGAGCTTGACCTTGTTTACTCTCCGTCAACAGCAGGACGTTTCCAGCGTCAGTCGTGACTAACAGATTGGTCTTGTCCAGAAAGGCGTAACTTCGTAGCTTGTCTGAACGTCCTGATTGTGGTCGATCCGGGCATGAAGAACCCAGATCATCTATCGACCAGGTTTGAGTGTGATCTGACTCGCTAGTGAAGGGGATCGACTTTGGCTCGAGAGCAACACTGCCGTCTGCACCGCCACTAGCAATGACGACCTCTCCTGGGGTGTTTTGATGAATTGCCCATGACCAGATGTTCTTGCCTGCGTGCAAACAAGAGCTCCCAAGGTATGATAAAGCGAACTGATCAGGATCGGACTGACAAAGACTCCAGAATTGGTGAGTAGCATCTTCACCGAATGATACAACATACGAGAGGACTTTTGAATCTAAGGATGGTATGAACTTCACGCCCCAGATTCTCGAGGCATGTCCCCAGCCTTGGGCGATGCATCTTCCACCAGCTGCGTTCTCGGGTAGAATATCAGCGACGTTGGCACCAAAGCCAGTTTCCCGAGCCGACGTCAAGTCTGCAGCTGCTTGCGGGTTGGTAACGGTTTCGGGTAAAGATGAGATATCCCAGATGCGGATAGTGCGATCGTCACTACAGCTAGCCAGCAACCGAGAGGGACCGTTTTCATACTCGGATGCTGAGGGTTCGAAGATTTGCACACCAAATATGGACCCCTCGTGGCCAATCAAAACATGGTGTAGTATTGATGAAGGGATTTTGGCCTCCTGCAATAAACAAGACCACACGATAATGTCGCCGAAGACTGTGCCCGACGATACAAGGATATGGTCGATGGTGGTCCAGTGAATGTGGGCCGAATAAAGGATACACTTTGAGTTTGAGGTCAACTCTGTCAACCCGGATGTTGGTTCCAATTTCAATAGGAGGAGAGCATTGTGAGCAGTGATCAAAGCAGCTTTTTGCATCTGTCCAGACAATTTGGGAGAGACAGAGATGTCGAGGATCCAATCGGCTGCTTCGAAAGAAGAATGACGACTCAGAGGGGAATGTTGATGTTCAGCAAAGGTAAATCGTGTGACCAAGCGACCGCCCCAGACAATGATACCTTCGGAATATATGGCAATTCCATGGATAGCTTGTGAGAAGAATACAGTGATCGACTCGATCAGTTCGTTGTCGTGACGGCTGTGGACTCTCAAATTCGGACCTTCTCCTGCAAATAGGTAGTCCTTACCAAAGGCCAGTGCTGTCACTGGGACCTGGTGCACTTCATGCTGTAATCGTCACTACCTGCTCGTCCCAGCTGGACGCGGAAGAACCTACTTTGACCATCTGCAGAAAGACGCAGTGTCGATTGAAGCAGAGCTCGAGAGGGAAGAACTGTAATCTGGGCAAGAGTCTGCTTTAGGGAGTGACGGTAGGAAAATGATGCCAAGGCTTGCGAGCATCGGCTTTTTCATGCGCCAAAGTCCGAGAAGCAAATTCTTGGATGTCGACCAAAGATTATTTCTGTTTTTTCGCAACCCATTTTTGTTCGCCAAAAGTCATGTCGATTTAGAGGAAGAAGAGAATCTAGGCAATACCATGGATATCCACCGCTCTCGCTTCGTGGCCTACCCGTCATCGGCCATCAACGCCCTTTCATTTTCGAGATCAAGCGACAAGAATTACACGGATCCCAGGCCCGCGCTGAAGCTCGCCCTCGGTCGCGCAAATGGAGACATAGAGATCTGGAGCGCCGACAAAGGAGACTGGGTCCAAGAGTCGGTCTTCCCAGGAGGTTCAAAGAGAAGCGTGGATGCGCTGGCCTGGATTCAAGAGCCGGACGACACAGATTATGAGGGACACACAATTCTCGGCCAGCTGCGCCTGTTCAGCATTGGCTCGACGGCTGCTGTGACCGAGTGGGACTTGACGACAGGCAAGGAGCTGCGCTCGTCGACGGGCAACTTCAGCGAGGTGTGGTGTTTCGCCGCCCAGCCGCGCTGGCGTCCGTCCAAGACTTCGCGTGAGGACGAGTTCCGCGGCCAGAACCTGGTTGCTGGCACAGGCGACGGCACCCTTGCCATTCTCTCCACCGAGGACAACGATCTCGTCTTCAAGCGATTCTTGGCCCGCGGCGGCAACCGCAAGACGCGATGCATGAGCGTGACATGGAAGGACAGAGACACGGTCGTCGCCGGCTTTACCGACAGCACAATCCGCATCTACGACGCTCGCAATGGCTCCTTGTTGCGCAACCTCAGCTTGGGCGCAGGCATTCCTGGTGCTCCCCGCGACACGCTGGTCTGGAAGGTCAGATGTTTGCCCAACGGTGACATTGTGTCAGGCGACTCGAACGGCCAGCTCAAGTTCTGGGACGGAAGAACATACACCTTGTCACAGAGTGTGAATGGCCACGACTCGGACTGTCTGGACCTTGTCAGCAGCACCGACGGCAACACTGTCTTTTCGGGCGGCATGGACGGTCGCATCGCCGTGTACAAGCTGGGCGGCAAAGAAGGCGACAAGAGAAGGTGGGCAAAGACCAGCCACCGTCGCATGCACGAGGGTGACATCAAGGCCATGGCCGTCTACGACTCCAAGCACATGAGCGTCGTTCTGTCAGGAGGTGCGTGTCCCTGCGACCTGTCTCATTTGTACCATGCTAACAACTCCCAGNGTCTCGACACCACACCCTTCGTCATTCCCCTCCGCAACTTCAACAAGGAGAACCACCGCAGACTCCCTGGTCTACCGCAGAACCCCGTCCTTGCCTCTTGCCCGCAACAGCGCATGCTCGTCAGCTGGGCCGAGAGTGAAATCAGCATCTGGCGCATGTACAAGCAGAGCTCCGAGCGCATCCCCGTACCCGAAGACACCAGAAAACTCCTCAGCCGCATCCAGATCGACTCGAAAGAAGCCATCACCTCGGTCGCCATCTCTCCCGATGCTTCACTCCTCGCCGTGTCTACCATCGATTCTGTCAAGCTGTTCCACCTCTCGCACACCGAAGACGACCGCGAAGACCGCCTACGCATACGCAAGATTGCTGCCCCCGAAGCTATCGCCGAGAACGGCGCCCGCTTGATTACCTTTTCACCCGACGGAAGATGGCTGGCAGCAGTGACACCGCAGAGCGAAGTCTGCCTGGCAAGAATAGAGGACGATTCGGACAAGCCCAACTTCTTGAACGCAAATGTTGAGCTGGAGCGTCAGACTCGCAAGGTCACAATCCAGACTGGCCTCAAGAAGTACGAGCGCACCATCAACAGGCTCGCCTTTTCGCCCGACAGTGCTGTTCTGGTTGCCAGTGATCTCTCTGGTTATCTGGAGAGCTGGGTGCTCGAAGGACACTATGACTCGACTGCTCCTGCTATGGATACTGCCACAAAGTCTTCCTCGGGCTCAGACAAGGCCACTGATTCTGACGACGACAGCGACAGTGACGACGAGGACGAGACAATCGTCTTCTACGGACAGCACTGGACAGACAACCCTTCAGGCAATCTCTTGCCCAGGCTTGACTCTGCACCTCTTGTTCTTTCCTTCCAACCACTTACACCGGCGCAACAAGAAGAGCCCATCGTGAATGGCAACCCTGGTGTCCACCCTACCCGCAACAACCCTCATCCCACATCTCACGCCCTTCCCTCTACCAAATCTCCTCTGTTCATCGTCACATCTCACCACCAAGTCTACACATTCGACGTCTTGGCCGGACGCCTCACGGACTGGTCGCGCAGAAACCCCACAAGTGTTTTGCCTGCCGAGTTCCAGACCATCAAGGATCGCGCCATGGGTGTCGTGTGGGATGTGAATGATGCCCGAGCCCGCGCCTGGCTGTATGGTGCCAACTGGGTCGGCATGCTCGACTTGTCACAGAACTACGAACCTTCCAATGTACTAGACGAAGCTCTCGAGGATGGTGAAGACGACGTTTCTGCGCAACATACACCCAGCAAGAAGCGTAAGCGTCGCGAAAGCAACAAATGGGGCAAGCTCGCAGAGCAGCGCAAAAAGGCAAAGGGTATGGGCGGTGCTGGTGACAAGGCCGCGAGTGGAGAGACAAAGGGTGTTGTAGATGAGATCCGCCGCATCGAAGATGGCAAAGCCATCGAGCTCACCAACGGCACCTCTCACGAGCAAGACTTGGATGACGAAGAAGCCCTAGACGATGCAGTGGGTCCTCTCCGTCGTGGCAATGATGACACAGAAGTAGACACAAATGGCGGCGCAGACGGTGCTCTGGCCGTCACCTCAGCAGGCCGGAGAAAATGGTGGTGTACATACAGATACAGACCTATACTGGGCATGGTGGCCATGGGCGAAAAGACGTCAGATGCGGACGAAGAACAGCCCGAAGCCGTGCTGGTGGAGCGTCCGCTATGGGATCTGCCACAACTTCAAGAGCTGGGCAAATAGAGGGCTTCCTGCCAACCCGAAAAGTATTATTATCATCGCGGCCATCTACTCGGTTTTGTACAGGGTCTTCGGTTCTCGTCCCATAGCGTATGGAGTTTTCCTATTTTGTTCCAATTTCAAGCCTTCAATCTCGCTACTCTTTTCTTCTGTGGTCAAAGCTTTCTTTTGGAGTTCGATTTTGCTTCGCGGCTGGACATGCTGATTCAAGCACCACAGCCACCTCATATTCTGCATCTATCACTCGCTCCTTGTCCGCCCAGAAGAGACAAGTGGAAATTGAGTCCCGCGCCTAGCTTACTCTAGAGCCGGCCGTGTCTACTCGACTATGCTGTTTTCGTCCACGCTCCGCGCAAAAGGGAAGTGCTTGGCTTCGACATGTCGGCGAGCCCGACAGTGATATGAAGGTTTGATATACTCACAGACTCTAAGCAGAGCCGCGGTCCATCACGCTATCGAATTGGTCCTCAGCCTAGTCGAAGAAAGTACCAATTTTTAAGATGAGTCAAGTACTCAGCTGAAGTCAATTTTCACTATGAGCTCTGGCTCTTCTCCTTGCAGGTCTGCTTATACCATAAACCTTGAACATATATCGACACTGTGTGCCCTAAGGTGAGATTACCTTTGAGATACACTCCTTGACTTTCTTCTTGGCTTTTTTCTTTCCAGTTTTCTTCTTAATTTTCCTCCTGTCACTCTTTCCACATCTCGGCTATGGGTTCATCCTTGGCCCGAGGCTTAGTTCTCGTCGCTGCTCTATTGCAGTCTAATGCAGCGGCCTCCTCTTCGCTGGCATATGAGACTGCAGCACCTACGCTATCAGCCGGAGCGGGAGTGGGACAGTCAATCGTAACAGTCACATCGAGCTATGAATCGACATACACCACAGTTTGGAGTTCACCCATCACAGCTATCGAAACGGTCACAACATGCACACCAGGCACAGCTTTCCCGACGGGAAGCTGTCAGAACACGGTATGGTCAGCTTCTGGAACATACTACAGCGAGCAATGCGACGATGTAGCAGTGACTGGCGCACTCCGTATCAACGGCCCCGGGGTCAAAGGCATCAGCTCGTGCCTTAGTTACTGTAGCCACTTCTCGCAGTATTGCGATGTGGCTCTTTATAACCCTACAAGCACTTATTGTCAACTTGTGCAAACCGCCTCTTCCGGCTCGATCTGGAATACTGGTTATCAAGCAGCAGCGGCCTACAAAACCGACCCTTGTGTCGCCACTGTGACAAGCACTGGACTCGAGTACTCGACCGAAACGATCACTTCGCAGGTTGTCACCGTCTTCGAATCGACCATTACGAGCTCTGCCGTGCCTTCTCCATCTCTTCTAGAGCCATCTCTCGCAGCGTCTTCCTCGGACGTTGCCCCTCCAGCTTGCTTTGCAACACCAGCAGCTGTGGTACAGGAGTCGGTGGTGACCCTCACGTCGACGTATGCCAGCACGTATACCAACGTCTTGACCACTACCTCCGCATCCCTACAGACAACTACAACTTGCACTCCTGGTGCTTTCACGGTAGGACAGTGTCAGAACGGTGTCTACACACTGGGTACGAAGTACTACAGTCAGGTGTGTGGCGGCAGCATGTTGACGGGTGGTACCACGGTTCTCGTCCTCCCTGCAGCCCAGATTGCACTCTGCAACCAGTATTGCAGTGTTTATTCCACCTTATGTAGTGGATACAACTACAATACGGCTGCGAGAGTCTGCACTTTCCTCTCTGGATCCTCAATGCACTACACCTCTGCAGTTGCTTTCCAAGCCGCGCAAGCATACACGACAAACCCTTGTGTGGCTACCGTCACTGCTGTAGATACTCAGTACTCAACTCAAATTGGTTCGACTGATGTCACCTCTGTGTATGAAAGCACTATCACGATTACGGCATCGGCAACATCCTGTACTCCAACGACCACTCCTCAAACGACGTCGAGTCCTGTTATCACTTCATCGGTTGCTGAGCCATTGGAGTCCACTTCAAGCAGTGTCATACCAGCCAATAGCTCTATGCCAATCAGCCTCTCCGTCACCAACAGCTCTGGTTCAGCTTCATCGATGATCACGGCATCGCCATCCTTAAATTCTACTAGTCTAGCACCGGTTCTTCCTATCACCAACAGTTCTTCGACCATCACCCCATCAGTACATTTCAACACATCGGCCCCAGCAATAACCAACAGCACTATCCCGGCCAGCTCTCGTTTCGTCAATAGCTCCGTAGCTGTTTTGCCTACATCAACAAGCTCGTTCTCGCTATCCAACACATCTGTTCCGGCAATCTCTACTACAGTTCCAACGGACTTGACATCAGTCATGCCTGTCAACGGCTCCGTCATGGCTTCGTCCTCGGCTCCGGCTTCAACCTCGTCAGTACCGATCAACGTAGCTGTACCGGCTACAAGCAATAGCTCTGCCGTCGTTCTGCCAACAAGCATAGTGGCGACAAGCCTAACATCAGTTCTGCATTTCACTAACAGTTCGGTTGCTGCCACAACAAGTGCGGTCATGATCTCTTCGGCACATCTCAACACAAACGTTCCCGTGATGACTTCATCTCCATCCTCAAGTTCTGACGTCTCTGCTGTTCGTTCGTCGTCCGTCTCTTCTTCTGTCGTGCCCACGGCCTTGATCGCAGATTCGGCCTCTATCACACCTATCTCGCCAATTACACGACTGAGCACTTCGACTATTTTCAGCACTCGCATTGCCACCGTCACCGCCTGTCCACCAGATGTCAAGGATTGCCCAGCCAGATCTCAAAGCACCTTCTTGACCACCGAGACGCTGGTTGTGTCTACTACGATATGTCCAGTGACCGAGACTCCTCAACCGACCAGCACCATGACGGCAGAAGTTCAATACACCACATCTACTGTGTTGTCCACCAGAACTTCTACCATCACTGCTTGCCCGTCAAGTATTTCTGACTGCCCAGTCTCGGCCCAGGAGACTTTGTTCGTCACAGAGGTTATTGTGGTATCCACGACTGTTTGTCCAGTTAGTGGAAGCAAGAACATGGTAGTGTCTTCTCAGCCTACTGCATCTCCTGCCACAGATCACGGCAGACCGACGTCCACCATTCAGGCAACAGCTGCCGTCGTCTCTGGTAGCAGCCAGAACGCCAAAGGCGCACACGACTCCCAGACTTCTGCAACATCCACCGACAGCCAAAGCGCCGCAAGATCTTCTACCCAGACGTTCACTATTGTGTCTACTCTCGGCGTCACACCTCAAGCCACTGTCTCACTCACCGAAACAATCTCGAGAGCACCGGGCGTAGGTTTTGGATCTGCTGCATCAGTCACTACTAGTAACACACCATCTACCACCTCTTCAGTATACCCCCAGAGTGCCATGGTCGAATCTAGCTCTAGCTCTGTCATCGTGTCAGATGTCCACGATGCTCTTGCTTCGAGCTCCATATTGCACTCGTCTGGCAGTGCTGGTAGCCAAGGCTTCTCAAGTATAGCTACTCTGAGTGCATTCTCTCAGCCCAGTGGTATTACCAGCCAAAGCTTCTCAAGCATGGCTACTTCGACCGAAGACTCGCAAGTCACCCGCACGACCAACCAACACCTGTCTAGCGCAATTTTGCAATCTAGCAACACCTCTTCGGTCGCTGGAGCCTCGCAATCCAGCAGCAGTACTGGCAGCTACAAGCCCGTTCTATACACCGGCGTTGCCTCCTCTTCTCACCGGAGCGTGACCCTGGCGTTTGGATCACTATTTGCTATCCTCTTCGCCATACTATCCTAGAATGCTGTAATTTATAATTAGTCAGAGGCCTATATATAATCTATATACTCCACCTTCTCCTACTTTCTATTCCTTCCTCTTTGTCCCCCTTTCTTCCTTTTTTTCTTTTCTGTGGTATTGATTCGTTCGATTGTGGCCAACGTCAATACTTTTACAGTAACTACTGTATAAGGCAGAGTGATATTAAAAGAAAAGAACAAGATGGCATCTCAAAAAGCGGGAAAATCTCTTATAACTAAATAACCTGGTTCAGTAGTTGATTATACATTATAACAGTATACTACAACACTCCTTTCATCCGCTCAAAGAAAAAAAGTGATACCCAGTTGTCCCAAAACCCACCATGAAACCCTCTGCAGAAAAAGTCCACTATATATGTTTGACTGACTATTTATACCTCTCCCTCTCTCTCTCCAAATTAAAAATTTCTAGTGAGAAAAAGACAGTGTCAAAAACAACAACAATAATAACCTTTTTTTTTTGCTGAGTTTTTAAGCATCTAACTATCTATCTATACTTCTTTTATCTACTTTTTTTTTGGGGGGGAGGATAGAAGTACTATATAGTATCATTCAAACACATTTTGTACAATGCTCTTGACATGCTTTTCAACTGTTTTGTATCTTTTCCTTACGGATATTATCTGTTTCTATATCGCTTGTTTTTCTATGCCCATAGATTCAGCATACAAGAGATCACAGTACAACGGGGTGCTTCAGCACATGACCCAACATTGAAGATTGGTGGCAACTATACAGCACTAAAGAGATTTGGAAGCCATAAACATGGGTGATGGCCTTTTAAGCATTTGTCTGCTGGGAATAAAAGACTCAAGAATTGATAAAACACAGATAAAATCAGCCTCTCCTGTTGCAGTTGCTTCTGGAAACCCCCAATGTCTAGCAAGAAAACCAACCGTGCCGTCCATGTCATGCCAGAAATGCCTCTGAAAACGCCATGGCCAGAAGGAAAAGGAAAAAGAAAGGAAAGAGGCCACCAAAGAGAGAAAACTCTCCAGGAACGCCCAAGAAGAACAAAGGAAAAAGCATTCAACGACCAGGCGGCCACAAACCCCTGAACCCAGTCGTCAGACTCCTCTTCCTTCTGACCATACCCCTGGTCCCAGAAACATCAACACCTTCCTCTACACACGGTCTCGCATTCTGAAACACAGACTTGTATTCCATAGGAGAAGCCACTAAACCATGAGGGGCATCACCCTCTTCTTTGTCAATGCGCGTGAGTATCAAGGCCGGCGAGGACGACATGTACATCTTGGCGTGTACATTGGGAGTCACGGGCTGAGAGCGCGAGATGAACGTAGGCGCTGGCCACAACCTGGGTGTTTGGCGTGTCGGTGAGTTGTCGAGCGAAGAGTCGGACCAGTCTGCGTCCTCAGAGTCGACTGCTGTTTCTTGGCCAGAGGCGAAATCATCGTGGAGGCCTGCGTGTTTGGAGGCGTGGGTGATCTGGGATGTATGCATGGTTTCTGCGACGCTTGGTTTGCGTAACGAGTATGTTGGGGGTACAATGAGGAGATGCGGGCGCTCGCTCTCGGGAGGACTGCCGTGGCTAGCTCGGCGTGCGTGCCGTACCTGACCTTCGTTCGAAGCAGCAGTGGAAGCAAACGCGTTCAGTCGGAGGTCAATCTGGCTGGGTGAAAAGACCAGCCCATAACGCACTTTTTGCACGGCGACATCGAGAGCCAGCTCGATAGCGCAGTGGTTTCTGACTTGCGATAGTTTAGGCCATGTAGCCGTCTCACCACTGAGCATGGCGCGCGACATGAAGTCGGTTGTTGGGTTCTTGAGAACGCGAGGGAATTGTGTATATGATACTTCAGGCAGGATTGTAATGTCGCCCGAGTAGCGTTGGCTCAATACCGAACGGAGCTTGGACATGGTAGTAGGCAAGACACCAAGTTCGGCGAGGACGTGCATGCGATGGAGAGCCTCGCCTTTCGCGAGGTTGGCAACAGTGCGGAGCCAGCTAGGCCCAGCAGACAACACAAACCTGGAAGTCTGAGCACCGAACGAGGCGATTTCGTCGTCCCTCTCTAGGAAAGGCACAACGTGGGGATTGACCTGGGAGACAATGAAATGGTTGACATTGAACATTTCTGCCAGGCGGCTCATAGGTAGATCGTTGTCAACCGAACCATCGATCCAGCGTTGAGGCGACTGGTCCCATGGTACTTCTAGTCCAGTGCGTGGATCTTTGGCCAGTAGTTGAGCAGGGGAGAAGATGAAAGGGACAGAGCAACTCGTGGCGACGGCGGACCAGATCATGACGTTCGGAGCAGTGATGTAGTTGAGGAGTCTCGGCAGCTCATACAAGCTGGCAGTCGATACACCAATGTTGAGGATACGTCTGGTCCTGTTGTAGGCTTCCTGGAAAGTCATGTCCCCAAGTAGGTCCTTCATGACGCGTATGAGGTTGGAGATGTCGAAGAGAGCACCCTTTGTACAGAAGCGAAAGACCTTTTTCAAGACATTCTCGGGCTCTCCTTCCCTTTCGAAGACGTCCAAATCACCGTAGCAGAATTCGCGCAGAACTTGCGGGATCTCGTCGTCGGTCTTGGTACAAAGCACGGCAGCGACAATGGATCCAGCCGAGGCACCCGAGATAATGCGAGGGAGCAGGCGGGCTTCGAACAGTGTTTTGAGCACTCCTATGTGGTTCATGCCGAGAGTGCCGCCTCCCGACAGCAGTAGTGCGCTTCTTCCGAAGGCCTGCCTCGCGCTCAAAAGCTGTTCGTAGACTTCCCTGACGTCCAAATCCGTGTCCTTCTTATTGGCGGGCGAGCACATGTCAACGACCGTGTCGAGCATGTCCAGAGCAGCCGAGATGTAGCGTTCGATGAGTGTTTTGGTGCCAACTCTGCAATGCTTGTACAGACGTAAATCACCCATGCCTCCCAGGTCTCGTGTCAAGGACGTGCGGGCGAGGAACAGCATGCGCTTTGCGTCGCAACTGATACGCGCGTCTTCCAACTCTTGTCGTCGAGCCTTGAGCAAGGCTGTGTCATATTCGTCGCATTCCTCGTCCTCTTTCCAGGCGTCTGTGCCTTCGAGCGTGTCGAGTTCCGAGGCGGCCGAGAGCCAATCCGTGTAGCATTTTGCCTGNGAGAAGTGTCTGTCAGTCGCTTTCTCTTGTAGCAGCAGATATGTGCAGCATACCTGAGTGATCTTGAGATTCAAGACCTGCCGCCGCCACTCGCTGTCGTCCAGTTGTGGGCCTTCGGCTCTTTGTCTCTGACTGCCGGCTTCAACAGGTTTGGCGCCAATCAAGTGGTAAGGATCTCGGAGCGCCTTCAACAGCGACGGCGAAAGTCGCGAACCTCTGGCATTGGATCTCGAGGATGCATTGGTAGTTGTCGCATTGGGGCCAAGTGCGGCGGCCGAGCCAGGTAGAACTAGTGAGTCATGGAAAAGGTCCATGAGAATGCGGGAGCCATGGATGGATTGCCGAGACTATGAGAGAGAAGGCCCTCGGTAGGTGTGTGCTTGTAGGAGGCAGTGGTAGGAAAGAATAGGCAACACGCAGGGATGGGATTCAGGAAGTTGCGGTATCCAAGGGTAATAAGGTTTTGTTATGGGCATGACGACAGCAACATGACAAGGCCCACTTTGCCGACCTTCTCCACGTTTTTCTGGTGTGAAAAAGCAGATTGCCAAAAGAGCCTCTTTTGCGCCATGTGACGCCTGTCGAATGCTTTTAGCGTTTTGCACTGGCGGCACACCCTGAAAGGAAGGAAGAGAGACAAGTCACACGCTGCATTCACAAGGAAGCTGCCATGACTATGCCCCTTACCTACTCCTTTTGACGAAACAAAGCATCCCACTTCTTCTCCTTGCACCCCCTGCAACAGCATACCACGTGGCGACATCAATACTGCCAAACAACATATTGTCTGTGCAACCTCTCAGGCACCGGCTGCGTGTGGAAAGTCTAAACAAACCCACCACACATCAGGCAAAAGCTTGCGAAGAAAACGCACCTGCCGCGCATCCACATGCATGCGACATGGCATGCCGCCTGCCTGCTGTTCCTGCAAGCCCCAGCGTCGATCAAAAGCTGACCGTGTTTCAGGCCCACCTCCGACTCCCCTTCCTTCAGGCTTCAACATAAGTGCAGATGATCAAGTCTCACCGCTTCTGCTGCCCGAACAGGTTCATGAAGTCCGAATATCTATTGCGGATGACTCGAGAGCCAGTCAGCAGACATCTGAATCCAAGCCTCGTAGCCTGCATGTACATTCATCGAGGTATACTATGTGGCTGCTACTTTGATTCGCTTGCTGCACCGGAGCTATATCCTGATTGTTGTTCATTTCGAGTGACACGTCCACAGCGAGATCGGAGAAAACTCAAGATCTGTAATCATTACTCGTACTTCTCTCCTTACTGCGTATAAACCGGGATAAGCGGTCAAAGGAAGAAGATGTTATAACCAGAAAGTCGTCAACTATATGCCCGAAAGATTGATCCCTATCCAATAAAACCTTTGCTTCCATAGTCTGCCGTGTATTCATGAAATTCATGCCATCATGCTCCGGGGCTTCATGCTCCTTCCCCACCACTTGTGTTTCCAGCTGAAATCACAACATCAACTACGTGCGTATCATGCTCATCAGGAGCTTGAACAGGTTGTCTGCTCGACTGCAGAGGTGGAGAGACCCCTCTCGCCGTCTCTCCACGATCACAGCATCTCAGAAGACATGTGAGACCCCCTGGCTTGCATGATCAAAATGCTTGCTCGAAGCCCACTGTCGATGAATCGCTGCGCAACGAGGCCCAAACATGCCCTGCCCGACTCGCTAGACAAGTCTCTTCGGCCGACAACAACCAAGTCGCCTGCATTCTTCGGGTTCTGCGCAACCTCGACCTGCGCCCGAGAGATTGCTTCCTCCAGGGGCGAGTGTGACGATATGGACTCCATAATCACTCTCGATGACAACTCCACAGGTAGAGATCGCTGGATCATGGCGAAAAACGTCTCGTCGCTATCTTCAATCTGTGCGACGACGCTAGGTTTGCCATCCCCCTAGGANCTCGATGATCCGTTGCTTGAGACTTCCACAGGCGAACCATGGGTTTCCGACCCTTTGGTCTCTGCTAAGCTACCAGCACCATCCAGCTTATCGAAAAAGACAATGGTCGCCGTTACATCTGGGTTTTCTGCCAACTGCAGCACAAGCCGCAACGCCACGCGGCCGTCGGCTCCGCCAAAGTATGGCATGTAGATATGGTGCGACTTGTCCATGATGGGCGACGATGCAGGTCCTCGCTCATTCGACAAGCTAATCTTGCTCGCTTGACGAGACAGAGTTGGTGGGCGACGTGCCACTGCGCTGCCACCGAAGCCACGATTGACAAAGACCACGGTGTTGCAAGTCGACGACTTGAGTGCGGCAGCCACAAAACTGACGTAGCTTGTGTCTTCGAGTCGTCTGGGAGTAGCGGGGTTGCCATTGTAGGATTGCTGTTCATTCATACTTCCACTTTCGCTCCAAGGAAGAACAAGAAGATCTGAGTTCTCGCTCGCCGCTTTGGATGTGATGATTTCGGCAAAAGACGACTCGAGGGCGATTGCGACTTCTCCCGAAACTGCTAGATTGTACAATCTGCCGAAGTTGCGGAAGGTGTTGATAATGGGGTCTTTCCAATGGAATTCTTCGACGTCCGAAACACTCATGACGGATGAGTCTCTGTCCGTAAGCTCGATCATCCGGACACCATGAACTTCCAAAGGTCGATTTGGTGCTTTCGAAGACTCTTCCACGCTCTTACCAGCCAGCATAGGATGTTGTCGCGCTGCAGAGTCCCCAGACTTGCTCGGAGCAGCCAAGAGTGAGACGAACGTCATCAAGGTAGGCATGTTATCCAATCTCAGGTGGACGAGTAGTTTCTTAATCTTGCTGGTCTCCAGCTTTGCCACAACGATAGATGAGGCATCATCGCCGGGAGTCAGTGGACTGCCAGTATCCCAGTCAATCAGACCCTTTTTCCAAGCCTCTAGCTTCTTCTGATACCAAGGTGGGTATAGGGCCATAGTCAACGGCGTGGTAATGAACGTGGTGATCAAAGCCATGACCACAAAGATTGTGAATGTCCTTTGCGACAAGATCCTGGCTTGAAGACCGATATTGAGAACGATCAACTCGACGAGACCTTTGCAACTCATCAGAGCGCCAATGGTAAAGCTCTCTCGCCAGACAAGGCCATTCACGCGTGCAGCCACCGAAGCTCCCACGAATTTGCCGACAAATGCAACAGCCAAAACACCAACGACATATCCCCAAGTAATGGCAGAATCCAAAAGACCAAGGTTGGTAGACAGTCCGGATAGGGCAAAGTAAAGTGGCAAAAATAGAGCGCTGATCAAATCTTCAATCTTCTCTGTGACCTTGATTGCGAAACCACCCTCATGAGGGCAGATCAACCCTGCCATGAAAGCACCAAAAATGGGGTGAATCCCGATGACTCCGGTAAAGAAGGAAGACGCGAGCGCAATTAGTAGGGTCAAGACGATGATGCCTTGAGATGGTCCGTTCTCGAACGTACGTGTACGTCTAAGAACCCAGGTAAAAGCCGGCTTGACAGCGAAGAAGAGGAAAAGCGTGTATCCCAGAGCTGTCAGCAAGACATAGAGGGCACTTATTCCACTGCCAGAGTTTACCAAAGCTACACAAAGAGCGAGAAGGACCCATCCAGTAACATCATTGCCAGCTCCAGCCGACAACACAATGACTCCGACGGATGTTGACAAGAGTTTCAGTTCCGTAAGGATACGACACAACACTGGGAAAGCAGTGATAGCCATGGCCACACCAACAAACAGCATGAACGTGCCAAATGCGACTGGCTCAGTCCCATCTTCATCCGAGAATTGGTTGTACAGTCCATAAGCAATGGCACAACCTAGGCCAAAGGGAAGTGCCATGCCAGCCAAGCCGACACTTAACGCGATCTTCCAATTGCTGGCCAGGTAGCGCAAGTCGACTTCGAGACCTACTATGAACAGGAAGAGGACCAGACCAAGATTGGCCACCAGAGCGAGATTTGGTTGTGCAGCCGGCGGAAAAATCGTGGCAGTGAAACCAGGAATTCTGCCCATAACTGAGGGACCCAGTAAGACACCACCAATGACTTCTGCGATAACACGCGGTTGCCGGATCTTCGATAGAGGCCAGTGTAGTAATCGGCAGAATAGGATGATTACACCAGCCTAATGCTAGGGATCAACATTGAACCTGCCGTTTCTAAAGCTACTTTTGATACATACCTGAATAATGAATATGATGATAGGATCCTTTGGGTTGTAATGTGTCGGATTCTCGCCTTCTAAAATACCACCCTGAGCTTTTGCTCGAGCGGTCGAAGATGCCGTGGCGGCTGCCATGGTCTTTGTGACAGTGTCCGTCACGAAAGCGGTGACTGTTGCCGCCATCGTGAATGGCCTGATTTGTACGGCGGTAGAAAAAAGTCCTTAAAGTGATGAAGTCCAGAGATTCGCCTGACGGAGTAAACAGCGACTACTATAGGACCATTGTCTTCGTTTCGGTGCTCCCAAGACAACCAGGAGAAAGTCGGTCAACTGTCGGTTAGCAGAGATCTGGTACCAAACAAAGTTGGTGAGACGTCGAAAGATTGAGGAATGATAGCCACTGACTCGCTGACAGGCCGTCAATAAGAACGTGGGGTGCTCCAGACCCTTTTGTATCAATGACGCTTGGACCCTGCCAAAACGAAACCCTTTCTTGGCTGCCTTGGCCTAGATCTTTCCCCCTTCCTACAACTCCATCACACGATAACAAAAATGGCTATCTACTGTATACCAAGTGAACCCTGTAGTTGGCCACTGTATACGAGTAACGGCGTCAACACCATATTCCCCCCTATAGATACGCCCCTACAGTCTAAGAACTTCCAGCTACCCAGTACCACATGATCACCTCATCGTTTCCCGCTTGGCTGACGAGCGGCTGAGCAAATTCCGCACACAACCCCATGAAACAACTCCCACAGCCAAGATGCGAGATGGCGGTGTACTTTCAGATGTATCCTCATGCGCTTTTCTTCCTGGGTGACCGTTCTCGATGCAGGGGCTACAAGGTCACACGCAACATATATTGAAACGTGATGTTTTGGAAGAAAATGTGGCTTGTGGAGTACGCGCGGTGAGCAGAATTCAATGGAGATGGCTCTGACGGAGAGATACTTTTATACCATGTGAATCATGATTATGATATCTTGGGATGATAGTGCCGCACACAGGTGTTGTGGCTATCGTTTCTGAGGTTAGGTGAAATTGATTCATGCGAGCAGGGTCATACTATGGACATGAGTCTTAGGCACCCTAGGCAGTACAAGTGCACTCGAGATCGACCCTTCTCATTTGCTGATTTCAATGTTTTATCGAAAGCCCTAGAACGCATAGTGCCTTTCTAATTGGAGATACTACCACGGAGAGACTTGAGTATGGGATCTCTCCGTGGTTATTGTTCTATAGAAAGGGTTGTGCAGTTCTTGACCTGCACTATGACTGTCTATCGCATTTGGGCAGGTACTATTGCTTTCTGTAATGCCCCGGGGAAAAGTTTGCATATCGCTAAAGTGATCATAAGTCATATATCAAGTCGAAATCGTCGCTCAAAATCCAAGATCAGATGTGGTCACGTCCTCAGTGAAATGTCTCTCTCGTTTCCCACTTGTGAACCATAAAAACCACGGCACAACAAAGCATTTGATCTTGTGGCCTAACCAACCAGCATCCTGGACAGTCTTGACGACTGCTCCAGACTCTTTGAACGCAGCGTTGATGCGATCTCTGCGTAATCTCTCGTAGGCTGCAAATGCATCGCTGAAGCTTCCAGTACCGAGTTCCTGTTGCCTTGCCAAACATCTTGCGAAGAGCACGGTATCTTCAAGCACGATACCAGTAGCCTCGCCCTGTGGTGGCATCGCGTGAGCTGCATCACCTAACAGCATGGTGCGTTGTGTTGCCCAGCGGCCTTCTGGCGGTAGAGTGAAGATGGGCCACATGAACCAGTCTTCAGCCGTGTCAATCAGCGCTTTGAGGTCATCAAACACGACATCGTCAGTAGCGAACCTCTCTCGCATGTCTTGTTTCGTGAGCTCTTGATCGGCGCCGCGGACCTTCCAGCCATCACGTGATTCGATCTCGGGAACCTGCAATACACCGCCCACATAGACTGAAGTCTTTGTCGGCTCATAGAAACTCGAGAGCATCATTCCACGACGTGCAAAGTTAATCGCTGTCTTGTTGAAGTGCAGTTGGCTAGCATCCTGAATCTTGGGGTTGTCCTTATTGAGAGGTGCGAAGCCAAATGCATTTGCAATGCCGGAGTAGATCTCCTTGCGCTCGGGCTCGACATGCTTTAGGCGTGCGACACTGTGGATACCATCACAGCCTACTAGCATGTCTCCATGAGCGGTTGTTCCGTCCTCGAAGGTCAATGTAACGCCTTTCTCCTCGTCCTCTTCGATCTTTGTGGTCTTCATTCCGCAGGTGAACTCGACGTTCGGACACTTTTCGACGGCCTCGACAAGGGCTTTCATGACGTCTGCGCGAGTCACTCGTAGAGCNCTGTATATTGCATTAGCATGTACATCAAGCATATTCAAATGATAACGTACTTTGTATGGTGGGTCTCCGAGACCTTTACCCTCAGGTCCTCTGAAGCTTGACTCTCCCAACTGGACCGGCTGGTATACGCTAAACACCTCGATACAATCGATCTCCAAGCCATATTCGTTTTGTCGCATAATCGGCAGCACGTCCAGGCGGTCGAGCAATCTGAGCGCATTGGGTGTGAGATTGACTGCTCCACCGATGACACCAGGTTTTGGTCGAATCTCGAAGACTCTGATCTTTGGCGGTGCTGATGCCGGTGAGAACTTGGCTAGGGCCATGGCAGCCGTAAGACCNTAGAATTCTGTAAGCATCGTGAGGCTGTCGAAGCCGAATTGGAACTGACCTGCCACGCCTCCACCCAGAATCAAGATCTCAAGAGGCGTTTTGGTCGAGAGGGACATGATCGATGCTAGATAGAGGGAAGGGACGATGCGGGCGTCTTGGCTCATGGGCTATATGCATTCCTCGTTGCTGCCTCGTCAGCACGATACAAGGCACATTGATTGCTCCTGTCTGCAGATCTCGGAAAGTTGTCCCGCATATATGCATTCGATCAGTGCGCCATCTACCTTGACCCGACCGAGACTCCGGTCACAAATTCACGGTATCGAATCCTGATTCCTCAGACTACATCGAGGACATCTTGATGTGATCTCGGCCGCTTGACCGCGCTGAGCGAGTGTCGCTACACGACAATGAACGCACTCTGTATGTATCCTCACATCGCTCACTATCACCGATCCAAGCATGAGGGATGAATCGAGATGAGGTTGGTGAAGTACAAGTATCTTTCCCGAAGATCGTCTTTGCATTTTTCGGAGGTTTGTTCGGCAAACGCCATGGTTGGTCGACGGGCGGACTTCGCGACGGTGCTGGTAGATAAACCCCTGCCTCGCGAGCGCCCGCTTGCTTTCCACTCAACAGTGAGCACAGGTGACTGCGGTTCGATACACGATCTAGAGTGTTGGACAGAGTCGTTGGTATTCTTTCGCGAGGCTGATACTTCCTAGTTTCATACTCATCTTGATCAAATTCGAATTCTGAGTAGCGAAATACGGCTGCGGACAAATGTATGGGGGCTCCAATACTCGAGCATCCATGTCCATCAAGGTTCTGTCCGGGAGACTTTCTCAATGCTTGTCACGGCTCGATACTATTTCCAGAGTTCCATACTCAAACCCTTACAAGACGCAAGGAACGACTGCCCTTGTGACCGCTGATCATGGATCGAAGCTTTGTGACTTTGGTATACATCCATGCAGCTGACTTACAGATCGATGTCCCCCTCCTCCGAAGTGCTTGTTCCCTGGCCAGGAAGCGGAGCGGAACTCAACAAACCCATGGAAAGATTTGAGCTCCCATGGATGGAACGGCAGCTACAGGAGTCACATCGATGATCCTTGTGGGGTCTAATGATGCAGACCAAAATTGAATCTCTACAAGTATATTAAGTAATTAGCATCCCGCCTCGTCTTGCTCTTATCTGAACGTATCAGAGTACTTCTTTCAGAGCATCGTAAGACTACTATCGACATCAATATGCGTATCCTTCTCCTTGCAGCATTGGCGGTTCTCACCGCAGCCCATTCTCCTTTTGATAATCCTGGTTGGCTATCGCAACCTGCTTGGCCGTCGCAGCCTCACCCTACGGAACCTGCTCCCCCATCTGCTGTTCAAGACGTCGCATGCATCTCAGCTCCAGATGCGTCCCTGATCGCCACAAGTTTCGGCTTGACCATTTCCAACTACACCGAGGCTCTCGCAGTGCAGCTTTTCACCAACAACTTCACCGATCAGTCAGACAGTGTCAACACACTGATTCACGAGCCAGGCTTGCAAGCCAAAGATGTAAGCAAGAAACAGCATATATCCATCTTGTATCGACACTAATTATGTTTCTCAAAGCTCGGCTCTTTGACCTTCACATCAAAGGCAGAATTTCTCGCCGGTCAGGGAGCACAACCACCTGTCCCTTTCAAGATCTTGAATCTCTGGAACACATGCAACACTGTCATCATTCGCTGGCTTTCTGCTCAGACTTTACCTGTGCAAGGCATTAGTATTGCTGCCGTTGTACCTGCAGTCGAAGGACAAGGTGGCGGCTTCGGCGTGGGTACTCAGAAATGGCAGATCTCTGCTATCGTTGCAGAATTCAACTCTGGAGCTTGGTTGGGCAATCTTGGGTACCCGGAGTGTAAGGTTGTAGCCAATGCTACGGCCTCCTGAGTTGTGGACCAGACATCAGCCTTTGATGGCAGGACGAAGGCAACATCGTGTTCAATGTGATGCTCGTACTTCACTGGAAATGCCTTGCAAGAAACGTTCATCAAGACCGATATATACCTAGGCTAGGTGACTACTGGAATAGAGCCCACGACTATACTCATCACTTACCAATCTCCATCGTTGCCAGTAGTACCATCAGAAAGACGCACACTCAAAGCTTTGTGTTGCTGTTGACTTGCGATACTTCCACGTGCTGTGTCTTCTCGCCTTCGAAGTCTTTGGTTGGCGGTACATCGTGACCGCCTTCCTCATCGTCCATTTTCTTAGCCTGCTCGGTGACGCCGAAGAGGTCATCCATTCTCTCAAGTGACAATCCTTTGGTCTCCGGGATGCTGTTCAGGGAAAGCAAATGTCAGCGAACTTGATCTTTAGTGAACCTGATGAGGTGTCATAAAGCTTACAAGAACCAGGCAAACAAGAAGCTAAGGAAACAGGCTGCAGAGAAGAATAGAAAAGTGCCGTAGCCTGCTTTTCCCATTGTGGCTAGCATGTTAGGGACTGCACGAGCCACAATCAGGTTGAACAGNCTGGGTTGTCTTGTCAGCTTTGTATCTGATTGAGAATAGGAATAACATGCCCATTGAGTTGCAGCTCCCAGAGCAACATTGACACCACGCAACCTAGCAGTAGGAATCTCTGAGATGTAGATCCACGGGACCGGTCCCCATCCAGCTTGAAAAAAGCCCGCGAAAAGGTAGATACAGACAAGTGCCATGTATCCTGCTCCAGGAATAGCGGCACCTTTGACCGGAGGCTTGATGCGGACGTATAGACCGACGTAGAGCATGGCACAGCCCATAGCGATGGACGTCCACAGCAAAGATCTACGACGACCAAGAGAATCGGCGGCGAAAAGCAGGAAACAGGCGCACATGGTCATTTTGACNCTAGATACATCGATCAGTTTCATTCTTGTGCCACCCGATATGATACTCACGACACCATAGATTCCAGTTGCAAACAATCCAGCATCTGTACTAGACAATCCCAAGTTTTGGAAGATCTGTGGAGAACTGCATATGAGGTTGTAGATTAGCTCGGGTCAATGTACAGAGAGTCGTTTGCCGAATCTTCAACAATGATGTGTACTTACTAGNTAATTGATTGCATTGGTGCCGGTCATCTGCTGAGTTATCATAAGCCAAATGGTGATGATAGCTCTCTTTCTGTTTCCAGGGATAGTCCACATCTCTCTCATCAAATCCATGAAAGAGGCACCACCTATCAAGGCCCTCTCATGATCGAGTTGCTCCTGCATCTCACGAAGTTCCATCTGGACATATGGGTGGGAAGAAGGAAGTGCTCTGACATTCGATAGGACTGCAGAAGCTTCGTCCCAGCGGTCTTTGCGTGCTAGCCATCTTGGTGACTCCTTGCAGTAAAACATCGAGCCAAAGAGTAAGATGGCTGGCAGAGCTTGCATGGTCAGGGGTACAATGTATGTTGTCGCTCCGGGCAAGTGTCTGTTGGCGCCATAGTTGATCAACAGAAATCGTCAGCACTTTGAGTCCGAGAGCAGGAAGGATGATCGACTTACCCAAAAGGCGAGCATGGTACCAGTCGCGATGAAGAGTTGATAGATACCGGTAAGACCACCACGAATGGCTCGAGGTGCGTTCTCCGAGATGTACAGAGGAGTGACCATCGATGCTTTGCCAACTCCAAATCCAGCAATCAGGCGACCGACATACATCATAGCGATGTGACCATTAGCAGCTGCTTGGAAGATGCAGCCAATTGTGACGACCACGGCGGCAATAAGAAGAGCCATGCGTCTACCCAATCGATCGGCAACATATGAGGCAATGAGAGCGCCTGCAAAACAGCCACATTGCAAGGTGGACACGATGTTCGCTTGGAGATCGGCTCTCTGAATAGGTGAAAGACCATCCAGGCCGTATTTGNNCTACATGCTATGTTAGCGCTCCGGCAGCTCTTTGTCGTTAACATAACTGTATTCTTACGTCTTGAATGCAGGAAGGGTGAGAACGCCCCCGATAATTCCAGAGTCAACGCCAAACAACATGCCTCCGAAACATGCNCTAACACTCTCAGTCACAGTTCACCATACAGAGATGTCATAAATGCTTACTGAGAAAGCTAAAAAATAAACTTTCCATCCATAGATCTCGGGGGGATCCTCCTTCATCGCATCATTCTTGACGATCTTCTGGAGAAACCCCATACTGAGAGTCGTGAAGAATAAGTTCGGGGCTGACTCAAAATGCCGACCGATAGATTGAGCAGGAACCAAATTCTCGATGGTCGGACATGCTCTAATATATCAGTCGCCAGCATATCCTTGGAAGTGTGTACATCGCCGCATCCCAATCATTCGTGGACATTGACGATGATACTTGGCCCGTCTGGGCGGTTCTGGGCAGTCATAACTCCAAGACGGAGCTCATGAGCTTTTGCATACAGATCACAGAGAAGGAGGAAGAGCAAGAGTCTGGGGTACGTTAGAGTGCCGTGGGGGAGGCTGTGGTGCGTGTTGCGGAGTGGGGTGATGCTTTGGGAAGTCGCCGACCGGATGAAGCGTCGGCAACGGAAGAGTTCAGGCTAAACTAGATCGTCATCTGTTACTTCCTCATCAGAGGTCTGTATCGGGCAGAGAACAAGCGGGGCGGAGGAATTATTTCTTGGACAATAAAAACAACACACTCCTTAGACCTTTCTGTACATACCAAGTGTTTCTTTCGCCAAAATGTCTACAGCTCAAGCCGCCAGCAAGAATCGCCCTTTCCCGCTGCATCCGTTATCGCAGAATCCATTGGTTACGCGCGACGACTTTGCCGCAGCTTGTGCTTCGCTATTGGATCCTTTGGAAGCAGGATTCAGTCCAGAGAGGGCATTGGTCAGAGTCGGAGGTTCTGGGACAAGATGTGAGTACTATGCAATTCTTCCGGCCATCATGAAGGGCAGCGAGACGGGGTTGCCAAGGTATAAGCATGATACAAAGCCAAGCCAGTGGGAAGGGCTTCTATGTATACATTACCAAGTCGATGTGGCAGTACAGCTTTCCAAGGCTGTAAAATGATTTCCCGCCCTCCGTGTCGTCTCTTCGGAACAACTTTTGCTCTACAGAATAGCTGACTTTGTGATGCAGTCGATGAGACAGCAGCTCAGATTGAAGGATTTGCTCGCCCACTATGGGGTCTCGCACCACTGCTTGCTGGAGGATCATACAGCAAATCAGAACTCTGGGTGAAGGGTATGATCGCTGGTACGGATCCCGAAAGCCCTGAATTCTGGGNNGGCAACATGGAAGACCTGGACCAGCGTATGGTCGAATCATGCCCTATCGGATACACTCTCGCTATTGCCAACAAAGATTTCTGGGACCCTTTGACCGGTAAACAGAAAGAAAATGTTGCGAATTGGCTGGGAAGCATGAACGACAAGGAGATGCCAAACACGAATTGGTGAATAGCATATGTCCTTGAACGCGAACCCGAAACTGACGAGAACAGGTTGTGGTTCAGAGTATTCGCTAACCTTGGCTTGAAAGCCAACGGAGCTCCATACTCGGAATCTCGCCTTGAGGCCGATATGGACCATCTAGACACATTCCACCGAGGTGATGGCTGGTCAAATGATGGTCCAGCAGGCTACACCNAGATGGACTATTACTCTGGTTCATTCGCCATCCAATATCTTCAGCTGCTTTATGCCAAGCTTGCAGGTGACTCTGACCCAAAGAGGGCAGAAGAGTACCGCGACAGAGCCCGCAAGTATGCTCTGGACTTCGCACATTACATGGATCCTGAAGGTCATGCTATCCCATTCGGACGAAGTTTGACATATCGCTTTGCAACTGTAGGCTTCTGGTCCGCCGTAGCTTTTGCAGAAGTTGAACTGCCTGCTCCGCTGTCGTGGGGCGTGGTCAAAGGCATGCTTTTGCGTAACTTGCGATGGTGGTCCAAGCATCCAGATATCTTCCAGCCGAACGGTATGCTGAACATTGGTTACACATACCCAAACTACTACCTGGCCGAGAACTACAACTCTCCTGGTTCGCCGTACTGGTGTATGCTGGCTTTTGCTCCTCTAGCACTACCGAAAGAGCATTCATTCTGGACCTCGAGGGAAGAGCCGCATCCCTTCAAGTCGACGACTCCTTCGCTTCCGGAAATCAAGGCCCTGAAGTATCCCTTACACATTATGGTGCATAAGGCTGGACACACGTTTTTGCTCTCCTCAGGCCAAAAGTGCCACTATCCCCTCAAGTCTACCCAAGCCAAGTATGGACATTTCGCATACAGTGCTTCTTTCGGCTACAGTGTGCCAACAGGTGGCTACACCATTGAGCAGTACGTTCCAGAATCTGCCTTGGCTCTGAGTGATGATGGAGGCGAGATATGGAAGATGCGCCGGGACGTCGAGAATGCCGAGTTGAACACCAAGGATGGTTCGCCATACTTGTACTCGGAGATGAGGCCTTGGTCAGATGTCAAGGTCTGTACTTGGTTGCTCCCTCCTACTGACGAGGCACCTTCGTGGCATCTGCGTGTGCACCACATAAAATCGGGTAGAGGTCTACAGAGTTACGAGGGCGCATTTGCTATCAAAGGCACGGCGAAGAGTACTGGACGTGCGCTGGGCGTCTTGTCCTCTTCATCACCAAACGAAGGTATTGTGGCCAGCCAAGCATCCGCCTTGACAGTGTCAGAGGCTGGTGCTGTTGGTATTGTTGACTTGAAAGCACCAAGATTCGGCAAGGTGCTCGAGGTCGATGCCAACTCCAATCTGATTGAAGCCAGGACTGTGCTTCCTTCGCTGGGTATGGACATTGAGCCTGGCAAGGTTGTGTACTTGGTCACAGCTGTTTTCGCTATGCCGGCTTCCGAAGGTTGGACAGAGAAATGGCGTCAAGCATGGGAGAAGAAGCCAGTGCTTCCTAGTTGGTTGGAAGACGCTATGAAATAGAAGAAGACATAGACTAGCATGGCACATTCGGAACAAGTTCAATCAGCCTCAAGTAAGGAACCACTCGATGTCGAGCCACTTTCCTCTTCTACTTCCAACTCGCTTCCATGCTCGGATCAAGGTTCCAGGAACATATACCGCAGATCCTGACGTAAAGGCGCGATGGAAGTATGACGATGATGTCGCGAGTATAGCCTTATGCGCGAAGACCTTGCGATTGCTGAATTTCACTGTTATGTCCGAGTACGATCGGACGTTGTATAGACATGTGACTCTCTTCCTTGGATTGACCAGTAAGACAGCTCTGTCGTCCAAAGAGGAAGTCCGGGAGGCAATCTCTAAGCATACCTCTTTCACGGCACACTCGGCCCGACCACTGTTACAGTAGTCTCAGGCATGCTGATGGTTCACGTATGATGACCCTACCTCAGTGATCAATAGCCATAACTAGATTGAGCGTATGAGTGCAGAGTATCACGAAAGCAGTTGATCAAATATGATAACCAGAAGTTCATATGTGATGAACAGGACTGGGATGTGATGAAAGAGGGGTCAGACGATGTGGGCGAAGGCGGTGAGGCATTCTGCCGTGACGCGTTCGGAAGGAAGTCGCGTCTATCGTTCTTGCGATAACTACAACACGCGGAGCTCCTCGACCCATCGAAGAGAGCAAGGACCACGAACTCATCGCTCCTAACACGAGTCGTTTCGCAGAGGAACCAGTCATGCTGTTGATCAATTCTGTCCTACCGATCATCTGCATCTTCCCGTAGCCATGCAAGAACCCCGTGTCCGACACCGTGGTCGTCCCTTCCCACTCCGTTTGCCAACATCGTGTTCCTGAAAAATTCCCTCGCGCATCAAAAAACCGCTCTTGAAATGCTGTTTCTTTCTCGCGTGAAAGTGTGTGCCGCTTGGTTGGAGACTTTCTGTAAACCGCCGCCGACTTTTACAAAGCTATCACCACAACAAAGCTTTGTCATCGCCTGATCAACCACCATAGCTGTCAACAATCATACATCTGTGGTGTGAACGATACTCACCTCTCATCGTCTGGCCTCATCGATACTCGTCCGCGTCAAATCTCTGTGTCTACCACAGTTGTTTTCAATCGAGCTCCGTTTGCAAACATTGTTTGCCCGAAGCACTCAGAGAAGCAATGTCTCTGCTCGAGAATGACTCTGGAGACGATGGCGAAGTCCGTCACAAACGCTTCGACTACCCTGCACCTTCTCTCGCCGGTATCATCGACTTCTGCGCCAAAGATGGTGTCACTGATGTACAGGCAGCCATCTTGCTCAACCAGACGCCTCAAGAGATCTACCAAATGAAGAAGCATATTCGATGCTACTTGCGCGCACCCTGTCCCTGGCCCGCTCCCGATGAGCTCACCAACGATGACGGCAGGACCTTATGTCGCAAGGACGAACACCCTCTTGGCTGGATGATGCCTGCGGGGAAGCAGGGAGAACTGTTCAGACATCTGGTTATTCCTCCCGTCGCCAAGCTGTATCCCGACCTGTTCGCCGAGCCCGATCTTGAGACCCAGATACGCCAGGACCAGCCAAACACATACGGTAGATTCAAGTGCGCACCCTTCGTCGTGTGTAAAGAAGTCTTGATCAGGATGATCGAGAGTTGCGCCCAAGAGATGAGAACTATACCATGGTAAGCAGAGTCCTTCTCGTCATCTCCTCGTTACACAGCGTCCCGTGGTGGTGCATGGTTATAAGTTGGCAATCCAAACGCGACCAGGAGATCGATCAAACCACGATTCTCAGTGGATACTACCCCCTTTCCGAATAAACAGTGCTTTCAATCGTCAAACAGAAGACGGAACTTCGCATACCAAGAGACAATCAACCATGTACTGACCACGCTTTTGCAGTCTGAGAGTTGTCGAGACCGAGTCTCAGCACTTCTCACCACGTCCACAGCTCAAACGCTGTCGTCTCGAAGGTTTTGAGACAGAGGATACTGAAGAGCAGCCGGACTTGAAGAAACAGAAGGTCAAAGCCTTCGACTTCACACCTGTCAAAGCCGTTGTGATGCCTCCAGACCTTCCCAGAGTGTTGAAAGGCGAGATCGCTGCTTCCGAACATGAGACGCCTAGGCCAGCCAAGGAGGACAGTGGTAGGGGTCAGACTGTCACAGAACTCATTGCAGAGGAAAGGGCGCTCCGGGATCGGCTGCGAAACGCACCTACCTCACCAGCTAGTTCGACGAAGAAAAGACAGGATTCGACAACGTCATACAGCTCGAGCGAGCATACTCCGACTCGCGCTCGTACGAACGACCTCGACCGCCCCATTGTCGAACGTAGAAGACTTCATATCCGCGACATGGTTACTTGGACAAAGAAAAGAGACGTGGTACGTACTAAGTTCGAGTCATATCACACATCCAGAGTGCTACTAGGAGAATCGGAGGCCTCAACCGAGAACCTATCTCTCTGATAGCAACAATAATCCTTGACTACCCATTTGCAAACAATCCAGAAGCACTTTGCATCAACACCTTGCAAATATTGATGGTCCGTCCTATTTTGCATTTGAACCAAGTTAACTGAGCTTCCAAAACAGGCAGATTTCTTCGAAGGCTACCACGTCGGCGCCATCATTATTAGCATACCCGCCATCAAGAGTAAATCTGGGTTTGCCGACTTCAGCACCCACGAACATGCAAAGAGGGCCATGAACGACTTGAACCATACACCTTTGCTTGGTCGTGTGGCTGACATCGAATTTGCACAGTCTTCTATCCCACTTGAGAAAGAAGAGAAGCACCCGCTGTCTGCCAAGTCGAACACCAGAAGGCCTTCATTCCGCAGAAGGCAGCAGAATCTCGAGACTCAGCTGAGACGTTGATATGATTGAACATCGGTACGGCTAGGACTCGTTCACATGGTACCTCACGCTATCACGAGGTTATGCAAGGTACGAACAACAGTCAGATAGGGTCGTTGTGCAAGTATTGAGGAATGTGGAATGGCGAGGGCAGCGTAACGGCAGAGATGATTCTTGTTCAATTTCGAGTCAGCCGTTGGCAGGAAGATGACGCTGGGCTGGAACACGATATTGAGGGATATCGAGTTATGTTGTACCGTTAGGACCATGCTAGAAACTGAGTATTTCTGTGTAGCGCCGCTGCGTAGACTATCATTGTCTTTTGCATCCAGGGAGGCAATATCAAGTGCAGGCAGATTGGGTCATGTTTGAACTTCCAGAGTTGCCAACATACCTAGAGTATGATTGTTGATAACATGAAGCCTTTAGTGGCCAAACGTACTCAACATTGCAAGATGTGTAGATGCACAAGACATATACAAAACACCAAGCGATTCGCATAGATCCTGACCGTGACAAAAGGCATAGATTAGATGTCATTCAAGTAAATTGACGTGCTTTTATATAAGATCCGAGTATCCATCAAGTTCTTACAGAGCCTTGACGCTGTTAAGAACAGGGTACTTGGACTGGAGAGGGTCGTAGACAGACTGGCAGCGGCCATTGTAGTCAGCAGTGCTGCCGATCTCGATGGTGAGCTCGTCGCCAGGAACACCGAGCTTAGCGACTGTGCCGCACTTGGGCTTGACCTTCTCCCAGCCGGGTCCGGCGGCGGGGTTCTTGATCCACTTGACGAACCAGTCGTTCATGGAGTCGGCGAGGGCTTGTTGGGCAGCAGTGACGTTGGTGAGGGCACTGAAGCATTCTTTCCCGCCCAGGAAGACTNNGTTTGATATGTTAAAGAAATGCAGTAAAGTAAGCTTATTGAGTATAAACTTACAAGGAATCTCAGTGCCGTGAGTGGGGGCACCAACGATACAGCCAACAACATTACAGTATTCACCGAAGAAGCGGTAGGCCCAGGTGTTCTGCTTTGTGCTACGAAGGTCAAGGAGGTAGTCGACAGGGCAGAAGAAGCGAGCATCACCGTACTGAGCACCACTCATGGCTGAGACAGAGGCGTACTCGGAAACATTGTAAGCATCGATGAGCTTCTGGTCAGGGATGTGTGCAACATCAGCGTCGAAAGTGTTGATCCAAGAGCTGAAGTCGGTGTTCTCGCCGCCGTACACCAGACCGAAGATGACGCCCTCGCCGTCGGAGTTACCGGTCAAGAGAGGAACGTGAGAGGCGTACTTGCCAGCAGCGAAGCGGCCAGCGTAGTCAGAGAAACGAGTCTTCTCGTCAATGATGGGCGAGAACCAGGTGTTGTAAGTGCTGTTAAAGTTGGCGGTCTCAATGTCGTAGATGCTCTTGGTGCGAAGGCAGTCAATTTGACCAGCACCTTTACCGCAACCAACCTCAGCAGCGACGATATCAAGACCCTGGTTGAGGGGAGTGACAGCAGGACCAGACTCAGCGTTGGCACTCATTTCGACAGCACCGACGAGCCATGACTGGGGATTGTTCCAGAGGTAGTGGTCAACCTGAACGGAGCCGGAAGAGTGACCACCAAACACGACATGGTTGGGGTTACCACCAAAGGCAGCAATGTTGTCGTGGACCCATTGCAGAGCTTGCTGGACATCAAGGATACCGAAGTTTTGCGAACCGTCCTTGCCCAATTCAGCCGAGTTGGGGTAAGCGAAAATGCTCTCTCTGGTGTTGAAGCTGACGAAGATGACGTCCTTGCGGGCAAAGTTGTTACCCTGGAACTGAACATTGCTGCTGGAGCCAGTGACCATAGCACCTCCGTACATGTACACAAAGACNCTGTTCGAGGTTAGCCAAGCTTGTTCTCCATAAATATCACTTGTTTCTTGGAAAGTGTTGTGCATTTCATGGCCACATCACAAACATCACTAACATCTAGGAATGAGAGGGCAAGGACTTACGGGAAGGCTTTTGCCATTGGAATCGGCGGGGGCCCAGACATTGAGGTTCAAGCAGTCCTCATCTTGACGGCTGTAGGGAGTGTTGCTGATTGCCTGAGGGCAAGTTGGGCCATAGGCAGTAGCGTTGACTACCTGTCCGGGCATAAGCTTCTTCTTGGGGATAGGTGCCTTCCATCTNAAAATACTTGAGTCAGTCATGTCTTCCAGGGCGAGGTATAATGTGCTACAAGCGAGCCGTTACGGCCGTTGTGCCATGCTGTTAACACACCTGTTCTGTCCACCGGTCGTTTCGGCAAAAGGAATGCCCAAGAAAACCGAGTTTCCGCTGGCGTCTGCGAAACCCTTGACAGTACCTCCTTGGAGCTTGACAGCGTGAGCATCTGCNAGCTGACCCTGCGGGCGGCGCCGGTGGCGGAGGAGGTCCTCGAGTGTGAGGACCAGGGGGAGCTGGAGGACCCGGGGAGCTGCGTCCCTGCCCACGGCAAAAGCTGTCACGCAGGGAACAGCCAGGGCTGCATTCAATACATAGCTGAGTCTCATCCTCGTTCGATTACGATAGGGTTAAAGGAAGAGTAAGAGAGTTCGAAACGAAACGACAAGGATGAAAGGGTACCTATATAAAGGAGCAAGATCTGCTTTTATGACTTGACGCACCCACACGAGATAGACCATGTCCCTGCCGATCAGTTTTTGCTAATGAAACCACGTGCAGTCTGAGACGAGCCAAAAGTCAGGCAAGGGTCCATGCCGTAGCAGTCCCATCCACTTCTTGCCGACGGGCAGTGCACAGGGTAACATTCGGCAGTCTCGCCCCGATGTGACCTGATCCTCTGTTAGATCCGTCATGTTCTCGCGTCCGGCGTCCTTGTCGAGCCATACGAAGCGCTGTACCCTGTGACCAGTGATTTTCACATAGAGCTGTCAAGGGTATGTCCTTCCCTGAGTCTGGATTGGGGTCCAAGAGTATTGTTTTGACCTGATAATCACTGTGTGGAGCAGCTAGAAAGGAGACTTCTGCCCCGCCGGCAATTCGCTTGGGCTTTCACGGAAGCATGTCGCTACGCATTTCTTGAGCTTTTCGCAAAAATGTCGTCGGATTCGAGTCATGGATCTCGAATTTGCGCCACTCTCCCGCTCGCCGTGCTTTACCGTTGGAGCTAATACGCGATATAGCTTCCGGCACAGGACGGACGACTTTCTAGTTTCCACCGTGGTAGAAAAGTCAGATTCTCGAAACACAAACGGTCAGAGTCGTCTATCGGAGCGAGATGACCGAATCTTCGCGTACCCGGTCGAAAGTCGCCTAGAGACCCGCTGTCGAAGAGTCATGCCTATACCAAGGCAATCTGTCTTATAGCCTCCTAGACTGCCATTGGTGCACCAAAGGCATTGCTCCATGTGGCGTTGTGATAGCTCGTCTCACACAAGCACAGCGAACGTTGCTTCTCAAAGTTGGAAAAACGAACGCCTCCCGCTTACATGAAACTCTGTATCTCACACTCAATATTCAAGCATAAACTCTCGCTGTAGGATCCATGATTTGCAGACGTCCATTGGTCGATGAGACAACCAACAACACAAGGTGGCTGGAAACACAAGAGACTCCAGACTTTCTGTCCTTGCCCGTGGAGCCGGCGACAAACCTAAAGTTAAGAGAACGCCATATCATTCGATCGGTCCAGCGAGCGTCGTCTGTGCTGTCTCCATCCGATCCCGCGCTTGCAGAGGAACCACTTTACGGAAATTCGCAATGAATTTGCAAGGGTTTGTGGATGGTCAAGTTTGTATTTCTCTTCCGAGAATCGCGATTCGTCCACGGTGCACGCAGGAACTAGTCTATTCGAGGTCTCATCTGGCGTTTCCATACTCGATAGCTTGTTCGCATGTCTTTGGACCGATCCACATACCAAGAAACGCAGTTGAATAGTCGTACCTTGGCTCATATCGGCTTGCCGCTCGAGATGCGCTTCTGGAAGAAAACGTGGAGACGCTCCTTTTCTTTTACGCCCGTATAGCTTGTTGATCCATCGTGTTCAGCCATGGCGAAATAGCTGTTCACTAGTATGTAGATCGTTAGCCCTGCTGCAAGCCATCATGCAACCGTCATGCGAGAGAAAGACATAAGAAGTGCTGTTCCAGTCTGCTGGTATTCGTCGCTTGCTGTCCATTTTCCTGCTCTATCTGTGGTGGATTTGTTTCTTCTGGACCTGCAGATCATTCATGTAAAAATTGATTGCTTCCAATCTCAATCGCCACCATGCCAGACTCGTCGGTGGGCCAAGTCGTACGTGCTTCTACAGAACCCGGATCTGCGCTGTCGTGAATGCTCATTATTATTTTTTGACAGATCTCGTGGTACATCTGCACGATTATACCATGCTTTTTCTTGTTCCTGCGTTTGTTCAGTCGATGGCAACGCTTTGGTCGACTAGCCTTTGATGACTACTTCCTCATCCTTGCGGCCTCGTGCCTCATCGGCGACTTGGGTATTCAGCAGCACATGTGGAATCTCGGACTGGGAGACATGTCCAAGGCGACCCCAGAGCAATTTATCGGCATCATGAAAATGATTGTCCCTGGATCGATCCTCTACGTCTCCTCTCTGTGGTCCATCAAATTCGCCCTGGTCATCTTCTACAAGAAGCTCGCTGCACCAGGATCCAAGATGCAAGTCGCCTACAATATTGCCCTGGCTGGTCTGGCTGTCACATACACGACAATCTTCTTCGATATCCTGTTCCAATGCTACCCTTACGACAAGCGATGGTCCCATGACCCCACCTATCAGTGCAGTCCAAAGGCTTCGAGAATCAATTACTGGATCACAATCCTGTTCAACATCTTTTCTGATCTGATCATCATCTGTTTGCCAATCACTATGGTCATGNAAGCTGCAGATGAAGCTCAAGCAGAGATTGGCTGTTGCATTCATCTTTGCACTGGGTGGCTTTGTTCTGATTGCCAGCAGTAAGTCTTCTCCATCTCCAGCAACCCTAAACATGCAAGTACTAACCATCACAAAGTCGTCCGAGCCATCTACTCCTGGCAAAACAAGACAATGCTAACCTGCACCGTCTCCATGGTGGAAAACGGCGTCGCCATCATCGGCGCCTGTCTCCCAGCTCTCCGCGCCATCTTCCTGGGCTCGCAATCCACAAACGGCAACAGCAGTTATGCAAAGCACTACGAACTCTCTTCCCACCAACGAAGAAATCCTCAGGGTCGAAACACTACAAATTTTACCGTTTCGACGACTAGGGGAGGCAGAAGCCATTCGGTGGATTCGGACGAGGAACTTGTGAGGAATATGCAGGCGCATGGTCAAGCACAGCCTTATGTCTTTGCGCAATCGAGCATGTCGGATGACAAGGACAACAAGGTTGGTGGCATCATGGTCGCCACAACAGTTGATGTCGACCACAAGGATCAGGAGAGTGTAAACTCATTGCACAGTCCTTTTGGTGTTCACGATGTCTAAGCATTTTCTTTGTCCACCAGAATACTATTCCATCGCAAAGAACTAATGACGAATCTGATAAGATTGCTGGCATCCGATTGAAATGATCAAGTAGTCCACGACATCCACTGCTCCGTCTCGAAACTCTGGTCGGTGAAGAATAAAAAGTCTTCCGGCACCTCCATCGAGTAAGACACGGTATTCAGAAATTCAGGGCCCATATAGGTTCCCCCTGCAATATCGGTGGAATAGCCGCCCGGTGGATCCGAATGGATCTCGTGTCGCAGGGCACCAGGAGATTGCATTGACTGGTGTTGCTGATTGCGCCGACCAGACTTGCGAGATACGTGGATCCTCCCAATCAGAGGAAGTAGCAGACTGGCCTTTTGTGGCTCGGCCGAGTCTGGCTGTTCGAGCAGACACCGCAGGCTCTTGATGGCTTCCACTCCATGCGAAGCAGACTGGCTACCGGTACGGCTGGAAGCTCGTTGCATGGCTTGTACAGCCTCATCCACCAGAGAGTGGGTCTGCTGAGCATTCGTGATGTGCCGAGAAGCCATAGTGGAGGGAGCCGCTGCGGATTTATTTGCGGTTAGCAATAGAAACACAATGGCCGAAAACGCCTGCAAGTCGACGATATAATTCGCAAAGAAACCTGTGGGCAAAAGTGGTCGCAGTGAAACATAACGCCTGAGATGGACTTGGCATGCGCTCAAACAAGAAATGAAGTTGTAAAGAAATCTCTGATCATTATCGTATGCAAGTGCCAGTCGGAGATGAGTACGAATGATCAAGTACGAGTGCCAATATTGGAAGAGTGACCCTGGAGACAGCGATGATGAGGAGTCCTTCCACCATGATCTTGCTGGAGTATTGGCCACGACTTGCAATTCTTGATCCGTGGACATGACGATACTGAGCAGATCCGATGCGGACTTGTCCTGGATGTACACTTCATCAAGCTCGAGAACCTTGCTGGCGATATTGGCGAGTCTGTGGAGAAAGGCTTGTAGAATCACCACGCCTTGAGTGTCGACGATTGGTCGCACTGGCAGCGGAAAGCTGATGGTGGCTATAGGCAAAGACCACATCATCGAAATCACTCGATCCACTGCACAGATGGACTCCCAAACCTCGGCTTTCTCTCTCTGCTCGGTGTATACATTGTCGAAGGATGGTTCAGACTCGACATGGCCTGGTCGAGACTGCAGCTCTGCATCGCGTTGGAGTGTCGTTGCTGCTCTTGGCAGGCCGATGAGTTCCGCAACGGCAATGACTCGTCGAAGAGTGAGCCATGTTTTTCTCACCCTTGCTCGGCCGAGCTGNACTGTTTCGAAAGACACGATTTAATATTCGTCATTGAAGTGGAGGGCCGAGACCAGAGAGAGAGTTGAAAGCACTTACAGCCGTATGAACAGGAGGGCACTCCGGATTCCTTCCAGATCTGCAATCAGATCATCATTCGAGACCACAATCTTCTCCACCAGGTTGGAAACGTCCTTGATGAAAGTAGCCGAGTCAGGAATGCTTCGCAACATACTCGTTGCATCTTGAGCTTGCTGCACAGTCAACGTCACAGCTAGTAAAAGAGAGGCAATCGGCACTGGATGCATCTCGAATCGTTTAACTCTGTCGTAGTTCTCAAGCATCACTGGACCAGCACCCATGGCAAGGTTCAAAGAGAACAAAACTTTATACCATGACAGCCAGGACTCGGCGTTTGCTGCGATGGTAACCATGTCTTCACGCGAAGGCAACATCTCTAGCAGAGCGGCCGACTCCTTGGACATGGTGGAGGTCGACAAGCGATTGGATGGCGTGGTAGTTTCATGTCCATTCGAGTCCAGCAGGTCGTTGTCGAAGAGACTAAGAAGGTGTGTCGGCGGATTGGCTGGTGAAGAGGGGCTGGAGGTACCAGGACTTTGTTCATGGTCAAGACAAGTAATGGTATGTCTATTGTCGGAATGTGACGCTTGGCCTGGTGTTACGACCGGAGGGTTCTGGCCGATGGCGTTCCATAAGTCGGTCACTGACTTCTCCAAAGCATCGATGCGAGCGCGAGAAGTCAGCTTGGCCGTCTCAGAAGTCTGTATAACCTCGAGCTGTAATTCACACGTTCTTTTGCGAGTGACACAGCTTTGGCAGACTTGAGCATTGTCGGACGGCCAGATGCACCGGATCTTGCGATGTCGGCATTCTTGACAGCTCCTTGTCCCTTTACGGATGCGTTTTGCAGGTGGTTCTTCCGACATGGTGGACATACGCCGCAACAACAGATCAGAACGCGCCCGAGCAAAAGCTCAGCGACGATAGCTTTTCTCGGACGGCGGACGAGTTGTAGTCCGCTTGCAGGATTGAGTGGCTTGAGAACCCCGCACAACTTTTTCTCCGCCTCCGTGTGAGACTGTTGCTCCGTCTATCATCCCTCATACACTTTGCTGTAACGATATACAGTTGTCTCATATTGCATCTTGCGGAGGGTGACTCATGGACAGCGAGCCTCTCATACGTGCTCAACGAAGAGCCTTAACGCGAATGGATGCAGAATCTCGCAGTTTTGATGTGTCCTCTGGGTCAAAGCTACTCGTACGAGCGAGAGAAACCGTTGTCTTGGACTTCGTCCGAAACGGATCCGACTTCGTCTCCTTTCGCAACAAGTAAACAAAATCCGCCCATGTTCACTATCGTATATAGCTTTTGCGCCGGGAGCACAAGATGGCCAGAATCATCACTTTGAGTTGTACGGGCCATCAAGCAAACACTCCACTTTTCCAACTTGGACGGCACTCGTCTAGCACATCGACAGTCCATTCAACTACCATCCACAACTAAACGATCATCAACCATGTCTTCTTCCTACCAAGCTCAAGCTGTACAACATGGTGTATGCACTCAACTGCACATGTTATCAATAGCGCGCGCTAACAAACTTGTAGCCCCCTTACGCACCCACCACAGCCGCCGTCGGAGGTCGACCAACCATCGACACAGACATCCCAGCAATCTCCGTCTTCCTGCTACTCTACATCGGCGGCGCAGTATGCAACATGACCATCTTCCAGATGAACAGACGCAAGGGCCACAAGTTCCTGGCCTCGTGGGCAATGTTTGGTTTCTGCATGGCTCGTATCGTGAGCTGCATCTTGCGAATTGCATGGACGACAAGAATCCACAACGCCCGTCTCGCCATCGCCGCATCAATCTTCCTCAACCTCGGCGTCATGGTCGTCTATGCCGTCGTCCTTGTCCTGGCGAATCGCATCCTCCGAGCGACTCAGCCACGACTAGGCTGGAACCCTACACTGAGAAAAGCAATCAAGATCTCATACATCGGCATCGTTGCCGTCGTCGTCCTTCTTCTCAGCTTCATCATCGCATCAGTCGAAACACTAGACCAAAACGTCAGAACAGCATCCCTCTGGATTCAACGTGCATCAAACCTCTACCTTCTGCTACTCAACTGCATCGCACCCGTCTTCCTCATCCTCTCCTGCCTCTTGCCAACAGACCCAGAAAGCGAGAACTTCGGCTCCGGAAGCATGCGCTCCAAGAAGATTGTCCTTGGAGTAGCCAGCTTTTTCTGCCTCTTCATCTCCGGTTTCCGCTGTGGCACAATCTGGGCGGCACCGAGACCAGCCTCAGACCCTGCATGGTATGACCACAGGGCTCTGTTCTACATCGTCCTGCTAGGCTTTGAGGTTGTGGTGATTTATCTCTTCATCTTCACCAGGTTCGACCGGCTGTTTTGGGTTCCCAATGGTAGCAATGGTGCTGGAGACTACTCCAGAGAACATGAAAAGGTTGACGAGCATGTCACTGACAAGGAGGCGGCCTTCGACTCCGACGTGCAGTCTGTATAAGATCGCTTGACCAGAAGGACAGGATAGACCTTAATAGAATGAATATCATGATTGCTAATACCCGGTTGAGATCGAAGACTTACACTTGTGCAACCTATTGAGCCATGTTTGACGTGCTTGTCCCAATATCTCTGTGGTTGGCATTGCTCCTTCATACTGCCTTCATATCACCCGTCGTCCTCTGAAAGCTTCTGACCATACGAACAGTTTCCAACGGCCACACGACAGGCAAGCTGCGTTCCGAGATCAGCACACTGTGGAGGCTCATGAGAGAAGCTATATCGTGAGATTCGCGGATCAAGTGCCCGCCGTCGATGATCTGGTCAACGATGCTGGCGTTGAAGGTGACGATGGATTGCGAGCGTCCATGGTAGCACGGTCGTTCGACTTTTGCGTGATCGACGTCCGCCAAGACCCCCTTCTTCAACACCTCAAGTCGGAATTCACTCCATGACACTTGTCACTCCATCATCATCTTACAAAGTGATGACGGGAGTGTTTGACTTAATTCATAAGTCCTGGAAGACATTGCGAGCAGCCATCAAAACTTTGCTCGACCTCAATCGCACTTTCGAAGCTCTTGTCGCACGCGTCTATCAAGGCTCGTCCTTGCCATGTCGTGATCCCACCGACTCATACTGGCTTGAGGACCCGCCTTTCCCAGAACTTGTCAATATCCATTCCGAAAAACTTCCCGAGAGAACCGATGTGGTCATTATAGGAAGTGGCATAACTGCTGCCGCCGTAGCACGTAGCTTACTTCAAGAAAGCGAGCGAAAAAAGCAAAACATCACTCTCACCGTCCTAGAAGCCAGAGACATCTGCAGCGGTGCCACCGGACGCAATGGCGGCCATATCAAGGCTTCACCTCACGAAACTTTCGAAAGACTGGAAGCAGGATTTGGAGCAGAAAGAGCGGTAGCACTCACCAGGTTCCAATTGAACCACCTCGAATACTTGACAGACTTTTGCAAGAACAAAGGCTTTACCCAAGCAGAGTGTCGCAAGGTCGAAACTGTGGATCTGTTCTTCGACCAAAAGGCTTTCGATAAAGCTTGTCATACAATAACAAAGCTAGAATCACTTCTTCCAGAATGGCAGGCCATGATATATCAAGCAGCGGAGGCGAGAGAAAAATTCGCGGTCAGCGACCAAGTCGTTGGTGCGAGTTCATACCAGGCAGGGGCTTTGTGGCCGTATCGGTTTGTTACGGCTGTCTGGAACGGGCTTCTACAAGACTATCCACAGCGAATCACAATCGAAACCAATACGCCTGTCCTTTCGATCGATAAGGAAGGTCCTTCCGACTACGCTTATAATGTCTACACCGACAGAGGCGTCATCAGTTGCAAACACGTCGTACACGCTACCAATGCTTGGATGGGTCACCTTCTGCCGAAACTCAACAAGAAAGCAACAGGCATGAGAGCACACATGTCTGCACAAAACCCTGGCCACCACAACTACGAAGGATTCAATGGTGATCGCTCGTGGTCACTGGTCTATGGTCCAGATGACTTTGATTACATGACCCAAAGGCCGTTTTCAGATGGCATCGGTGACATGATGCTCGGCGGAGGAACCTTTCGCTCCAAGAATAATGGTCTTGATCAGATCGGTATATGGGATGACAGTCGCACCGATGTACTTACATCGGCACATCTAGCTGGCATTCTACCTATCGTGTTTTCTCGCGAGAATCAACAAAGAGAGCCTGCAAGACAGGCCAAGTTCTTGCAACAGCACTGGTCCGGTATTCTATCGCTGACCGGAGACGCTCTCCCCTTTGTTGGAAAGCTGAACACTCGCGTCACTGGAAGAAGCTCTGCACAAAACTCTGGGAAAGACTCTAATGACTCGGCTGAGTGGATTTCTGCCGGCTATAACGGTGAAGGTATGGTGTATGCCTGGCTTTGCGCTACCGCACTCGGCATCATGATCATGGGCTCTGAAGATGTAGATATTCCCGCAGCGCCTGGTTTCCCTGGAGGAAGACTATACGAGTGGTTTCCCACAGAGTTTCTGCTCGACGACAAACGCTTCAATCGGATCGATGTGCTAGATCTTGCCGACCAACTGTAACCAAAATCAGTCTCCAACATCTCGACAGTATTGGTACCATAGAACTTGCCACGACAGATCCCAGGGAAAGAGCTGCGGTACACGTGACAATGGTGGAAGACATCAACAGATATCGCAAGCGTGAGCCTGGCGCCGCGCCTCAACACCAGTCACGTCGCCATCTAGCCGTTATAATCTCCTCTGGTTCCTCGACTGCACGACCACCTCCCAAAATTTCTCCATCACACTCGACACCAATCTTCAAAGCTTCACCGACAAAACATTCCCCACAGATGTCGTGTCTAGCTATCCCATGTTGAGTTCATTCGAGCAACGACATACCCGCGCTTAACAGCCCACTGGACAACAATCAAAAAGGCCAGGCCAGACCAGAAAAGTTGCTCCAAGCTAGAGAGTTGTCGGAACGTCCATCGCGTGTGTTTCCAAAGACGAGGTATAGGAGATTGTGAACAAGAAGGATCCAAGGTATAATCGCGATGCTGGCTTTGATGATCCAGTTGAATTGCGTGTTGTTTCTTGAGACTTTCTCCATCTTGTTGGGCCGAGGACAGTAGGCGATGAAGATGTATGGGTGTGGAGGTTTTGTTGCGTTTCCCTACTGCGGAAAGGGGGTACAGAGTGTTTATGTAGCTTTCAACTCGAAGGATGCAGTGGAGACTTGGTATTATCTAATTACTGCCTCGCGCGAAGTAAGGGCCGGCGGATGCCTGATTTTCATATTGGGAGTGATCGATGCGGCGATTCATGGTATAGATACCGCCAAGGATATCAATCAATGGTGCCGCATTCGCTTACGCAACACAAATATTCACCGCCAGAACCATCGAACATACAATGCTTTCTATACACTTGCTTCTACGCGAACTGTTTCAAAACTGCTCAGCTACAAGGACGGTACCACGATACTTCAAAGGTCATCTCTGCTTTTCGAGATCTGGTTCAGCACCCATCATAGCTCACTCCGTTTTCCGTGAAACCTCCTCTCTCTCAATACACTCTTCCAGAATCAATTCGACAGAAGCAAAATGCCGATGTGCTTTTGAAAGAGCGAGATGCATTGAAAATCAAGAAGCAAGTAAACAATGTCCATTCCTTTTTCTTGCTCTTCTTCTTGTTCTCTCCATATATCTTTTGTCTATCTGCAGCAAGAAGGAAAACCATTACACATTAAATTCGCAAAATCAGATGTTCCGAACGCCAAACTGCCCACCGGTTTTGAAAACTTGATGCCAACTCACAAAGCTCGAGGCTTGTACGAGGGCTGTTGCTGAAAGAGCTCTGACAATCCCCAGTCCCTCGGTCTTACCCAATATCGCTTTCGTCAGAGTGCTCATCAGCTTGCGATTTCGATCGTGAGCGGCCAAAAAGAAAGAAAAGATGTGTGGATCAAATTGCCGTAAACAGCTCAAGCACGAGACGGAGCGACGTTGGTGGTCTTGTTCTCCTGAGAAGCCGGCAGCTCGGAATCATCGCCTTCCTCTTCATCATCACTCTCGTCTTCTCCATCAGTCCAGTCCGATTGGTCTCCCTCGTCTTCACTATCTCCAGGATCGGCTGCGTCATCCGACATCCCTTCCAAATCGAATGCTGTCTCGTTATACCCCTGGACATCGCCTTCTGCAAGTCCAAGCGCGATATTGTGCTTGCCGCCACACTTATTCTTATCGTAGCCATTGTTGTTGGGTCTCTCACAACCCACAAAATCGTGTTTACGGCCTTTGCATTCCTTGAATGGATGATGGATCTTCTTGTACTGGTCCGGCCCGAACTTGCCCTCCCAATTGATCTTCTTGTTGCCGCGACAGTGGTTCCCATGGTGCTTTCGGCTGCAGGTACAATAGCTCCACCAGTCCCCGGACTTGTAGAATCCGGTGACGTTGAGGAATTGGAACATGGTCTTGGGATCGTTGTCAGCCCATTTCTCACTCCCAGAATTTCTTGCTTCCAGAGAGGAATCGCGGTTGTGATGTTCTGTCGACCATGGAAGCGCTGCAGCCATGCATGGATAATTTCGATTGTGTCTGGAATTGATGGACGATATGGCCTGGCCTCCAGGAGAATACAGAATGGGAATGTTGAACAATCCATGAGCTCTGCCGCCTGCCTCGATTGACTTCGGGCCATAGAAGCTATCAAGCATGTCTTCCGATTCGGGTGCTCCTTGTTTGGCACTATAACCGTGACGCATGGAGTACACATAAGAGGCACGCACGGCATCTTTCAAAGTAAAGCCGGTAAACGATTTGAGCTCTTTGTGACCGATGGGACCCCGAATCAAGGCCTTGTGATTCGTGCCCTCTCGAACGATGGATTTTGAGAAGGCATAGAAGACGTACTTTGGTGCTTCTTCCAAACAGACACGTAGACCCTTGAATCCTCGCGAGTCGGCTTCGCAGTTTCTGGTATTGGCCATGACGATATAAGTCCTTTCGACGTTCCAGATGCTGGATATATAAGATGCAGCCCATTGTTGTCGAAGAGCCGTGTTGATGTTGGGAGTGTGAACAGAAGTCGAGTTTGTGTATCTACCCTGTTGGATCATGTCGATAAGGCTTTGGTCACCGGCAAACAAGCTCATGAGGTAGCTGTCGAATCTGTCCACTATGCGGTCCTGGTTCATCTTCTGGGAATGCTCAAGCATGCTGGTCGTCTTGGATACGTAATTTTTGGCCTCGATCATGTCCGTTCCAAAGTTCAGAGCAGCTGTACCTGTGGTGCCAAACAGACCTGCTGAAGAACTGATCATTCTGACCTGCTCGACTGTCAAAGTTCCCAAGAGTTTTGCTGGCGCTGCCGTTCCCGCAGCCTCCGCTGCTGCTCCAACAGCCGCTTCAGCGCTTATGATACCAACACCCGCACCAGCACTCAACCAAACACCAATAGCAGAAAGTAGCATGGCGACTGTGGTGATGATATGACTTGCAATCTTCCAGTGCCGATCGTGCTGCGCTTTGTGTTTCTCAATATTGCTACCATCCGAGAATTTTCCCATGATGGTTGCCAGATCGCCGCGTACGCTGAGCCATGCTTCTTGATTAGAATTTCTAATCTCCCAAGCCATATTGTGCAAGTTGGTGACCATCTCAAGAGTCCAGAAAGCGCTCCATTGATCCTCTATGTCTTGTTGATCATCAATGAATCGGCATGTGACGGGCGAGCATTTTGAAGACAGCTTGCAGTTGATTATGGAATCCGCTGCGTCTGGCGCCCATTTGCGATGCAGCCAAGTCCAAAAATGACCTCTTGAGTCGACAGATTTCCATTCGTCGAATTGGGCCTGGGCCCATGGACCGACTATCGAGCTGGCTTGCTCGGCTGTCAACTCGTGGCCCTCATCTTCTATCTTCTTGCAAAGAGGGCTTCTCTCGGCATCATTCTCGGTCAAAGCTAAATGGGCCCATTGAAGAGCAAGGACGAAGACTCGAAGAGCGATGATGTGAGGACGCATGTATGTTCGTGCGGATGGAGGACGCTGTATGAGCGATGGAGAGGTATGATTTGTGTGCGAGAAGGCGAGACGAGAGCGAGAAGGCGAGAGACGATTATCTGCCTTGGTCAGCTCGCGAGTGTTCCAGTGCAGATACGGTGAGAACTGTAAGACGATAGGCAAGATGGACCATTCAGCAATCTAGCCTATCCAGTGCTGCTGATTCGTTCGCAGCTCCTGATTCGCATTTATACAGGGAGAGGACTCCGCAGTGATAGTAAACTTTGTGGGCTACAGATCTTGGACCCGCTCTGTTGATTCAACTATTCTGCATGTCTCACTCGCGGGTAGAATGGACATGAGTACTCATGGAGCAGTCCGACGGGGAATTTTGGTGTACTGATCCTTTCGCAGATTCTGACGCTGACAATAGATGAAGTCCGATCGCTTCCATTCTGGACAGATCCGGACTTGCAATATCTGATGCTATCAAGACGAAAACTGGATGTTCAAAGTTGGCTTCTAAGTTCGCTCCTTCCCATTCCAGTTTGACTTCACGAATATATACTCCACATTGCAAATCTGGCTATAAGCTTCTCTAGACCCTTTGTGTGCACTGGCACAAGCAAGTCGATTGAATGCTTGTCAAGGATAAGCATAAAATAAGCATCTCGGAAGCAGCGCTGGAGCTTGAGGTCATCCTGCTGCGGAAGAGCTAGGGAAACGTATCCCAATCGGGAAGAGTGTCTGCTCGCCTCGCCGCAAGATCCCATCCGTGTGCTAAACTTTGTAAATTCACCCTCCTCCCATAGAAGCATAGAGCGATATTAGCACTTTGGCAAAGCACAAATGTCTTTCGGGCAGAGCAACGGCTGAAGAGAGCCACTTGACCATCGGCTCTTAGTGGTAACTGCCAGTTTCCTGACTTGATTGTGCAGTTCTATAGCCATCTGCGTAATCAACTTTGGCATTCGGGGTTCTTACTGCAAATCGACACCGTATACGATCCAAATCGCATAGTAAGTCATCAGAAGCATGGATTGATAGACCTATTATCGCCCAGAGAGGCTAATGTCGCAGCCTACTAAACATTCGAGCTTTGGGAAACGGACTCAAATCCAACGACACATGTCAAGCACCAACAAAAACTCAATGGAAGTAGCGTTGAAGCATGTATCAATTGACGATGCTTCCATCAACCACGTTGAACATACCAATTATGCACCAACTTCTTCCACCGACTCTCGAATCAAGATTCTTCCAGTTGACTTTCCATCATGTTCTGATGGAACCTCACCTACCCAATCCAGAGCAGATCAAACTCCCTCAAGCCTTTCCGCGCATTGAAAAGCGGAGATGCCGCTGTGGAGCCACGAAAAGGCAAAAGGCATGATGGTACGAGCCATCCAAGGCTTGGAGCCCCAGACGTCGACACACCACGTCTCGAACAGCTGTGTGAGCAGAACAAATCGTGTTTCGGGACCCTAGCTGCAACAAACTGTCAAAGGCATAGGAGTTGATGATGTTTTTCAAAGCCACAACTACAGCACTTACCCTGGTTTCATGCTTCACCCAAAACGGTTGATGAACAGAAATGAACAGAAGAGATATGACAAAGCATAAGAGCATACAACAGCAGCACAGAACCATTCATTTCCCCGTCTGTGCTATCGTCTCCACCACTCCACTTTCCTCAACCCCCGATCTTTTCCCTCCCACTCTCCCCACCATCCTCACTCCCCACAGAAACAGCATCACCCTGCTCTACCGGCCGATCAAGCAAAGTTTCCTTCATCCCCTCCTCCCTCCTCTGCCACGGCACAAAACAATCATAATACCTCGGCACAACAAATCCCAACAACACACCCACCATCCCCAAGATGGAAAGAATAAACCCGGCAATCATCATGGGATCATACCTCAGCTCATGGAACTCTGGAAACGCAAAGCTGAAAATGATGGCCAGGACGGGGCCAGACACATAGCGAAGCAGTACAGGCATAAAGGCCGGGATTTTCCAGTTGTTGCCGCTGCCGACGATGAGGTTGAGGTCGCGGCGGAGTTGGTTGCCAGAGTAGAATGCCAGGTACCACAATTGAGCGAGTTGAGCTCTGATTCTCGATGGCAATGCGGTGTTGCTTGGAGATGGAGAACTTGCGACGATACCAGCGAGAATGGTGCACACAGTAAAGACGCCAAACCCGGCTCCAGCGCCAATCGCTGCGCTTTCCACTCCGTGAGCGACGGTGATACCGATTAGCAAGCCTCCAAAGTATCCGAGATTGTAGATGACAAAAGCAGGCATGCCGACTTGACCCACAACATCAGTCCAGCGATAAACCGTCGTGGCGCTGACGACTTCCGAAAAGACGACAAAGATAAGTGCAATATTGTTGATCCACCTATCAACACCGTCGAGGAGGTAATACCCAAACTCGGTGCAATAAGGCAAACACATCAAGAACGAGGCCAGCGTAAGCCCACTCACAATAACAGGGCGTGAGTACCTGAAACCAGAGTCCACAAGAAGAGTAGCCACAACATCCAGCATGACAAACGCCGAGCTGAAGCCCAGCACAATCAATGTCAAAAACAGCAGCACAGCCCAAAAATTCGCTCCAGGCGTCTGAAGCACAGCTTCAGGCAGAGTGAGAAAGCCAACGACAAAAGCACCCAGCCGCTCATCAGGAGAAGGCCATCGTCGCAAAAACCCAACAACGCCAAAGATGGCAAAGGCGGCAAAGTTTTCGAAAAGCACATTACTGCCGCAGATGAGCACAGCATCCATAACAGCATTCGAGTGTTTCTGGTTATACGAGGCATAAGACGTAAAGTATCCAAACCCAATACCAGTCGAGAAAAANACTTGTCCGATGGCGGTTTGCCAGACTGTTCCGGAAGCCAGTTGGTTTCCTCTCCATGTGCCCCAGAGAAGCTTTACTCCAGCGCCAGCATTGTCCAGCGACAGAGCACGGCCGACGAAAATGATGGTTGTGATGATGGGCAGCCCCATTGTAAAGTAAACCACTCTTCCAGTCATGCCAACACCGCGAAAGATGGAGAACCAGATCAGAAACCAGATAAAGGCGCTCCATCCAACTGTTTCTCCGATCAAACCAACAGCAGGATAGCTTGTGTATGAAGCAACGTCTCTGCTTCCGTTGGTAAGGCTGCCGGAGATGGGTGCTGGATTTGCGACAACGTCGTTATTGTAAAAGTCCTCGATCCGGTTCTCCCAAGGCAGCGGGCTGATGAAGGAGTTTCGAAAGTAATTCATGATCCAGGCGAGGTTGACTGTAAAGTACTGAACGACGATGAGACTTACAAAGACAGGACCAATACCAACACCTTTGAGCCGTCTGTTGATGTTGTTGAAGGCAATGACGGACCCTCCGCGATAGCACTGGCCAATGGAGATTTCGAGAACGAGAGCAGGAATGGCGATGAGGAAAACGGCGAGCATGTATGGTATGAACCATTGGAGACCGTAGTTGTTGTAGACGACCGAAGGGTAGCGAAGAAGATTACCTTGACCGGCACAACCTCCCATGGCAGCAAGCAAAAANGCCGCCCTCGAAGGCCACTGATCCCTCCCATCCTCCGCTTTCTCAGGCTCAGGAAAGAACCATTTGAACCCTCGACTCACAAATTTTTGCATTGTCCTCAAAGCCATGGTTGCTGCACTAAACCAAAACGCAAAGAGTAGCGGGGCCTGCCATGATTAAATGCATCTGAACGCTTTCACTGACCTACCTTTCAGGGAGAGATAACATCCTGTACCCCTACAAACAATGTCGTGCGCCAACCCCTTGGCTGCAAGTCCATCAAATCCTGATATCTTGGTCTGCCTTGGCTGGGTGGTGGATGTTGTGATACAGCATTATCGTGTCTTGATATCTGTGAGTGCGAATTCACGTGCGGGCCTGTTGAAGTGCCGTAGACATCTCACTGTGGCTGTCTTTACTCACCCTATGATTCTGACATGCATCGAGACAGCCAAATGGATGCGTTGTAAAGAGAGAAGAGGTAGTGAGGATGAGAGACGCGTCGAAACACGCGATGCTCGGCGTGACATCACAGCCCAGGCGCTGACATCCTGAGCAGGGTCATCCCCCATACATCAATGTTCTCGATTCGAGGACGTCAAACAGCGAGAACAAGAGTTCAATCAGGTAGTCTAGCACTATAAAACAGCTTTAGTTATTCTCCTACGATAGCAACACATACCTAATGAGTCCAAAGCGCTTCTCGCATGGCCACAAGAACTTTGACCTTGATCAATTGCTTCGGGATCCTTGTTGCTAGGGACACTGTCTGTCGAATCACGTGGACGGTGGAATAACCGCCAATGCTCCAAAGAGTGGGAGCAAAAAACAGGAAGATTGAATAGGATACCCTAGAACAATAGCACCTTTCCCAAAGCATGTACTCTACTCTAACAACGTTTCACACAATGCTCAGTAAATCTCCTCAAGCCCAGCTTCTTTCCAACTACTCTCTCCACTCGCAACCTTATCTCTAACACCCCAATACTCGTTACCAAAGCGCCAATACTCTTCTCCAGTGATGGGATGTTTCTCGAGCTTGAACCATCTGGGCTCAAAGTGTTCGCCCGCTGCTTCACGCTCGCGACGTCTGGCTCGTTGCTTCTCTTCCACTCTGTTCTTTTCCTCGGATGCGACGTCGTATCTACCCTCTTCCATAGCACGCTGATCAGGTCTAAACCTCGAGTCGGTGGGTGCAAGCAGCGGTTGCAGACGTTGCGGCAAAGCGTTCAAAGTAATAACAAAAGGCGTAAGGTTAAACGGAATACCTTGAGGACGGGGCCCAGCTTCCCAAACTAAGATCGCCTGATTGGATTCCTGAGACTTGGTCGAGGTGCCCAGATTTTCGTCTTCGTAGCCGGGAGTGGGGCGGGCGTAGATCTTGTCGTTCCAGCGGCCGCCGATGCTCCATTTGGGTACGCCCTTTGCGTCGGTGATCTTTCCGGCAACGAGATAGGCGGACGATGCTTTCCAGCCTCGCTGCTTAAAGTCGAGGATGGCTGTCTCGCCAGTAGTGTGGTTCTTCACCTCCATCAAGCCGTAGTTGTCGATAGTGGGATTACCAGTGATGATTCCGACGACAGATGAGGTGACCTTCTTCCAGGTGTAGAGTTCTTCGGGCCCATGAGTGGGCTTCAGACGCAAGAACCATGTACCGAGAGGATTGATCTCGAATGATTTGCCGTAAAACTTGCTCTTCACAGAAGACTCACCATAGTACTCCCACTTGGCACTCTCGGCGTAAGCGGCACCAATTGGAGGATGATGGCTGACTTGCTCAATGAAGAAGCGGTAGCCCTTGTCGGGACGGACATACTCGAAAGTCTCTCCCAGTAAAGGGTTGAAAGGCTTTGCAACTCTGCCGATAGTGGAGGCATATTCCGAAGCAGCAAATCCAGCAACATAAACCATTCTCTCGGCAGAGTCGGAGCGTTCGGCTGCAGTATCCAGAAGCTCAGTGTATTGCATGTCCTCAACAACACGATACAGAAGGGAGGTAGGTTCGTTGAAGGTGACGGGAAGAGTCATCTTGGTCATATCCTTGCCAATCATGTTCTTGAGGATACCCCAGAGCGAGACCTTGGGTCGATTGTCGGCATCGATAGGAAGCTTGGTTCTAACAGGGTCCTCGTAACCTTTGTACGACTTTTGAATTGCAGTAGAAGCATTGTCTTCGATAGGCACAGCTTTCTCCTCTGGTTGGGTGATGGTCTGAGGTGTGATTGCGACAGGCATTTGATCAACAACCTCGACTTCTCCAGCGTCGACGGCATCGAAGAATTGTTCGTCCATGTCCGAGTCATCATCAGAGACATCGTGATTGGTCATATCTGCAAGAGTCTGCCGACGGCTCAGAGTGGGAGAAGGAGGACCGGCAGCAGCAGTGCCGTCTGCGGCAACAGGAATATCTGCAACAGCGGCAGCGAGCTTGCTGCTTTGAGTGGCTGTAGTGCCTCGACGGCTGCGGGCACGGCTTGCGGTACCCGAGCCTTGTCCCTCGAGAGCGTCTCTCAGTGCACGCTTGGTCCTCTTGCGCTTGTCTTCGCTCTCACCAATACGGTTCTCTAGCTCTTCTTGTTCAGCGGCGACTCGGGCCATGCTTTCCTCCCACAGCTTGCGAATGTGCGCTTCCCGGTCCACGCGATGTTGCCAGTAAGCATCGTGGTCCTTGGAGATGCGTAGAAGGTCAATTAGCAAGCCTCTGAGGTTACCGACAGCAGTATCGTAAGAGGCTAGAGCATATTCAACATCAGGATGGCCGAGAGGGAGGGTGGGATTGTTGGTCTTCTCTTGCTGCAACGAGTTCGAGACAGAGGCCAACAAGTCTAGCTGAAGCTTGGCCGACTGAGCGGTGATGTTGAAGGCGTCCTTGTTGATGGGCTTGACCTCATGAGCGCTATCGTCATCAGCGTAGTCGTCCTCCTCGTCTTCAAAGTCGCGTTCGCCGTCCGTCTCGAAAGTGCGGTGGCGTGTCAGTCTTGAGGGTTCGTCGCCGTACAGTGTCTCCGCATCGGTAGTTTGGGCGATGCTAGTACGACGGTCGCTACTCACGGTCGGGGCGAGAGTCGAAGAGTCGGCAGCAGAAGGGGCTGTTGAATGCTTGTCTGCAGCAGCCTGGCGCAAGGCATCGCCCTCTTGACGTTGACGCTTCTGTTCTTCGCGAGCCTCGTCTTTGGACCACTGAATGGCATTGTTGAGAGACCAGAACCAGCGCTTTGCCTCGACCTCGTGATTCGCCTTGAGGTGGTACTTGACAGACGACTTGCCATGAATTTCGAAAGTCAGCTTGTCTTTGGAATCCATGTGCAGAGAAGCAATCTTCATGTTGATGGCACCACGGCAAGCAGAGCCAGCATCGTCCTGGTGCTTGTAGTAGCTGAGAACACCGTCCTCGAGCACGAACCACCGCAGCTTGTAACCAGTTGTGTAGTTTGTCCACTTTTTCAGGTAGCCCTTCATCTCGCGTGCTTCCTTTGCGCTCAAAGCATTCTCTGGTGGGCCTTCGCCCGTACCCAGTATGGCCTTTTCTTGCACACCACGCTGAGCGGCAGCAGCAGCGGGCGATTTCTTCAGGATCTGCTTGGTGTGGTCGTCTTTTGTGATTTCCTGAGGCAGCTTACCTCTGCGATCGCGACGGAAAGGGTCGGCGCCATTGAGTAGCAATATCTGGATAAGTTGTGTGTCCTTCTTGCGAGTGGCTTCATGCAGCAGTGTGCCGCCAGATTCGACGGTTTGAGGGTCGGTAGCCAGTTCGGGGGCGTTGATGTCGACAACGTGACGAACGTGATCGTCGGCAAGTACATCTTCCAGTGTACCGTAGTCGGCGGATTGGATGAGGTGCTGGATCCTGTGGGTGGTCCTCTCGATGAAGATGGAGCGAGCGAGTTGTAGGAGCTGGAAGACTTCTGGGCTGCGGGCGAGATCAAGAGGAGTCTTTCCTTGGAAGTTGGTGACGGACTCGTTGATAGACTTTTGGTCGAGAAGGAGCTTGATGACGCTCGTACGGCCAAGAGTCGAGGCAATGTGTAGAGGGGTGTTGCCGTCACGGTCTCTGGCGTTGATGTCCAGGGTGTTCTGGCCCATACTCAGGACGTACTCGACGACAGAGGGTTCGGCGCATTGGACAGCGAGATGCAGGATGGTGTTGCCCTCGAGCTTGGTCGAGTCGTCGCGCAGGTGTTTGTTGATGCCGGCCGTGTCTCCCTGTCGCAGGGCTTCAAAGACCTTGAACAGCTTGACCGACTGTTCGATTGACGTCGTCGAAGGCTGAGACATCGGGGTCTTGGTCGGGGGTGAACGGACAGCTGGCGATTGGGAAGCAGAGTCGGGGTTGGTGTTGGTCATGGTGGTGACCAGGTGAGGAGGTGGCCTGGCGCTTTGGAACGAGTTCCGTGAGGATTGCATGGCGGGCGACGAGGGTTCGAGAGAGTCGGTCGTGGTCGTGGGAGATTCGGGCACGTCGTTCTGAGACGCGTCGCCCCTGCTCGTCACCTTGGACAAGAGAGACTTTGCAATCGACGACTTGTTGCGCTGATGCGACGAACTACTTGGACTGTTGCTGCTGTCATCCCCAAAGCACGTCAGCCTTGGCGCAGATCCGATAGATTGCAATTTCATTTACCTGTCGGCCATCCTGGAGTCAAGTCTGGTCGATACTGACTTGACAGAATCAAAGAATAGGTATTCAAAGGTATGAGAGCGCGACAGGGGAGACGACAGAAGAGGACGGCAGCTCGAGCACTTTGGGTTGCCTACCGTCCATGCAGATGACGGTGGTGGAGCCACCGTTTGCGCACCGTCTAGAAGTCTATTCTTACACGGCCCCTTTAGGTATATTCATACAGCTTCTATACAACAAGCCATCTCTACGACACCAGCAGAATCACGCTGCCCAGCTGTCTAGCCACATCCTCCTTTTCGACATCGTGAGTGTCCTCGACCTCACCCCACATGTCTGTCTGCCACGTCACTTCAACACTCGAAGCTTTGCGGGCTTCAGGAATGCCGAAGCGCCTTGTGTTGGGGTCTTTTTGCAAGTGTCTGAACTCTTGACTCCACTCGACCAACAGTCGGATTGCGACGAGCAGACTCTTGGTGGCCAAAACTCCTCTCTCGAGTCCTGCTAGCTCAAACGCAGGCAGAGCCGACATCCAGCCACGAATGACTTCCTGCGTCACCTTGGGCTGCTTGACGGGCATGATGCTGTCCTCGCCCAAGATGGGGACAATCTCGAGGCCAGGGAAGATGTGTGTAGTGAGGTATGCGAGGATGGGCTCGGCCGTCTCGATCTGCTTTTGTCGCAGACTCTGCTTGGGCTGGCCATCAACCTTCATATCGAGCGCCGAGGCAGGGTCGTGGATGTTCTTTTCAGGGTCCCAGCAGAGCAATGTGTCGGTGCCCAGGTATCTCATGAGCATTACAACGATGCTCTCTCTAATCTTCTTGTCGCCTTGGAGGTCGGCATTGTGAATGTCGATTGCGCGCGAGCTCAGGGATGTGAGAGGGATGTAGTGGTGCTTCAGCGCCTGTTGTGCCGATGTGAGGAGATCCCATTCGAGAGCAATGCCCGAAGCAAGGGCGTATTTGGTAGGCGGCAGTGTGAGGACCTCCTTCGAAGCGGTTCTGACCGGTCGCTTGTCCAGCATGATCTGAAGTCCATCTGTGCTGTGTGTGAGTGGAGAAAGTGCAGATGCGAGACGATCAGGGCGTACCAGGAGTCTCCTTGACCGAAGCCTCTTTCCAGAAACGCTTGCGCAGGGCGGATGCGGGCTTTGCGGGATCGACCTTGATCTGGGCCTGTCTTGCCAGAAGAGCAGCCTGCTGTCTCTTGCGAGCGACGCGGTCTTCGGTCTCGGTGACAGGGGCCTGTGGGGGTTGCGGTGGCGGACCAGCAGCGATGGGGTGCGGCAGTGGCGTTGCTGTCCTCGACGAGCTGTTGTGCAGGCAGCGCCATGCTGGGCGGAGGGGAGCAACAGTGCGACGGCCAGAGGCAGCCAATGCCGGGCGGATCAGGGACGACATGGTGAATGATAGGGATGTGCTGCTAAAAAGTGAAGTTTCACATGCCAAAAGCCGACGACAGTCTGCTGCACCGGCACACGCCGTCGACGACAAGCATTGGAAATGTTTCGGAGCGGCATTCTCGGGGATCCGTGCACGCGCGAGCGGGGAAAGCTTCCATGAGCCCCGCATCTTCGTCTTCTTTCCCAAAAGATCGTCCTGCCTGCCCCCTTGAGCGCATCGTGTGGCTTGTCGTTGGAGGAACGACATGGCCGTCTTCGGCACCACCCCAATTCGTCTTGCCCGCCGCAGCAGCGCCATCCAAAAGTCTCATATTCTGTCATCCATCTGTACCACCATATTCATCTGTACTTGAGCCCAAGTAGTGAGAACAACGCCATACACCCTCGAAGCCTCGGTCGTCGTTGCTTCGCTTGCACCCGTTGCAATTCTGGCTAGCACCCCTTCTCCATCTTTTGCATCTTCTTCCTTTGATCGGCAACCAGTCACCCGCCTCATCAATCTGTAATGTCCTGTACGAGTAATGAATAGCTATCATCAAAGAGATTGGGCTGGAAAGCTCGTCTCGGCTGCATCACCGCACCAGCATGATCGATCCTCATCGACACAACCTGCTGCGTCAGCCCCAACCCAACGAACAAAGTCAAAGCCACAGCCCAAGAAGTTGCGCTTCATCACCAGTCAAGGAGCTCCCCAGGCCAAACGCCGTCGTGTATCTACCGCTTGCTTGGTCTGCAGAAAACGCAAGGTTGCCTGTTCTGGCGAGCGACCACATTGCAACACGTGCACCAACAATCGATTGGAGTGTTCTGGATATGCAGATGAAAATGCCTCTGGAAACTCCAATGCCGAAGACACCGAAACTCCTCAAGCAGCGCCTCCTACCTTGCGCCGTTCCGAGACAGCAGACTCGATGAAGGCTCCTCCTGCCAGGGAAACCAAGACTACTGAGGCCAAGCCACCCAGGCAAAGCTCTACGTTTGATCTTGGGAAGGCTGCTCCCGTCGTAGCGGGACACGTTCAATCACAGCCTCCAAGAAACGATCTTGACCAAAGCTATTTTCCAAAGTCGACGCCCTCGTGGTTCTCCGGCGCTAGGAATCGGATGCCATACTTTCGATGGCTCGGTCCCACTGCAATCATGCCAGGCTTCAAGCAGATGGTCGTCAAGGTCAATCGTTCATCATCAACAGCCGACGGTGTAACCTCTCCGTCAGCTGGCGCTCAACCTGGCGCTTCCGCCATGTCAAACCATTCAGCCACCTACGATCCAGATGCGCGTACGCCCCAAACTTTGCCCTTCTACGACAACTCATCCATGCCTCCTAGCGAACTTATCACTCATCTTTGCGATACTTTCTTTGTCCATCTTGCTTGTAACTATCCTTTTCTCCAGCGCGATCGCTTCTTGAAGGACCTAGAAGAGAAGCAGGTTGATGCGATCCTCGTTGATGCAGTTTGTGCGCTGGCTGCTCGCTTCTCTACACATCATTTACTTGTGCAACAGCCACGCGAAGGTCAAATTGTGAACCATTCAGAGCAAGGTTCTGCTTTCGCCCAGCGAGCGAAAATCGCCTTGATCGACACTTATGCCACGCCAAGCGTTGCTGCTGTGCAAGCTGCGCTTTTGCTTGCCTACAATGAGTTTGGCGAAAGCAGGGATAGTGGTCTATGGATGTATCTCGGTATATCCATCCGCATGGCTCAAGATCTTGGCTTGCACAAACTTGATGGTCTTCGGTACGAAGGTCGCGACGGCTCATCTCCAAGGTATTCTAGGAATGACAAGCATGTGGACAGAATGATCGGACGTGCCGATTTGCAAGACCAAGATCGAGACGTGGCCGAAGCACAGCGAGCAGCCGAACGTGAGCGAGTTGATACTTTGTGGGCAGTCTTCTTCCTGGATCGAGTGGTTTCATCTGGTACCGGACGCCGCAGCACGTTACAAGATGACGATATTGAGCTTTCTTTCCCGCCCCTTGATTTGCTGGATCCCAAGACTGGCTGGCCTTCCCCATTTCCTGCACTGATTCGAATCGTCTGTTTATATGGCCGTGTTGCAGATTTGCTCAACAGCATCAAGGAGCCATCGGACATTACTAGTAATACGCCACAACAGTTGGCAGACATGGAAGCACGGGTCACGAACTTTTACCAAGGTAGGGCTTTTCTTCTCGGGCAGATATTCCGAAGAGTATTGATATGTCGCANNGGTCTGTCCCCAAAACTACACTTCCAGGCCATGAATTTCCACCATTATGTCAAGGCTGGAGAAGGAACCAACTTTGTGCTGCTGCACTTCTGGTTCCACACTCTCATCGTTCTGCTCCATCAGCCGACATTGCTGAAGACTTTCGAAGGCAAAATGCTCCAGCTATTCCCGAACAGCCAAGCACTTTCCATGTCTTCTGCAAAGACTATCGCAGATATTCTGTCATACTCACAACTCATCGACACGAAGGCGAGTCTTGGTAACCCATTCACCACCCAGCCGATCTACATTGCCGCTTGTGCTTTCCTTAAGGAGACCGCCGAGCAGACCGCCACCTCAAAAGAGCATTCTCGCTCTCAATCGACAGCGAACTCCCGTGCTGCAAGTCCGGTTCGAGAACAGCCCACCCCAGGGGTTGCAGACATGGCCAACATGACTCGTCCGTCGAGCATGTTATCAACCAGCACCAGACCGCCGATGGTGGAAAGAGCACTAGCCCGCCATACTCTGTTAGCAACGGCAGCAAATCAACATTACCAACTTTGCTACAAAGCACTACAAAGTCTCGAAACATACTGGGCAGGGACAAAATACATCCTCACAGTATTGGATCAGAAATTCAAAGGTGTTGGAGATCCCCTTCTGTACACAGTGGAAGAAGGCGAGAGTGCCTTTGAACAGCCAGAGCCGAAACCTGCATTTATCCAGCCAGGATGGCGGAGGAAGACTCCATCAGACCCGTGGTCTCCGAGCGCATTGATGCAAAGTTCTTTCTTGCAAGCAAAATCTCCTCCAGCAGCTGGCGACCCAAACCAACGTAAGTCATGTCCGGTGGAACGCTTCGGAACCGTGACTAAGTATCCTGCAACAGCCATCGGCTGGACACTGACAGGCACTCTTAACTCGCCAAGTACGAATGTAGCTTGGCACTTCTCCGGCGGACCTGGTGCACACGAGCCTGCGCAGCAATCACTTGGCTCGCTTTTGGATAATAATACCTCCTTCGACTTCAACAACATGCAAAACAACAGCACTCCATCATTCCAACAACAAGATAACAACAACAATCATATACGCACTTATTCTGGCAATAGTCTACCTCGCGCATCACCTCTCCAACAACGACACCACCGATCTTCGCTCCCAGCATCAGCATTTGCAACAATACCGCCCTCGCCAACATCTTTTCCCTCACCTGTCCAGCACCGACATCAACAAGATTCTCTTCATGTCCCTTCGTTTAACCAACCGAACAGTATGCAAAACTTGGATGGCAGTAATTTCAACGCAGAAGAAAGCTATGGCGACTTTTTGATCGAGAGCCAGGATGTGGACATGAGTTTGCTTGGCTTGGACATGTTGCCTTGGTTTGATGCGCCGAGTGGGGAGTTGATGCCTGTGTTTGATGAGGCATTGGAGGTGGGCGATGTGAATGCAAATGTTGATGCGGGGTATCAAGGACAAGAGAAGAATGGAGGAGAGGGTAATTAATTCTAGATATCCCAGATCTGAGGCTTTGGGCTCCTGTTCAGGTATCCTCCTACCATTAAACCTGAAGACTCAATTTCGCTCTATTCCGTGATGCCGGGTGGGCTGTGGCCGTATCACGACAGGCATACCAGCTGGTGCCTCACAAACATCTTGACCCGCAACCGTCACCATCTGAGCAATTCCAGCACCATCCCTCCGTCTCTTGACCCTCCTCTTCCCACCCCTCCTCCCCTCGCCNGCCCCACCGCCTACCCCATCCTCCCCTCTAACCCTCCTATTCCACATTTTCTTTGCCCTGCGAGTCAATTTCGTATGCTGCAAAAAGGTCCTACACATTGGACAAGTAAACCTTGACTGTAACACGGCTTTCAGGACTGGGTAGTGTAGAAGTAGGATTGGTGTGTTGTGGAGCCAGGTTTCGAGAATGGCATCTGTGTAGGTTTGTTGCCAGTGTGTTAGGCAGGGAGGACAGAAGGTGTGGGTGCAGTCGAGGAGGTGGAGGGTTGGTGTTGGATCTGTGCAGATTGGGCAGGGTTCTTTTTCTTTTTTTCTTCTTCTTTTTGGGTTCTTTTGATGAAGGGTTTGATGAAGGTGTTTTGGTTTCTGGTATTGGTGTGGCGATTTTCTTTCGTTCTGTGGCTTTTTGTTCTTCTTCCGGTTTGTCGAGGTTGCGGTGGGCGTGGCGGTTTGCTGATCTGGCTCGCACTTCTGCCGCTCCACCCACGTAAATCTTTGAAGCTTCGTCAGTGGTTTTTGTAGTGAGGCTGTGTGGCGGCGGCAAGAGACTAGCTTCCAGCCTTGAGGGTAGCGCAAAGGAACTCTTCCCTCGGTGGTCTCGAGTGCCATTTCATCACACATGGGACACGATTCTGCGAATATATGGGCGGGAACTGCAAACTGTGATTCTGTGCTGCGGGAGATCTGGTGGTTGAGTGATGAAGAAGAAGATGTGATTCTGGTTTGGACGACTGTTCTGGTGGGCGGAGTTGATGTGGTGTCCGGGATTGTGGGACGTATACTGGTTACTGAGGTGCCTTGGTAGGTGATTTCGAGGGGATAGAAGGGGAGTAGATATCCATGCCTTGATGAGTATATTGGTGTTTGTGGCGGAGAAGGATCCTCATAATCATAGGTTCTTTGAATGCTCGCGCGCAAGTGGTCGTGTAGTGCGGGATCCATGGTGGAGGAATTGCTGTTTGTTCAGATCTTCTGGTTTGCAAAAGACTTGTTCTTTATTCTTCGGCGATGGCAGAAATTTTTGCTTGACGTTGGTGGTTTTTCGTGCGCAAGAGATTTACAAAAAAATGACGAGAGATTTTGTAGATATATATCGAGTCTTGACGCGCGACGCGCCGAGGGGATTTGAGTCACCTTGCAGGAAGTGACTGTTGCCTGATAGCTTCCACGTGCTTGTGATCAAATCATAGGATAAAGTCTACTTCGACCTGTGAGCAGAAAGGCAATGAAGCCATCGTGTAGTATTGCTGTCACACGCTCATTGACAAAGAGCGTTAGTTCTTTGGTAAACGAGAATGAAGGAGGACAGAGAGGATGTTCAGGAGGAGGTACTATGGTTGGAGACGCTTGGACCATCAGTTCGTCCTCTCTCCATCTGCTTTGATAAAATGCACTGCACTCATTGGAGCACACAAAATCATTCGTATGTATCAACACTACTCAAAAAGTCTATGAAACTGTATCACCATATCACAGGTTTATATAGTGACAGAAAGAAAGATTTTTTTCTCTTTACCACAAATCATCCTTTCATTGAGCTCTTTGGCAGCAGCTAGACTTCGGACAAAATTTCTTGGCATCTCCAACTCCGAAAACTTTCCACCTCGCAAAAAAATACGACAACGACATCAAGATAACTTTCTCAACACCAAAAACACATCAAAGACCACCATGGCTTTCAGTTTCAACTTTGGCGGCGACGATATCGATCACACCGTCGACCAAGACATTCCCATCCTGGACGCGCCATCCACAGAAGCAATCACCACATCACAAACACCATCTCCCGTCAACGTCCTCCAACATGATTTGCGCCAATTATACAATACGCTGCCGGATAGATTATGCTACAGCACTGCTTTGATCACCTCGCCAACGGGCAAGCAGATTTTGCTTCCACGCCGCGAGCTCTTTGATATTCGTGTGCAATTGATGTCGGAAGCATCTGCTGAGAATGACAACGATGTCACGTTATCGCAGTTGCAGTCTACAGATCTAGCTCCCAATGTCTACGAAGGCGGCTTCAAGACTTGGGAATGCAGTGTGGATCTATCGTCTTTACTGCTTGATCGCGGGCCCCGCAAAGACATCGATGAGTTGGTGCGATGTGATGGTGTTGTGGAACTGGGTGCTGGCTCTGCATTGCCCACCCTAACGCTATTCCAACACTGTCTCCGAAACGGTATTCCCCAGACCTTTACGTTGACAGACTACAACAGTTCTGTGTTGCGTCTGGTCACATTGCCGAATCTGCTGCTTACTTGGGCGGCTTGCACATCTCCCCCTCTGATCGATCTATCCACCGAACCCTCTGGGGATCTCGAGAATATCCCCGCATTACTGCCACAATTCTTGGCTGCTCTTGCCGCCTCGAGGATCCAATTGTCGTTCATCTCTGGCCCTTGGGGTCAAAATCTTGCTTCTTTGATCCCCGAATCTGCTCCCGATATGGGAAGTCTGATTTTGGCCAGCGAGACCATTTATTCGCCGGCTTCCACGACGGCATTTGTGGATTTGCTGATTCGTTTGTTGCAACGCACGAAAATGGCAAAGGCGATTGTGGCGGCAAAGAGGTTTTACTTTGGCGTTGGTGGCAGTGTTGATCATCTCAAGGAGGTGTGTGCGGAAAGAGGCGCTGTGGCATATGAGGTAGAGAATTCGGGTGTGCCTGGTATGGATTCTGGGGTTGGGAGGGCGCTTATCGAGGTCCAGATGTATTGAAACAGGAAACGAAAGGAGATGTGAAAACTTCAATCTCCTTCATCACCCCAGTATTCTTTCAGATCCTGCGCTCGCCATTGAGTAGCAAAGCCCGTCGTCCGTTCGATTTCGGCCAACGCTTCCAGCACAACGCGATGCTCGGCTTTGCTCGACATGACCTTGCCAGCAATATACAATGGCTGCGGTGCATTCGTCCACGCCGCATGCAGCAGATTGCTCACTGAAATCCCAATGACCTGCCTCGCATGCCAGAAGATACTTCTCTGGCCTCGTACCTTCAAGTCGTTGGGCTTGGCCTGCAGCATGAGCAAAGTAGCAGTATGGTAAAGCTGGTTCGCACTGACAGCCGCCGCATTCGTGTAAATGACCACAGGAAATGGATCACCATCGTCATTCTCGCATGCACGCGATGTCATGGGTCGCATCTCTGCTGGCCTATTCGTGTTCCAATCGACGAGGAGATCGAACAAGGCTTTCCACTTTGCGCTATAGGTGCTTCCGCGCTCGTTGGTGCTACCACGTCTTGACACGACGTCGAGCACACTGGCGCAGAGAAAGAGTGAGTAATTAGCGTAATTGTCAAAGTTTTGAAAGTCCGCCTTGAATTTTGAGATTGCTGTTGACATTGTGCCTGTGGGCAGGAACCACAAGCTTGTTGGGATCTTGGTATGAGAGTCAGAGAGGAAGCCACCCCACATGTCTGTAAAAGGTCAGTCAATGTGTCAATGAGATCGAATTTCCCCGTTTGCTAAAGTGTGCAACGCGTGTAGCTGTAGAAATGCACAACACTAACAGTATCCATGGAGAGGTGACAGATCATCGTCTCTCCGCGGGCGTGCTCATATTTCCAAAAGAAGATTATTTCTTTTCACAGGATACACTTTGCTCTACGCTCTTATAGGAGAGTGGAGTTACAGCTTTAGCACAGGGGAAGGAAGCAAAGACGTACCCATGCGAGCAAAGCACCAGAAGATAGCCTGGCGTATGCCTCCCACCACGCCGTTGATCCCTGCAGCCTTGAGTAACATGGCTGCACCATTGAGATGTCGGGCCCAGTCTTTGGGAGAAGCTATACCGAGTAAGTTTACCATTCAATGGTTGATCATGGAGTACTGACAGCTCATCATCTCCAACACGCAAAGCAACACGCAGCTTCCAATGACCTCCGTACTCATGCTTTCCAGCTCGCCAGCAATCAAGCGTATTGCCTCCTGATATAATGCAAGACTCTCTGTATAAGGTTTGTCTGGATCCCTTCGTTCAATCTGCCGCGCAGAAAGAGCCAGTACTGATAGTCTTAGTGGTTCGGATGTTTGCGCCAGAATTGGTAAATGGATCTGGAAGTGACGGTCGTTGTCAAACATGTCCAGCCACAGAGCGATCTCGTCAAGGTAATTTCGCCAGAGCTCCATCTCACGACGAACAGTCATGCCCTTTGGTAGATTGCTGCGTATACTCCTGTCGGGCTCAACCTGCTCCCATTGGGACGTCCGCCTAAGCGTCTCCTGGTCGTTCGGATTGATTTGAGATTTGTCGGACTCGGGTGTGCCTGTTCGTGTGAGACCAGTGCCGCGAGCTGTGTCGACCATGTGGTTGTACAGAGTGGTGTGCAGTTCTCGATACGTGGCGTTAGGATAGTACATGGCATACATATCTGGCGACTCTGCAGGCACATGATCCACGTCCATCAGAGCATTGGCCTCTCCATTACTCATCGGAGGCCACAAAGAGTCGCCGAATGCCTGAAAAGAGTCACGGTTGGTGAGATAATCCAGAGGCTCGAGTTCGGGCAGGGAAAATGATAGTAAATGATCGTCTTCGCGGATGACAGGAAGACCGGCCGTCGATAGAGGATCCTCTGTGAGTTGGAGCGGAGTTTGAAACGTGACGTGATGTGAAGCTTCGCTCTCTCCAGCTGCAAAACTGTGAGACCGTCGGCTGTCGTGAATACTGTGGACCTCGTGAGAATCTGCTCGCAGAAGGGGAAGGCGTTGCATCCCTGGCGAAATGTTGTCGTTTGTGAATCTTCTACTAGATGCTGCTTGGTTTTGAGGCAAGTCTTGAGAGATACCATCGACCGCAAGATCCATATCCCAGGAGAAAGCACCGCTTTCCGGTTCGTGTGGTGTGGGCTTCTCATTTTCGTGATGATCATCGGTATTGGAATATTCTTGGCCATTGAGAAACTCCTTACATTCGTGTGTTTCCAGATCAAAAACGACGTCGACAATCTGCAGCGATGTCGATGGGGCCGTGGCAGCAATTTTTTGACCAGCTATCATGCTAGGGTGGTCGGCCTCGAGCGAAGTGAACCGAAAACTCAGACCCGAATCCCATTCACATTCTTCACCGAGCCGCTCGCATTTGGTGCAACTCGGTTTCGACTCGTCGCATTTTTTCCGTCGTCGTCGACAATTCAAGCATCCTGAGCGACCTCGGAGCGAGCGTTTGGAGGGACCATCGCGGGGCCGCTGTGGTGAAGGTGATGCCTCGTAAGACTCGTGAACCAAGGAGCCATCTTCCGAAGTAGTAGCCCTGATATTTCGACTCGATCTCATCAGTTGCGATAGTGAACTATCTAGCGAGGAAGTCGCTGATGGCTGATGAAAAGAAAGGTGGAGGTGCTTCCACAGTGCGGGGCAAATCTGGCAGAGAAGGATGAATGAACAACGGCGACAACGGGGCTGAACTCGAATTATATTGACAAAGCTACGATCAAGATTCAGACTTCAGTCTACTGCTCAAGATAGTCACGCGTTCGGGGCTGTATTCAGCTCCCGCATGACACCAGTCTACAAGTTCGATGTGGAAGGTCAGATCTACGAAGTTACGAGTGTCGAAGCTCGAGGTATTCGTCCATAATGACTGTTACCAAGCATCATTTGTTTGTGGGAGGGATCATTGTAGCGAGAAATTTCCAGCTATCAGGAGACTACGTCCATTTCCTGCGTACAATGAAATCAAAATATCTATGGTCTCTATCTAATTCATTAACGTCTACAGAGAGGGCCTCAAGCAGTCGCGCAGTGTCCACCATCAACTCTCAAATCGGCACCGGTCATCCACGAGCTTCCATCTGCCAGGAGGAAGACACAGGGAGCCTTGAAATCCTCCGGCGCGCCAAGTCTCCCTAACAGTGCACCTCTCATCCATTGTTCCTCTACCTCGGGCTTCTCTTGCAGCAAGCCATCTGTCATGGCAGTACGAATGTAGCCAGGAGAAAGTGTGTTGACTCTGATGCCCCATTGACCCCACTCGTAGGCAAGAGAGCGGCACATCTGATGTACAGCAGCCTTGCTGGTATTGTATGCTGAGCAGTGCAGGCCGCGGTTGGCAATCTGGCCAGACATGGATGCGATCATGACAATGCTACCACCGAGCTTCTGATCGCGAAGCAGACGAGCTGTGTATTTCGAAATGAGGAAGCTTCCAGTGACATTGACCTCCATGATTCGACGGAAACCGTCCATAGGATAATCAATAGCGTCGACCATCTGCTGAATGCCGGCGCACGAGATCATGCCTTTGACAGGCTTTCCTCGTTGACGAGCCTCCTCGCCGCAGTCTGCGACGACCTTTTCGACCGCCTCCTCGTCCGTGATATCGCAATTTCTATATGTGGCGCGAACCCCGGTGCTCTTCTGAAGCTTGGTGATGACTTCCCACTCTTCAGCGCTAGGCTCGGGAAGGATGTCCAGACAGATGGCATCAGCACCCGACTCGAGAACAGCGACTGCGAGTGTGATACCGAGTCCACGACCAGCGCCAGTGATGATAATGGTCCTATTGTTCAAGCCAAAGGCCTTTTCGATAGGTACATTGGCAGATGATTGTCTTGACTCTGGGATGTCTCTGGGAAGTTCAATGTCGGACACAATGCTTGGTGCCATGATTAAGTGACGAGTGAGAGTTGTCAAAGAGTGAGAGATGATATCAAGTAGGGAGTGTTGAGTGTTCTGAGCTATGCGCAAAAAAAAGTCAAAAGGTCAAGGAGCGAAAAGTGCAGCGGAGCCTAGTCAATTTGTATAATGATCATGAAAGGCTCAACAGGCCTTTGGCGTCGCAATCTCAAGACGGGTCCCACCATTGAACCATGTTGAGAGGTCTTGGTGGGTTCATTTGTGGATTGATTCACAGCATGAGGCGCTGAAGACTGCCGCGTTGGTGCGATGGATGGAAAAGAAAAGGAGCGTTGTGAGGAGCAAAGCCACGGCGTTGAATATTGCCCTCTTGAGTTGCGGCAATAAGCGGCTTCCCTATGCTGTGAGAGGAAAGAGTTGACGCCACAGCCAGAGAAGGAAACCGAAGCGCCAGGCAAACGGCCCCGCATCGTTCTTCGGAATGGCGGGTTACTTGTTTCTGACGACAGTCCGCTGTTGATCAAAGTCAAGAGCGCCGCCATGAAGGTACCCACCAACATGTTTCGCATCAACGGCATGATTGATAAAGGCTGGGTGTTCCCATGTTTTCCTTTCGCTTTCCAGTCCCAGAATATCCACATATCCCGATATGGCACCCTCCCTTGAACACTACGAAGAAGCTACTTCCGGTATTCCCGTGAAAGTGCTTGGTACACAGATCGATGGCACCAACGGAGCTGCATCGCTCCAGCTCGAAGAGGCCGACAAGCATGATCAAGTCCTGCGTGTCTTCCGCTGCTTGATCGCAGACTTGTGCGAGCAATTCGGAGGTGGTCACCCTGGTGGTAAGCTGAGATTTCGAAGATTCGGATTTGAAATCGAGACTAAATCAAACCGACAGNGTGCCATGGGTATGGCAGCCATTGGCGTGTCGCTCTGGAAATATGCCATGAAGTACTCACCAGCAAATCCCAACTACTTCAACAGAGATCGCTTTGTTCTCTCCAACGGCCACACATGTCTGTTCCAATACACTTTTATGCACTTGGTCGGCTACAAAAACATGACCATTGACCAACTGAAGTCATATCACTCGGACCGAGCAGATTCGATTTGTCCGGGACATCCTGAGATCGAGCACGAGGGTATCGAAGTTACAACAGGTCCTCTCGGTCAAGGTGTTGCCAACGCTGTTGGTATGGCAATGGCAACAAAACACCTTGCTGCCACTTACAACAAACCAAATTACGACGTTGTTAACAACATGACCTACTGCATGATCGGTGATGCCTGTCTGCAAGAGGGTGTTGCTATGGAGGCTGTATCCCTTGCTGGTCATTGGAAGCTGAATAACCTTGCGCTCGTCTACGACAACAACCAAATCACATGCGATGGTTCCGTCGACATCACTTGCAACGACGATGTCAACGAGAAGATGAAGGCCTGTGGTTGGAACGTCATCGATGTGACCGACGGTGTATCGAACATCTCGGGCATCGTACAGGCTCTCGTCGCCGCGAGAGCAAGCGTCGACAAGCCCACGTTCATCAACATCCGCACAATCATCGGTATCGGCAGTGCCTCGGCTGGTGATGCAAAGGCTCACGGTGCGGCTTTTGGTGTTGAAGATGTCGCAAATATCAAGCGTGCTTTTGGTATGAACCCAGAAGAGCACTTTGTTGTTCCTGACACAGTCTACGACTTCTTCCGCGAGGCAAAGTCACGAGGCCAGGACCTTGAGAAGGAATGGAATGCCCTTGTGGATGGCTATAGCAAGGATCATCCCGAGTTGGCCGAGGAGTTCAAGTTACGTGTTGCAGGCAAGATGCCCAAGGACTGGACCAAGTTCATTCCGGCAAAGGGTAGCTTCCCTACATCGCCTACGCCCTCAAGGAAGTCTTCTGGCTTGGTGTGCAATCCTCTTGCCCAGAACCTCTCCAACTTCATGGTCGGTACTGCAGACTTGACGCCTTCAGTCAACATGACATGGAAGGACAAGGTCGACTTCCAGAACCCCGATCTCAAGACTGCTTGTGGTATCAATGGCAACTATGCCGGTCGCTACATCCACTGGGGTATTCGAGAGCACGCCATGGCCGCAATCTCCAATGGTCTCGCCGCCTACAACAAGGGCACAATCTTCCCCGTCACTTCGTCCTTCTTCATGTTCTACATCTACGCCGCACCTGGTATCCGCATGGGTGCCCTCCAAGGTCTCCAACAAATCCACATCGCCACTCACGACTCCATTGGCACTGGCGAAGATGGACCCACACATCAACCCATCGCTCTTGCGGCACTATACCGCAGCATGCCCAATCTCCTCTACATCCGCCCTTGCGACTCTGAAGAAACAGCCGGTGCCTTTATCGCCGCCATCAAAGCCGACACCACTCCCTCCATCATCTCCCTTTCCCGTCAAGCACTCATCCAATACCCCGAGAACAGCAACCGCGACGGCGTCCAAAAAGGCGCTTACGTCTTTATGGAGCAAGAAAACGCCGACGTCACCCTCATCGGCGTAGGCTCGGAAATGTTCTGCGCTGTCGAGACTAAGAAGTTGCTGGAGGAGCAACACAATATTAAAGCTCGCGTGGTGTCATTCCCTTGCCAACGCTTATTTGAGCAGCAGAGCAAGGAGTACAAGCAATCTGTACTGCAGTACCGCAGTAATGCTCCTCGCGTGGTTATTGAGGCTTATGCTGTTAATGGCTGGGAGCGCTATGCCGATGCCGGATACTCAATGCCCTCATTTGGCAAGTCTCTCCCAGGCAAGGCTGCATACAAGCATTTCGGCTTTGATGCACAGGCCATTGCGCCAAAGGTCAAGGCACTGGTTGAAGAGGTCAAGAAAGAAGGTATTGAGTCCCTGAGAGGAGACTTCAGAGATTTGAACGGCACGATGGGGTATGGAATGCACCACTAGATGATTGAAAGACTGATGAGATTTGTATATATTTAATGAGTGTTTGTGTTTTTCTATCTGAAATTCTGCTCCTTCCAGTTGTCCCGAATGTTTGGCGTTTGCATTGTTCATTCTTGCAGTGGTGTAGAGTCCTTGATCCAAGCTATACAACTCACATTCTCGATTGCAGACTCGAGTGCTGTCATTCTTGCAACGCACTCGATTCTATGCAATGGGGCTTTACCCAGTGGGTTCTTTGTTTTTTTCCTTTGATAAGTAAGTAAACGCATGGACTCAAAGTGGCCACACAATATAGCGAATCCTCAGGGCCGGAGACAGAGTTGTATACAATGACCAACCCTCCAAGTCGATGCTCAACTGCAACTAAATGACCTCTGTGCTATCAACAACTCCTTGATCCTCTCTGCAGCTATATCACTCCGCCCTCAGTTCGCCGAATCATAAGTGATAGTCAAGTTGTTCGTCTTCACATGCCTCGAATAACTTGTCCCATAACTGCTCTCCGCAAACCTCCTATCCATGACTCCATACGAATAGCTATGATTTGCCACATTCGAGTAATACGCATTACCCATCTGTCTAGCGCTCAAATCCACAGGACCACTAACCAATGTATACGTCGACAAATCCGGTCTCCCCTTTGATGAGATTTGCAACCCATAATCCACAAACGCATCAAACGTGGAAAAGTTTGCAGACGCATAGGAGAGGTTTGCAGTTATGGGGTAGGAGAAACTGGTCGTGGTTGAAAAGTCTGGTGCCGAAGGGAGGACTGCAGCTTGCGTGCCTTTTGTGGACTGAATGTTGGATGTTACGAGACCGCTGTTTCCGAGGTATCCATTGTTGGTGTAGGAGAGGCTTTGGGTCCAGGTGCCGAAAGGTGAAGTTGCGGAAAAGACGCGTTTGGCAGAGACGGTATAGGATAGTGTTGTGTTTGTGCCGTTGCTTGTGCTAACGAGATTGGATGTGGTTTGCAAAATCGGCGAAGTGGAGATCGTGGGGGCAGTATGGGTGCCATTGTAGTCTTCATCACCTTCGAACAGGAAGATCTTGCCAGAAACTAGCCAGTAGCTGTTTATACTGTCTGAAGAGAGCGTGGCTGGTCCATTGCCTCCATTGTCATCCATGCCCACAACTCTGATGCTGAAAGAGTGCGATTTGCCATCGAGGATGTATGGCAAGAATGGAGTAATGTCGATTTCGTATTCTCGCAGGTCGTAAGCATCTATCCCTACCACGGGACGCCAGAAGCCTGGAGCGATACCGCCGGTGAAGATGATGGGAAATGGCCACGCTACTCCTGCCATCATGTCGTCGATGAACAACTGAACCTCACGGAAAGGGCCGTATCCAAGAAGTGTCCCGACGGTGGGTTCAAAGTCATTAATGTCGGACTGTAGGACGTTTGTGTACCAAAATTCCTCGTTACTTTGACCAGTAGCGGCAATTGACACAGTCGCGTGAGTAATGTTTCGAGGAAGTGTCTGCTGGACAGCCGCACTATCGCCTGGCAAAGTAAAGATACTCGGTTGACCAGTAGATCCTAGTTGAGGGGTGATGGGCAGAATAAGGTCGGCATGAGCTGGCTTGGCCGAGTTGTAGGAGAACGTAGCTGTGAGAGTGGTATTGAAAGCTCCAGTATACGTAGAATCGTAGACATTGTTCAAGCTAAAGATCAACTGCTGAGGCAACTTCCACAGACTCAGATACATGCTCACATCCTTTTCATATCTGAAGATAATACCCGAAGCGGTGGGCTCGGCGGTGCTTGTACGCCATACTTCAATGTCTCCAAGGAACATCTCTGCCAGACGATCAAACTGGCGACCAGCACTGGTAACGGTCCATTCAATGACCACATTGTTGAAGTCACATTCGGGCGGCGTATATTGTCCTACATAAGGGATGCCGTAGCTTGAGGCAAATGTATGAACCATCAATGTTTCTTGGACATTGCACGTTGTCGACTGTGGAATGGGTACAGGCTTGTAGAGTTGGATGATTGGCAGTGGAGACTGAGGGTTTGCAACCTGGAAGAGTGATGCGGCTTCAAGTGGATTCTTCGAAGGTGAGCGGTGAGCAAATACGGCCGTGGACAGCACGGAAGCGAAGTAGAAGAAGCGTTTGAGCTGCATCGTTCGTGAGCCCAAGCGAAGGATGAGAAGATGCGACCAGAAAAAATTGAGGAAAAGCTTGATATACAAGATATCCAAGAAGATAAGGTGTGATGATCTGCTACTGCATGATATGGAGCTGTCAACATGGACGGAACAGGAAGGCGCTATCGTCGACTGCGCGCAAATATGTGCTGTATCTCCCTCAACTTGCGAGCCATGTCAATGGATGTTGTGTTGCGTTACAACGAGGCGATACTCCCAGGAGCCAACAATCTGTTTACAGGCGAATGGAAGACATGGTGAATAGAAACAGAAACACATGCGACACATTAAGGCACGAAGACATAGCTGTCGTCAACCTCGGCAAGTGCGTGCTGAAAGATCAACAGCGTGATGGAGACTACTTGCGGCCGCAAGACTCCTCGGACGTTGGTCGCGACGGACATTTTCCTCCCATTTCTCCACGTGCCTTGCAACTTGCATCCACTATCCTCTTTGCAGAAGGTAAATCTTGGAGCAAAGCGAATCAGACTTTGCCTACGCTCGCGCTCAGCAAAGCAAGTCCTCATCATGTTTGAAGATCTGCACTGAAACCCAGCCGGATCATGCAGGAGACGACGATTACGGAGGCGACCGATGGAACACAGCATTTACCAACATTCTACTGAAGCCTATAAAGCAGACTTGATCTCCTTGACCATACACTGCAGAACAACAATTGAATCTATATATCCAAAATGTCGTCAACTCTGATTGCCCTCAGCACTCTGCTCGGTTTGACTGCCGCTGTCATTGACTCGTGTCCAGCGAACTCGCCTATTTCTTGCCAAACCAGCGGCACCATCCAGAATACATGCTGTACCGAAGTCCAGGGTCAAGTCTTACAGACTCAATTCTGGGACTCGAGCCCAGCCACTGGGCCGTCTAACAGCTGGACAATCCATGGTCTTTGGCCAGATAATTGTGATGGCTCTTACGAGGCCACATGTGATAGCTCAAGGGCGTACACCGACATCGGTTGCATCCTGCTTGACAAGGGCCATGGCGATATCCTAAGCTACATGGAGACCTACTGGAAGGACTACCAAGGAGACGATGAGTCGTTCTGGTAGTAATACGTCTTGAAAAGAGTGTGAAATCATTCACTAATGATTGACCAGGNNGAGCACGAATGGAGCAAGCACGGAACTTGCTATTCTACCTTGAACCCCGACTGCTATACCGACTACGAAAAGGAAGACGAGCTTGTCGACTTCCTCAACACCACCATCACTCTGTTCAAGGATCTGCCGACTTATGAGTGGCTGGCTGATGCCGGTATCACCCCGAGCTCCAGCAAGACCTACACCAACGCTCAGATTACGAATGCACTCCAGTCTCAATTTGGAGCCACTCCCATCCTATCTTGCACCAGCGGCAAGCTCAATCAGGTCGAATACGTCTTCAATGTGCGCGGTAGTGTCGCCAATGGTCAATTCATCGCCGTCAACCCTACCGGCACCAAAGGAAACTGCCCAAAGACTGGCATCAAGTACTTGCCCAAGGATCTCAGCACCACACCTGAAGCCAATGAGGGCAGCTGTTCTTGAAGAAGTTATCTGCATGTTTGGGGAGCAGTGTCTAGAATGAATGACGAAAAGTGTAGCATCATGTAGTATTCATCTCTGTCCATCATCTGGAAGCCTCGATGATCTTCTTGGCCATCTCTGGTAGCGTATCAGCCATGACATCCATGTCAACATCAAACAACTCCTTGCAATCCTCCTTTTCATACACCGAACAATAGGCACCTTTGAATCTGTGTCTCAAACCATTAGCACCACGCCTCTCAAACCTCATCTTGGAAGCAACAGTGCTAGAGAAAAAAAAAAACGAAACTTACCCAACAATTTTCGCAGCACTGACGTCCCAATAATGCGCTGCGGCAAACCACTTCTCATCTGTCCCAAAGCTCTCAAACAACGGTCTATATGCCTCCAACGCAGGCTTTGCAACACCACTACTATCACAAGACCTAAACCTCTCCCTCGAAAACTCCACTCTAGCATTGTCAAAATATCCCAACACCCTTTCTTTATCTCCAGTAGTCAAGCACCAAACCTCAAACCCTGATTTCTGCAACAGATCAAAAGTCTCTTGTACACCATCTCTCAATTGCAGAGTCGAGTAAGCAGCTACCATTTCATCTCTTTCTGCATCAGTGGCAAATTCTCTGGGTAAGGAAATGCCACTCATCCATAGAATACGATAGAACATTGCGGCAAAGACAGTTTTGTAAGGTTTGTGGCGTGAGGAAATGGAGAGGTAGGTAAATTCTCTTTCGGAGCTTTCGAGCCAGGCAAAGCCAAAGAGTTTTGGAGAGAGATTTTGAGCGAGAAGACGGGGGCCGAGGACTTTTTGAATGGAGGCGAAGAAGGCGTCGTAGGAGACTAGTGTGCCGACGACGTCGAAGACAACATGTTTGGGCATTTTGAGTTGTTTGGGATTCGGAAAAAGAGAGTGGTGATGTAGAAATCTTTGTGATGCAAGGATGAAGAGGATAAGAGATCAAGACCCGACTAGGTGCGGTGCTATTTAGTGTTCTTTATATCCTTGGTGGGAAACCCCTTAACGGTATATCAAGGTTGTAATTTGCTGCTTGTATCGCTTGTAGCACTAGGCGAGTGCTTAGCTCGGCCAGTCGGGCAAACGAACCTCTGCCTATCTGACTTATCAACTCGCATCTCCATGATTGGAAACTATACAGCCCCACCTCCGGTCTGATAAGCAATATGCTTGCGTCTTTCTTATCGAAGCTTGGCTATCTTGATTGCTTGATACCACCCACTTCTGTCCGAGTTGGTATGAGCAGTGAGGGATAATATTGTCGACCGGGTTCAATATCATACGCTGCGCTGGATGAACGTTCACGCAGCCACGGGATCAAATTTGCAAGCAAATACGACTGTTCAGATTGTTTACACGACCAAAAGGTCTCACTATACGAGTTGCCATCTCTGACCGTCTAATCCTCTCCAAGCATCCTTTGAGCGCGGATTCCAATCGCTTCCCCGTCCAATCTATTCCCACAAAAAGTTATACTTGTGCCATCCCACCTTTGGCAACTCAGGAGGCTCAGGATTGGCATTCGCAATATCGATGAAATGGCGAATAGGCAATGCCTCCAAAGGTACAATCTTGGTCTTCTTGACAATCTTGTATCCGAGATACAAGATCAGGAACAAAGGAATGTTGAAGTAACTAGAGATGAACGTCTCAGTGCTCCAATGTCCGTGCAGGAAACTGACGTAACCGCCTGTCAGCAGCAGAATGCTAAAGGCGACGAGCGATGTCCATGCAAGATATGGTTGCAATGGGGCAGCCCATGGAAGCTCGCTGCGTGAGATGTTTTGCTTCTTCATGCTGTAGTAGAAGCGCAGATATACCAGGCAAATGACCATCCAGTCAACCATGGCAGCGACTGCAACGAGATCTTGCAGCCATGTAAAGGCAACGTTAGCGCCACTAGATAGCGACAAGAATGCGAGACACAAGAAGATACTGAACAAACTGACCGAGACCCAAGGAATGCCGAATCGGTTCGTCTTTGTAAAGATCTTGGGTGCGCGACCTTCTCTTGCCATTCCATATAGGATGCGAGAGCCGGCGAGCATACTAGCATTACCAGAACTCCAAGCACTAGTTAGGATGACTGCGTTGATGATCGATGGCACGACTTTAATACCAGCACGAGATGCAGCAATGACAAAAGGTGATTGCGAAGCAGTACCAGTAGACTTCAACAGGTGTGGGTCGTTGGATGGAACCACGAGACCAACCATGAAGATGGTGAGCACATAGAAGAGCAACACACGTACGAAGATTCTCTTGGCTGCCTTTGGGATATTTCTGCGCGGGTTTTGTGTCTCAGAAGCGGCGATGGAAATGTTCTGAATCCCAGAGTATGCGTAAACGGCGTTACTAAAGGTTGTCCAGAACCCGAGAAAATGTCCCAGTGAGCCTGGATAGCCCAGGTATGCTACGAAAGGACCTGGATCTGACCAATACTGGAAGCCAATGCTTTTGTGGTCAGGACCGCCACCACAAGTGATGACCAAAGCCATGATGTTGATGCCGATGATGAGCATAATCTTCAACGATGCGAATGTGAATTCGAGTTCGCCGTAAATGCGGACAAAGGCAATGTTGCTGGCAACGAGACAGAGCCCGAGAACAACAATCCAGACTCCATTACTGACAGAGGTTGTCCAGAACTCGAACAAGACGGCGGCGGCGCAGAGTTCGGCAGGTACACTGACCAGATTGGCGTAAACTTGATTCCAGCCATTCGCGAATGAGAGGGCGGGGTCGACAAAGTACTCGGCGTGACGAGTAACACCTCCACTGAGAGGAACGAGAGTGCTANNGGCTGTATCAGCATATCTGCCAGCAGTGTTGGCACTTGTTTCTTACCTCAACTCCGAGATGGACATGACAACTCCTGAACACAGGAAGCCAACGAAGGTGTAACCGAGGAAGGCACCCAGCGGTCCAGCCCTCGAGATGGCTTTGCCCGAAGAAAGGAACAAACCAGTTCCTATGGTTCCGGCCAAAGCTATCATCTGAATAGTCCTCTGATTGAGGCCACGCTTGAGATCCTTCTTCTCCTCGAACTCGAGCGGTCCATCCTGGTCGTATGCGGGAAGTGTAGTGCCATGTTCAATGTCTGAGGCAATGTAACCCTCTTCGGTGTGTGAGAGTTTCTTCTCGTCTGTCCCCATTGGGAGAATCTCTGGTGCATGTATCGACATGACTTGAAACAAATTGAGAAAATGGATGGGATGAACAGAGTGCAAAGGGTGATCAATCAGACTTGTCCTTTTATGCATAGCCACTCTACATGTCTTGCACCATAAAGGCATGAAGTGCCTATCTCTCCGACATGACCGTTCAATTCGATGTTATTGGCTCAGCGTGGTGCTGTGAGCGAGGGTCTTATCCGCCCCCATAATTTGAACAGAGGTCTGCTTGGGAATGGCGCGGCCAGACCTTGCGGCGCAGATAAACAACCGACTTCTTCGGATCGAAGGGAAGACTCCTCTGCATTGACTGATAAGACGATGGTAACATCATCGATTGCATGTTATCATCCGTGTATAAAGAAGTCCGTTGGGGATTGATCGATTGATTGGCCAGGAAGGAGCAGTTTGACACGCGAGAAACCCTGGCAGAATAACCAATGGGGCTCGAAGTTGTCGAACTGAGCATGGCGGCAACATAGAGATTACACCTTTACTTCCCATTCAACTATCCATATCTCGAAGCCTGTGACCTGCGGCCCTGCTCTTCTATCAACGAGGAGCGAAATGCGAGCTATTGGAGTGAACGGTTGCAATCGGGCTAGGACTTAACCCGAGGAGACACGGGGAGAAAGAGGCTAACAGTCGGCGTCTCTCGCTTGTCGGAGCTACCGTGAATGCTACAGCTTGTTGTGTTGCAATATTGTGCACAGCAGGGAGTCGGGGACAGAGAGTCGGGTTCAGAGCACCCCCGCATGAGCGCCACCAGCGATCAGCCTCGAGATATGGCAGTACGTGATAACGAGCGAGGACTATCAGTGGCCGGGTATATCGGTTGCGGCACTTCTGTGTCGCGTCGTGTCTTTGTGTTATCTTCAGGGTAAATTGGAAAGAAGAGAGGCACAATTCATAGTGGAGACGAGCGAGCGATTGGGCCATGGCGCGCGGCCTCGGCAAGAGCTTGGCCTATCTTGTTTATCATGCAGGTGCCTGGAATACGACGTGAACCGTGAGGGGAAGACAGATAGCTTACACTGCAAAGACTTGCAAATATATTTCCTTCGTTGTGCATTCGCTTCACAAGGAGAGGAGGACTGAGTCGAAACGCGAAAATGCAACTTCCTCAGGGTCTTCCGACAGTCGGCGGCGGCACCGAGTCGTTTTGGCGCACCAACCTCCACAAGCTTGACGACTACCGTTCGACTGAGCAACTTCCTGAACAGTCTGATATTGTGATCATTGGTGCTGGATACGCAGGCGTTGCGACGGCGTATCATCTTCTCGAAGCGGGCAGCAAGGCGTCAATTACGCTCATAGAAGCCAGAGGCGCCTGCAGCGGAGCAACAGGCCGTAACGGGGGTCACCTCCGCCCAGACCTTTACGGTCACATTCCCACATATATCGACCGCCATGGACTAGAAGCTGGCGCTGAGATTGCCAAATTCGAAGCTGCCCATGTCACAGCCATCAAAAAGGTTGTCGCCAAGGAAAACATCGACTGCGATCTCGTCATAACGAGGACGACCGATGTCTGGTGTAATCAAGATGCTGCTGAGAGAGCCAAAGCTGGTTACGACAAGATGGTCGCCTATGGGTTGAAGCACATGGATGATGTCCATTTCGTCATGGGAGATGATGCAGAGNGGTGTGAGTATTTCTAGGCACCTAGGTATCAATTCTTTACTGATTAGCCACAGATTAGTGGTATCAAGAACGCGAAAGCATGTGCCACCTACACTGCAGGAACCATTTGGCCATACAAGTTCATCATGACTCTACTTGGGATTATACGGGACCGTGGCGTCAACATCCAAACATACACTCCCGTAAACTCAATTACTTCCCNNTCGTCCAAAGGTCAATGGACAGTTTTTACTTCCCGCGGCGACATCAGGACTCAAAAGGTAGTCCACGCGACCAATGCATACACCAAGACCTTGTTGCCAGAATATGAAAGGAACATTGTACCCTGCAAAGGCATCTGCTGCCACATTGCCGTACCAGAAGGGGACGTCGCCCCTTTGGTCGGTAACTCATATATTATCCGCGAGCAAGGCGATCCGAGCGTTCTCAGCTACCTGATCCCCCGCTCAGACGGCAGTATCATCGTCGGCGGATCTCAAGCAATCTTCAAGCCTCATCGCGAGCAGTGGTACAACAACACTGATGACGAGCAGCTAATTGAAGCATCCAAGGACTACTACACAAACTACATGCAAAATAATTTCCGCGGCTGGGAGAACACCAAAGCTGAAGTGAAGAAGATCTGGACAGGCGTAATGGGATACACCTCTGACAGCAACCCTCATATTGGCGAGGTGCCTGGCAAACCCGGTCAATACATTCTATCCGGCTTCAACGGTCATGGTATGCCAGTCATCTGGCTTGCGGCAGAGGGAGTATCCGATATGTTGCACACGGGGAAGAGTTTTGAGGACACAAAGGTTCCAAAGGCGTTCAAGACAACCCAAGAGAGGATTGATAAAGCAAAGGCTGGTCCCGAAGGCGGAGATATTCTTGCCTGAACCAAAGCCCTAACATTGTTATTTGATTCTACGTTCTGATATGCATATAAGAATTCAATTCTTCTATGAGAATCCCGTACCGTAAAACGGCATATAAATAATACTTAGATACGACTTTCACCTTAATCCAGATACTGGGTAGACACGGCCGACATCGGCACATGCCCATGTCTTGACTCACGCTCCATGCCATCATCCAACCACCAACATAAATAAACAAGTCATGTCCACGGTCCACATCTGACAGCAATCCGTACACTCACTTTCGGCAAACATCATAAAAGCACAAGAAATGTCGTCTCAATCCTACATCATCCTCGGCGCCGGCGTAATCGGCCTAACCACCGCCCTCGAACTCCACACCCGTCACCCCACCTCCACAATCACCATCATCGCCAAACACCTCCCGGGCGACCACCATCCCACGTATACCTCTCCCTGGGCAGGAGCAAATTGGCTCTCCGTAGCCACCGACAACGGACCCCAAGAATCGCGTGACGCCATCACCTATGCAAAGTTCAAGGAATTGAGTACTGGAGACAGAAGCAATGAAGTTGGTATTTATGCAATGCCCATTACTGCCATCTACGATTCAGAGATTGGAGACGCGGGAGTTTTGTCGCCCGCGACAGGGAAGATTTGGTATGAGGGGTTGGTGGGGGGAGTGAGGATGCTTGGGGCAGCAGAGTTGCCTGAGGGAGCGAAGTTTGGGTGTGATTTGGATACGTTTGTGGTGGATACGCAAGTTTATCTTCCATGGTGAGTTTGTTGTGTGATTTTCTTTCCTTCTGCTCTTATTCTGCAATGTCGCTGTTAGAATTTCTCTATTTGTGAACCGGGAGAAATGGAAGCTGATATGAATGTTTAAAGGCTGCAAGGAGAAGCAAAACGTCGAGGTATAGAGATTCGTAGGGGTGTGTTTGACGCTCTTGATGAGCTGTTCAGTGCTTTCCCTTCGGCAAATGCGTATTTCAACTGCACGGGCTTAGGAGCCTACTCACTCAAAGGTGTAGAAGACAAGAATGTCTATCCAACGCGGGTATGTACATACATTCGGTCCGCGAGAACAGAGGGCAAGACTCATAAAGCAACAGNNGGCCAAATCATGCTCGTCGAGAGCCCCAAAACTCCCATGACAAGGATGTACTTTCGCTCGCCGCAAAGAGTCAACAAAGATACTACCTACGTCTTTCCACGCGGCCCTCACAATGGTGTCGTGCTGGGAGGTGTCCGTCTCGACAATGTGTGGGACGGAGACGTCGACCTTGAGTTTGCTGAAGACATCAAGAGACGCTGTTGCGCTTTGGCTCCAGAGCTTGGCAAGCCGGCAGACCTTAAAGTGATCTATCATGGTGTTGGTTTGAGACGTGAGTTTGACCATGTTTTTAGGGGCTGGTGCAGAGAGCTGACATGTAACANNGCAAGCAGAACAGGTGGTGCCAGATTGGAGAGAGAAAGGTTTGGCGAGCATTTGGTCATTCACAACTACGGTGCTGGTGGCGCTGGGTACCAGGCTTCATGGTGAGTGGTGACATAGGATTCAACTTGTGCAGTATTGACTCGAGTCCCAGGGNGTATGGCGAAAGATGCAGTCGATTTGCTACAAAAAGATTCGCATCTGTAAACACAAGGAGATGGCCTCTTGCTTGTACCCTCGCTGCCGTCCTCTCGGCTCAAGCGTTCTTGTCTCGGGCTTGTGCGAGTGCAGCAACCTCCTCGGGCGAAATCTTGCGAGACTTGATTTTCTGCTCTTCCGCTTCAAAAACGATATCATCTCTTTTCCAGACCGCGAGCATTGCCGCACCCATGGGACCAAATATCAAGGACCAGCCAGCGAGACGTAGTAGCAACGAAGTGGAGAGTACTCCTGAGCTAGGGTAGATTACCTTGACAACCGCAAAATATGCCCAGACCAGATAAGTGAGGAACATGAGTGTCATGTCCCATTGTAAGAACCAATGAGCACCTTCACCCACTGTGCCTGCCTGCTTTACAGAGAACGGCGAAACGGGAATGAACAGGTTGGTTGGGTGAAACTCTGCCGGAATGTTGTTTGCGAAGAACGTAGGGAACAGCAGGCTCGTTATCGAAACAGCAATGGTGCTGACGTGAGGGATTGCCGCACAGCAGAGGCCAAAGATATAGACTCTGCGAAATGCTCGTCGTTGGTTCCTTGGGCTCTTCTCCGCGAGTTCGTCTTTGTAAGTACTAAGTCGGACGAGGATGAAGCTTGTCCAAACACGCTGGCCCAAGCGGAACAGCAATGGAAAGAACTGCCAAAGGCGGATGAGATCGACCTTTTGCTCCAGAGAGACGATTGTCGGCGCATGAAGCGACATCAAAATTGTTGGAACAATAATACCGCCAATTGTTGCAGGAATCATGGCATCTATGTCTGTTTTGTGGTTCACGAAAACATGACTTGTCGATTGCTTTCCAACAGGAGTGAAAGCGAGGAAGATTGGGCCTATAACTCCAATACCGAGACCCTGGAATAGCAAGCCATATGCAGTGGTTAGAGAAGCAACTGTCCAACTGTTCTTGTTGAGTTGACGTTGTCCTTCAAGAGCTGTCAGGATCCATGCGACGATGCCTTGACCGGCAAAGTAGAAGCACATCAACGACGAGCCAGGCCGGGTGCCATTAACCATTGGCCAGAAAATCGTAAGCAAACTTCGCAAGAACTCATCAAGCCAGCTCCATCGCGTGAACTCCGTGGTGTATTTCTGGCCGGTTCCTGGTAGACGGTTTTGCGATGAGTCCGCTTTCATCAAACTAAAGGTCCCATTTTCGGTTGCGAACTGCCAGAGTGCGACATAGCCAGACACAGCAAGTCCTATAAGAATCGCGTTCCTTACAATGAGGTGCATATTGCCAGACGATTAGACGACAAAGACCGAGGGTTGACTGAGCTCATTGAAAAGAAATTATTCCAAGATGTCATAGCGGCATCATGGAGTCGTGCTCGAAGCTGCGCTCATGCGGAAACATCAGTACGAGGCTCGAGATGCTAGAGTACGTACTCTTGACCTTTGATCGCTGTCGCGACACAAAATGATATGTTGAGTGATCGCGATACCGCATACATTGAGATGTCCTAATATCACTGTTGTTTTATGAGATTATTTCCGAAAACGAAAGTCACCGTGCATCGTTTTTCCCATCCTGGTTTTGCAGGAAGGATCGAATAAAGACAGAGCTTCTCTGCCGCTGCCCGCGGCAGGTGCATGCACGTTACAACCTACGCCTCGACGTTCGCTTTGGCTTCTTCTTGCTTCCCGTAGCGATAGGGCGCGTGACTGGCCTCTCGCACGACCTGTTCCTCGTCGGCTTGGTTCTTGCATGATGTTTCCACGATACGATTCTGTGACATCAGAATATCTTGAGAACGTAGGTTCTAGAGCAGGTCTACGTTCCATGCAGTCGATCGAGCTTGAAGCTTGGTATGCAGATCAACAGGGTGGGGGAGGGGTCATGGAGGGGTTGTTCTGCTTCCTCACGTGGCTCACACCCGAACCTGCTTGCATGATAAGGCACATGAGATACGAGATTGTGCTTTGTGTTCCTGCTCGCGGCAGCTCTATGCAGAGCGGAAGGTTTCACCGAGAAAGGAAGTGCTATACTGGGTGTTGATGAACCAGCGCCCCACGAGGTGATATGGAACTATGCAGAGACTAGGGCTTACGCCTTCCCTTGATAAGGGTCATGCCGAACGGCCAACTGGAAGCGTCAACCAATCCGAAGGGTCTAACGACAGCCTGGAGACATTTTTCTGCGCGGTTTGATTACTGTCGCATATAGTGATTGTTCTTTGGCAAGTCCTGAAGAATGTCTTTTCGAACGGCACGGTTCAGGCAGGTCGTACTAAAGAGCAATCTTGATCTGACTAGGTTAGGATTCGAGGATTCAACCGTAAAACCACTACTGAAATCGCACACACGATGAGTTGGAACAAGACGTACAGCGACAGAGTTGAGGATACAACTTATCACCAGTCTCTGTCTGACTTGACGAGGTTCGATGATTTGAAGTCATCGCCCCAGAGGTAAAAGGCATCAGAGAGATCCGAGTGTGATACCCCATCACAACCTCCACCAACTCGCCGAGTCAACGCCCCTGGGGTGCGGCGTTTCGTCTTGCGCTTGGCAACCAGGACTTGAGAATATCCTTGCAGCCTCTATTCTCGGCAGTTCTTTGTAGGATATCTGCAGCATTTTGGTACGACTGTCGAAGTGTGTGAGGTGTCTACACAAAAAGTACCCTTGTCGTCGCCGAGTCCAGAGCGGCTTCCAAATGTCAATTGAAGGAAAATTTCGAGCATCTCGTCATTGGCGTTCTTTTCTCGAACAGTCCCACTCGTTTCCGAACGCCCTGGCTAGGCGAACGCACGCTATGCGAACCTTCCTCAACCAAAGAGTCCAAGCGTCGCTTCCTCTTGTACATATCTGCAGGGTACTCCCCGTTGGCCGCCCAGTCTCATTTTTCTCACCCTCACTCTTTTGCATCTATTAATCACTATACACAATGGGCTTCCTCGCAAACCCCCCGGACCGCAACCTGGACCAAGCCGGTATGGCCGCTGGCCACGGTCAAGCCGCACCTTCGACCAAGAACCAACTCGGCGATGCGCGAAAGGTGTCCAACGAAGAGAGCGGTACCGATCTCGACGAGTCCGATGCGATACTGTTGGCCATGGGCTACAAGCCTGAAATGGCACGCAACCGATCAACCCTCCAAGTCGCCTTCATGTCCTTCGTCCTCGCCTCAATTCCTTACGGTCTCGCAACAACCTTCTACTACCCGCTTGTAGGTGGTGGCCCGGCGAATATCATCTGGGGTTGGATTATGGTCTCTCTGATCATCATCTGTGTCGCTGCCAGTCTAGGCGAGATCACTTCAGTCTACCCGACAGCTGGTGGAGTCTACTACCAGACATTCATGTTGGCACCAGCCAAATACAAGAGAGTCTTGTCGTGGATTTGCGGATGGGCATATGTCGTCGGAAACATCACCATCACTCTGGCCGTCAACTTCGGTTCTGCACTATTCATCATCTCGTGCGTAAATGTGTTCGAGTCTTCGCCTGGTGTCGGCATCTGGGAGGCCAGTGCGTGGGAGACATGGTTGGTCTTTGTTGCCATCACTCTTTTCTGCAACCTCGTCTCTTCGTTTGGCAACAGATGGCTGGCTCTGATTGATGTATGTGAAACAAAGAATCTCTGAGCACATGGCGATACTGACTATGTGACATAGACTTTTGCCATTTTCTGGACTCTTGCTGGCGTTGTTGCCATCCTGATCGTCACCCTTGTACTGGCCAAAGGCGGCCGTCACTCTGGTGAGTACGTCTTCACTCACTTCGAGCCTCAGTCAGGATGGACTCCTGGATGGTCTTTCTGTGTCGGACTTCTTCAGGCAGCTTACGCAACCTCGTCGACTGGCATGATCATTTCTATGTGTGAAGAGGTTCAAGAGCCTGCGACCCAGGTGCCTAAGGCTATGGTTGCGACCATCCTCATCAACCTTGGCGCCGGCTTGATGTTCTTACTTCCTCTTCTGTTCGTTATTCCCGATCTCTCCACACTTGCTGCGCTTGCGTCGGGACAGCCTGTCCCTACCATTATCGCTACTGCCGTCGGTTCGCCTGGTGGCGCCATTGGTCTCCTTCTCCCTCTGATGGTGCTTGGTCTTATCTGCGGCATTGGTTGCACCACTGCAGCATCTCGTTGCGTCTGGGCCTTCTCTCGTGATGGTGCCATTCCTGGTAGCAAGTGGTGGAAGCAAGTCAACAACACCACTGCTCTAGAGGGCGTGCCTGTTTACGCCATGTTGCTCAGCATGATTGTGCAAATCCTGCTCGCCGTCATCTACTTCGGATCCGTTGCTGCATACAACGCCTTCTCTGGTGTTGGTGTCATCTGTCTGACTGTGTCATACGCCATTCCCATCGCCACCAACCTTTTCACAGGTCGTAAGCATGTCAAGGGTGCCCCCTTTGCTCTCGGAGCTCTTGGACTGTTCTGCAACGTTGTCGCTCTGGCTTGGAGTTGTCTTGCTGTGCCATTGTTCTGCATGCCGACCACTATTCCTGTCACTGCATCGCTCATGAACTACGCATCGGTAGTCTTCGTCGCTTTCATTCTGATTGCAGGTGCGTGGTACATTACGTGGGGCAAGAAGAACTACCAAGGACCTCCGACGCATGAGGATACCGCCCTCGAGACTAGTCGCGGCAGTATCGGCGAGGCGAAGATGGCTCCATGAAAGGCTGCACATTTTTTCTGTTGGAGTGAAGATGTTTGATGATTGTGGATCGATGCGAGACGATTGATACCCGATGCGACTAACACCAGGCCATATGCGACTGCTTTTGACCGATTTTCGACATCACCCGAGAGCGACGACAACCGTGAGCTATATGCTTGCCCATGTGCGACTTCCACTGCTCGTGTCCAGCCCATGCGCAATACGACACCCATCCCTGCTCGATCGCCCTGCTCCAGAGATCTCGACAACTGTTCCAGTGCGACCAACGACTTCCATGCGACTTTTTCCGAAAAGCGACGATGATGTGTTGTTGATTATTCACCTTCTACATTACAACATTAGCAGCGATCTTGATAGCTTTCTTTTCTTTTATGTGGATATCCCTTCTTGTACCTTACCATTTTACATTACAGGCATTCAGTGTCATGTTCATATTTGCCATTGAGGGCCTAGCTCATGCTGGCTTGTCTTGACCAGATACCAGGTATCGATCGCGAATTACTAACGACATAGTTTAGTGATCTTCATCATTATTCAAGCAATCACTATTCAGGACAGAACGTTTGGTCGAGGTAAGTCACACTCAAAGGAGTCTTTCCGATTGAAACATCATGTCTGGTGTCGCTGTCAGCTGTTCGGGTGTTCCACGACCTTGCCTTGCCGCTATGATTAGCTCAATCTTGGTCTCGACACAGAATCAGTGCTGAGTCGATTGATGCTCCATATGCACAGTATTCGTACTCTGCCATTCTATCTGCAGTCGAGCTTTGGAATGTCGGTATGCGTAAATTCTTGTCAAAAGAGGTGTTTTGACCGTCAATTGTGTGCCCTGTGTTGAAGGACGGTGCCAGATCTGCATCTTTCGGGACAGCGTGGCTGTGAAACTTTGATGATCGCAGTTGTAGATCAAAACAGGTATTCCTGACCTCGAGCGACGCGGTGATGATGACGTAGCTTTGCGTATTGCTCTGCTCTCACAACTACATAGCTACTACTATTGCTAATCTTTAAAACTACACATACGACCAACACTCGTCCTTTGAACAATCATGCCGCCGAAACAAACACAAAAGACATCGAATTCGAAAGCTTCCAACAAGTCAACCAAGACAATGAGCAACAACAACAGCAACCAAGCCCCGCAAGGCATCTCGGAACATGAGATCAAACAGAACTCGGGCGTCTCTGCCACCATGGCCTTGCAAGCGACACAAAAAGCATGGGAACTGAGACAAGCAGCCATGGGAGCCGGCGACGCCGAAGCACGAGAAGCGACCCTTGCCAAAGCCATCGACAAAGAGATTGAAGCCGAGTCTTTTGGCAAAGCTGCAAAGTACACACAAACAGGTGCTTTCCAAGGACTCGCTGCTGGTGCGGGCTTGGGTGTTCAACCAGGAGTCACGATTGGAAAGGTCACGGGAGCCATTGTCGGTGGCACGGTTTCGACAGTCACTGGCTTGCTCGGCGCTGGTGTCGGATCCGTGTATGGTGCCATGCACGGCAAGATTTGGGATTTGGGAGAGATGGCGAGTCATGGCGTTCAAGGTGTCGTCGGCGACTTTCTGCCAGACTGGAAGTCGACACCGGCGCAAAAGAAAGCTTTGGACAAGATGGTCATGCAGACAAAGGAGACTCAGGCACCCAGCAAAGAAGAGTTGGAGAAGATGAAAAACGACATGCCCGATCAAGCGCCTTCATCTTGGTCACAGTCGGCGAAAGATATGACTAGCTATTTGCCGGGCATGCCTTCAATACCTTCAATGCCCAATGTGCCCTCCATGGCACAAGCAGGTTCTGCTGTAGGACTAGGAGGCTTAGGAGCATCCTTGGGCATGGGAGGCGGTGGTGGTGATCAAGCCAACACCCAGCACCAAAAGGCAGCTCCCCAACAACCCAAAAAGCGAAGCCAATCCCAGCCAAAGCAAAGCGAGCAAGCGCCAAAGCAACAAAAGACGTCAAACACACAACAACAGCAAGCCTCCAACATAGCAGCACCCAAGCAAGCTCCCAAGCCAAAAGAGGCGCCCAAGCCCAAAGAAGCTCCGACAGCAAATACACCGTCCCAACCTAGTCAGGCAACAAAGCCGAACACTACATCCACCAAACCAACCACAAGATCATCATCGCACAAGCAGGCTTCATCAACCACATCAAACAACAATACAACCCAGACACCCAAACCGGCAGCGAAAGCTCAACAAGCCACTGCTAGTAAACCCGCCGCCTCTCATCCCTCTACCACTACATCCGTGCCCGAGAAAAAGAAACCGAGAAAATTGAACACTGCAGCAAAGAGCAACAATGGAGCTGCGCAACAAGCCAAACCAGCAGCAGCATCAGCGCCAACCAAACGCGCGCCGAGAAAACTAGAAACTCGCAAACCTGCTGCTACTGCTGCATAAAATGTTGTTTCTCCCATCAGGACCAGCCAATTTACCTGGAGGGAATGGCTAGACTATCGATCAGGAGGTGTAATGGGTAGATATGAAATTTGCTTGTGCATACTTTTGTGTATATGTATGACTTAATGATACTCTCTTGGTACTCTTGTGCACCTTATCTCTCTTACGTACGTCTGCTCTTCTGGCGACGAGTGGTCATGTCTATTTTCGATGATCTGTTGATGTTGATGTTTCTCAAAGGCATAGTTTTGAGACAGGGTCGTACTCCCAACAACCACTTTTTGACATAAAACGTAGCTACGACGACGTGTGCTGTATCAAATTCTTTGAAAGTGCATTCGGAACTTATCTGATATTATCTGATAGAATGTAGAGGGTCATCTACAAGTCAGTGTGACAATTGCGGTCATGATATCTGTTTTTCGTTTTTTAGATGTTGAATTTCAGAAAGTGAGATACCACATGTACAACTTGATGACCACACTCAGACCAACTGACAATGTTTCAATATCAGAAATGGTGGCATTTGTTTGTGTTGAATACCTTTGCGATATAGTTGTTTGCACACTGATTTATACAATAACCCGATGACGGTAGGTAGAACGATGTATACAGCCAGATTCATGGCCAAAATGTTCACCAAGCAACGTATCTATGGCTCATATTGCACACTACACGTTATCACGAAAGAACATTATCACGGAAGAAGGGATAGTTATGATGCCATGACGTTCTTTTGCACACAAAAAGGATACAGAGTAGGATGGACTCGAGAGCACAGCTAGCACTTTATTAGAACCAAGCATAAAAGTACTACTATCATATGATCAAGAACCTAATCACCAAGATAACCTACTGTTTACTCATCCTAAAAACCTCAAGCCACATTGCTATCGCACTCTCGCATTACTCAACAAACACGTGCCCAAAACTACAAACACCCATCAGCGGGCATTCAAAAATCACAGCCAACGGTCGGATATCGAGCAAAATCAGCCAAACTCCTTCAGCCAAACTCTTTCAGCCAAACCATTGCTACGAAACCTTCAAGCACAAACCCAACTGTAATTCCTTTGCTTCTCCAGCAAAGCGTAATAATCGCGTGCTTTTAGAAGCAATGGAAGCAAATGTTTGGAGTTGGACAGAAAAGAAGATGTGGGAGTGGAACAACGGCCTCGGTACGCGGCATGGGATTGCGCGAGTGAGACTTGTGTGTTTTGCGTCTGAGTTATTCGTGGACGGATAGCAGAAGTCGGACCTTTTGTTGATTGTGGAGGACTTTGAGTTGGAGGATGCGAGCTGAGTTGAGTCAGTGGAAGTGAGAGATGATTCTTCTATAGAGGTGAACTGTCCCAAGTCTCCAAACGGTCAAATATAACCAGCAATATTGAGCGGTCGTGGCAGATACTTGCATTGACACCTCAAGAGATGCTGGTGAACACATCGAAAGTACCGAGGGATCCGTATTGTCAAGACGATTGCATCTCTACGCGGGATGTAGAAAAAGGTTTCTGGAACGCATGGAAAGAAATTGCATGTGTAAATTTCTGCCAAAAGCCATGTCAACGGCCACTGAACGGCTATCAAGAACGCTGACCGTAGTAAGAAGGATTGCGTTCTTGGAAGCTGAAGGTCAAGGAAAGCATCGAGGGGCATCAAATAGCACGTGAAGTGAATCGATAGATGAAGCTCGATGTGATGGAGCAAGTCATGTCAGTGGCGGGGCGCGCAAGACTGCAACGGCTGTTTTGGGACGAACCCGTGATATACACATGACGTCGGGCCTTCTCTCAAGTCAGGAAGGCAGTAGAAGACTGAAAGTAACCAGTATGTCTCTGCCCGGAGAGCAACTGCGATGTTGCAATGCCACGGCAAGTGCGAGGATGCTGTAAGTGGCGGCGGCAAAGAGCGTCCAACGGTCAAATATCAGCCGCACGGAGATGGCAACGACAAACGTGCTACTGCGCAATTCCTGTTGATGTTATTCTGGAAGCTCCAGGGAATGTATCAAGTTTGAAGCATATAGACAAAAAGCAAAGAACAGTTTGGAGTATGCGTTCGGATGTAACGAAAGTTGTGTGTTGTGTAAGTGGCGGAACGGGCAGATGTCAGTGGCAGCCAACGGCTATGACATTGCGCATACGATTGATCTTACGAATTTACAAGTATGTCACCTACTAAGCATGAAATTGACGTAGTTGGCCACTGTCGTAGTCTTTTCAGGCGTATACTTGATATCATTGATGAGACAGAAATTTGTCATATTCGTTGCAGCGATTCTATCTTGGAGAACCGGATCTCACGGGACCACGAGTGTGATCGATTTTTGTGAGCATCGCAATTCGCTCCGGCCATGCAATTGTACAAGACTCGCAAGCCGAGGCAGAAAAAGTTGTTGAGGTTGGCATGTTACAAACAGAGTACAAACCGCGATCGACAAAGGATCAGCGGTGACCATTTTTTCCAGAAATTCGCCAGAAGAGATTTATCACAGACATTCGGTATCGTTCCTTGAACGTAGAAGCCTTCTCTAAGATTGTGATCTTCATATTCGATAGATGGACATGCACGTGTATTGTCTGCCCTTATCGCACTGTTGCAATCAAGCATAAACATAGGGTTGGCATTAAGATAACAAAGAACACGAAAAATAACGGTTATATCGATAGCATTTTTCGAAGAATCTTTGGCTTGAACTCCGAACAAGCGGAGAACCCACAATAACCACCCACAATGTCCACAACCTAAAATGCACGTACAATGCTGTGATCTGAAAATTGTTGGTGATAGACGTTGTTGACATGTGAAAGAGTTGGAGAAGCGAATACGGATAGGCGATTGCTCCAATTGGCCCAAAGAGAACATGCCGTGAAACATGTATAGCCTTACAGAGATTTTTCGCGTGTTTGGAAGGATGGAAGCCTTGCTGATTTCTCGCTAGAGCACGTGTCGTGCTGAGCTGTGCGTGAGACACACGTGGATACCAGCATCGAATACCTCGGCCTGAGAAATGAGAGTTGTAGTCGAAGCACTCATGAGTTGAGGTTGAATAGCAATCGGTGATGCGAGCGAAGGTTTCCTGTCCTGCCGCCGCATTGACTGACGAAACAAGGTTCGTTGTCGTGCATATCATTGACAGGTGTAGATGATGCCGACAGCCTAAGGTCAAGACGGACTATGGTAGCCTTGGTAGGTCGACCCTGACCACATGATAGTCGATTGATTGAACACTCTCGGAGCTAAGTCACCAGAAGAACATAGTGCAGTAATGGGGGAGTAAGACGCGCTACCTATGCGAATAACAGACGGAATATGGTGCCGAACCGGGAATCGAGTTCAAGCTGACAGTGCTCAGCTGAACGTTACAACTCGCAGCTATCTGACAAAGAGTGAAGGCGAAGAGGAGGCAAAAACGAACGAGTGGAGAGAATGGAAGCGTGACAGTTGTGTTGAAGATTTTGTGTTCATGAAATGTGTCTATATCGACAAGAAAGGTAGTTCGTAGTAATCATCATCATCATCTTGATCGTGAGCCATTGGCCAAAAAACAATCCCAAAGTCCCAATGCCCTTGACTCCATCCAGCGCCATACAGAAAGCAACATGCAAGAGATATAAAGGAAGTGTCTACATAACGCCACACCACTTCTCCTTCTCAGACCAAAGGTCATCGGAGGTATGTCTGAGGTCTTCCTGAATCTCATATCTGGCATCACCCTTGGCAGCATCCCACTCCTCGAGCGACTCCTTGAAGTGTTCGACGAGGCGCTGCTGATCACACTGTCTGGCAGTGATGACTTCGCTGGGGCCGGTGAAAGCTTTGGTGAAAGCGACAATGTCGTAGAGGCTAAGACCCTTGCCAAACTGTAGGACAGTGTTGACTGCGTCGAGTTCAGCGTCGTGAATCAGTTGAGCATGGCTCATCAGAAGCTTGAGGCTTTCAGGAACAGCAGGGTGAGCAAGAGAGATGGGTGTGACATTGCCATATGAGCCATTGATGCAGAAAGGGCAGTCAGGACCGTGAGCGAGCTTTCCATCGAGCATGCGGAAGTCTGCTGAAAGCTCAGACTCCGAGTCCCAGGTGGAGGGTTGGAGAGTGAAGCTCATATCGCGGATGAGAGGTTGCGAAGGAGAAAGGGTGGAGAGCCATGACTCGGAAGCAGGCGAGAAGGAAGTGGTGTACTTGGTAAGACAGCAAGGCTCAGGGCAGGTGGCATCAATGCCAGGAACAGAGCTGAAGAGTGTGATGAAGGAGTTGATGCCAAGGAAGACAGGCAATGCTTCTTGGCGGGTCTGGCGGCATACGCGAGTGATGGCTGGAGGAGCAGCCAGTGTGTCGATGTAGAGAGGCTCGGCTTCAGTCACTGCATATCCGTAGATCATGAGACGAATCTCAGCAGGAAGATCAAGGAAGCGGAAAGACCCAGAAGATGAGCCGTTATGCCTGGAAGGAGCGACGGGGGCAGAAAGACGGGATTGTTGGTGAGTCTTTGTGAGTTGTGCTTGGATCAGAGCAGAGTGGTGGTAAGGAGATGCGGGGACAGAAGGAACAGCCTGGGGAATGGCCTTGGTCTGCTCCTTGTCCTTGGTCAGGCGGGCAGGCACCGGCTTCTGATGACGTGCCCAAGTCTTGATGTTGGACTTTTGCGAAGACATGATTGAGCGTCGTGTCTTGGAGCGAGTGGTCCTGGGCGAACGAGTGCCAGCCATGATTCTGATGTGAACGAGTGTTGTGTGGAATGGTGGTTGGAAGGAAAGAACTGGAGGACGAGGCGGCTTCAAGTAAAAAGCCAGCAGCGAAAAAAAGATGCCGTTTGGTCAAAGTACAGCGGTCGTCAACAGTGTAAACAGTGACGGGCGGGGCTGGGAAGTGGGGTTCAAGACAAGAATATGCAAGCAGAGCGTTTGCGTGACTGTTGGTGCCGTACTGTCTAAGTTTTGGTCGAGGATGGCTGTCGTGTTGGATGTCGTGTTGGTGTATAAGAGTCTCTCTATTCCTGG